GTACAAGCCAGAACCTTTACTTAAACCACGATCAACGCAAGTACATCTATATAAGCAAGAGCTCGTCCATAAGAACTATGACGGTCGATACTACTGTTGAGAAGGGAGTTATGCAGGCCAATGGATTGAAACGTTTGGTGGTTGGTAGGCCTTTCGAAGAGGTCTGCAAGGAGGAGATCGAGAGATTCGGTGCCAAAAAGTAAGATCTCGAACCAAACATTAAAATACAGCACTTTCTCATTGACCTTCTTACTTGATGTAGAGTCTTTGTACTGGGCTCCAAGTCCTTGGACGAAAAGACCGATCGAATGGTCAAACTGCGAGACATATTGGGCCCTCTGTTTGTTGGCCAATACACGGGTGTTGGAGAGCACACTCCGAGATCACAAATCCTGGAAGCAACAATAAAAGCTCGCTCTCTTGGAGGTTAATTCTTGACAGTTTAGGAGTGTTTCCTGACAGCTCACATCTATTACAATTCCAGCGGATTTGATACTTGGAGTTGGTGGCGGATCTGTCGTTGATGGTGCCAAAGTCTTGGTATTGGCATTGGCCAACAATGCCCAAGTTTACGAGGATTTCGATAAACTCTTGGCTGGACCTGGCTACTCCTTACCAGCTGGACTCATTACTCCAACCATTCCATATATCGCAGTACCCACGACGCTGTCTGGAGGCGAATATAACAAATTGGGTGGCTGTACCGACACAAAGATCAATCGGAAGCAAGGATACATCCACGACAATTTACAGCCTTCGGTGGTGGTGTTAGATCCTTCATTGACTGTACATACTCCTGATGTGTATTGGTTGAGTACTGGGATTAGATCGGTGGATCATGCTTTGGAGGTTTGTTTTAAAGTTGAGATTTTTGACAACTCTATTGTATTTTGTTTAATCTCTCTATGGCAGGCAATTGGAAGTCTCGCAACTGGCAATTCGATTGGAGACGCATATGGTGGTATTGCTCTTACAAAGCTTGTCGAAGGTAAATAATATCACCTGTATGTTGACATTATACCAATCGTCGCTCATAACGTGTCGAATATCTAGGATTGATTCGATCTAAAAATGATCCTGAGGATGTTGCTGCTCGACTAAATTGTCAGCTCGGTGTCTACTTTTCATTTCAGCCAACTACTGTGTAAGAAAGCACAGCTGTCCCATAATCTTGTTGGCTAAGCCCACACATTTGCTTTCTCTAGAGGAGTGATCTATGGCGGATCCCATGCCATCGGCCATATTCTTGGTGGATCGTTCCAGGTCCCTCACGGTGTTTGCTCATGTGTACGTGCTTCTTCTGAACGTCATGCTGCAGAAGAGGTATCAAACTCAAACCTTCAAAACTGATACATAGGTCATGGCAGCCTCAACTCTCCGCTACAACCAAAAAGTCAACGGCCATAAACAAGAGCTTATCAAAAAAGCAATGTGGGAGTCGCCAGCTGGCAAGGCTCTCTTCGAATCAAAAGGACTGAAACCGGAAACTGCGTCGGCTGGTGACCTAGTTGACGCACTTGTACTTGGTCTTGGTTTGCCGCATCGTTTGTCTGAGGTGAAGATCACCAAGGACAAGTTTGCGTCTATATCTACTCTCACGTTGACTGATCCTTGGGCTGCGTTGAATGCCATTCCGTTGACAAAGCCTGAACAAGTCACCGAGATTCTTGAATTGGCTGCTTAAAGTTGTTTATCGCGGTTCATATTGGATTAAACTTGGTTTACACGTATAAAAATAACTCTAGGTTTGAAACCTCGTGCTTGTGGGTTTTGTTTGCACGTTCCAAGCTCTGACGCGTGAACGAATACTGTTCCAAACAATCTAAGTGCAGGAACATGTTTCATTAGCATTGTCGAAGAACTCTGCCATTCTTCACTGCAGAGCTCCTGTCATAAAAGTTTGAACTTGGTTGAAGCTACCTTGTCACTAAACGTCAGAATGGAGAAGATCCAGGAGATCCTTGATGGTGTATATAAAGGGCTCACAGACAGACCGATTCTGACAGCGCTGACAGTCGTTTTCATATCACTTGTAAGGCTAAAACACAGCAGCAGTGCACATCGACAGATTCCAAGTTTTTCAACCATTCGCCAACAACACATCAAACCGATTCTAGGTCATCTACGGACGACTGATCACTCCATTCCTACAATCCAAATTCAGGAAGACTGAAAATACCGTCAAGATCGACCTGCCACAACAACATGGACAGCAAACATTCCGTGCAATCCTAAAGCCTGTAAATGCTGATGTCGACTCAACTTTTCCATTGGTTGTCTTTGAATGTGAGCTTGGGATGAACTGTGATGAGTGGGGCTTCCTAAGGAGGGCGTTTGATGGCATCTTACCGACGCTGTCGTATGATAGATTGGGATATGGTACGTGGTTTGCATTTCACCATACTTCATGACCAATATTAAATTATTTGTACAGGTGGGTCCTCTGAGCCTCCTGGAGACGCTCCACGAGAGGCTACTCAACTCGCTCAGGAATTACATGCATTACTGGTGTTATTCGATGTCGTTGCTCCCGCTGCATCCGACGCCAGCAAGGGCAAAGGTCCATTAAAGCGGCCATTTGTACTTGTCGGGCACTCCTATGGTGGTGTGATCTCCAGGACTTTCTATCATCGCTACAGGCCGCCGAATTTGATTGGAATGGTATTGCTCGACTCTCAACCTGAACGATTACATGTGGACAACCCGTCCATACGAGAATACATCAAAGGTAGAGGGATGCCAAGCAATCGAGCGAGCTTTCAACTCTGACCAAACCCCCGTTGATTACAATTTTTAGAACGCTTACCTCGAGCATTCCTGACTGCAGCATGGCTATCTGAAATTGGCTTTTTGTCAGTCTTGTCCTTCTTTGGATTCCGATTCATGGCAATTACAGAGGATATGACTGCAAGGTTGACAAAGGAAGAAGCTGGGTCTCTGACGAATTTATCAGCTGCTACGTTGAGAACGTTCTCTCGAGAAACTGCAGGTACGCTCGGACTATCACCATTCTCGTTTCGCCTAAACGACTCGCTAACGTCTACCATTTCACCCCCATCCAGGCGTGGATGCATCACTCTCAACTCTAATAACACTGCGAGAACAATCGCCAAAACATAAAAAAGATGTTGCTATTGCTGTCGCAGTCATAACAACTGAGCATATTGAAAAGCCAGCTGGTGGAGAGAGATTTGATCCCGTCAAATGGAAGGAAAAATGGCTTAATTATCAAAATGAAATAATAACGTTGGAAAATCGATGCAAGGGGATGCCAAAGGTCGCTGTAGTCGATTCTTTCGAGCACACGTCTCTTTGTGTTAGTGAGAAAGTAGTCGAAGCTGTTTCGACAGTGTTGAAGGCCACTATGGGGCTGAATATCGATATAGAGTTCACACATGATAAGTAGATGTATATACCAATAATGATATTTGAAAAGAAGAAAGAAACGTGTACATGCCTTCCAAACGAGTTGTGTGCGCTGTTAGCGATCACAGGCAGTGCAACAGAAGGCAGGACTTTCTCCATATTGCCATCGTCTCAGAGGTAGCTAGTGTATGCATTGTGGTCTTAGCCTATAGAATACATCCTCAACCTTCCACTTCATGCAATAGGCACCTTGACTTGCTGCAAAGCTGAAAACATGAGTGGAAAATTCATTGACGACAACCAGGGAAATCCCCTTTATATAAAGACGTGGAGTCCTGCTGGAAAGCCAGTCGCATCAGTATTATTTGTTCATGGTAATGTTTCATATATTCAGGTCGTGAGCTTTCGCCAGCATCACATTTTGCGACCAAAAGTCGTGGAAATCAACTTTCACTCGGCAGCATCAAAGTGCAAGTCGCTGACCAACTGTATACATTTCGCTTTCAGGATTGGGAGAGCATATCGGTCGATATGACCACGTATTCCCTATATTCGCTGAGAAACATTCTATAAAAGTGACGGGACTTGACTATGCAGGACATGGACGAACCGTAACGGAACAAAATGGAATTCAAGGTTTTACTCCTTTTGATACGGTCATCGAGCAACTTGAACTGGTCATGAGCTCCATTGTGATCCCTGGAGCTGAAGGAGCTCCCGTGTTTGTCATGGGCCACTCATTGGTATGTAGGCAATGCATGGCATAGTGTTTTCAGCATGGCTCAATACGTATTTGCCATCAGTCCTTCTCACATTTTTGTTGCGATTTGCACGTGTTAGGGTGGTTTGCTGTCCACGTACTTCACGTCACTTCATTGGAAGACGTACAATGTGAAGGGTCTGGTCTTGTCTGCACCAGCTGTTGTTGGTACAGCTCCAGTAAGCATTCGCTTTGCATTCCAACACGAGCGTGAACATAGAGACTCATAACAATGTTACACTCAGGTATTTGACGAAGGCTTCGTCCCTCCTCCAGACAAGGAACGTGAACAATTCGCAAACGGTCTACCTCTTGACGGCCTTTCAAGAGACCCTAAAGTTATCGAAGCTTACAAGAACGATCCTTTCGTCCATGGGTTCCTCACGTTACGACTAGCATTCAGCATATTCCAAGCTCGTCAACACTTGCAAGGGAAGGGTAGGGATGAATTGACACTGCCTATTATGCTGCTTCATGGGACACAGGATAAGCTTGTACCTGTAGCTCCAACAGTCGAGTTTATAAACTCGCTGCCAGCTGTCGACAAAACCGTGATCACCATGTCTCCACTATATCACGAACCTCATAATGAACCTGAGCAGGCAGAAGTCATTAACTATTATGTGAACTGGATACTCTCGAGGGCCACAACCAGGACACCATTGTAGTGATTGAAATAAAAGCCATTGATTTCACGCGGAATACTGAATCTTGCACGTCAGTTTAAAGGACTTTTGGTTTATGTTGTTGTTTCTGAGCGGGCAGGCAGCAATGAATTTATGCTAGACGAGATTTTCACTCCGGGTTTTACCATTCGTTAGATTTTTTGCGTTCTTTTTTCTTCACCTAGACTAACAATACAACTATGTCATGACTGTTGCGGTGCTTCAAATCAAATTGACGATGACATGTGCAGTTTTGTCACCTCTTTGGTCTCGTCCTTGGCAGGATGTTGATATTTACTGTCTTGAACATCGAATTTTCTGAATCTTTCAAAACCACCCGAACGATCGCTCTCGAGGCAATGTGAAATGAACGCCAAATGCATTATTCATACTCGACTCGACGATTTCGAGCATATTTTGGCAGTACAAGATTGATGATTTCTGTGAAAATCACTTTTTCGTATTCAGAATGCATTAGTCACGACATACGACCATTAGTACAACTGGTTGCGTTCTCAAACCGCCAACGTGCTTAAAAGCTCGACAATCAAGCTGCCTCATCAAGAACCTTAGTTCAAAAAGTAACCCAAAACACGACACGTTGACACGTTACCCCATATGTCATCCAATTCCATCGTTTGTCATCGCACAAGTTGAAATCAAATAGAAAACTAAATTCGGTGCATTCTCAGACGCACTTGCTACAGTCTAGTCTTCAAACAACATCAGCTCATAACACCACAACACGTAACAATGCCAACAGTACTCGTCGGAGGAGCAGGTGGTCTTGTCGGTAAGTACGCAACCCTACAGCTTCATGTATTTCTAACCCGCAAGAATGGAATCACACAAAATGTTCTCTCTTCTCACAACTGCTTCTGTCTGCCCACTGCTATGTCTCTCTCCCTCACTTTCTCTTCTAACTTTTTACTTCCTCTCCGGTTGTTATTATTTCTGTAGGTGAAGAAGTTTGCTTTGCCCTGCGACGCAATGGATGGCGAGTGTATGGTCTCATCCGCAAGCCGGAACAAGCTCAACGCCTGCTGCAGAATGAGATCTTGGTGATTATTGGGTCAGTAAAGTTGACTGTTTTTAAGGGCAATTTCAAAGTGGCACCAAGAAACTCACACTAATACACGTAGGGATTTGGATGAACCTGAAACTTACATTGAAGTACTGAAGCTGTGCTCAGCTGTTGTGGACGCTTCTGGTTGTCATGAAACTTTTGCTGAAGAGGTCCTCAAACTCAACACTCTCGAGCCGGTGCCTGCCTTCAAGAAATTACATGTACGGTCGCTAAATTGTTATGGTTTTCGCTTTCGCCAGTTATACTGATCACCCCGATTCCAACTGTACGGTATTAGATTGTTACGGGTGGAGTAGGAGTGAATGCTGATGCTCCTATGAGCCGTCCATTTGAAGATGCGGCTCGCCCGCCACGTCCCTATTTTTTGAACTTGGAATTACATCATAAAGTCATGATTGCTGGTGGATGCGTCGTTGAGCCAGGTAAAAGCGCAAGGAAGAATCGGTTCCGTGGAGATGATTCACAGAATGTGGATTTTGATTACAATCTATTCGCCTCTTAAATTTTGTTTTTAATAACATTTCTGTTTCTTTCTATTGTCAAAAGGTCTGGTCTATGGTGGGAGTGGCCATCACCTCGCCATCAACGGAACTTTTGGTAAATCAAATTCAGAACGGTTCTTCAATGTGAAGACGGACCAGGAGATCATCTTTACGGACAATCCCGAGTGCATGGATACATTCATGTGGCAGACTTGGCGGACGTCTATGTGAAGATTTTAGAGAAAGGAGTTAAAGGAGAACTCTTTCGTGTAGGTTCTGAGAACATTGATGTAGGTCTTGTTGTAAGAAATCGTTCCTACCTTTTCACAAACTGCCAACCTACTCACACACTTCCCTCGAAAAATTCAATAGTTCGAAACTGCCACTATCGCTGCCGCCAAATTGGCAGGTTGGAAGGGCACTATCCGTCGTGACCCAACCGGCAAACCCGATGAGTTTGTGTTGCAATTGCTCACTGGCAAAAACTTGGCCACGGACAACAAGAAGTTAATGGATCGTTTGGGTTTCACGGCCAAGCGTAGTTTCTTAAGGGATCTAGATATTTTGTATTCTGGCTGGAAGTCATCGCGATTCGACGGTGGGATGGAGAAGGAAGAGGAAGATGTTTGAGAGTGTGTGTAAAAAGGAGCCTGAGGGAAGGAGTGTTTTTAAAAGGAGTGACATTTACTATAGTTCGAACAGCAGCACAAACCACAATAAAGGCAGCAAACAATGAGAGAAAAAATATATATTTATTGATGTGAGTTATTATTGTAAAAGTTTTTCTGCGCTTCCATTCCCTACTTTCTTGTTGGCACAACTCCCCAACGCATCCACCTCCACTACCATCCTTCATCCTTCTTCCTAGCTGCTTCAACTCAAGAAACTGAAAGCAAATAGTTTGAGATTGTGTGTGGAGTATATTATAAAGTGAGAACAAAACAGTCTCGTTTACAAAGTGTTACAGAGGTTTTTCAATTGGGTTGACTTTTTTGGTCTAGTTGATCCCTTCTGCTGACAACCATCTCTCAGCGTCAAGAGCAGCCATACATCCCGATCTAAGCAAAAAAAGGGCTTGAGTATTCTGTACATGTATTCTAATTTTCTCCATTCACTAACCCTGCAGCAGTGACGGCTATTAAGTTGTTGAATGATGGTTAAAATATTGGCGACCTGTAGGATAAGCTCAAATTTCCATTTTACCTTGTCGATAAGTCTTGTCCTGGACATCCCCACACGCAAACACACCAGGCAGATTCGTATACGTGGATGGCGCACCATGGTTTGGATACGTCTTCAAGTATCCATCCGGATGCATATCAAGCATACCCTTGAAGAGCTCCGTGTTTGGTTTATGTCCAATGGCATAAAACAGTCCATTCACAGGTAGATCTCTCCTAGTCTTGGATGTAACATCTTCGACTACGAGAGCTTTCAATAATTTACCATCTCCTTTAGCTTCTATAGGTACGGTATTCCATAGTATTTCGATTTTGGGGTTTTGTTTTACTCGTTCAGCCATTACTTTGCTGGCTCGTAGTGCGTCTCTGCGGACGAGTAGGTAGACTTTGGATCCGTATTTGGTTAGGAAGGTGGCTTCTTCACATGCTGAGTCGCCGCCTCCTACCACGACCAGAGCTAGTAAAAGGGAAAAGGAGTCAGGACGACTAGCAAAAAAATCGTGCAAGTAGCACTGTTGGATGCAAACAACTCACGCTTCTTCCTAAAGATTGGCACAGCTCCATCACATACAGCACAAGCAGATATCCCGGCCTGCCAATACTTTTCTTCACCAGGCAAATTCATTCTTTTGGCAGTAGCACCAGTAGCAATAACAACAGAAAGTGCCAATATCGGATCTTCATCTTCTCTATTCTCAACCCATAACTTGAATGGCCGCTTGGATAGGTCGACTTTTGATATAGTTTCGGTGTGTATGGCTGTGCCAAACTTCGCCGATTGTTCTCTGAATTTGTCCATCATTTGTGGTCCACTTAGACCTTCAGGGAAACCTGGAAAGTTTTCGACTTCGGTTGTTGTTGTCAATTGCTACGTGGAAAAATATGTGTGAGCTTTAGATCAATGATTTCAATTGTGTCAAAAGTAGGAATGATGCAGAAATTGTGAGTGCAAGAAAATTCACGAGCAAGACACCAAAAGTCGGGCCAACTCGGGCCAGCACCAACAAGGACAATCAGATGATTGGCGATTCACTTACACCACCAGCAGCAACACCACCGGCCATAAAACCCTCATACATGACTGGCTTCAGATTCGCTCTCGCAAGATAGATCGCCGCCGTATGACCAGCAGGACCAGAACCTGTATAGAACACAATAAGAATCAGTTTACGATGTTTCCAATCTGATGCAAAAGCACAAAAAGATGCAACGTACCAATGATGACCACATTTTGTATGTTTGAAGTTGGCGATGCGACGGCCGGAGAAGCAGCACTAAGTGGATTTACAGTGGTAGTCGAGAATGACGATGCACTAGTAGGAGGTCCACTTAGATGGAGAGCGATAGCAGCACATCGCTGCAATGTCGAATTTTGAAATGGAGCTGTTGGTGATTGTGAATAAGAAGCCAGTTTGGATATGGCTGGTGACATTAATCGTGAGAGCATTTCAAGACCTTGACCGATCCTGTAGCGTGATATAACGGGTATGTAGTCCAAAAGGATGATGGCAATGTTTTTGGATCTGATCGAAACTTGACAGCTTCTTGACATATGGATCGGAGGGATCTAGAAGCAGGATTACCCGTCGCATTATATAATATTTCGCAGAACGCGTCGACTTTCACGTTTAGTGGTTTTGTATTTCAGCTATTCGCTACTAAACTTTAATGTCTGTCCACAACACGTCGAAACATTGAATCAACATATAAACGCTCATTAGGCATGTTGGGGCGAGTAGCGCATCGATCACGGGCCAGCATAGGAGCCAGATACTATGCTGTAAGTCTATTCATTTGCCTGTTTTTAGAAGCTTTCAGCATCCACTGAAGCAACAGTCACTAATTCCAAACATTGAATCATTATAGGCAACGCCATCATCCTCCGTAGTTGCACCTACAAGCAAGTCATCGCAATCATCTATAAAGCCATCTCCTGCCTTCCTAACAGGCCCTCGTGATATCCATGTCTTTCCTGTCTCGAATGCCTTCGAGAATGAACAGCAATCAAGGACGGCAAGCACTACTTCCACCGCCACTATAAATACTCCCTCTTCTCCATCACCATCAGCACTATCAGATAAACCAGAGTCGCAGTTCGAGGCATTCAATGGTGAATCTGTCGCAGCTGCCGAAGACTTGACAAAGTCATTCAAGGGAATCTCTGCTGAGCCATTCCCAAAGGAGGCTTGTGATGTATTGATGGCTCCTATAAAGTCAGAGGATGTCGAAATCAAACCAGGTATCGATCAATCCGAGTACCTAGAGTGCAAAGGTACTCTTTAACTTTGAGTATTCTGAGTCCTTCTCTCTCCTCTCTTTAGATGGACTACTATATCTGCCTGAAATCAAATATAGAAGGATATTGAATCGAGCATTCGGTCCAGGCGGCTGGGGCATCATTCCACGAGGCCCACATAGCATATCACAACGAACAGTATCACGTGAATACGCTCTGTTCTGCCTAGGTCGCTTTGTCTCACAATCTAGAGGTGAACAAGACTTTTTCGGAGACGACAATCTTGCTACGGCTTCCGAAGGATGTAAATCAAACGCCATGATGCGATGCTGTAAGGATCTAGGTGTCGCATCTGAATTATGGGATCCGGTATTCATCCGTGAGTTCAAGAAACAGTATGCTACCTTCGTACAGGCAACTCACGTCACCACTGCTGCCAAAAAGTGGGTGTGGAAGAGGAAGGATCGCGCTTTGGATTACCCATACAAGGAGGAAGCGGCATCGTTTGTAAGAAAGTCATAAAAAGCCTCTTGCTGTAATTGTATAATCCTGAACAGACTCAAATAGAAAGTTGTGTAAACTCATCATGACTTGTTTTAGGTGTTTGGATTCTTGTTCGCTGCATCAGTCTATCCATTGTCCATTGAGGATTTTGAGGATTTTGTCGGTGAAATTCTTCCTTCCTGGTAGGAGATAACACGAAAGCCGTGTGGCGGTGAATGTTGGCGTGGTGAAACCGGTGACGCAAACAAAACACCAATGATTTTGATTCTTATATCACGTTTTTGAGATAACACCACACAGTTGCGAGTAAGGACTCTGGGACAATATACCATCCGATTGACATGCCACATACTGATGTAAGTGCCGGCTTGCCCATAAGCGATCGACTGGTGTTATTCACTGCAATTTGTCTCCCCACATTCTTACCCCACCGTTTTTGTTGTGTTATCTCCAGAGACCTCGAAAAAGTCCAAGAATGAAGGCCAATACCGCTTCTCCTCGCCTAGGATTTGAGAAATTGGCTCTTACTGAATCGTCGCAGACTGCTCATAGTTCTATATCGTAAGTGGTCATCAGATAGGTCATCCCTTCATTTGTGAATGATAACGACAGTCAATAATGGAATGGGTGATGGAACTGGAGTGGAATGAGTTTGTTTGGCATGTATAGTGAATCCGGTTGGGATTGTATGCTTTGACAGTGATGTGCATCGCTGAACTGTAGTGGTCATGGTTGGCAATTTCACCACTACATAAAGCGTAGTTAAAACACACTTAACAAGGCCTAACCAAAACGTACACTCACTTGACAGAATGATGATGCAAGGAACACTAGACTCCACACACCTCCCTTCATTCTCATTCACCCTTCCACCACCACTACTCGACCACAACCAGATGCCAATAAGATCCATGGCTACGTCAGCACCACTCCCATCTCTATTCACATCGTCGTCACAAATACTACCGCATCTATCCTTTTTATCCGACGACTCGTTTTCAGAACAGCATCTACATCCAAATTCGCTGGTACTGTCGCTGTCACCGCAACGGACCAAGAGGAGGACTTCTATTCAGCTGATACCGTGTGAGATTCCGGGGTGTACAAAGACGTTTAACCAGATTCAGCATTTAAAGATTCATTTGGTATGTGTGGTGTGTAGTTATTTGGATGTGTATGAAAAGTTTGATTTCGTTCTGATGCTGACTAGACATTTTTGGCCTTCTCATTAGCGAAAGCATACAGGTGACAAGCCATATATATGTAGTTATGGATGCAACAAGTCGTTTTCGCAGCTAGGAAACTTGAAAACCCATGAACGTGCTCACACGGGAGAGAAGCCATTCAAGGTTTGTCGTACATTGGAAAGCCATCATGGAATGATTCAGCTACTTAGTTGGGGTTTTTTCTCTCTAGTGCTCATTTCCAAACTGCTCAAGAACGTTTTCTCAGATGGGCAATATGAAGACGCACGAGTTACTACATCTAGGTCTGAGGCCGTTTACTTGTGAGGTTCCAGACTGTGGAAAGACGTTTACGCAGTTGGGAAACCTGAAGGTAAAAAAAAGGCTCGAAGATTCAAGATTGTACAACGGCAACTAACATATCTCACCGTAGTCACATCAAATTAAAGTCCATTCAGGCCCAGCAACCACCGCCGAAGCCTCAGAAGACGAAGAAACCCCCGACACCAAACCCGTAACCGTCGTAAGACGCCCCTCAAAACGAAATCTTTCTCGCACCCCACGCCTCCAATCCGCCACCCCACCATCCCCAGCCGGTCTCTCGCCATACTCGACATCAGCAGTCGACTACTTAGCCGCAGCAGCGCGCATGATTGAAAACGCGACCAAATCTGACACCGACGAGCTAATCGACATCGAAAACGTCTCTGACGACGAGGAGGAGGTTGATATTGAGGGCGGCACGTTCGATGAGGTTGTGCATAGCAGCAGTAGTGGGAGTGGGAGCGAGGAGACGGCGAGAGTTGAGGGGGCGTACTATGATGATGGGGAGGAAGGCGATTCGGATGAGTTGACGTTTGAGATGGATGTTGATGTGGAGGAGCATGTGCTGCTGCAGAAGATGAAGCAGGTTATTGCCAGGTCTAGCCAGGGTTTGGAGAGTGTCTAGGAAAATTTATATATTGGATTGAATTGGACTTTTTTTATTGGATTATGGATGGACAATCTCTTTAAACACACATTAAATGCTAAGTATTAGCGCATAACTAATATATAAAGTCATCTTGGAAACAATATAAATCAACTATTCAATGTGAATATAGATGCAAAAAAAAGTCGAGTATTTTGGAAGGACAACGTCGAAAACGGCTTCACCACTTGGCACGAATCGTGCTCTGATCGCCACCTCCGGCAAGATATATCACAACTAGAAACATCAATATCCATTGAGTAACGTTCCGATAGCGCTGCAGCAGACTACCTTACCTTTATCCATCAAATACGGAGCAGCAAAGTTCGCAAGCCGTGATATCGACGTAAATGAAGGAAAGTAGATCTACGTTATGAAATGCACTGGTTAACGGCCACGTCATGAAAAGGTAAAAAAAACCGTATCACGCTGCACCATAAGACATACTTCAGCACCACCACTCCTACACGCCCCCACAATACACTCAGCAGCCGACTGCACCGAAACAGCCGACTTGATAAAATTAGTTCCCTTCGTATTCTCCAACGCAGTCTCAGTCGCAATAAACCCTAGCGTAATAATCGTAACAGACACATTCAAGACTTGGGTCATAGCCAACTCCCTCCTCAGCGCGGTAAAGAACCCGTGGTTGGCGTGCTTGCTGGCAGAATAAGCTAATTATAAAGTGCAATTGGAGATTTTTTTTGTGCCATCTTGCAAAAATGGTTTAATAGCCTCACCAGCAATAGAAGGCATCGGCTCGTGCGCCGACCCACTAGAAATACACACAATGCGCGACTTTTCCGAATCCGTCCCCGACTTGCGTAGATGTGGCATTGCAGCCATGGCTAACTGCACATAACCTCCATAATTCGTCTTCATGACCTTCTCAGCAAGACCAGCTGGGTCGTCTGATAGGGCCAAGAATCCCACTATAATCAATAGTTTGGCAGAATTCGTTAACAGGTGATTTTAGACAAACAATGTGATCATACTCTGGTTGAAAGGTACCAACAATTCGATTACCTGGCGCAAGTGCATGATTCAATATAATCCCATCAATGCCACCAAACTGTTGTACAGCAACCTCAATGAACTTTTTACATGACGAGGCATCAGATGCGTCAAATGTTTGTATCAGGACGTTGGATGCACTTGGTGCAAGTGATTTGCATTTAGAGCCAACACGGTCTAAATCAGCTGCTGAGCGAGCTCCAATAGTTATTCTACAGCCGAGTTTTGCTAGCATGTATGCCACCTTGAATATGGGAAGGGAGCTTAATTGTCTGAATTCCAAAAGTTGCAGATGTTGAGCACCTCTTCACCAATTCCTAAACGTGAGCAGAATTAGACCAACGAAGTTGATGATAATGAGCATTAAAAACGTATTTGAACGAAACAATTCCCAGACAATGGGCTAAGAAGGAGTAACAAGAGACCAACAGTTTCGTACCTCGAGAAGCTCCACTAATCACAATTCTTTTCTCCTTGAGATCCTGATCAGTGTCCTGTCCTAGAGGTCCATGAGCGGCGAATGCAAGTGCGGTGGCAGTCAACGCTGCTTTCGTAAAGGAAACCATCGTGTGTGTTGTTGAACCGATAATCAAGATGAACCACTACCAAACACGACTAAACTAATGGTAAACTATGAAAAGCCTACATGACATTGCAAATATTAACTACAGAATTTACATATGTGCATTTTTATGTTTATACAAAAGCAACAGAATAATGACTACCTAATTTTGCCTACACGAAAAAATCACTTTAAAAGCTTCGTCATCTCAGCCAATTCACTTAAATCAATAAAAGAACCTACCCGTCATCTTGATTATCACCTTCAACTTCAACAAAAGCAGCAGCCTTGAACTTCCCTGGCCTCAACACATCTTCTAATTCAACACTCTTTTCCCGTGCGATTTCTGCAACTGGTTTGGCGACAGCTCGCGGTGGAGCAATAGGTATGTCTCGTTCCCACGGTCCATCAGAGCTACTACGATCTCGTTCTTCCCGTGGTTCTACATTTCGTTTTATGGCCGCTACTCCTCGACGAGCGGCATGTCCTGGACCTGGGAAGTGACTTACAGGGCTTGAGCGACCAGATTGAAGTGATCTCCCACCACCACTGCCACTGTTACTGACGTTGAGATTATTACTACTGCTGCCACTACCATATCGATCTCGTTCTCTGTCTCGTTCACGTTCGCGTTCTCGAGATGTAGATCTTTCACGACGTGGAGATGGACGGTCACGACGACTTGGTGGTGGTGGTTGTCGCCATCTTTCAGTGGGAGGACCACCACGCCATCTTGCACGTCCTCTTGGAGGTCCACCAGACAATGGTGGTGGAGGACCACCGCGGCCACGATTATACACACTACTACCATATTCGTCTGGAGGACCTGGTGACCTAGGTCGTGGTGGTGGAGGAGGACCATTACGATATGGTGATGATCCTGGTGCCGGTGACGACGAAGATGGTGGACCCCATCCATAGTGGAAGGCCCTGGAATCATTATAACCGCTTGGCCCGGCACCACGATGTGATGGCGAGGCATCAGAATCGCGACGAGGAGGTGATAATGACCTAGACTCTCGTTTTGATATATCTGAAGTTGGTGATGATGACCTAGGTCGAGGAGATCCAGAACCTCTACGATATAATGGTGGAGAGCCTCGTTCGTTTGATAGAGACCTAGAGGCATCACGAGCACTATACGGAGGTTCATCATCGCTAGTTCTACGACGTCCTCGTTCCCAATCATGACCAAGATCAGGCCGAGCACTCAATAATGGTGATCTAGGACGGCTTCCACGGTCATCTTGTAGGCTGCCGATAGTATCTCGTGGTGACATTACATTATCCCGATCTCTAGGCATCATCATCATTGGTTCTCCTCGTGGACTCTGTCCATCACCACCAGCTCTACGAGTATCCCAAGCAGATGGAGCACCCCTATAACCTCGTCCAGCAGGAGGCATGATGAGAGGACTACCACTATATCGACCACGTCCACCTGACCATACACCACGATTCATTGCTGCTTCTTGACCAGCAGCACCAACATATTGATCATAACCGCGATAGATAGCACGACGTGGTGGCGGAGGACCTACATTACTACTATTATTATTGAATGGTGGAGGCGATGGTGCTCGTCGTTCACGATCCCAGCCTGTATTCATACTTGCTACTACAGGAATGGGTCGATTGGGAAACTCTGCTTCAGCTGGTGTTATAGGACGGGACCGTGAGGGACGAGACATATTAAGTGCTGGAATGTGCTCCTCGATAGCAGCAAATTCCGGCCTGTCCAAACGTGGTATCGAGATCGGGACTGGCGAGGTTGGTCCAAATACACTCTTCTCTTCTCGAGCTTCTTGCTTTATGACACTTGCAAAGTTTGCGGGCAAGACGGCGTCAGGTGGTGTTTGGCTACGAGACCTTGCTGCTGATGGTGGAGAAAGACTACGAGTTCGCTCCCTTTCAAATGCTATCTCGTCTGGATCTATGACGTGTGGAAAAGGGGGTAAATTAAAACAACATGCGGAAGACTTTGAGAATGTATTCTGGCCTGTTCCTTTTAACTCTAGCAAGACATACCTGATGGATTATAATCCTGTGTCGAGGTTTGCGCTAAAGGTGATACTGGCGCAAACAGCCTAGACGACGAATCAACTCTACGACGTTCAGAACCACCATCTACAGCAGCACCACTACTCACATTCCGACCAGATACATCTGTAGCTGCTGTCATAGCATTTATAGCAGACAAGGCAGACGACAAATTATTCAGAATATTCGGAATACCAAGACCAGTAACTGCTGATTGATTGCCGCTACTGCTACCACCCAATACAGACGCCAATGGATTATGACTAATATGGCTGCTGCTCAAAGGCAAAGCCTTGTTTACAGCTGGTGGTGTTCGCGGCCCAGATCCTCTGTTATCAAAGAGGGCAAATGGATCTTGTGTTTGTAGTGGGAAGAATGTTGATGGTTTAGTTAGAGTTGGTGATGCTGTTATAAATGGTTTGGCACTACTAAACAAATCTTCAACCGACGATGAGGTTGGGAAGAAGAGATTCGAGGCGGTAGTCTTGGTTGCTGTTGTTGTAGTAGTTGTAGTTGTACTTGTAGTAATTTGAGCAATCTCGGATGACGTTTGAGCTACTGGTCGAGACCATCTTGATGTGGTTACGTTCGGCGCTGGTGGTTGCGGTGGATTTTCACCTATAGGCGAATTTACAATCTGTCCTGATATAATATTTGACTGTAAAGCTGTATTTACTGGCAGCTTTAGCAAAAGAGGTTGAGACTCAGATACTCCATCATCAGGTTTGATTGTTTCTGCCGCTCGTGATGTTGCGAGATCCGATATCGAATCCTGCTGTTGCTGAGGTTCGACAACACTATGCGGAGTCTTGACTGAATCGATATCCATTGTCGATTCGCTAGTCTGCAACTGTGTAGTACTGACTGCACGACGAGCTTTAAAGTCTCGTAGAGAGACTTTACGACTTGGGGCAGGTGGGTGATTCGCAGAGGACGATTCCTTAAAAAAAAACAAGAACGAAAATGTCAGAATTAAAAGCAAAAAACTAAAGAGAAGTTACCCAAAAAAAACCGCCCAACCTTCTCTGGTGGCTTGCTCTCCTTGACTGGCGATACGGCAGGACTAGAAGGAACAGAAATAGTCTGTCGAGCCCAAGCCTTCTTTCCAACCAATTTCGGTGGCGATAAAGGTGATGGTGTTGTGACTACTATAGGCGGTACAAGCTTTGCAACATTGTGGTGTTTGATTTCTTCCGTTACGACCTTTATAGGTGATTCTGTACGAGGTCGTTTGAAGGGCTCAGGAGACGAGTTATCTCCCGGCCTTTTACTTGCACTACCACCATCAGCAGTGACGACAGTCTCCATCTGAGTATCACCATTGTTGCCATTATCAGTGTTCTCATTAGCAAACATGTTGTCCATTTCCATATCACCCACATTATCATTTACAGAGTTATCACTGACTGTTCGTACGCGATGTCTCATCGACGAGGTATCAGATACATCCTCGGACATGGTATCATTATTTGGAACCTGGCCTTCGGGCTGTGGTTGTATAGTCGACTCTCGTTCGACTTTTTGACCAGTTATAGCTGGGAAGAGATAACAGCTCGTGGTATCTTCACATATACAGGGATATTGTAGCACGAGTGTATCGACTTGTGGTACATCTCCATCTACAGTTGACATTGGATCCATGGCAATAATTGCTTCTTCACTAGCTACAATATCTCGACTAGCAAATATACCCAATACAACTCTGTCGTTTGAAGGCAGTGCTGGCAATATCGAGTCACTATTCGTCTCAGTCAAATATATGGTTCTCAATTCAGCATTACATATAGATCGATGTGACGGATGAGCACCACATGAGAATCGGACAAATCTTCCATCTGAAAAGCCAAAGTCCCGTGCATTTACTAGCAAGGGTTGGCCTAGTTCTTTACATGGATGCGCAAATACAAATGGTGGTTTCAAGTCTGGTGTTCTTGATGCCCATCGTGTCTTTAGGCTAAAATCCGTTGTGAATCCTAATACCCCTTTGATAGACATGATAAAGTCGCCGGTCTGGATATCTGTAGTGACGTATATACCATATCTAGATATGCAGTCGTCTTGAGTTATGTTGTCTACTATGGCGACAGGCACCTTGTCTTCAAACACTCGGCGCTCCATGAATATAGGGTCGGCTCCATCAGGAAAGTATTTATAAGCTTCAAGCTTGCCTTCGACCATAGGCTCCAATGCATGAGGCTCTTCTCGAGCATCTACTGCAGATGAGTCTCCAGGAACAGCATCGGCATCATGCTGAGTATTGAGAGAAGTCCTGGCACTCCATACACTGCAAACCTGTTCTACATATCGTTTGGCAGCATTACTACCATATCGATTTAGATCTGATGGAATGTATGAAGTAGCACGATTCAAGTAATCACGCTCCCACTCATCACGAGGTTTGAGTACCTCTCGCACTTCAGGATGTAGCATTCTTTTACGAGTTGGCCTCATCGAGAATGGTTTCTCTGGTGGAACTTCAGGTGATTGCTGTTCCGTGGAAAGCTTACTGCCATTCTGCTGCTGTTGATTTGGTAATAAAGGTTGTGGACGCGGTGTTGAAGGAGGTGTTCGTCTTGACAAGACGGGATTCATTACAGATGATTTTTCATACTGCTGTTGGGGTTGTTGAGAGGTCTGCGGCGATGGAGCACGACTTTGCAGCGACGGTGATGGTCTCCTAGATTCAGGAACCCAGAATCCTTCATTGGTGGGTGAGACATCAGACGGCATACGTGACTCCATAACATCCATCTCATTACTATTCATAACACTATTTACTGGTACAGAGGACGACATATCACTGTCTTGTATATCATCACTCTTATCACGTTGATTTCTACCAATGCTTGATGGTGGCATCATACTAGTGTCTTTTATTTTACCCCTTCGAGGCGGACTGACTAAAGACATGGCAGGGTTGGATGGTCCAGTAGTAGTTCGTTTTCGACTTTTCTCGACACCCTTCCTATTGCTACTGCTGGTACTACTAGGAAGTGGAGGAGGAGGTACGACCATCTTTTTACGAGGAGACTCTTTGACTTCTTTTTTGCGTCTCGAATCGTTTCTGCCGCTTGTCGGATTACTAACTACAGGTTTTGGGATGGCTTCAACTTGCAATCGTCGAGTTTGATATTGTACGGCACGCTATTTCAAAAGAGGTGTTAGTTTTCAATGACAAACGTACGTTATCACGAATAAATAAGGATTGCGAACATATATTTCGGGCTCGTCCAAAAGGAGGTGCCTTCTTCAACTATTAGTGAAAGCACTCACATCAACATCCAGCCTTCTCGGGTAACATTGTTCACACAAGTAGGTTTCAGGGACGGTCGATGCGGTGATTCCTACACATGCCATGTGCTGCCACACAAAACAACGGTCGCATTGGATTGTATATCCATCGTCATCTGAATACCCACAAATACATCGAATCTCCCCTTCATCTTCGTCTACAATCTGAGACTGCGGTGGTAGCCCATGAGTGGTTTGAGTGATGATATATTGAGTTCCTTCCTCATCTTGCTCGACATCAGGTTCCTCATCATCGTTTTGATTTTGTTGATGTTGAGCGTATTGCTGAAGTTGCTGTTTGCTAGGTCTAGTCGACGTCATTTGCCTACATATTACTAGAGGAGGATGGTAAGCGAGAGCAATTTATGTCAACAGTTGCTGCGAATGCGTCTGTCACAAGTTGGTCAGTGTTTTTAGAAACTTTTTTGAGATCGTTTTGGGAGCGTCTTAAAGCAGGAAAACGAGGACATCCACATATCCTAATTACGTGAAGCCTCTGATCGCTCAGATACTTACTTCTGAGGCAGATTGTCAGAAAGATGCCACTTCAAGAAATTTGTGAGAATTAAAGAAAGGAGTCGTAATCGCACTGTGTACGGGACTCGTAGCTTATGAATCATATTTTGACTCAAAGTACAGGGCATATCTGGCTGCTCACAATTAATATAACGAGCCTTCGTGTTTTGAGAATTCACGACAGTTTCGCCTTGTTCGTGTCGAACCCACTTCTTCCAATAGTCTCAAACGGTGCTCACTAAATAGAATTCGCGTAAATAGCAAAATTCGAACATTTTCTTCTCGTACGCGAATGCTGGAATAACATCAATGGGACGTCATCGAAGCTGGAAGGGACAAACGCAATCAAGCAAACGTCAAGTGATGGGAGTTATAATCTGAGGCAGTCAGTTTCTCTTAAACTATGCCTACGGTATTCCTCAGGTAATTGAGACGCCGTTGGTTCACTGCTAGCCTGACAGAATTCGGCCGCACCAAAAGAATGAAACGACAACAGCAGGCGACCGCACTGGTCAAACTGCTCCATCCGCCTATAAGACTTAATGTGATAGTATCAGGTCTGAGTTTACGCCTTCTACAATTAGCCACTTGAGTCGTCTTGTAACTAACATTTGGTCTACAAAATTAATCACGTTTTCAGTTGACTGACGACATATTTCATTCAACTCTACTATAGAAACTCACGAGGTGAATACACCGTTTGCTAAAATAGAGGTAACCTATCATATGCACGTGTATCAACAGTTGAGTCTCCTTTAAGGGCCATGTTTGGAGTTTGGATTTATTTGACGGAGCTATTTGGACCAGGCCTCGTCTTTTTGGCTTTTGTAGATTGAGCATTGTAACCAAGCATTGCTGCAGCGATTTCCAACAGAGCATCATATGCACCTTCTGACGACATCACGAAATCGCTAGCACATTTTTTACCCGTTCCATTGAGGAGATTACCGATATGCTCGCGAACTTTAATGCTTCAAATAGCACCATCGTGCAATAAAGAGCCAACTTTGCATAACCGCACTCACCCGCCATAGCTAGCTGCTCTCTCCTGGTGTCTGTAAAAAATCGTGTATAGCATAGTATTGTGTATACATCATGTAGCATAAAACATAGCAAAAATAGTTAGCATAAAAATTAGCAAGAATAAAATCTTTTAGCTTTACCAATGTCATCAAATCGTTCCAAACACAGCGACACAAGCGTTGTAAGTCATTCCATTGATCCAACTGACCAAACTTCAACACATGTTTGGGGAAATTGATACATGTTGTATTGTGAGCAAGAAAACGTACCAGAACCAGCATAATAAAATTCCAACACGTCCTTAATCGAAGATCTCAGTCTGCCACGCACTGGTATATCCACCAGCCTTGCCACCACCACCCCTTCCCAATCCCAAAGCAGGACGTTTGCGTTGTCCCTTTAATGAGATCCCTGACGCACGAGAAGCTCCAATAGATCCCAAGAATTTCGACATTGTTGACTTTGAAGCGAGACGACGTCCTCCTTCTCCTCCGCCACCACCGCCACCTTCTTCAGAATCTGTTTCATATTCAGGTCCTTCTGATAGCAAGTGTTTGACCTTCCAATCAGTGATTGCTTCATCGGCACTCATGATGGAGTCGAATACTTGGGTTTCGATAGCTGAGGCGATTTGGGTTTTGAGGACATTGTTGAGGACGGGGGAGAGAGCTTTGTACAAGGTGCTATGAGACAGAACTGCCATGTTAGATTGTGCTTGGGGTAACCCTTCCTTTCAGGGAAGGGGAGGAAAAAAACTCGTCCACAATTGGATACGTACTCGTATTGAGAGTCATGAATGTTGAGTTCAAGTTGATCGACAAAAGCACGAATACGACGTGGTACCAATGTGCGGTTGCGAGAGTCCTTGTCAATAGCGACTTTGACCATAACTGTGATGCCTATTGGAGCCAAAGTAAAAGGAATGAGGACTGCAAAAAAAATGAAGAGCTTTGACGTAGATTTATAAATTGCCTTGTCCAGAAAGATGGACATCACAAACACCACAATCAGTGATTGATGGGAATGTCTTGCGCTTGAAGTAAAAGGGCATGTCTTCAATATTTGCTTGAATTTGATGCCTAATAAAGCAAGAGATGAGTATTTCATAGCGACTCAAAGTCAGATCCAACAGGTTAAGCTCACAGATTGAGAGTAAACCCATGAGATAAAGCACTCGAGTCATTTCGTCGTAGAGCAATCAAAGCAGCATTCTTGATTTTGATTTCCAGATAGTTCTGAAATGTGGCGTTGATCTACTTTAGTTCACATGCAAAAGAAAGAACGAGGCACTGGATCATTTCCTTACTGGAAGGAAAGTATCCGAAGTCAATATGATGTTCTCAACAATAATGTGGTATGTTTGATCTACATGCTCAATTCGAGGAATGGGCAAGTAGCGAATCTGTTCAATCACAATCTATAGGATAAGGGCACTCTGTAAGCTCAAGGGTTCAAGAACGAAAAAGCGACCATCGTGGTAGACTAATAGAGTTACAGGAAGAATAACACTGAAGACATCACTGATCAAACTCGTCTTGATAGTGATTCGTCCATTCCTAAGATAACGAATGCATTGTGATCAGTCCAGGCAAACAGAACGTTAGCATGGAAACGGGTTGTGAGCACACAAGTCACCTTCAAACACCACACACACTTACTCATCAAGAAACAAATCCTGAGTCAACACACGCACATCTTGTCCAAACTTCTGCGTAAGCTCATCACTACTAAACCCATCCAACACAGCCTGAATCGAATCAAGAGCATTCTTCGTATCGACCTTATACTTGTCAAGCAAGATACGTCGCGCACGGTTGATGAGCTGCGACCCTTTATACGTATAATCCTGATCTTCAATGAAATCTGGGTCTTTAAGCGAGCTTTCAAGGAAATGGGCAACATCATGTGCAAGACCACGTAATTCACGATCAGAGTTCATTGATGAGCGGATATTGAAGAGCGAGTCGAATAGCGGTTCGAGGGATTGGCCGTTGGCAAAGTTTTCGACTAGTTTGAAGAGCTCGTGTTGGGCTTGACGGATGTTTGGATCTGCGACAGAACCACCGCGACGTCGTGATGCGTCAGCGTGGTGGAAGCCGACTGCACCCATTTGACGAGCCAAGGTGATCATGTATGAGACTGCTTCTTGGTATTCATCGTATTCCTAATGTGAATGGAAAGCGTCAAGATGCACGTTCTTTTACAACAACAACAATAAAACTTAAAATTTACCAAGACTACGCGAAAGTTATCGTACCTGAAGTTCACTCATAACACGACGAAACTTCTCCATAATCAAAGTCAATTGCTCATTAGGCAACTCCTGAACAGATTCCGTCAATGCCGAGATAACCTTTCCAGACGCAGACTCTCCTCCAAGAGCGCTCTTGATACTTCCAGCAAGTCCTTTCTCAGAAGACGATGATTCACCAGCAGACAGCAGGTGTTCTGATGGTGGGTTTTCTGTAGATGCATCAGCAGGAGAAGCGGATTCAGGACTACTGGTACTGCTTTTAGGTACTGATTTATGGACGGTGACGGGAAGAGCTTGAGGACCTGCACCAGTGACAGTCAAGCTGTCTGGTACTGGTCCAGGTTTATACGTACGGCCAAGAGAATCAGTTGATGAGCGTTGAGAGCGACGAGTTGTGTCAAACCTGTTGACGGAGAAAAAAAGGTATGCCAAGTTCAGAAATATCGTTCGACGCATTGGACTGAAAGACATCATACTCACATTGAGGCCTTGGATCGCTTCTTACTCTCATCCAGACCCCACTGACTAGCTTTGCGTTCAGCTGGTTTTGCAGCTGATACCTTCTGAGCAGTTCCAAAGAATACTTCTTGTAATGTTGCAGAGAATTCATACAAGAGGTCTCGGAATTCTTCATTTGTGAGGAGTAGACGACCGAGATTGTACATGCTTGAGAATCCTGTCACGTTGGAAAAGGGGCATGCTTTGAGGAGATTTGTGCGAAGACATGACGAAGCCCTATGCTTGTGATTCGTTTTTTACCTTTCTGGACATCAGATAGTGCTGGAGCAGAGATACCACCAGCGCCATCACGCGATGCAGCACGCGTATGATAGATGAACTAAATCGAGAAGTGCGAACGATGTAAGTATTCAAAATATACAAAACATTTGCAGATTCAAAAAAACGGAACACAAAATTTGACAGATTACTCACATGTTGAATATTCTCATTCGCATTCTTTTCCGAAATGACTCGTTTCAATGTTTCTGCAACACGTTCAAAGTTACGTAGAGCACGACGTCCTTCTGCACTCAATCGTCCTCGATTTTGTTGGAGGAAAGGTGCAGATGCAAGTTGATCGATAATCTTGAAGAGCTATTATCAATCGTGAAATGAATGAGGATATCATACACAGGACGCAAGAATATTGATTAACAACGCGTAAAGATTGTTTTGATCAACCACACTAAAAAAACAAAGGAACGTCCATTGAAAATACCTGTTCATTGGTTGGCAACTTCCCATCCCTTAACGCCTCAAACGCAGCCAACACCTTCAACTGCTGCTGCACTCCAGCCTCACGTTCACTTATCCCATAATCAGCACCAGAGCGAAAGATGGTTGTGGGAGTGCGTGGTGGAGTCGCCATATAGTTCAATGCAGGACCACCACTGCGACGAGGAGGAGTAGTTGGTAGTTCTGGTTGCTAAAATGAGTAAACGATGTATGCAGAGTTAGAAATTGAGATTGGAATGTATGTTGAAAGAATGAGCGATCGGCCGTTTACTAGAGAGTATCCTGTGGATCCATATGTGCTGGGAGTTTTCGTAGTGCGTCTGGGAGATGTCAGTGATGGAGTAGGTTGGTTGTAGTCTGCGGTAGGCATTCTTCCCTCTGGTTTCTTTTCAATTGATTTGTTCTCTCTTTTGTATGTGTGTCTAGCTGGTGAACAGATGCAGTGTTGTGTTTTCGAGTAGCACCAAGAGATTGCATCAACCACACATTCAAACAAAAACGCTAAAAGAACGTGGCAAACACGTATCTGATATCGATGATTTGTTGTCGAAATAAGCAACGTGTATTTTTGAAACCAAATTTGGTTTGGAAAAAGAAGCAAAATGAGTAGTGAATTTTCTGTCTAGTGATTTTTTTTAAATTCCAACACCTCCAGTGAGTTCAAGGCAGTGACCAGTAACGTAGGCACTGAAAAAATGATATCGTGTAAGAACAACTTGCGTGGATTGTAGCTTTTGGGGGCTCTGTCGAGCATCTTCACTTATCAGACAACCAAGACATACCTTAATGGAGAACACAAGAAGAGGATACCACCGGCAGCGTCTTCAGCAGATCCCTATTAGACCAACACATCAGTACAAAGTCCTAGCAGAGCCGGTTTCAACACAGCAAAAAAGACTCACAGGTCGGCGAAGAGGAATTCCAGCAGATCTTTGAGCAGCAGTTGGTGGGGCGTTACCCATTGGCTGCACGAAAACGATACGTGATTAGCTCATATGTATGCAAAAGCACTTAAAACAAGTAAACTCACGATTCCCAAGCTGATCTTTTGTCCGTCAACGACCATAGCTATAAGAGACATTTATGATGAGCAATTGGAAGCAGATCTCTTTCTCTCCACTTCCTTGAATTACCTTCTCCGATTTCCTTAGCACGGGTCAGACGGGTATCAATCCATCCGAATGCGATAGCGTTACATCTCACACCGAATTGACCCCATTCCTTGGCCATAGTCTTAGTGAAACCAAGAACTCCCATCTTTGCAGTGGCGTAGTTGGCCTATACAATATTCATGGTCAAAATTATGGACTCAAGAGCAAGTACAAGAAAGCGCTTGAACCATCATGTATTGTTTCTGTTACATACTTGTCCAAGGTTTCCGTGGAGACCAGAGGTAGATGAAACCATGACGATGGTACGTGGTTCTTCCGACTTGCTTCGGAATTGCTCAGCAGCAGCTCGAACCAATCGGAATGGAGCAGTGTTGTGGACTGCAATCATCATTTCCCATTGCTATTTTGTAACATGTGTATGAATTTGTAAATATCTCTGTAAACCAGCAATATGACCTGTGCCACGTAACAAACGAAAACACAGTCACTTTACATACCTTGTCAGTAGTCTTGTGAACCATACCATCAAAAGTATATCCAGCATTGTTTACCAAATGGTTGATCTTGCCAAACTTGGCAACGGTAGCCTTGACGATTCTGTCCGGGAAAGCCTTCATAATACACGGGTGTTAGGCTTTTCCTTGTGCACATAAGTACATCTTCCAAACTTACAGGGTCGGTGACGTCTCCGGGAACAGAGAGAGCCTTTCCACCAGCATCAATGATGGCCTTACAGACGGCATCGCTCTTCTTGGCGTCAATGTCGGTGACGACCACTGAAGCACCTTCCTTGGCGAATAGTTTCTATAGTTGGATGTGTCAGCGATGCAGAACAGTTCTCACAATAGTAAGAGTGCGAACTTACGGCAGCAGCTTCACCGATACCTTGTCCGGAACCACTAGAACGTTGAAATAAGGTCAACAAAAGCAAGCATTGGCCAGTTCAGTGTGTGCGGCATCCACCACAGGGACGATGGAGATATCAAAGCTTGGCATTGATGTATGAATTGCAAACTGATGCTGTCTTGTTCTACTCTTCAACCGCCCAAAAGAAATAATGCCGACAGCTTGACAATGATGCCGAGGAGCAAGCTTGAAACAATCACTTACGTGATGATAGCGACTTGGCCAGCCAACAATCCGCTAGTCCAGTTACCTGAATAGATGAAATATGGCCGTACGGTTAGCGTCTGAAAAGGTTTTCAGAAAAAGAGACGTCACACATTTCTATGATACCTGTCGATGTCTTGTTTTCGCCAACCATGACTTGGCTCAAGATGTCTTGGCCAGCTTCTTCGATGTGAGAGGCAAGTGCTGAAATACGAGAGGCCATTAGTGCTATTATGTTTCTTTTTGTATTGTGTGTCGAAGATATTTTCGGTTGGTGGTACTGGAAAAACCACACACACCAATCGAATGACATCACTACATATCCGTGCAAGTTTTTACATCTATTAGAGGTTTGGCGTGTATCTACATGTTACTTAAATTATTTCATACATGTTACGACGTGATGGAGGAAGGAGGAGCACCCAAAGATCTGAGCAATAACGCGAATTGCTTCATAAATACCATATACTCTTCCTCCGAAGGCTGATCATTCCCATATTGAGCATCTTCCAACATGTCACAATATGTCTTGCCCAGAGTCTCATCAAGAGCTCCCATCTTGGTGAGATTCTCTACATACATGCGTACTGGTGTCTGCTTGTCCCTTCTCCATCGAGATGACACGTCAGCAGCTGCATGCTCTACATGAAGGAGATTGTTAGATTGTAGTGTGCGTACTATCAAGATAGCAAGCTTGGTGGTATCAACACGACACTTGGTGATGCTGAATTGTCTGATTTCATCAGGAAGGAAGCAACCAAAGCAACCATGGGTACAGGTACAATCAGCACAGGTTCGCACTCTCCTACATGTTACCTACCTAGTATGTCTATCGTTTCAATCATCGCAGATCTAAAGTGCACATTCTCCAGCGGTGTTCCTATATGATCAGTGATTGTCAGTTCAAATCGCGCCAAAAAGTACACACAGGATCCACGTGCCTGGACGTCCCCATCCGATATGTCTGATATCGTTCCGGTTTGGATGTATGTTTGATGAAACTGTTGCTGAGAACGACAATCCACTTTGAATCATTCGATACACAGGCTATAGGGTTGCAAGTCAGTAAGACGCGACAGGAGCACTTATAAGATTCGACATTGACATACTTGAGGTACATCGGAAGTGTTTATTGGCATGTACTTTTTGGGAATGTCGTTTACAGCAGCCGTATTGGATAGCTTTCGTGAAGAGAGGGTAATGAGAGTGCCTGTAACCTATACATTGAGATAATTAGTTCAGATGCGTACTGAAATGATTCTCCAAATGCGTAATGGATGAGATTGTTTCAAGGTAATAAATCGTTTGATGTACGATTGATGACACACTACTTACTAGGACGGCAGCACCACAGCCAACGACAATTAGGCTTCTAATATCAGCTATTACTCTGAGGAATATGTCGAGACAGCACAGTCCCAACATTGCGACGAGGAGCGTGAGCCATGTGAAGAGCGAACTGATGTTCAAGAAGGAGAAGAAGAATTCGGTTGGAGACGATGTTTGAGTCGGGGCCCTCCGTGGTTCTGCAACCTGTAATAATCTCCGAAGCCTCTCTCGCAGACTCATCCAGGCATATGTTAGGTCGTCGTGGTTTGAAGCAAGTTGGCCTTCGCCCAAGAGACACTGTAGAACAAGTAGAACGGTGATTTCTTCGAAAAGGGAATATATAATGTAATTCACGCGTCCTATATACGGACTGCGACGAATTTGCGGTGGAAGGAGACGAAATCCCGTGTCAACAGCACTCGTGTCAAAACACGGTCTGTTGACCAGATCAGATACAAAGTTAATGATGAATATATCCCTTATATAATATGCGACACGTTAGGAATGTTCCCTCCTTCCTACAAACCGAATGTTCAGTCGTCTTGCTGTCTGCCGTCAATTCCTCCCCTTTTCTCCTCCTAGAACTCACAATCAAAGAATCATTAGTAGTGTCAAATAGGAAACTAGGTTGCCAGTAGGAACTAGTCTCTGATTGTCTGGTCGGGTGTTCTCCATTGCATATTCAAAAAAACTACAAAAAAAATCAGCTCTAGCATTCAAAAGAAAAAAATCAAGGACGACTTGACCCGAATCATCTCGCCATATAAAAGCAAGTATTCTCCTAAACCATGTGAGCATCATATTACCTACCACTCTACTCATTACTCTGCTCATACTTATACTAACAAGCCATTCCAATCCGTCATCAACCTTAGTCGAAAAAAAAACAGTCAAAAAATCCCAACATTTATAAGTAAACCTCATCCAAACCCCCCCTTTTAAAATATCAAGTCAAACCAGTAAAACTGAAAAATAATCATGGCCACTGCTGCTGCTCCAACTCCGGCCTCCTCGTCCCCCTCAGCCCCTCAATCTGCTGCTGGTGCTTCCACAGAGACTGCTCAAGTAGCTGCTCCTGCTACTAGTACTACTACTTCAACAACTTCTACTGCTACTGCTCCAGCTGCTTCTGCAGCCGCTACTAGTACCTCGTCTACTTCGGCTGGTTTGGGCCCTTCAGCCTCTTTGTATGTCGGCGATCTTGGTATGTACTTTGACGGTTCGTGCTGGTTGTTTGTTGCCGGAAGGCATCCTATATTGCATGAATGTATACATGGACATGCATAAGATCGTCCATGTCCCAATTCACTCATCCTGTCTTTGACGTGGCATTGCAAACCCAACATCTTCACATGTCCCTTCAATCTAACTCATCCACCTCCTAGACCCTACAATCACTGAAGCCATGTTGTTTGAGATCTTCAACAACATTGGAGCCGTCCAGTCCATCCGTGTCTGTAAGGATGCTGCTACTCGTCGATCATTGGGTTATGCCTACGTCAACTTCCACAACGTTGCCGATGGTGAAAAGGCTCTTGAAGCTTTGAACTATTACAGCGTAAAAGGTCGTCCAATCCGTATCATGTGGTCTCAACGTGATCCTTCTCTCCGTCGCTCTGGAACTGGTAATATATTCATCAAAAACCTAGACACTGAAATCGACAACAAGGCTCTCCACGATACTTTCTCGGCTTTTGGTCATATCTTGTCTTGTAAAGTAGCTCAGGATGAACAAGGTGCTAGTAGAGGTTATGGGTTTGTACACTACGAAACCTATGATGCTGCTGATGCTGCTATCAAGGCCGTAAATGGTATGCTCTTGAACGACAAGAAGGTCTATGTAGGATTCCATGTCCCCAAAAAGGAACGCTTGATGAAGGCTGAAGACCAAAAGGCTAAATTCACAAACGTCTACATCAAGAATCTCGACGAAGCTGTCACTGAAGATGAATTACGAAAAATGTTTGAAGAGTATGGTGAAATAACCTCTCTCCTCATTCAACGTAACGACGATGGCACTTCTCGTGGATTTGCCTTTATCAACTATGGCACTCCCGAAGAAGCCAACTTGGCTGTGGATGGTATGAACGATAAGGACATCAATGGTAAAACCTTATATGTAGGTCGTGCTCAAAAGAAGGCTGAACGTGAAGAAGAATTACGTCGCCAATATGAACGTGCCCGTGAAGAGAAACTCAACAAGTATCAAGGTGTCAACTTGTACATTAAGAACTTGGATGAATCTATCGATGATGAAAAACTCCGAGCAGAGTTTGGTGTGTATGGTACAATCACTTCTGCCAAGGTTATGCGTGAAGAGAAGCCAGCTATAGGTGATATGGTACGTGTTTGGCAGAGTTATGTCACCTTGGAATTGTTTGGATGTTCGCTCACCTTATTCATCGTTTTAATCCATTGCGCAGCCTGCTACTTCTGTCTCGAAAGGCTTTGGATTCGTCTGTTTCTCATCTCCTGATGAAGCTACAAAAGCCGTCACGGAAATGAACAACAAACTCGTAAATGGTAAACCGATATATGTTGCTTTGGCTCAACGAAAGGAATTACGTCGTCAGCAATTGGCACAGCAAATGCAACAACGCCAGCAATTGAGACCACCTATGGGTCCTGGAATGGCTGGAATGCCTACTGGTTATCCAGGTCAACCAATGTATTATCAACCACAACCTGGTATGCCTCAACCTCGTGGCGGTATGTTCTTCCCTCCACCTCAACAAATGATGCAACGTCCTCGTTATGGTGGTATGCCTCAACAGATGAATGGTCCTCAAATGGGTCCTGGTGAGTGTTCGATTGATGTAATGTCTGGAAGTATCGGTGGAAAAATGGAGGAACGGTGTTTGTCGTGCCTAAAAACTTGTCTTTCCCTTTTTTGTTGCTCCTGTTCGTGTTTTTCGCCGTAGCCTGCGCGACCACAGACGCTAACAGTTGTCGCACACAATGTAGGAGGTTACCCTATGGGTCCTGGTATGCCACAGTATGGTGCTCCAATGCCTGGTATGCCCATGCCTCAATTTGCTGGTCAACCACCACAGCAACGACCTGGTCCTGGTGGTCCAATGTCTTCTGCTCAGCTCCAAGCTCAGCAACAAGCCATGGCTTCCCAAGCTGCTCAAGCTGCTCAACAGCGTCCAGGAGGTCCTCGTCCTCCAATGCCCCAAGGTGTGTATCGTTGTCTTTGTATGAAGGCTGTTGGGTATGGGTGTTTTGAAGTCCTGTTGATGTGGTCGTTCATGGCTTCCGTTACCCCTGTTGTTTCTTTGTCTCGAAAACCGCTCCAAATTAGTTGACTCAAAAGTAATCTCGTCATTAGGTCCAGGTGTACCTCGTCCAATGGGTCCTGGTGTACCTCCTCAAATGGGTGGCCCTCGTCCTGGAATGCCAATGCAAGGTCAACCAGGTGTTGTTCCTCCATCAGCTGGAAGAGGCCGTGGTACTCCATACAAGTACACCAGCAATGCTCGCAATGCGCCAATGCCTGGTGCTCCCATGGGAATGGTTGGCTATCCAGCAGGTCCTCGTTTGAACGCAGCTACCTTGGCATCTCTCCCTGCCGACGCTCAAAAGCGTATGCTTGGAGAAGCCTTGTTCCCTCTCGTTCAAAATCAAACTCCTGCTGCAGCTGGAAAAGTCACTGGTATGTGTTTGTTGGAGACTTACTGAAAATGTACTTTACCTAGAAGTTCACATGTTTTTGCATCATAGGTATGCTTTTGGAAATGGATAACGGAGAATTGTTGCACTTGTTGGAAGATCAAGAATCATTGACTTTGAAAGTGAAGGAGGTAGGTGTTGTCAATTTGGTCTTTTAATATTGCACAGCCTGGAGAGTGTCATGGACTTTCATGAGATATTAGCTGTCCATAATGACTTCCTTTTTTTAGGCTGTTGGTGTGTTGGATGAACATATGAAGGGAGGTCCTGGTGCTCGTATGCCAATGCCCGACCAAGTGGTCCCTGACCAAGAATAAATTGCTTTTATCGTGATTATTCATCTTTTGTCCGTTTGCTTGCTGATCAAAAAAAATAAAAACCGAAAACGCATGAGACACCCCCAAAACAATTGAATTTCGGTTTGCTGTTTTAATCATCGAATCATCACTTTTATTGTGCATTATTATGCATGAGTTATCACTTTAATCATCATCGAAAATCATACTCCATGATCCATGAGGAGCCTCATCACCTCAATTCGACGTGATGTGTCTTGCTTGACAAGGTTAAGGTTGACACGACGAATGCACTTGATTCTAGTCAAGCCCGTTTGGAAAGTGTTAAGTGGTGTTTGCCTTTCTCGATTCCTTGGATGGCATGGTCGTGGTTTGACTTACAACATGTTTCGTAATGAGGTGTCTGTCGTTTTTGATGATGGTTTGAAGCGCTCGTGCATTCTTGCTGTTTGTTTTTTGCTATGAAGGTTTCGACTCATCAAAATGCCAATCTTTAGGAATAGACGAGTCACGATCAAATCATGATTGATACGTGATGTCTTCAATAATATTCTCTCTCTAAGTTTATTCGCCTTTATATACTGTTATTTGTTTGTTGGACTTCATTGACTGGTATCCGCTGTGTACTAGATCCTGTTTGACAAAGTTTCCAGCCTTTACAAGTTGAACACGATCTTCGATTTTCTTAACATTCGTATTTCCCAAAACATGTACTAATTCTATTTCAACGTTATCAAATTGGCAACTTAAACTTGTTCATGAAGTTGGGTCCCATCGATGAGGCAGCCAAGACTGGAGCAATAAAGATTACGACAAAGACTACAAACAAAACTGTTCACAGAGAAAGACGTGTAAGAAACCAGACCAAAATGTAAATAATAAATACGTGTTCAGCTTTACTTACTAGCAAGAACCAAACAACCACAACACAATGACCATTTACGACGTGACTTTTGGCTTGCTGTGACCACCGGAAATGCAGCAGATGTTTGCTTTGGAAGTGTCCAAAGAAGCATCAAAAGATGCAGACGGTCTACGTATGGTATCAGACATATTGGCAGCATCAAAAAGTGTAGCAGCATGATAACCCAAAAATCAGCAGCAAATGAGGAGAGTTCAAGTACTTTGACTATGAATTCTCTTGCTGGGAGAATAATGGCCCTATAGCCAAGATTGTTGGAGTACCAAGCTCCAGACCACCATGCGAGTGAAGCTCCACCATGATGAATTTCTCGTGTTATGAGGGTTACAGTCTAAGAAACGAGTTGATAAAGGCTTTAGGGGCAGCTCTTTGTCAGGTACTGGAAGCGTGGACTCACCACAATACGAAATAAAGCCCTTTGAACCAACAATACCACCACCAAACCCAACAGCAACAGCGCCAGATCACCACCCAGCAATCCTTGAATAACCATTGCCAACAATAAAGTAACAACTGCCCAACCATGAGCAATATTTGCCAATGTCATTGGCAAACATCCTTCAGAGCACATTGCAACAAGAGGTCCCAGAATGCAAGATAGAGGGAAGAGTGCAAAAAGCAATCCCGCATTCAGCAGGCATGGAAGCAAGCTGACTGCCAAAATACGCATTATGGACTTTCCAGCGACGGCGTATGCACATATGAAGATAGCGGCAGTGACGATGGGTGATATGATATCTTGCCAAAAGATTGCACTCCATCGTGCTCTGTTGAGTCCAGATTGAGTTCCTCTCGTCCTCGTATTTCCTAATCATTCAAATTATAAAATGAATATGCGAGGCACGTAATCATCAATGAGAGATAGCGATTTTTTTACCAATCATTTGCACACGTTGACGAGCATGAAAGGCAACCCAAGAATCACTTGTAGACCTGACATTACCAGATCCAAGCCATCTTAAAGTATTCATGAAGTCCAGTATGAAATCCTTGAGCCGAAATTGGTGTGGCTAGAAAAAGATTTTCAAGATGAACAAATCATTCACTCCAAACAACGATCATGCTTCATAATTCAAACAAATTGGCTTACATTGAAAAGGAAGGGTGAGATACACAAAGGCAGCACCATCAACCAGAAGAATGCCAGATACCCTCCAAGATTCAAAGTAGCAGTGATCAAGCATAGAATCAAAAAGAGTCTGATACCAAAATAGAGACTTGGATCTGCAAATGCTTGGAAGAGACTGCTGAAACTTGCTCTAGCAGTAGCAAATCCTCTACCACTTGCGATGTATCCAGCTCGTCCATATATGAGATCATATAGTAGCGTATGTGCATACATCTAATCACGAGAGCGCAAAAATTAGCAACGGAACAGACTTGCCATCACAAGAATGTGCATACTTGAGTCGTAAAGACATCAAACAGAGGTGACAGCGACATGACGTGTTTACACAATCGTGTTATGGCAGGGAGAATACCAACTTCAGTCAATAGTTGTGTGAAGAGTGGTAGAAAGTTGAGGGCAAAGACTACGACAATGGCAAATACCGCTTGTCGTGTCCATGTGAGTGTAGATTCGAGATTGATACACGTTGTGGGTGATGTGCCATCAGCAAGGCTACCACCATCTGAATCATCTGGAGATAATGATGATGAAGGGGTCGTTCCATCAGCAGAGCACAGTGTGAAGGTGAGAGATAGGGCAGCTAGACAAGCCATAAATATCAGGAAGAGTTGGATGGATAACATGATAAAGACGTTGTTCATATGGAATCCAGTATGTGCGTAAAAGACTAAAATGCAAAAAGGAAGGAAACATTCTGTGATTGGACTGGATGATATGCAAGAAGACTCAAGGACTTACATGTAAGCAGCCTGTGGAGAGCCAATCTACTTCCAAGATCTAATGAAAGAATTCTAAAGTTAGCTGAGAAAAAAAGTCTCCCAATATGTCTGCATACTCACAATAGTGCTCTCGAGACAACAGCTGTTCAGCCATCCCGCCACCAATCTTTGCCACAAACTTGAGAATGGAAGCAAAGCCTGGATCTCAATGTTAGTGAGTGAGAAAAAAACGGGAGGTTCTCCGTTGTTACGGTTTGGAACCCCACCTAAATCTCGTCCTTTTCCACATTGCATATACTCTGTATGCTTGATTCTTCCACCCCTTTGCAGAGCAGTCATTCCAGTAAACACATCTTCATTGACATGAAGTCCACGTTGTGCTTTACTGACACCACCACGTGTAGTCATGAATATTGAGTTCAAAAAATCAGGATGACCATAATGCAAGCGAGCTCCCAATTTCGCAGAAACCTAATTTTCAGATAGATGAGACACGATGAGCCATTTTAATATTATCGAATGGTTTGAGCTCGATGTTCGACACACTTACACGTTGAGCAATAGTCCCAAATGTTTGTTCTCTGCAAGCAGCAACGTCTCCAAGAACACCAATACGAGCACTAAAGATATGTTCTCTAGCACCAACAATAGCCACTGGAGGTGGACTTGAATACTGAGTGGCAACTGGAGGTTCAAATTCCGCCAATACAGACCGAATTTTGAGACACTCTGTATGTAAAAACGACGACGTGTTAAGATCCAAGCAGACGCGAACCAAAAAAGGCAATACTAGAATTCAAAACATGTTGTACTGGACCTTCAATATACTGATCCTGGTTACTATCAATCAATTGAACCACTTCACCTCTCGTAAAGATGATGGAATGATTTTGATTGTCGGATTTTCCATCTAAACCGACATGGATTTAAAAAAACTGGATAACACGTTAAAATTTGATCCAATCCACTTGGATTTACCTCCAAGAATGATACTTCCAGGAAGCTGAAGCCGACCAAAAAAATGAGTGATAAGTAGCGTATCATTTTCCACAACATCGAAACCAAACCCACAACCATACCTCAATACGATACTTTGGTACTCTACGACCGTTCTCATTCACCTGACAAAACCCATCAATCAATGCAGAATAGTACCTTTTCCCCCCATCCTCAACAGTCTCATCCACGACTTCATCAATATACGCAATCTTGAGACCAGGATATATCTTGAGCATCAATTTGACATCAGCCTGCTCATCATTCGTGAAATGGACGAATCGTTGCATGGCGAGGACAAAGCTAAACTTTGATGCGACGATTCGATCGATTTCCTTTTCAATGTCTGATGGATTTGAGCCGACTGAAGCCATGAGTTCTGACGAGTTCTCGATGCGTAGTAGGAGTTTGAGAGCGTTTGCATAGTTCTGTGTAAGTGAAATAATGATAATTCATATGAGAGATCAGTCGTATATAAGTACGTCATCTGGCTTTGGTATTTTTGCTGAAGAACGTACCATGAACCCAGAAACAGTACGGTAAAGAGTCTGCGACCTGAGAGAAGCCCATATTCTAGTTCTCAATATACCCTCAGGGTTGGAGTCTCTGAGGTGATGAAAGCATTGATATTTACAAACGAAAGCATCGACGACAAGCCAAAAGGAAAGCATTCTTGGATGTGTGACTCGATTACCTGAATCCAAAAGTCTGAAACGGAATATCATCTACCTTGTCCTTGTAATCATGATCGTGAAAAACATCTATATCCGCATGTCGTGACGGATTCTCAGCAATCCACATCTTTGTATCCTTCACGAAATCTAAGATGTCGAACATTGTCATTAGTGTGTTACACTCTGCTTGTAACAAGTAAGCAATTCTGGAAGGACTTCGTGTTTTGCTGGACATACTTTGCCATTCAAAAGGATGCAAACTTTGCAAGTACTCGAGTAGCGTAACAGAAGAAGATGGGTCTTGTTCCATAACAATCTCCTTCAGTGGCAGCAGTATCTTCTCTGAAAAGTGCGGAGTCAGGACTGAGAATGAAGGCATTCGGTGAACCGATGTTGGTTCAGGAAACACCATTGACCTACAAATAAAAGTTACCAGCCATCAGTCGGCACAACATTACCAATCTTGTCAACACCATGCACTTACAAAGACTGAGCAAAAAACGTAAATCTACGTTCAGCTTCACTTCCTTTGGGAAAGAATTCCGTCTTTGTTGAAATGTCTTCTTGAGAGATGAAAAACTTTGGTTTCTCTATACGAGTTGTTTTCGGGTTGTTTTCCATTGGATACTGTCGATAGAGCAGCTTGTCGAGATTCTCTATAGAGATCAGGTGGTCTTCAAACATGGATGTGACTATGGCATTCCAAAGTTGAGAGCAGAGGAGGATGGGTTTGACTCTATATCGCATTTCACTGGTTGCAAACACCTATTGAGCAAGTCGATGAGAATACAGGCATTGGAAGCAATAATAATCGGGTTCCTTCTTCTTTCACCTTTGTATATATTCGATCAGGTAATCGAGAGAAGATGTTCCTCCACGGTGCCAGAATCGACAATCCAGAGCAAAATGCACGAATGGCACCAAATATAGTAGAGAATACTACCAGAAGAAAAAAGAGTCGGTAGTTGGAATTCAATTGATGCCAACACTATCTGAGGAGCACTCACAAATCCACCACATGTACGAATCCAAGAAAGACAAGATCAATAACAACACCACCAATAGCGCCAAAGTCAAATACACGAGTCCACGACACCATAACGCCTTATCACCACACTCTTCCCAAGGTATAGACGCCAACTCTCGCATCGGTTTCGATGCAGGTAACATCAAAAACAGCAGAGATTCGATGAGCTTGCATGTAAAAATACAAGCCCAAAGCATAAGCGACATGGCACGTTCCGTTGGTTTCAATGGCGCAAAGTTTGCTGTGAAGGTGGTGTTTGTTGGCTGCAAGCTTTGGCGAGTTGAAGAGACGAATAGGTTGCTAGGTGGTGTACAGACTAGATATATGAATGTGGCGACAGCAATGATTACTTGAACAGCTGCGAGTGTTGCGGCTATCGAGTCTTGGTGGGTGATGAGGAGGACGTAGGGAAGTGGGATTATGTTGGCGACTAAGAGGACCATCAAGAAGCCTAAAACATGAAAGACTCAAAGCTTAGAATTCTGCTGGAATTTTTTTGTACACGTCAATAATCACATACCAAAACGACGTCCAAAGATTTTGAAAAACTTCAACCTCCAAGGTAAAAAGGAAGCCTCAACGATAGTGCTAAAGAGCGAGAAGAGTACTACTCCAACTCCTCCAACAAAGCCAGTAACTGCCCATCTAAATACTTCAGGATGCAGATCAGTCACGTCTAATCCATCATCCGTTTGATCCATCGAAGACAAGCCATCTGGTGACAGAGATGATGAAGGATCTGTAGTCGAGTCTTGGAGCGATGGAGAATATAATGGACCTGCAGCGAATGTCAAGAAGAATAGGAAGAGACCGAGGTCTAGAGCGTTGAATGTTTGAGCGTAAGTATTCCAAATAACAAAAAAGAACCACATACGTTGAATGGAAGTGAAACTCACGTAAAATCCATACACGTCCAAAGTTGACCAGTACATGCAACACACTTCTACGTTCATAAAACGTCTTTCGAAACGTCCTCTTCCAATCTACATCCTTGAGCGACACGTATCGTTCACCAGCAGGCAAATCCAAAAGACGTGTCTTGCCATCTTTGAGAATCAAACGATTGATGCCATCACGACTCCAAAAGGTTTCATTCATATCATCATATCCTATTATTCGATCATGATCTTTCTCCTTCTTGACCATCTTTGCGTCCACAAACTTGTATGTTTGGTTTCTGAGGAAATCGTATAATGGTTTTATGACTTCGTTGAGAAAAGTGCCTGGAGGAAACTCGACTGTAGTGGCAGAATTGCTGCTAAAGTCATCAGCGAGTTTGAATAGAAAGCATAGAGCTTCTGGAATGAGGCGGATGGAGGCGGCTTCACCCCAAATCAACAGCCACAGAGCCAGTTGACGACATCGTTCCTATTTATCAAGCAAACAAAACTGTGAAAGATGGCAATCCCACAAAATGTTCACATACGAACAGAAGAAAGTACCTCTTGTGACATGGATCTCATATGACGTCTCCAAGCCAACTCGGCAATCTGTTCAGGAGTTTGATCCTCCAAGTCCAAAGCATACGAGCTGAGCGTAGATGTTTCCAACGACACGTGACTGCCCCATATCAATCGAGAAGCTGGACGGTTCTGATCAGAGTTCGATACAGGTTCGTGTTCAAGTGAGCTTGAGAGGTACCAGCGTTTGTAACTATTGGTGAATGTATGCGTGTAAGTAAAAAGAGACTAGGGAATCAAAAAACACTAGGATGGCGACAAACTTACTTGGCATTCTCTCCCCCAATGTAATCAGCATGCACACTCTTCACCGCATTCTCATACCCCATCCGACTAGCCCTCGAATCCAGCATTGACATCAGGTATTCACGCACATTAGCCACCGAATCTCCCTGAAACCCAAAAACACGAGTCAGCGACGTAAATATCCCATCCAGATCAACACCCAATCCTCCATCAGGACGCAACACTGGTATATTCGTCGGCGGCGATGACGACGTGGAAGGTGACGAAGATCCAACACCAGTAGACGACGAAGCGTTACTCATATTCGTAGCAGACGTGATTCTGGCATGTCTAGATTGCAGCTTGTCCATGCTGGTCATGACGGAATCGGCTGACGGTGCAGTAAAGCTGTATCGAGAGTCTTTTCGCATGGATCTTATGGGGGCCAGCAGGTCGATTTGGGACTGGCTGGAAGGTTTTGGGTCAGGCTCCATAATTGGTGCTGGATATGGAATATTGGTTTATGTTTTGCGTGTTGGTTGACGTGAGCGTCAAAATTAGACTTTCCCACACGTCTAACACGACGTCCTTTCATTGTTTGACAGGTGTCAAAGTGAGAGCTTAAACCTTCAAAATTGTAAACAGATCGTAGAGAAAACCAGGTGGTCTTGAAGGTTGCTCCAAACATCGCGGCGACGTGTCCAAGATGAATGAACTTTGACGACCATGGAGCATCGACCACAATTTAAACTTGAAAGAAACCTCGAAAAGCACGCTTAAGACACGTTCCAAGCTCCTTCATTCCAAGACGTCCAGAAAATCCCGTCCAACATTGCCAACGTTACAAAATATCAAGAGAGAACCATGTCCAGTACCAGGGCGCTCAAGGAGCTTCGAATTCACTTGTGCCAGACCTCGCCAGGCAGCCAAGGAGTCAGGTAAAAACTGGTTAGATGAACTAGCGAAAAGCAAATTATGTTGCGATTTGCATCATCTTGAGAATACTCCAACAAGACCTTATCTAAACACTCAATTGGACTCTACACAGGGACTTTGTAACCAACAAGTACCTGAAACTAAAGTCTGCCAATCCATCACTCCCCATCCTCATCCGTGAAGTGACGGGCATTCAAGCACGAGTGTTTGGAAGATATGGTAAACAACAAACAAACACCCTACAAGGGTGATGTGTATATGAGTACTGATATTCACCTTTAATAGCTATGGGAGTTGAACGCAAAGTCGTCTTGGATGGTTTGACAGAATCGCAAGTCGAATCCAAAATACAGGAATTGCAATCATCGTAATCCTCAATCCATCTGCCATTCCTTTGATTCGCATCATCCACCGAATATCCCCCCGTTTATTATTGTAAACAGGCCCAACAGTAGCTACTCTTAAAATATATGGATTCCTTGAAGACAAGAATTGTGTGGATGTGGTTGAAGTGTGTGTTTGTGGTTGAAGAATGGACATGATGGCTGTCAATGCAATCTAGCAGGGAAGAAAGGCCGTGGAAAAGGCTGATTTGTACTTGTTGTGTCTTGATGAAGTTGTAAAAGCCCCTCCAATTGCCAATCGCTCTTCTCATGAGTGCTTTTGGTCCAGACAATTGGGCGATATCAACAGTACCAATGATGCTTTGGTAGCAATACCAATACTTTTGTTGTAGGAATACGTACCCTTGTTATGTATTGAGAACTGCACATTGGGCACGACATCAAAGAACGTCCACATGGAATATCTTCCTGATGAGTTTTTCCGCTTTCCCGCCTTTCGCGAATTATTCGTTATGAAAATACAGTTAAAGTATTGCATACAGACAGAGTTTTATTTGTGAGAAATTTCAAAAATATATGGGTTTGCGTGCACAGGTGTTGTGGCTGATTCCTTGTTAATCATCGATGTGCCTGTTGCATAGACATGTAGTTTATACGTCGACAATACTCTTGCATGAATGCAGACGCATTCATATATTGCGTTTTGCCATACTTTTCATACACAATTGGATGCAGTTGAGGGCTAGCAACGCAATCCAGGATACCATGAGCCATAGGTACAATCTCGTGTTCCAGATATAGCGATGTATGGCAATGCATATCGGTCTAGGCCAAAAAAAAGTATTACATCCTGGCTTGAAATGTCATCGAAACAATTGCACATACCCAATTTTCATTCGTCAACACCCTACGACTGAGATACATGGCACCAGCCGTAACAAGACTAGTAGCAACACCTACAAATCTCGCATCCGTGGCAGCAGCCTCAATCAAGTACTTTGACAGAGTACGTGTATGGACGTCATAGTTATCGGCTTTCGATATCCGTCGAAGAAACGTCATTGGTCCAGGTGACGAAATATCATACTTTAATACACCCAACAGGTATCGTTCAGCCTGGATGATTTCTTCACGGGTATAGCCTCCCTCGACGAAATGGATAAAATCGTCTATACATGGAACGGAGATCTCCTCGTATTTACAGGCAATCAGCATGGCAGCGACACCTACGAGTTGCACCTTTTCTGCAGATACGGTTTTGAGGGATAGGAAGCGATCCATTAGATTTATCGTTAGATAGAGTGTTTCGGGTAACAGTCTAAGTGTGTCGTGAACTTGGATTAGCCATTCTACTAGTGTTGTCCGCATTGCCCAGGTGAGATACGGCTGGCTATTCGCCATATACATGGGATCTGGCAGTGTGCGTTTCTATATGAAGGTTGAGTCAGAAACGCCAAAACAATCAAGCCAAAGTTTTGGGCACAAAAACAAAACACTTAAACAGCGCCATACCTCGAGATCATGTAGGTAGTAGCAGATTCCATGCAGGTACTCTCCACCCAGCATCGGATCAGTCTCAATCTCCTGAATGGTAGGAATATGTCCAAACCGAGCGCGAAGTGGTTCATCATAATCAATATCCATACCCAGTCCCGGTATCGTTTTCGGAATAGAGACTATTATCGATTTACGATGCGATGGCGGTATAAAGTTCGTGCTATTACTACTAGTGCTATTATTAAGGACGTGCACATGTTGTTTCTTGCTGGATGATGCTATACTAGATGAGTTACTACTAGTACTGGCTCGTTTCAATGCCTTCAATTCTCTGGCTTCAGCCGAGGATCTAGGCACTGATTTAATAGCAGAGCCAGGTATGAGTGCACTTAGTGTGGTTTCTCGTGGTGGAGCAGCAGCCCATGCAGATGGCGGTTGTAATTGGATGATATTTGATGGCTTTTCAGCAAATATCAATTGCGACTTTTTCCGTGTGGCTCGTATTCTTTCCTGGGCAGTCTTTTGTGCTTCCTTGATTTTTTTACGGGCAGCTGCGACATCGTTTCCTTGTTTATTCGAGTCCTAGTATAATATTGTTGTCAGATCAGACATATTGGCTGCTTCAACTTGATATACTTCCGTTATGACTGTCATACCTTTACTTGACCTAGTGGGACACGTCGTGTAGATGCAGACGACGATGACAATGTCTGCTTTTTGGCGGGGCGTTCTGACATGTCGCTGCCTTTACTGAGATGTCCTTGCCAAGTATTCTGATTTGAATATGGAGCATTCTCGTCTTGTTGTTGGGCTGGTCGTTTCAGCATCATGCTTGTTTGGAGAGGAGGAGGCATGTTTTCGCTGTTTGATGACACAGTGATTTGGGTATTAGAACAATATGAAAGACTGAACAAGGAGTAAGTATACTCTATTACAGGCAGTGCCTCAAACACATACCCAGTATTGGCCAACAAGCACCTCCCTCACTCGAATCTGATTTCCAAAAACGCAACTTGATTTGTGTTGTGAGAACTAGTTACAGACAGTTCTCGTGTCGAGGGTCTGGTGAGATGCCTATGGATAATAGATCTTGTATACAAGGCAGCGGATTGCACTCAGTTTGAGCCTGTTCTTCGCTTGCCTATGAGTTTGAAAACCTTTGGTGAGCGAATTGACGGAATTTGAAAACGGACGTCAACATTTACTTAAAGATTAAGGGCCATTCGTTCATCTATCGTCAAATGCAAGCGAACGATTAGTAGATCATTATATTTCAATTAGAATTCAACGCTCTTCACTTTTTCTCTATGTTGTTGAGTACGCGGCATTCAAATAGTACCATAACTTTGTAGTACATACTTTAAACGAAATAACCAACCCTATTTGAACTGATACATTTTGACTCGAGGAGCGTCTTTTACTAAACGTTGAGACCAACCCCGGAGTAGACTTGACTCTGCTATATAATCATTTCTTTTATATTGCGTTCAAGTTCTTTTTACTCATTATTACTACAAGACCCAGAATCATCGTCCATCCTTTTTTCATAATCTTCCGCCTCTCTCTCCAAACCCAACAGAGTCATTTTTCCGCATGCTCTTTTTCAAAGTATCATTCCAACTTTTTGCATGTGGTCCCAACAAAAAAATACCTCCACAAGCAACACACGCCATTATCAAGTCCAACACCAATCAAATCCCTGGTCGTGTTATTCGCACAGGGTTTGAAGGTCGTTTGGCCATAGGCACACCGCCATTATTCTGATATCCATAATACATCATCCCTTCAAACGACATTGGTTGAGTGGTAGGTTGAGCCATATAGTTTGGTGGTGGGTAATACGCGTTATTACTATTATTGCTGTTGTTGGCATATCCATTAGCGTTGCCATATCCACCACCATTGGCATTACTATACCCATTCGGTACATAATCTCCTGGCCCTCCTCCTGCGCCGGTAGTTGATGGATAATATCCACTGGCATATGGATCATAACCAGGGAATGAGTCCGTTGGAGCTACCATAAGGCCAGACTCTGTCATCAATACTATTTGACCTGTAGATGTTATCATGGGTTGGACTGTCATGGAAGACATATTGGGATCTGATGGGCGTTGTCGAGGTATGTTTGACTCCATTACATACTGTGGTTGTTGTGACTGTAGAGCATATGATGTGTTTGGTACATAATTTGGTCGAATTATAGACTGTTGTTGATGCAGATTGGGCGTTACTACTGGAGCAACTACAGGTAGAGGTAGTGTGGGGAGTATATTATTGTTGACCTTGTTGATTAGAGTTGTCGGTTCAGGTGTTGATTGACTAGCATTCGGAGACGATACATCATACGATGATGCTTGAGATATGGGGCGGAATTCAGGAGCATTGATCGCTATAGAAGCAAAAAACAAATTGTCAGAATTTTGATGTAAGCCTTGATAGGAGGCAGCACAAATTTCCGCTATTCTCTAACATACCTTTTTTCATGACGTCTTCTCGCCCAGAAGACTCTGTAGATTTGTTTTCTTTACGAGTAACGTATCGTTTAGACTTTACACCATTCACTCGTCCTCTAGCGACATTCATCTCGGCAACCTGCTCCGTCACAGCTTCTACTACAGGTGTCGCAGCAGGAGGTTGTGGTTGTTGCTTTGGCTCTTGATTCGTCCTGTTTATTGGAGCAACTCCAGATGCTGTTCCGCTGCCCATGGTACTATTGGGAATTCCACGATCACCTTGTTGACGACCTTTATTATTATTACGATATTGCTGATGATCACGACGTGGTGGTTCTGGTGTCGAATCATCAAACATATCATGCGTCCATTGTGGTTGCTTTCTAATATCGTTTGTGGCTTGCCACAACTCTTGTCGTGACTGAGGATGTCGTTCTGTTGCGTCAGACACTTGACGTGTGCGTTGATACGATTGCTGTTGTTGATTTGATTGCTGTTGCTGCTGCTGTGACGGTGGCTGCTGTTTCTGATTTTTACGTTTTGCATCCGTGTTACTAGGTGCGTTCGTATGGGCATTTAAAGTTAGTGGTGTAGTAGTGGGTTTCACATTTGCAGGAGCAGCATTTACAGAGGGTCCATTACTACTTTGGGCGTTACTACTACTAGAGTTTGGTGGTTGACTGTGGTTCTGATTGTTGTGTTGTGCGTAGCTGTTGTTATTGTACCTGCCTCCTCGGCCTGCACCACCTCCGCCTCGACTAGTGTTGTTCTGTTGTTGATAGTCTCGTCGTGAACCTTGAGGTTTATTCTGCTGTTCACTAGGATTACTGCTACTCGCTTTACTATCTGGTGCAGAGGGAGGCTTGGAATCTGCGACAGGCTGACTATTACTACTGCTACTAGTTGATGGAGGTGGTTGAGCACTATTACTCGGTGCACTGTTCTGAGATGGCAATGATGGTCCATCATTTGATTGTCCTCTATTATTGTTATTGTGTCGATAACCACCCCGATCGTTATTGTAATAACCTCGGCCTCGTCCAGACTGTCGACGTGCATACTCATCTGATCGCATCCCACCACCAGGAGGGGGTACGGAACGATCATCATGGCTCCAAAATGGACCTCTATTGGGCACCAGAGTTGGATCTTCCTTCACAACTGGAGCTTTAGGTTGTGGTTGTGGAGTATGCTGCGATTCATCCTGTGCGATCTGCTCTTCCGATACTGCAGGTACATCTCCAGGTTCAGAAGGCTGTCTTGGCGTCTGCACTGTAGGAGATTCCGATGCAGGTGTTTCAGTTGAGGGTGATTCTGCAGTTTCTTCAACAAGACCATCACTCTTTCTCCTTCTCCCAGGAGCAGCGTACAACTGAAATTTAGGTGTTCTACGAGCCTTTTGAGTGTTATTATTACTGCTACTGTTATTAGCCTTTGCGGTAGTCAATTGCTTCAGTGTAGAGGGTTCAGCATTTGATGGAGAGGCATCACGTTGTTTTGACCCGGTAGTGGAATCAGATGGACCAAGAGTCTGTTTACTAGTAGATTTTACTTGACTTTTACCGTTCGAGAGGGTGGGAATGGGTGGTTCCTGTTCTTCAATATCTTCATTTTGACTTTCCTCGTCTGAATGCGACGATGTATCAGATAAATGCTCAGCAGTTTCATCAGCAGCTGCTCTCCTAGCTCTATGGAATCGTCTGCTCATCCTACTATGGCAAAGAATTGTGTTGAAGGTTTGAGATTGATGTATCTGGATGTTTTGTGACTTGACTTGGACCTGGATTTCGAATCAATGCGAAAGAGAGTTTGAATTCGATCTATGTTTATACTATAGAATTTAATGCTTTATATTTACAATAGTATATGGTGTGAATGTGCTATCATGAATTATAGCCTCCTGCCTTTTCTCACTTCTTGCAGCCATTGGTTTGTCTCCTTCACTGATGTCTCAGCTTTGGAAGCACCAGCACCCTATTTGATGAACGCATCAGCTTGTTCTCCATCAACATCAATAATGCGTGTGCTGTGTCGAGACAGATAAACCCCCCAACATTTGATGGACGATCCATCAAGCAGGTGGAGACTTAACATAAAACTTAGCAACTCACCGGTCCTGCACTTATACATTTGGCCAACGCTTGCGAAGCTTGATGGCAGGATGTTACTGCTTCTAATGTTGACATTGAACTCGATTGACTCCTCCAGCAACTTAATAGCGACGTCAACTCCATGGCGCACTTAGTAGAGCGCATCACCTTCGTAGGCTTTATGGCAGCCGCCCGTTGAAGCTTCTTAAGAGTATATGTCATTGTTGTTCGTTTTTTGCTAGCAAAATTAGTAGGGTGAAATCAGGACAAGGTCGGGACATGCAAGCTTGTTCATCGAGCGATCTGAACGTGATTTAGCACCTTGTAACGTGTTCCAGGCTTTAAATTCACGATATTCCATAGTCGGGAGCTCTCCTTCTGGGCAATTACATCGTGTGAGCCTATTGCAAAATGGGCAGCTTCAGTCAGTAAATGAACTTCATTTTTTCGCTAGCATCCCACTCTCGGCAGAGAGAACGACAGCGATTCTCAATGTATTGAGATGTGTCCATCGTAATCACCGTGGGAACTTGCCTGACTTTAGACCTGAAGCTCCCGATTCCCTAGTTAAAAACATGGATACTCCTCAGCAAACACCCACACATTTTGATGGAGAAACGGCAACGATGGCCAGTATAAACGATGCGCTAGACCTTAAGAACATGGCCCAGCGTATTATTCAGGGGAATGGAACCCTCGAACTATCGCATGGTCTCAGAACAGCTGTCCAAGAAGTTTCAGCTCCCCCAACACCAAATCCAATTCAACCAGATGTACTCAAGGACCAGCGTTCAACGACGCCACCGATAAGTGTATTGCCTTCTCCATATGATACGCCCGCAGGATCTATTCATGCAGGTACTGCTTTCATCGAATCTTTTTCACAAACTTGCTTGGAACTGGGTAGAAAAAATTGAAAAGATGATGAACCCTCAGTCCAATTGGACGATCATGATTATCTTGAAATTCATTGAATCTTACCATGGAGAAACTCTACTTAGGGTCTTCATCAGCAACACCCGACCAAAACCTTATGGTGGTCAAGGAAGAGGCTGGACTGTCAACCAAACACGATGACGGCCATCATATCGATACAGACACGTCTAGTGCTAGTACTGTAAACACTAGTAATGATGGCTCAATAACTCCAGCCTTGCCATCAACGGCAACACCTGCTTTTGCTGATCAAGTAGCATTCTCTCCAATAGCAGGTGCTCCAGCCATGCTACCATACTATTATCAATACTACCAAGCTCTAGAAACTGCTTCAGCTGAAGTCGCTGCTCAATACCCTGGATTTGGAACAGACGGTCAATGGACGCCAGAAGTTATTCAAGCTTACGCCGAAGCTGCTGCAACGGCTGTAGCTGGATTGGGGTTAGCGCCTAGTCAGGAGCTTTTAAATGGTTTTGCTAATCGTCTGGATTTGGCTTCACTAATGCCACCGCCGTCGGGCACGGCTCAACTCAATCATCAGCCACAACATCAACAGCAGAATGTGGTGGCGACCGATTTACCTCGTAGTAGTGTGCCTCTTCTTGCTCCATATGCTTATCATGCATCGCCCTATGGCTATAGCTATGCCAATGGAATCAACTCACAGAATAGCATAAACGGTAACTCTAGTGGAGATGTGAAACCCACAGTGGACAGTATGGGTAATTTGATGAGGAGAGGGTCAATAGCATCATCCCTTAACATGACAGATGACTACGACGAAGAATCAGGCACGATGAGCTCGTCCTCTGCTAATGTTGGTGCAGCTCAATTCCGAAAACGTCGTCGCCATAGAGGCACCAGATTCACAATGCAACCACGTAAAGTCAAACGTCAACCTCATATTAGTATTACTCAGGCAGACGTGGCCATTACCGATATGGTGGAATTCTTACCTGACGGGAAGCTGCCTTGTCCGTGGCACGGATGTGGTGAATTCTTTGTGCGAAAGTATAATCTACGAGTTCACTATGCTTCTCATCTTCGGGCTCAAAGACGAAAGCAAATTGAAGCTGCTGGTGGTGATGCTGGCGGTGGCAGTAGCAGTGCCGGTGTTAGTGGTGGAATTGAAAGTGATACCCAGATGGAAGAGTATGAATATGAAGAAGAACCCACTCCACCTCCGCAACTTCCTCAACCAGCAATTCGTCGTGGACGTGGCCGCCCACGAGGTAGTTTCTCTCGTCGTATCTACTCTTATAGGGTGCCTGCAGATGATGATGAACCAGCTCCGTCCGATCATAGTCAGTATGCCAATCATAGTCAGTATGAACATATAAAGCAGGAACAGCAACACCAACAACAGCAGCAGAACGAATATATAAGTCAACACGAAGATCAAGATGTAACTGAAGACGAGCAGGACTCTAAGCCTTTCAACGTTCCGTTTGGTGATCGTAATGTATATAATAGTAACGACTTTCGTCAGGTGCCTGTAGACGAAGAAGCTACCGATGACGAAGAACAAGAAGAGGAGCAACACGTATCCCAAGGCATCTCTCAACAACAACTGCAACACGAGCAACAACATTTCCACATAAAACAGGAACCTCCCATCACACCTCATAACCGCGAACCGATTTCTATGAAGGAAGTCTCGAGCAAACGTAGTAACAATAGCAGTGGTAAAAGCATTGATCGTAATGGCGCTGGAATGAAGAGGACACCAACCACCGTCCGTGGAATCAGTGGAGCCCTCTTGCCTAACCCTAGTAGTGATGATACCCCATCGTCGTCATCTTTATTTGGATCTCGCCCTCGTCGTAGTGGAGGCAAAACGCTTTGGAGTCAAGACTCTGAAGACGTCGGGGGTTACTCGCATCGATCATTGTCTGATGTAGGGTCATATGACGATGAAGACGACGACAATGACGAAGAAGCAGATGCACAATCAGATGGATCGGAGGACTCTAATGCTTCATCCTTCTCCGCTAATGGTAGCATGCATAGACGAAAACGACGTGCCACCACCGCAAATAGTAATAATAGTGCCTCACGACCATCCTCATCACTTAAAGGTGCTAGTAGTCCCTCATGGATTGACTTTCCAGCTAACGAGAATGCATCAGAGATTGTATCGCAAGTAAATCCGGATCATAATGGCAGATACCCATGTCCTCATCCAGGTTGTGAACGAGCATTTGGCAGGAGGTTTAACTTGCGAACTCATTACTCGGCTACACATATCGGAGAACGCAAGTTTGGATGCCCAAAATGCACCAGACGCTTTGCTCGACGAGCTGATCTTGCTCGACATAGTCGATTGATGCACTCGTGAAGATGTAATCAGTCTTTGGTATGTGGTATTAGTTGGTGGAAGGATCAAGTGTTGTAACTGTATAATAAGTCTAGCAGGAAAAAGGAGGACTGAGTTTAGAAGGAGGTGGTTATGAGAACTCCGAATATTCGTTGGATGGGATGTACACATGGCATTTGTTTTTTGTTGTTGTTTTTGCAAAAGAAGGGACGGTGAGAGTATAAGTGTATTTACAACCAAGAAGATCCAAAGAGGTTACTGGTATTAGTAACTGTACAAAAGCAAAACATTCCAATGCTGTATTATAATTTAGTATAAAACTGTGAATGAACAGAATGTCGTGTTTTGCGAGTTCGTGTTCGTTCAATTCGTTTGATCTGTTCGATCGAGAGTCCTGAAGACTAGTTCGGTTGGTAGAAGAATGCTTTCTGCTAGCAGAACAAGGTTGTTTTATAGAAGCCCGTTCGTAGCTTTGCTGCGAAGTGGTGTTTGGAGCTGGTTGCGCGCGTGGTCGTGACGACCACCATAGATGCAAGTTCGGGGCACCTTGAATACGCGTCATTTATGCTTAAATATTGATCCCGTTGCTCTTTACAGCGTAACTCTTTATGGAAGCTTCGAGACAGCATTGTGACTTGACGTGTGAAATAACAGAACGAGCAAGGCAGCCAACCAACAGGGAAAAAGGCACTCGGGTACTACGAAGTTTATACATAAAACGCGATTATCTAGCGACATCAGTAGCTTTCATTAAGATTGAACGGTTTCAAACCATTTTTCGTCACCACGATTTCGATATTTTTCAGCAGCGGAGTGCAGTCACGTCGAAAACCACCCCCATTAGAGCAAGAACTAGGGTGGGCTTTATCGTTTCGACCACTATCTATAGAGAACTAGCTTCAACAGGCTCCATAATCGTCCAATCAACTTAAACGAAGTACTCTTTCTTTCAACCATTACAAAAACGCCCAATCGATTTAAACAACGAGAGCTTATTAGTTAGAGGACGAGTAGCAGCTCCTAATAGTAGCAGCAGTAGTTAGAGACGTTGTTTCGTCTACTGACGTACTCTCCTTGGGCGCCCTTTGGAAGAATGGAAGAAGAAACAATCAACAAGATTGTAAATGCTCTCAAAAGTCATTTGAAGGAGACAATCAGCACAGAGTTGAGCCAATCTGCTGCAATCAAGGACCTAATCCGTGCCGAACTGGACCGTAACCAGCCAGCCAATCTCGATGTATCAGGCACTACAACAGGAGAAGCATCAACATCAACTCCTGCTGCAACAACTCCCACATCGACTACTCCTACAGCCCAACCCAGTAGTAGTAACCTGAGTAGTAGCATGGATATGGATGGTACCACTCAACAACATCACGGCCAGCAAGGAGCCCAGCAGCAAGGACACGACTCTCTTGAAGCTGCACTTGTGTTGGCAAACCTCAGAACGGATGATATCTCATCCCCTCCTCAGCATGGTCAATCAGCTCCTGGCGGCATCAACGGATCTTGGTAAGCGCGTTACAGTATCGATCAGTCTTTGTTTCCAGCCTGTTCTGGCATTGTTCGTGCATCTTCGGTGTGCTCGCCTTGTCAAACTGGACGAAATTAGGGGTGGAGAAGCACTTTAAGAGGGAAGCGGCAAACGCTAAAGAGTGATGGAAGACCGAGTATTCGATGGATTGTATGACTTCCGAGCTGGAGTCTACCATCTTTGACCTTGTTTGGGTCTATGCTTGCAAACGCGCAGTGTTTTGACATTTGGAATCTTTACAAAGAACTTTTCTCATTTTACTTATACTTAGGCCCACTCTATATACTGCTGCTCCTCGACCACCACTCCCAACACCCAATACTACACCTATTGCCATGCCACCGCCTCGTCCACGCTACAATGCAGCATCAGTGCTCATTGGAGCTGGTTCGAGCAAAAGATCACGAACACCGGATGAAGATGATATAAATAGGTCCGAGTGGTTGAGGTCTATGCCTGGCATGACTGGAGTCGCTGGTACAGATGAAGATGTGAAGAGACGACGTACTGGTGATGGCAACGAGTAAGTGTCTTGTTTTTCATAGTTCTTGTGTTGTTCTGGAGTGATGCTTGTCGTTTCCGTCCCAAACACGATGGATGAAGTCTAGAGGACTATGAGTTTGTCGTCTTTGGAATGTGTTTGGTATTGGGAATTGGGATGGAATCGCAAGAAAGATGTTTTGTGTCAACATTCAAGACTTTGATCCACGAGGTTTATGTACTAACATGTTTTTTATACTAATTAGTCCTCCTACACCATCTAATAGCAGTGAAGGTGACGACTATCACTATAATCCACATACAAATCTACCACCGTATCAGCCACCTACAACTCGTCGTCAATATCGGGAGGAGCAAATGTTTACTCAGGCATTCACGCAGAACCAGTTTTTGCAGCAATTTCATCCAAGCAATATGCCGTCTCAACGTCCTAATGGACACTTTCACAACAATCACCGATATGCAGACGAAGATCATGACGATGATTATGAAGAACAGGGGTCTTATATTACAGAAGAAGACCACGAAGGGTGTCGCTGTCGTGAACTTGCTCAACAGATTATGGCTTGCCAAGAACCCGTAAGTAGCAATTCGTGTTGTGTGTTGCACAATGCATGGTGAAGTGTGAATGAGTACAAATTTGACCTCTTCTTTATCTTAGCATTGCTTGGTTCCATTCTTCCGCACAGCAGACCCCATGATACAAAAGAAGCCGCCAGCAACACCTAGTCGTACGCGTGCTTCTAGTCCTGGATCGCCAGGTCAAAAGAAGTCTTCACCACGACCACCAATCTGGAAGTGTGACCAGTGTGCGACCACAACCACCTCACAGCGACGTCCAGGACCAAAGGGTAGATCTACACTATGTAATGCTTGTTGGACTCGTGGCCGTAAAAAAGCAAAGGCACAACAAGCCAAAGAACAGGCAGAAAACCAGACCCAGGTGAAAGGAGGCAACAAAAGGAAAGGAGCTGGTGGCAAGGCTTCTTCCGTAGGTCCTGGTACGGCCGCTGAAGATGAAGAACAACTTCTACAACCTCGTATACAGATTGCCATAGTCCCAGTCAGTAGTAGTGACAGTAATCACGACTTGACTGACGGTGAACCAGCACCCATGAATACAGACGGCAGCGGTGTAACTGGTCAAGACACTACTCCCGAACCCCGTCGTCAACAAACACCAACTCCTCCCGCTGGCACGCCACCCCCTCGTATAAATCACATAAACGCTGCAACATCACCCATGTTTATTCCAAGCCCAGCACATAGCATTCGTATCTCGCCCAAGGTGAAGAACCTCCTTGATCCGAGCACCACCGATATGAATGTTGATGAAGCATCTGTTATAAAGGATGAAGAATAAAAACGCAACCAGCCCAACCGTTATATAAAAGAGAGCAGTAGCTATAAGGCTATAGACAACCCCCTCATAATCAAAGGACAACTATAAAACAGCTACTCCCTCATTGTCTTAAGTTGTTTGAAACCCAATGGAATGATCTCGTTATTACGTGCTGCACTATTTTTTTTGGATGTGACGGAAGATATTTTATAGATTTGTGTTTGTGATGACGGTGGTGTAGTAAACAGAATGGAATTCAATATAATCAACCCCCCTCATTAAACAGAAACCTGTTTGCATATTCTATTAAAGTTCATTTATATTTTCTTGTTGCGATTCTATGACGCACTACTTATCTATTCTATGTCATTGGTAAGGCACAGTGGCTATTAAATACGATTTCTAAATCCCATTTCTAACGTTTAACTGACTCATCTATCAAACTAGAAAGATGCACTCCCAAACTTTTGTACAGTAGGTGTAACAATACTCAAATCTCCCGAATCAGTTTCGCTGACATCCGTTGCAGCAGAGGCAGGGCCATACATTAATCCATTCTCCATATCCGTCGATCCATTATGGTGATGATGAGCACCGTCCAGCAGCGTATCATCTCTCTTTTCAACCACCACTAGTTCATCCTTGACGTGTTTGCGAGGGAATATACAAAGCAGGAAGAATTGTATAACTCCAAGGATTGTTCCGAATGCGTTTGGGAGGTATATGAACTAGACGATGCAAGATAGTAGTCAGCAAAAAAAACCAATGCTGCTGGAAGGCAACGTTATCTACCAAACCTTCACTCACCACATCATCCTTAGCAAATCCATACACAGTCCATACAAATGCATTCGTAAAGCACGTTATAGCCAAGAACTGGTTTATTGATGACGACGACTTGGTGGCGAGCACGTCTCGTAGTGAGTATAAGGGTGATGCGTAAAAGATGAAGACAAAGAAATCGGCGATGGATCCAATAATGTTTTTGCCGGTTTCGTAGTGATTTTCGCGGCCGAGTGTTATGAATCTGCGGAGAGAGTCTGGTGTTAGGATATGGTGGTGGGATGTGAAGAGGAGTGGGGGGACTTACGAGGCTGCACCACCTAAATAAATCAAAACTACCAGGGATAATAGGACTACTAGCATTCGCTGCCTAAATGCGGTTCAGGGTGAGACTGAGATTGGTGGTTGTGTAGTTGCAAGTTGACAGGTTTGAGTACGTACTGTTGTCGTATCGAGGCGATTCCATATACAGACATTACATAATACATACTAAATGTTATTCCGGGTATGTTTCCGGCAAAGACATACCACTAAAGCGAACAGTTACGTTAGAAGTCAATCTTTCTGGACGGAATCCTTTCAGGACTTACATCTCTGATAAAAAACGAGTAAAACGTCCATGCAAGCGAATCTAAATTCGATAATTGTTATAGTTGAATGGTGAAACCTCGTTCACAAGTACGTTGTTGCAAAACCTGAAACCAAGTGAAACAACCCTGAGATACTGCAGCAACTTACTTGCAATCATAACACTAAACGGCATAGGATTCAGTGGATGCAATTCCTTCCTTGCTATTGCCAACCGGACTGCATTCATGGGCGCAAAGTTTATGGATGATGCAAGCAATACACCGAATGCCGGTATGAAGTGGTCGACAAACAGGTGGCATACGAAAGCATCATCAGAGCAAAGTTCTCGAACCATGTTTTCGAAGTTGGACGAGGGAAAATTGGGAATTTGGAGAAAAATGCGAAATGTCCACGGTTTGTGAAGATTAGCAAAAGATCCCAAGAGTGCAGTGAGAGTTCCACCGGGCGCAATGGGTTGTAATAGTATCAGGATCTAAACTATACGATGGAGGTTAGCGTCTATGGTTGTTTCGGAATCCAACAAGAAAAAAAGATTGTGGGTCCAGTCCACACTGGCTGAAGATGGGCGCAATGTCACGAAACAGTGTATGGAATGGTTGAGCTTCTTACCTCTAAACGACAACAGGACAACAGGTTTGCTACTACACCAAACTCAACTTTGAAACAACTTCAGACAGGTGGCGGCCTCTATGAAACAGATTGTGACGGACGAGCACAAATTTTGAAGGTTGATGAAGGCATTACATGGTGATGAGCCACTTAACATTTTTGATTTTTGATCACATTTACACGTGTAATATATTCAATATCACGTAAATTCTTACTGCGACCGGAGATCTCGTGCCAAGCAACAACCACAGACAAAAGTTCACATTCTTACGAAAGGTCTCGCACTTTGGCCTTCCATAGTCCTTAAAAAGAAGAAGAGAGACGCGTAGGTGATTGAGAACATAGAATCATGGCCGACCAGCTATGTGGAGACAATCACGGATGCGATGTGTTTTTGAGATATGTAATTCCTAGCTTGGGAGCAATAACAGGTCAGTGCCTGCAGGTTCCTGATTAAAGCCTGCATGAGCAGTAACCAATTTAATTATTTCAATGTTTATATAGCTCTATCCATCTTTCTGGCTCCAATGCACTCTGTGCTCCAAGTTAGGAACTCTCAGAAGCTAACCGTCAATCCAAATCCATTCCCACTCTTGACTGGAAACTGTTTCGTACGTCTTTAGCCAGTTCTGCAGTGCACTGGATGTAGCCTCACCTTCTTGTCGCTGTTTAGGGATGGGCTCTATACGGTATGTCCTCTGTTGCAAAGGTCGAACTGAAATGTATACCGATCGTTATAATGACGTAGGATATCTGGCACGAGATTACTTTATTATGCTTCCCAACATGGTATATGTGTCTGCCACAAAATGGTTAACTGGCTGTATTGCTCATTTATTCAACCTCCTACAGATTGGATGGTCCACATCATCATTCTACCTCTTCACGACATATCCTTTGCTGCAGCGCAAACAACAAGATACTCTTGTGGGTCTCTATATTGCTTCCCAGGCTCTTCTCTTGTTTTCGGGATGTTTCGCGTAAGACTCTTATTACTTTTCTGGTTGACCAAGAGGCAGAACAGCTAATCGTTCGTACCTTGCTAGCTTTATAACTTTGGGAGCTACCGATACAACCGGCAAAACACTTGTGGGAATTGTTACAACTGCAATCTTGGTAAAAATACACCTTGTGAGGGAAAAAAAAACATGAATGACAATTTGCTCACCGACTTTGCCTCTCAGGTCGCATTCTACTTTTCTCCATTGAGTGGATTGCTCCAAATCATACAGGTAATGAATCGAAAGCACTCTTGTTTCTATGGACGGCTAATACTGACTCCATTTCTATACATGTAGAGCAACGACGCGTCCTCAATACATATGCCTCTTGCTCTTACTTCCTTATGCAATGGCCTGCTTTGGGGCGCTTATGGCCTTACCATAGCCGATTATTTTGTCGCTGTACCGAATCTTTTTGGATTTCTGACTGGCTGTATTCAAGTTATTTTGAAAGTTATGTTGCCATCACGAAGTAGACGTGGTTCAAATGCAAGTTTACACGGTCAGTCAGACGAAGAGTCTTAAGGAAATGGGGGGTCGTATGGTTGTATATATTAAACTAGTCAAACTACTGTATCTTCTGCAACATTTAGACTGCTAGATTAGATTGAACACACGAAATAGAGAATATTTCTATCCGAATCGTCCAACAAAATCAACCTTTCAGTAATGACTCTGATGAACTTTGATTGATACCAAATCCGAAGCCCCGGTGTCTTTTAGAAGACATACCCCGCAACGCCTTGCCTGCGCTCGATTTTCACGAGCACGAGTAACACCTCTGCATCTTCGTTCATTCGAAGCGATTTCTTATAGTTCTCTGAGTCTAGTCCAATCTTTGGCTTTTGTCTCGCCTTGCAATACGCAGCCACCCTGAGGCTTCTCTTTTTTCGTTTTTTGGACCTCCGACAAAATATTAAGGAATCACACTCCCCCTTCATCTTTCGGTGCCCACACTCGAATCCAACTCTGCAAAGACAACTATGGCAGCCATGTATACTCGTGACAGATGTGAATCCACATTCCTTCGCAAGACGTGTGCGAACGGCATCCCAAAATCAATGATACGTGAGTGGTTCTATACAAGCTCAGCCAGGGCGTCCACTTCAGAACAATTTTTGGGGGATGGAGGATGAACGTTGGAACTGATAACTAATTTATATCTTTTATAACTCTCTAGTCACGGTTGCCGAACATGCTTCGCAGGTCATCACTTGTGCCGACAACGCAGTTAATCAATCCAACATACCACCACTCGCACAGTTTATATCGTCGCTGGTGGAACGCTCGAGAATCCCGACCGCTACCTTCATGGCGAGCTTTGGCTATATTGCTAGATTAAGAAAGAGATTGCCTCCCACTGCTCGAGGTAAATCAAAGCTTTGGGTGTTTGACGAGTAACTGATTTTGCGGTGGTTTTGTGGTTGATGTGGTTGATTTGAGGTGATCTGAGGCTGCTATGACTAGTTCTGGCAGAAAGCTTAAAGTGTGGTATATGTGATTGGTGTCTCTTTACCCACGGAATTCGGAATGTTGGGGTGGTGGAATTCGGTCCGAGGCGAAAAACGAAAGACGCTTACAGGAGGTTCAACACATGAAACATCACATCTAACAACACATTAAATCCTCGTTAGGAATGTTTTGTACATGCCATCGTATCTACCTGGCCTCACTGCTACTCGCTGGCAAATACCTTAGCGACACACCAATAAAAAACCGAACATGGGCCGCCTATGCAGGAATATTCTCACTAGCCGAAGTAAACCTAATGGAACGCCAACTGCTATACCTGCTAGACTATAATCTCCAAATCCCCATCGAGGAACTCGAAGAACTGGCCGTTGAATATCTTGGTGTTGAACGAGACTCGGAATTCGCTGAAATGTTTGACGATACCATCACCATACCTATATCACCAGCCGCATCTGTATCTAGTGGATGCAGCTCTTCAGCATCGCCAGCATCTTCAGCGTCGCCTATGAGTATCAGCATGATGCCACGTCGAATGGATAGTGATTGTAGGGACTCGGCGTGCTCGATATCAGAAGCAGAAATGTCAGAGGCTAGACTGGAGGTCATGAAAACTACCATGTCGCCGTTTGATCAGCAGGTGCCAGGGAGCAGTTGTAGTAGCTCGAGTGACATGTCGATGGCAGTATGATACGTAATAGCAGCCCAAAACAAACAAACAACCAAGTTGCCAACTATACGAACGTAAATATAATGAATTCGAATTGAGGGAGAGTGAAAAGAAGTCATATATAGCTAGTTTGAGGGATGCCAAAAGGAGTTTATGTAATTTGAGCTGGTCTCAGATAATAGGTCTCCTGAACATTGCTCAAACAGCAAGCCAAACTTAAAAAGTAAATCAAAAGTACATATGTAATAGTTTTTTATCTTCAAACAATGTGTAAAGCATCTACAAGCCTCAACTTCTATGTCTTAAGCTTTTCGTGATTTGAAGTCATGATGTATGTTTCCTTTCTACTGGTCTGTACATCTGCAGCTGTTCACATGAGTTCAAGATAATTCTGAAGATACAGAAAAGAAGAACGCTTGATGCAAAAAAAGTGACATTGTGTTTGGTCAGATACGATCGAGTCACCGTAAATTACAAAAGCAATGTCTGAGCGCACTAGGATTTGAACCTAGGACCCTCAGGACCGAAGCCTGATATGCTATCCGCTGCACCATACGCCCATTCGAACTCGCATAAATACAACTAGGAGATGGGACAATATACCCTGGATCATACCTCGGCTGGGCGGAAAGCGTTGAAGGATACTTAACAAGAAACGACAATTGGAGGGTGTTCATATAGTTGCCGTGTGGGCAAATTAACTGTGAGTGTCATGAATCGTTTTGATGGCCGGAGCAACGGTTGACTTCGCCCGCAACTAATGCAAGGAAGCCAGCAACAAAACAGCAGCTTGATACGAGGATACTGGACCGATTTTGACTTGTCTGCCGGATTAGTTTCTGGTTGTGGTGGCTTTGGTTGTGGATGCTTGCGGAGGTTTTGTGTTGTGATCGAAGAGGGACAAATTCGTTACATCTCTTGACCACCACCACCGCTCTCATCAACCATCAGAATCTTTTCATCATGTAGCTGATCCCCTCAAGGCCGGTCATAACGTGCTGCTCCCCAAAACTGGATATGAAATAATCAACTGGACTGACTTCAACGTTGAAACTTGATTAATCAGGAGCGTCTTTTCCGAAAAATCAAGAGAAGTTGCAAAGTGTCGTGGGGGTGTCTAGTGAGATTGTCCTGATCTCTCTAAATAATACTTCGCCACCACCCAGCAATGCAACCCTTGTCAGTACAGAGATGCACCCTCAGGACATATAAAGGTACCCAAGAAAAAGATGTTGGATTGGCACAAGGCCAGATTTCATGGAAATGGATCTCACTTAGCAAGTTAGGTGACTTTCTGAAATACTTCTCGTTCCACTTTGAAGTGGTCAACGACCACGTTTCGATCCCCTGGAGAATTTGTTATTTGAACTCAAGGCTTCTCGGCATGCAAAGCGAGCGCTCTGCCACCTGAGCTCATCCCCCACAGGACATCTGTACAAATTGTAAAGGGTTTGGTAGGTCATTTCGACTCACCGTCGATTTTGATCATTTTTAACTCCGAAGCAGGAACAAATTTCTCTGACATCCTCAATAATCATCCTTGGCAGTGGATATTGCCACACTCTGACTGGTTGAGACGAAGTGAGGTTGATGGTTTTGACGTCATTCAAGAATGGCAAAATTCATCGTTATCAAGAAATGTCCTCGATATGAGTATCAGCTCATAATGCGACCTTGAGCTTGAATTTGATACGAAGGGTTGTGTGTTGTGTTGCGTTGTGTTGTGTTGAAAGTCCAAACATGAATCTGTGTGGGGCCTGTCCTCATCCCATTTCGGCACTTTGAGCAAACGACCACCAGTACTATGCAGTCCAGACGAGCACGGTGGCGGGTCGGGCTCTGGGTTGCTTGTAAGTACCTCGGGTTGACAACTTTCTGATGAGCGAGAACCTAACTTTGAATAAAGAGAGTTACTTACAAAGAGCCGAAGTGATAAATTCGTCAAATTCGCAATAGATTCATAATGGAAAGTCCAATCGCAAGGTGTCATTATGTAGAGTGCATAGATTTCTATTGCAACAAAACATTCTATGATAGGTGTTCATAGTTAATAGGATAGGCCCTCTGCATTTCTCCGGGCTTGGGACCGGCTATGGCTACATTACCTATTTATTCCAAAAAGAAGATAGCGACGAGAGAAACAATTATACTTGCCCGAGTTAAGGTACTTGGGTTTTTTACAGTCTAGCTACACTCCGTACTAAGACCCAACCACGGAAACGTGGATCCTGCCTCTCGTCAATCTCAGTTTGCATGGCATACAAGCTCAGATTGCTCTGAGCGAGGCTAAGACCCCCCTAAACCGTACTAATCCAGGAAGGCTCATGAGATTTCGTGGGTATGTTTGAGGCACGATGAGCAGCTCATCTCGTGCGAATGGCCACTACTTGCAGTTGCCCACTGCTGACGGTGGGAGCGTCATAGTCCTAGTTCCATTCAGTTTTACGCTCCGTAGGCAACGGGCTTGGTTAAAGAGCAAACCACACTTGATGTCGCATCTCGCTGGGGAAAGATCTAACATACAGAGGTGTGGATGGACACTGAATGGTTCAGTTGTCCTCCGTGGATGTAGCCTCCTTGGTGTTGCCGTGGCCTGAATTGACAAAACCAAAAATGGGAGTTGACGGCGGCATTTGCGAAAAACAGTATGCTGGAACCACTACGGCATGGTCCGTATATGTATCTGACGTGGTCGGGAGGTCAGGATGCTGCTCCTACAGACCCTCGTTCCAATCCACTATCGAATTCTTGTTGGATTGGATGTTAGGAATTGAAGTTGCCAATTTGACGACACATGGCAGAGGAACAGGGAGACAGACTTCAAAATAGCTCACAAATACGTGTTTTACGTGTAATGTTGCACGCTCTTCTAATCCATCATCGCCAAGCTAGTTAAACCACGTGTACATCACACGTTTGGACAAAAAGTCAAATAATAAATATCGAAGGCATTTCATGTTTTGGATGTAGTTGGAGGTAGTCTCATCTTCCAGTTCTGTATTTCACAGTGTCTGTATGTCTGTATCGGGATTGTTATGCGGATCTGCTTCAGGGGGTTGTGGAGGAGCTCGCTCATCATTGAGTTGCAGAATTGGACGCCGAACGAGAAACCACCACATGTTACAAACTGATCCCTGCGATTAACCTAACAGACAAGATGCTGATATAGAACGTCTCCATCAGGCCTAAATCAGCCGCATCGAGTTGCTTCAGCAAATCCAGATCAAAGTTTTGAGTCAATTGACGTGGTAAAAGGCCCAAAGCGGGCTGTACTGGTAGCTCAGAAGGTCGTGGTCAAAAAATATTACAGCATCTGTACTTTATCCGCTTTGACCACCTCAGGCAGCTGCCGTTTTGGGTTTTCCACGAAGGTATAAAAGTGGATTCAAATTCGTTTTCGAATGTGCAACAATCGGGTCCTGTGGCCTAGTGGATAAGGGTAGGTAGCATTCACGTACAACAGATTTTCTTGCTGGTTTGGAACTGATCAATATTACGTAACTCTAGCGTCCGCCTCCTAAATGTAACATTAGTGTTGGTAGCGGAAGATCGCTGGTTCGACCCCAGCCTGGATCGATTTTTTTACGGCTGCCTGACCTAACTGCCTTGTAGTCGTAAAGATATCATTGTTTGGAATTTGAACTTAAGACGGACAAACAATCCTGGAACAAAATCATCGACGAACACCTTAACGTGTGTGAGAAGCTTTTTCTATTTTAGATTATACAACTCAAGCAGCAAAGAAGACCAAGTCTCACACACATACAATCAAAGCAATGTGCCAAAGCACGTTTCCACCAATGTAACCCGATTCCACATAATAATCATTATAAAAGAATTTTTATGCCCCACGTCTGAGCATTGCCTCATTCGTGACTTGTAGTTCATCAATTTCGGGACTCAATTCAGCCATCAAAGCTTCAGCAGCCTTGAAGTATGCAAGTTGAGCAGCGGCGAAATCAGCCAGATTTTTGAGTGGTTCTGGTGATTCAATGACGAGTTTCATTTTGCCCATAGCGTCATCGACAGCACCGACAAATTCGTCTTCAGCCTTTTCCATTTCGACACGAGCCTTTTCTGCTAGTTCTGGTTTTGCAGCCTTGAGTTTGGCTCGGGCAGCATCATACGCCAATCTGACGGCATTGACGTTTCGTCGTGCTCGCTAAAGAGTTGAAACAAGGTTAGTATGAGGTGTGAATGTTTCACGTGTATGGGTGAAAATCCACAGAAAGTCGATCCTTTTCCGAGAAAAAAAAGGGGGAAAAAGCAAGTGCTCGAAAACTTCACGCGCTGTGATAAGAGCTTCTGACAACGTACCACAGCATTGCCGATGAGCTGGTTGAGAGAGTTGTTGTATGGCTGGTAGAATCGACTGGTGACTTCAGCATCCAATTTGAGTTTGGCATCACCTAGTCGTTCTTCTGTACGGGCAAACTTTTTCAAGGCAGTAGCTATAACAAGAAGTATGATGAGTGAGAGCAGTAACAACCATGATTGAAGAATAGTCAACACGTCACAAAGAGCTCTTCCAACCAAAAAAAAGACAGCGACTACAGAGCATGCCAATGTCATCAATCGACCCAACATACCAAATGGATCTTGAGCAGGCAAAACATTGGCACCATCTAAAGCAGCTTTTGACAATGCATGTCCCAAGCTCTTCGGTACCTGTTCAGTCTTGTTCATTGGAGTGACTGATGGGCTAGCACCTACCACCCTCTGAGCCTGAGCAAAGAGTGTGGCAGCACCAGCAGCAAAGTTTGTAGCGATATCTGTAGCTGAATCAACGACGGGTGGGGTGTAATCATTATGAGGGAGAGTAAAAGTTCGAGTGACTTGTAGGAATTTTTCAGTGATGAGTTTGATCTTGTCTACTTTCTATAGAGAGTAGACAGCAAGGTACATGTCTCAGATAACTGGGTTGCATTGATAGGGTAATTTCTCCATGAAGAAATTCAAACACAAACCTCTTCAAGTTGACGGTAATCTTCAGGCAAGACAGTAACATCCTTTTCGCCACCAACACGTTCTCGAGCCAACTAGATAAGACAAAGAAGAGTTGACTTCTTGAGTACATTCAAACCGTCATTGCTCCCATGCAATAACAAGATTGCAAGTTTAAAGGGACCCGATTCTCAAAAACACGTTGATGTTGGATTTGAAGGCAGCCACATAAATTTGAAACTTGGATGTATACCTGAGTAGCTTGAGAGAAGCCCTTGCTGACCGTGTCGGAAGCAGGTCCCACCGATTTGACAAGTGTATCGTATGTACTAGATGCGAGACGGGAAGCACTTGCTCCAAAGTTTTGGACTTGTTGGTTTATCGTTGCGCTCATATTTGTATCTGAAAAGGAGGAAGACTTGTCAGCATGTCACTTGACAGTATGAATGGTGCAGCCTTCTTCTGTTTTACATACATTGATTGTCAACCAGGTTGTTTTGAACGTAAGGGTTGTGAGCTGTGGGACTTACTACGAGGCGAAATTTTAACACGTAGCATCACAGAAGGCAGAACGGCTTGGGAGCAATTCTGCGTAATTTAGTCCAATCTTTCAGTCTTTCAACTCGTAACGCGTCAACAGCGCTACTGGGGTATACTATATTTCAAAAAGAAACAGAATTTACAGCAAACCGAGATGATACACGATCATCAACTATTATAAATATTACTATTGCTATTATTCACCAGTTTTTGCTGCTCCTCTTGCCACGTTCTCGTTCGTTCAAGAGTATTCACACCCGCTGACGGAGCCAGCACTGGTCTTCTAGTAAGACTCCCACCACCATCCACTCTGTTCTGTGGAGGAGTACGTTTCTCACTCCCTTCTTTCGGTCGTTCTACACTCAGATCTCCATTCAACCGGCGTGGAGACGTCGATGGCGATACTGGTGATGTCGGCGGTATAGCTATTGGAGACGATATGGATATAGGAGCAGATATGATTGGTCGTTCTTTAGGTGGTGGTGCTGGCCGTGACGGAGAGTCCTTAACGGTTTGTATTTGAATCGGTTTCGTCGACCTTTTCGGTGTTGAATATCCAGACACGACTGTAGATGAGGCCTTTTTACGTATAGATTTTACATCCAGATCACTAGCATTACCGCCAACAACGCTGTGTTCTCGATATGTCATAATTGAGTTTCTAAAGGCGTTTGGTTCCGGTTCTTCAGCCAGCTCAGCGAAATCATCTGATTGAAGTACTGTAAATGATGGGCGTTTTGCCAGAGTCTTGGTTTCTATCGGCAAATCATCACTTTCCCGCAGGTCCGACCATGTTGACATCTTCACAATCCAGTAATAAGAAGCGGATCCAACACCTAGGGCAACCAGGATTCCGAGAGCACTTCCTGCAATGTAAAATGTATATATAGGTGGTGTCATATTGATGAATATTGTCACGTTGCCTGGATATCCTATACCAGCAACAGTACCTAATGAAAAAGAAATGTTCAACGCATGATGAATCACCTTTGGCTACAGCCTCCATTTACCTGAACCACTTGGATCATAGGCACCAGCAATATATGGAGCTGCTGCCAAAGTTCCTACGCCAACGGGTGCTATTCCAATAAGACCGGGCACTCTATCTAGACGCTGCTGCACACCAGCTCCGACATTGTTTTGTACCCCAACATAATAGTATGAGGTATCAAGTTTGGCATCACTGGTTCCTGATCCACCATTTCCACCAGTATAACAGGTAGTACTACCATTCTCTAGAGATTGCACATTACTAAGGCCATAGTTGAAATCATTATTCAAGCCGTAAAATCCACATTGGATTGGTGCGGAGAGTGTCGTACTTCCAACATTTCCATGTACTGCAGTATACGAAAAGTTGGCCTGCGTGATGGACGACCCTGTAAATACACCCACTGAATGACCGTTCGAGGCCGAGTTCAATGCGACAGTGACATATTGTGCAAGACCCCGAGTGTTCCAAGCGTCTCCGAAAACGATTCCACCACCAACAGATGTAGATGCAATATTCCCAAGAGCAGAGAATGACCTCAAATCGAGCATCGTCTTCCCAGCAGCATACAAGCCTCCGCCAGCATTAGCTGTATTTCGCGACACTACCGAATTCCAAAACGAGAGCTTACAATCGATAGTGTACACAGCACCACCATATCCTCCTGCTCCACCAGCTAGGCCACCATATACTACGCCGGCAGTGGATGATGCGGCATTGTTTGAATCTACTACGGTATGCTCCATTGCGAGTAAACCAGCTGATTGACCATCTTTGAAGACTCCACCGCCATTCATTGTAGCCTTGTTTTTGGATATCAAGACGCCGCACAATATTGTGCTGGTATATGCACCAGTCGCATAAATAGCACCTCCATTTCCTATGATAGGTGATTGTGTGTTGGGAATGACGTGTCACAGTCTCAACATATAGCGACAGGGCAGGTTTAAATGCCGATACTCCAAGCGCTTACCTCCATTGACAAACACTCCACCTGTACCAGTGGCAGCACCGGCACTCATAACACTGTTATAAACTTCCAGATTTCCATCTTGGGTCATAATGTGGCCACCATTAGAAGCTTGATTGTTATTAAACATGCAGTTTACTAGCCGAGTCGAGCCTACTCCAATAGCATAAATAGCTCCTCCTCCAACGTTCTTGCCAGTAGCGACAGCTTGATGGTTGTTGAATGTGACGGATATCAAGTCTAGCCAGCCACCCGTACGTAGAATCGCACCACCGTTTGCCGTTGATGTTCCATTGGTGATGGTGAGGCGTTGTAAAGTGATGCGTGGAGTAGCCTGACAAAGAAAGAGGGTCAGCCAAACTGTGATCGGGGTGTTTTGAAGATCAAAGCTTGAGCGTTCAGACACCGACAAACTTACTAGTTGTGGGTTACCAGCCAATGTGAATACAGTAGATCCAACACCTTGGAAGGTTATTTTGCCCTCTCCATCGATAACTGTGTCTGCAACAGCCGACAAAAGTAACGGAGATGTGATCAAGAATACACCAGAATTTGGCCCACAATTGAATCGGAAGACACCACCAGCAGATAATTTAGATGCTAACACAGCAGATGTACACGAGGCAGCCGTTCCATTTCCAATGAGCGTGGTGGTCTGCACGTCCAGAAGCTTCAGAGGCGAATCACACACTTCTTGGATCGATTGTGCATAGACGGTCAGTACCGTTGCATGCAGAATAAATAGAGTCAATAGTAGCAATAATTTCGTGTCCATTGGCCTTCCATTCGCAAAGGAATGTTCCTTTCTGGTTTCTTTTTTCTAACGAATCTGAATCGCAGCTCGGGACGCGTATGGCTCATCTCGTTCCAAACGTTCAGACAAGTATTGAACGCACTCTCACTTGCTGTGGAGCTGGTCGTTGCCCTGCTTAGAGCGATCGCCTGCAGTTATGCTGCCATTCATCTTTGAATTTTGAAAACTGTGCTCTGCGACGCGTTGACCATCATTTATTGGACACACAATGATGAGAATATCTAAGCTGAAGTTTAGCAGCATTTTTGTAGCTCTCAATAAGTCAGAACCGCTCATTGGTCGAGCTCAAAAGGAGATTGGTCTCGACAACCCACACCACCTTTGTGAACAACAACCTTCATCAACAACGTTGTTTTCGCAACTCAAAAGCGACGCAACTATGCACCGACTGAATAGGAAGAAGGATGCAGACAACAAACCTGCATCACAGGACCCACTAGTCCCAAAGGACGACGACAACAACACCGTGAATGCAAACCTTTTTGGTGCACCAGACCCAAAGGAACCTGCAATCCCATCGTCGCCACGTGTATTTCCACCTCCTATATCTACCCAGCTCAGTAAATGGGTCGATACCCTGTCTAGACGTTCGGCACACGTGTCTGCCAAACCTGGCTCCACAAAATCACCAAAGACGCCTGGAGGGCCTGCCAGGAGAGTAAATCCGCAACGTATCGTTTTTCAAATATCTGAAATATTGGTAGGTTCAATGTGTAATATTGTGTGATTCTTTGGTAGTTGTGTTTGAGACTGCCTTGTCAATCATCACAATATGACTTTGGCGAGAGATTGTCCTGGTTGTAAGAACACAAATTTTGCCATCACCATGGGCTAATTCACTTTGTACAAATCATTTCCAGTTTATGATTGTGGGTCTCGTCACATTCCTGGCCGCTGTAATAATCTCTTCCGCCACGTCAATTGCACCTCTCGTGGAAATAGTCTACATGGCCCCTATCGGCATCTTCATCGTAGTGGGACTTTTGATGATTGCTGTGGGCGCCTTATCATTCTATGGAACATTCATTCGAAACAAACGAATGCTGGTGCTGCTTACAATGTCCAAAATCCTGATTGGCATTATCATCACTATCAATCTCTATATCAGCTACAAATACTTGTATGATGCATCGTGGTACAGCCATTTGGAAACTCGTTATGAAGTGGAGTACTCTAATGCTACCCGGCTGCAAATTCAAAAGACTGTAAGAATCTGTTGTCAATCCAACTCGTGAGTATAACTACTCGCGCCCGCATCTAGCTAATCTATCTGTACTTGTATAGTTGAAATGCTGTGGACTCTGGACTGCTGGAGATCCATACGTAGTCTACGACAATACCCAATGTTTCAAAAACCCACAGCTCGTATACAATGCAAACCAATTCGTGACTGATACCTATCTTCCATCTTGCTATCAATCATGGGATTCCTTCTGTCGAAGCTACTTGAGAGCCTCCTACTTGACATCTGGTGGCCTGCTCGCCTTCATCGTAGCTGCTTTCATTATTGATTTGTTGACCGTAGCTCATATCAATCATTAAGCTTTGATCTTAAACAGTTGTAAACCTACATTTTAATCAATGTGTCGTCTGCATGAGACCGAAAACTGTTGCCAAGTGTGAGACCGAAATTGTTGCAAATCACGAGATATCATATGATTGAGCGTAAACTACGTGTATTTTATGATTTAATTTATGAGAATTATTGCTTAGTTCGGGCTTCTCTGTCCTAGATCTATGTTTCTACAGTTCACTGAAACATATGGCAAAATCTGTCTTACCACAACCATTCCTTTGTAAGTTCTTTGAGGAGACCGTCGAATAGGAGAATCTGTCGAGAAATTGGTCGGGCTGTTAGGTAATTGAAACTCTGTTGTCTTTTCAACTTCGATTGAACCTCCAAACCAGGAGCACATCGAAATCATCCTCGAAAGCCAAAAGTTTCTTGCTTTTTACGAGACGCTTCGGTTTGAAGAATGCTCGAAGATATATTGGAGATTGGGCATAACATGCCAGCTTTGTAAGTCATAACGCTGGTCCTTAATACACTGTTGCGCTGTTTTGGCGCAATCATCAACTATGAACTCAACTAATCACTGTTTACCAACTGAACGTAGGCCTCCATACCCATCAAAGCCCAATACTTTTACGGAAAAGTTCAAGTCATGGATCAGAATTGCTTTCGTCCTCACTTACTTGAGCACAATCAATCCCATTATGATAATTTTGGACTTTAATTCGCCATACAAGCTCAAACATCGTCTGGTACACTTATCATTTATGGGCTGCATAACCATTCGTCATGTTTACTGATCCATATTTTATGCGTTAGGTTTTTGCAACTACGAGATATCTAATATCGTCCCTAAACATTTGGCAAGTGAGGGCCTTACTCGCTGCAGGACGAAACTCGATTGAATGGCGTGGGAAAAGGACTGGCCTGTTACGTCGTGTGGAGGAAAACGGGGTAAAGGGCTACTGGATTGGGCTGGCGTCGCAGAATGTCGAGCCTGAAAAAGCGGATGTAATCATATATTATCTCCATGGTCAGTTAGTGTCATTCCCTCCCGCTGTTCCTCGCGCTCAAATCCTTGTTTCAATAGGCGGTGCATATGTGATGGGATCTCCATTGACGTATATAAAGTTTGCACGAAAGTTGATCTCGTCCATAAAGACACGTTACGGCAGGACGGCATCAGTATTTGCTTTGGAATATGGGCTAGCGCCTGAATTCAAGTTCCCACATCAAGTGGATGATTCAACAGCAGGGTACGTATCAATGGGTTCGTCAACATTTCATCCATGCTTACACGCCTTCTCTGCTAGATACCGATACTTGCTAAACCTGGGTATTCCACCGACAAGGATACATTTTGCAGGAGATTCAGCGGGTGGACACCTAGTGCTATGCACTGCCTTAGCACTTAAAGACAGGAACCTGCCACAACCAGCCTCTCTGTCCCCACTAAGTCCCGTATGTGACACCCATAATCCGAGGCCGCTGATCAGACGAAGAGCTACCAATGAAGCATATGATATCCTCCCGTATGATACCCGACGAGGATGGGGCCCAATGCCGTACACAAAAGATCACGACCATATGACAACCTCACCGTTACGATCGGACAACTTAAATTCGATAGCACCCACGTTTTTGGTTGGAGGTGAATTTGAGATAATGATTGATGATATATGTCTGCTGGCGAAACGAATGGGTGCTCAGGGCGGCCATGTTAAGCTGTTTACTAAGCCGGGTTTGCCTCACACGTATTGGATGTTTCTTATGGATGAGCCGGAGGGGGAGGAAGTCATTGCTCTTGTGGCTGACTTTATGGCGGCAAATATAGGTGTAGCGTAAACAGGAATCCTTATTGGACTTGTCTCGTATGAGTAGTTACCTGGACGGATTTTGATTGTAAATACATTGACTTTGAACGATACAGGAATGCAGATTCAATTTCGGCCAAGTTTCCGTTTGTGCAAAGCACAATAATAGAGTAGCAACAACTTTATATGAGTAATACAACAGCTAGAGACATTTGAGCACAACGATGAAGAAGGCACAAGCCCATACGTGCATCCCGAGACATCGAGTCATAATTAGACACGAGCCTTGGATGGGTTTCTATGCACGCCCGGCGCATCTGGCGATATGATAGCCAAGTTCATGGGATGTTTGAGAGTAAATATCTGTAAAAGAAGCGATCAGCAAACGGACAAGGTTCTGCAGGTAAGAGTGTGAATCACCTTTCGTCCTGCCTGCACGGCCTGTTTCATCGCATTCTTAGCCAGTCCCTTCTTGCTTAACAAGGCATAGGCTGTATCCAGATCACTTGCTTCAAATGTAATTCCCCACAGGTCAGAGTGCTTTGATGGTATGGGAGCTGGGCGTGTTCCAAAACAATGTCAGAATATTTTCTTTACATGCATTCAAATGGCATACTTACTGACGCATTCCAGAATGACGGGTCCAATCTTGAAGAAGACCTAACAGTATCGCTATATAAGCATAGTTGACTCGTCGTGGTGCTGATGACACGATTCTTACCTGCTTTTTACCTTGACCGCCTGGAATTATACGTTCTCGTCTTGGATGGATGTTCAAGTGTTCCTTCAAAGCTGCTGATAGCTTGTCCATATCGGGGACCATTGCAACTACATGGTCAATCTATTGGAATTATATCAGTAATAAGTGTCGTATGGTTTCGTTTGTACTTGAGATCTTTAACACTTTGCGACATTCAACTTGCACACCACCACAGCCGTAACATGACTAACGTTTTGACTGATCTTATACCCTCCCAAACCACTGAGTATCAAAATCTACCTTGTGAATACAGTTGGGATGAACCTGAGACTCTAGTTTTCGTGGTGCCATATGGGCTGGGATTAGCAGAATGTCTATGCCGTCAACATCTGCTGGTAGAGAGAGACCAGCTACACTATCGGTTACGACTGACATGCTTGTAATTCTGGGCTTGCCATCGGTAGGAACTCCTGCAATAGTGAACTTGACACCTTCAACCACGGAATACGGTTTACCATCGGCACCGGTGGCTACTGTGAAGCCAGCTGAAGACCAAGAGTCGACAGAGTCGGCGATTACTATCTCGTGGAGGCGTACGGCGGTAGGCATGTTTGTTGTTTGGCTTTGTGCGTTGTTGGTTTTTGCGAAGTGACGATTTTATGAAAAATGAGCTGGTTGAAGCAGGAATTGTCCCTAAGGAACGAAGATATATGAGCGTGTAAATACGAGAACTGGTGCCGCTGAGACCGACCGTGTAAGTGGTTAGCCGCGCAATTTGCAAACTCGGGTTTGGTGACGTCGTGTTTCCCAATGTCTCGTCACAGTTTGGGACGGGGAGGGACTCGAACTGTCATTATCTGACTATTTCAAGTCTCGAGACATTGTCTCAGTTTGTTATCTCTCCCAGTCTCAAAAACGACGTGATTTTTATCACTTTTGTAGTAATTCACGCAAACTTATGGTAGTGTGACTAAACAGAACTCCTGGTAGTGATAGGCTGACACTCTTATTCAGCTGGGGATATAGCTCAGTTAGCTCAGTTGGTCCTTCTACAGTCACAATACGCAATGCCTTCCATTGTTGATCTTTGTCCAAATATGTGATTTACACGTGGTTTACCTAGATTGGCAATGATGGATCAGTAGAGCGTGCATAAATTACGTGTGAAACACGTCTTTTGGTACTATCTTGGTGTCTGTCTCCCGCTTCCTCTAACATGTCTCGTCGAAAAGGCGAATTCAATTCCTGACATCCAATCCAACAAGCATTCGATAGAGGATTGGAACGAGGGTCTGTAGGAGCAGCATATTGACTTCCCGACCACGTCAGGTACATATACGGACAATGCCGTAGTGGTTCCAGCTTACTGTTTTTCGCAGTTGCCATCAGCTCACATTTTTGGTTTTGTCAATTTAGCCACGACAACTCCAAGGAGGCTACATCCAAGGAGGAAAACTGAACCATTCAGTGCCCATCCACACCTCTGCATGTCAGATCTTTCCCAGCGAGATACGAAATCAATTGTGGTTTGCTCTTTCACCAAGTCCGTTTGCCTACGGTGCGTAAAAACTGAATGGAACTAGGACGATGACGCCTCCACCGTCAGCAGTGGGCAACTGCAAGTAGTGGCCATTCGCACAAGATGAGCTGCTCATCGTGCCTTAAGCATACCCACGATATGAGGAGATCGCTAGCTCGATCCCTGCCTGGATCATTTTTGACTACGTTGTCAATCCCTCATCAGCATTGGAGATTTGCTGTTGTTCTGTGGACTCGCTGTGGCCAGTTTGGGAGATGTTAACTGGCACATCTGACGAATTTACATGTAAGTAGCTGCTTCAGTTCGAAATGTGTGGCAGAAGTCGAATATTATGAAATTCTGAAACCAGAATAGAGGCCTTCGAGACGGATCGTTTAATTGTTTCGGGTTGTAATCTCCAGACTTATGTGACGTGGTGTTGTCGTTCGACGACTAGTCTAGCTTTCTTAAAGGATTGGATCAACAGAATCTCCAACAGTGGTCAGATATGCGGATCTTCATTTGAATCTGTTTGTAGAAAGCAAATTACTTGAATGCTTGTTTTTGTTTCCATCAAGACAGTGAGAACATCCAGAAAGGCGGCGATCAAGAGTTTGTCTACGTTACAGCACGCGTATTCAGGCTATTCACGCCTTCTTTGTTTGTTCTTTTCGCCTGCGAAGCAGAGTCATTGCAAACGAGTCACAACCAAATCACAGACGTCAACATTTCCCCGATTTTTAGCAATTAGGGATACTTTTGGTATATCTAACGATTAAACACAGTATACATACTCAAATTACCCCCATGGCGGTGCTATTCCGTCTGGGCTGGTCTTGCCCTGATTCCGTATCGACACCTTCTTCATCAGCTCGATCTTTTGCGAGGTCCGCTATGGATGACTTGTCTTTCGGTGACCTTGGTGTTGATGTGTCCTCCGTTAACGTGAGGCTAATGGCTGCTACTTGTAATTGTTGCTTGCATCATCGAGCATTGCCATCTCACATTTTTCATCTCCCCACATGTCTTGTGTAAACCAGAGCGTTGAGGACCTCCACCGATGCAGTGGCCCCAAAAGAGCAAAACGAACCATCCGGCATCGTGCTCAGAAACGCTATCGTCCTCAGAAACCTAACTCGGACGACTTTCCTCCACTGGTAACAACAAAAAGCTTGTGGTGTTTGGAATTGTTTAAGCTTGGTGCTAAACCTTTCCTTTTATCAGAACGATTCTACAAATGAATTGGTTGAATCTATTGAATCCATTGTAACAACTACTCTCCCTCTCGAAACTCCATCATACGCAGATGTCTTGATGACACCTGTCATCCTTGTTGAACAGCCTACTCCTCATCCACCACCAACAGTTGTTACCATGTCACATGTAGCTCGTGCCATAAAGCCTCGCCAGAAACACTCCCCTGTGCCCATAATACCCGCCATACCCAATAAGCGCAATGTCATACCAATCCTCGATTTGCGTAGAGACCGTCGACGTCGTGTCGCCTGTGTCAAACGAACTTCTGTTACTCCTGCTACTCGACGTGATTTGGCTAAATCTCTAGCTAAAAAGTACACTGGAGTTAAGAATGAATGCCTCGCTCCATTGTGGGCTCGATATGCAATGGCATGGGTTAGTAGTTTGTGTTTTCGGACAACTTTCAAGTGGGACTGTTCAAGCAATCAGCTAACGTTTCCCTAATCAAAATAGAACTGTGCATCTCTATACTAGAATCTCCCATCATCTACCCAATAAATCATCGCCATCATGTCGGTGAGTAAAATTATCAAGAAAAGACGTCAAATGTGACATTGTGATCAATAGTTTGAATCAGTTGCAATCAGTGAATTTGCAATTCCTACTTGAACTAACACAAAAACAATTTGATAGACCAAACCTAGTTTAGAAGAAGTAAAACAAGCTGCTGATGTCACGCAACATACCAACCCTCCCAACGTTATACCCATATATCAAGAAATCTCAGCAGACCTACTGACGCCCGTATCCGCCTATCTTAAAATATCTAATGGTGCAGCATCTCCTCACTCCTTTTTACTCGAATCCGTCGCTGGCGGTGAAAAAATCGGTCGTTACTCGTTTTTAGGGGTCGATCCATACAAAGTCATTCGAACAGGTGACGCCTCGACCGTAAAAGGTGATCCATTAATCACTTTAGAAAAGGAATTGAATGGTATTCGATACTATAAAACACCAGGTCTACCAGAATTTACTGGTGGTGCTGTGGGTTATATTGCTTATGATTGTGTCCGCTACTTTGAACCCAGGACATCGAAAATCGAGCTCCGTAATACTTTAAATCTCCCAGACGCAGTATTCATGATGTTTGATACTGTAGTCATCTTTGATCATCTCCACCACTTGATCAAAGTAGTCTCACACCTCAAACTCGGCCCAACATATGGTGAACGAGATCTAGATGCCGAATATGCTCGTGCTACTGGTGAAATTCATAAACTGATTGATAAACTAGAATCAGATGCCTTGTCATTCCCAGTACAACCACCAATAGTATCAGGTGAAGCTGTCTCCAATATCGGTAAAGCAGGTTATGAAGAGTTTGTAAACAAACTCAAATATCACATAGTAGAAGGTGACATTATTCAATGTGTACCATCTCAACGAGTCAAGAAGCCAACGACTCTGCACCCATTTAACGCATACCGACGACTCCGTAGTGTTAATCCATCACCCTACATGTTTTACGTTGATTGCAGAGACTTTCAACTAGTAGGTGCATCACCCGAATTACTAGTCAGTGTCGATACTGCTCGTAAAGTAACAAACCACCCTATTGCTGGTACAGTCCGTCGTGGAAAGACACCAGCCGAAGATGATGCATTGGCAACACAGCTACTCTCTGATGTAAAAGAACGAGCTGAACATATTCAACTAGTTGATTTAGGACGTAATGATATCAACCGTGTATGTGACCCAAAAACCGTCAAGGTCGAATCCTTAATGCACATTGAACGCTTCTCCCATGTTATGCACATCGTATCTCATGTCACTGGTACATTGAGAGAAGAGAAAACACCATTTGATGCCTTCCGCAGTGTATTCCCAGCAGGTACCGTCTCTGGTGCTCCAAAAGTCCGAGCCATGGAATTGATTTATGAATTGGAACGTGACCATCGTGGTACATATGCAGGTGCTGTCGGCCATTTTGATTATGCAGGTGGATTTGATACTTGTATTGCCATTCGAACCATGCTATTCAAAGATGGTGTTGCTTACTTGCAAGCTGGTGGTGGAATTGTATATGATTCTGACCCTGAAGCAGAATATAACGAAACTCTGCATAAACTCAACTCGAATGTCATGTCACTTGCTTCAGCTGAGGCCTTTTATAGTATTCCTAGCAACAACAAGACCAGGGTAGTCTCTGTATTAGAAAATAAGAGTACTAGTCCAATGTTACCTTTCTCTACAAATGGAACTCCCATGTTCAGCACTCAATTTAAGTACAACGGTCAAACTCACTAAATACTGAATTATTGCTATAGTAAAAAGGTCAGTTCTTTGATCTTGGTTGCTTCTTGTTGACTTGTTGGTTTAAAGCACCTCTCACGTCTCAACGACCTTCTTAACTAACACAAACATTTCTACACAGAACAGAATGAACGGACCATCAAACACTTCGATTACGACTACGGTCACGACCTATACCACAACAATGAGCAATAACTCTGCGCCTCATAGTCGCAGTAGCACTGCCTCGAATTCTCCACAAACCTCGATAAGTCAACCACAACAACCACACCAACCCGCCGTTACGATTTTAATTGATAATTATGACTCTTTTACTTGGAATGTATATCAGCGACTATGTGAATTGGGTGCCAACGTAGTGGTCTTCAGAAACGACCAAGTTACGGTGGAAGAGTGCATGGCACTCAACCCTCGCAATATAGTGATATCACCGGGTCCAGGGAAACCCCGCGATGCAGGCGTGAGTAACGATGTTATTCGCGCTTTTGCAGGCCGGGTCCCTATACTTGGTGTATGTCTAGGAGAGCAATGTATGTATGAGATATATGGTGGTGAGGTGACGAGAGCCGGTGAAACAGTCCACGGCAAGACGTCAGCAGTAACGCATGATGGGAAGGGGTTGTACGACTTGGTACCGCAACATATCGAATGTACTAGGTATCACTCTCTAGCTGGAAACCCTCGTACGTTACCTGATTGTCTAATCGTCACCGCATATACGGACTCTGGTATCATCATGGGTGTAAGACACAAGACCTTTGTCATGGAAGGAGTCCAATTCCACCCAGAATCTATTGCCAGTGAATATGGACGAACCATCTTCCGTAACTTTTTGAGATGGGAAGGTCCAACTTGGGATCAGCTTGTCTTGAGAGATGATTTGGTGCCGGATACTGTAGCTGAGGATGGATCAGATGTTGGATCAGGGCGTGGTGCTACTGGTGGTGGCATTCGAGGACCTCCTACAGCGAATAGAGTAGGAGGTGGACTTCAAATAGGTGGTGGTATAAAAATCAACTCAGTCTCACCAGCCTCCAGCCCTTCTCGATCCGTGCTCGCACTGCCTAATGCTAATGGAAGCAGTGCCCCTGAAAGTGTCGCTGGTAGCAGTAGTGGTTATTCGACACCGATACATCCAGCTGCTATCACTGCAGCTGCTAGGATGATGACCAACAGAGACATAAATAGAGAAATCAAGGCAACCTCCGTACCATCTTTTTCAAACTCACCAGTTCTCCCACCATCACCGATAGTATCACCATCCGCTGTGAAAAAGGACTCGATACTCGAAACCATAGCCAAACGACGAACACTTGATTCTGCACAAGATAAAGCAATACCTGGTAAATCTCTAGCACATGTATCCAGATCAATAGCTCTTGGTCTCGCTCCACCATGTCTAGATTTCTATCAACGAATATTGCAAGCTAGTCATCCACCATCTATAGTAGCAGTCATGGCCGAAATCAAACGAGCTTCTCCATCAAAGGGAGATATAGATTCAACAGCACATGCAGCTCAACAAGCCTTGTTGTATGCTAGAGCTGGCGCATCAGTGATTTCGGTCTTGACTGAACCTACTTGGTTTAAAGGCTCCATAGAAGATTTACGACAAGCTCGAATCGCAGTCAATAATTTAGCTGATCGACCAGCTATATTGCGAAAAGAGTTTGTGGTCGATGAGTATCAGATATATGAAGCTCGTTTGGCTGGAGCTGATACAGTTTTGCTGATTGTGGCTATATTGTCTGATCAGCAGTTAGCTGCTCTCATGTCTGCCAGTCGTATGCTGGGTATGGAGCCACTTGTGGAAGTGGCTAATACTGAGGAAATGGCTCGTGCTATCAGAGCTGGTTCCAAAGTAGGTGCAAGCCACTTGACAGACTTTTTTTTGCACCATCACCAAATCAATGATTTTGAATTCGAAACGTGGCATTTTTCGTATCTTTTGCTGACGAGTAATTCTTCGTGTATAGGTAATTGGAGTGAATAATCGAGACTTACACACATTCAATGTTGACCCGACGCGTACTTCAACATTGGCGTCAATGGTACCATCCAACGTCATATTGGTGGCACTCTCTGGAATATCCAGTCGACAAGATGTAGAACCCTACATTCGATCTGGTGCCAGAGTAAGTTTCTTGATTAAATTGTGAAGTGCACACATTCGAATACGTCACATGCCGCTGTTTTTCCCTTCAAATTTCAAATGCTATATTATGCGACATACTTTCCAGTACTTACTCGTGACTCATTTTTCTGCAGGCTGTGTTAGTAGGAGAAGCATTAATGAGATCAGGATCTCCAGGAGACTTGATTCAATCATTACGCGGTGTCACTCCCACAAGTACCTCGCGTAGATTAGTACGACACGCCAAGATATGTGGACTGACAAGAGCCGCTGATGCACTTGTGGCTGCCAGAAATGGAGCATCCTTCTTAGGGATAATATTTGCACCTAGTCCGCGCCAAGTGACACCAGACCAGGCTCTAGATCTCGTTAGACAAGTCTCAACTGAACTCCGTTGGTCTCAATTACCATCTCAGCCACATTTATTATCAACATTGCCTATACCTGGCACCACAACCAATATAAACCAAGGATTGGAGGTGGGATACCGAGTCTTGACGAGCTCACCACGACCGTTGTTTGTTGGTGTCTTCCAGGATCAGCCATTATCTTATATACATGCTACAGTTACCAAGGTCGGATTAGATGTAGTGCAGTTACATGGAGATGAACCCGACTCCATAATTGCACTCATTCCAGCACCCGTAATCCGAGTCGTCCATGTTCAACCATCAGATTCAGTCGTAGCTATAGAAGACCGAGTGAATTCAGCGGTAAGAGCAGGAGCCGCAGCTGTATTGCTCGATACTGCATCAGCAACGTCCAAAGGTGGTACTGGACAAGTATTTGACTGGAGTGTAGCCGCACATCTGGCATCAAAGGGCATGTATATTATGTTGGCAGGTGGATTGACTAGTGAGAATGTGGGACAGGTAGCAGTGTTGGGACCATATGTATGGTGTGCTGACGCCTCGTCGGGGGTTGAAGGAGTGAATAAGGGAGTCAAGGACCCAAATAAGATTATTTCCTTTTTGAAAGCAATTTCATAGTCTGATAGTACCCGCAAAAAAAAGAATTGATGACCAAAATATAAAGTGTTGACCAGAAAAGATTTGTATTTGTGTCGCAGCGCGTGCAGTTAAGTGATCTATTGCCTCGGACATACTGGCGACGCGCTCATGATGTTTCCACTACCTACAGCTACGTTGTTGCGTTTGAGACGACTATCGGATGAATGTTTTGCAAATCCAGTGAAAATCACTCGATTGTTCTTTTTTGGATGCAGCAAAAGGCCATTTTTAGTAAACATTACCAAAGTAGTTATCAAACGACGAACTGGAGATTAGTATGAACGCTGGCTGAATAGTGAACGACACCTATAGTAAGTCCCATGCACAAACTTCTATTGATTAGCCTTGATCAAGTTTATCACATTCTGACAAGCTCATTTCCAAGACAGCAACCAAGCTTTCAATTCTACGCAGAGATGTACCAGCAGCAGGGAGGCAGATACAATGCTTATACTACTCAGGCAGGACTGCCGAACTTTGAATCCGTCTTCTCTACGAGCATGGGCATGTCCCCAAATCAAACGCAGACATACATCAACCCACAGCAGAGCTATTCGCCTATGCTAAGGAGAGAAGAAGCACCCCAACAGCCCATTATAAATAACCCGTATTCATCCATATCTTCCTTAATAACGCCAGACTCTCATGGGGCTACAATAGCAACAAACACATATCTAAATCCAGCTCCTAACGTCTCTCAAAATCGACCTGCATCGGCACCCTCAGATATCTATCATCCTCGTCCTATACACTACAGGCAACAAGGACCAGGCTCTGAACGAACGCCATACATCCCCCCACTCCAGCAACAATATAATCCCAACGACCACGACCATGCCGTTGAACAGCACTCTGACAATGGATCTGACGACGGCGATAATGATGCTGGGGGTGACCATAATGCTAGTGGTGGGAATGGAAACGAACCAGATGGATCTTCTGACGACTCGGTGTTGGCAGTCCGTGCAAATCTGTCTCGTCATGTCTCGTCGGTTATATCGCACTTTACGTCAAACAAGGAAGGATATCAGCGCTTGCTAACTGAATTGGACGATATATTGTATGTCATGAACCCTAATGGAGTCATCTTGTTTGCTGCTCCATCTGTCACAAAGTATTTGCAAAAGGATGTTACAGAGTTGATTGGTGCTAGTTTGAGTGATCATTTGCATCCTGATGATATTGGTACTGCTAAAAAACACTTGAAGAATTGTGCTGATACGAAGGTGGGTGCTGTTACTCCTTGTGCTAGTATTTGTTGGGTTAGATAGTTTTTTTTGTCGCTTCTTTGAAACGGCAGAAAATGTCTGGTTTTCCTCGTTTCTATGCTCTGTTTAATATGAAGAATGTAGTGCATGTCGTAATATTTGTATCGCTCAACCAAATTTTGTCATAATTAGGGTGAAGTGCAATTCTATGCCCGCTTCACACGTAAAACAAACCAGCCACTGCTACTCGAAGTTCGAGCTCGACCGTATAACGACCCAAACGGAATAGTCCGTTTCATCATCGCATCAGCACGAGAATACAAGACTCGAGGCTCTGTATCGATTGATTCCATAGTCGAACTTCGTATAGAAAACCTTCGATTACGTCGATTACTAGAACTAGCTGTACATCAACAAGGATTAGATCCACGTGCTCATCCGCTATTAAAAGATTTGGCGCTGGAACCTAGTCCAAATCTGGAAGCTCCTGAAGCTGATTTCGTGGATGTTAAGCTTGGAGCTGCAAATGAAACGAGGCAGGAAAGTCCTGGTGGAAGTAGTCTGAAGCGACCTGGTGATATACCAATGATCCAGAATCCTTCCAAGAAGGTATGTTGGTGGAAAACGCTAGAGTTTTTTTTTTCAACTGGAACATTTTGTACTGACATGCTAAACCTTTCAATAGTCAAAGCCCACTCAGGAATTATTCTGTCGGCAATGTGGTACTACTAGCTCGCCTGAATGGAGGAAGGGACCAGATGGACCGAAAACGTGAGTATAGGAATTGACCTCATCTGGCTCTTAGAGTAAACTCATTTTTCTCATCATCTGAATTAGTCTTTGCAATGCATGTGGGCTTTCCTTTTCCAAAAAGTTGCGAAAAGAAGGCAAAAAGCCAAAGTAGACACCCACACACGCATCACTCTCATTCTTTCAGCTTTTGCAGTCATTCCCTACCTATCACTTCATGCCTCTTCAGTTTAGTTTGGATTAGTTAGTAGTAGTATACCAATATCTGATCTTTGTAGATAGTACTTATAGTAATCACGAAACGCAAACAGAGACTTTCAACTCATGCAAATCAATAATGACTTGAAAGAAAATTATTTCATTTGATATGATCCGAGTACATGCAATGACGAGCACATGCTTTTAACTTCTGTGGCAAGTTTTAAAGGTGATGGTGATATGATTTCAATATAATACGTATAATTCCAGTTCTCAAGCCCAGAAGGCCTTGAATCTATCTTTGTCACCATGATGTCTTTACCCTTCCCCAATTTGCAGCACACTGTTGCTATATTTTCATCCTGTTTCAACGTCATCATTAAATGTGTCTTGATCTTTAATGTCGGTGCTGCCGTTGCACTACTGCTAGCTTGTGTGTCTGCATTACTATTACTAGCACTCGACCTCGTCACAAGCAAGAATCGAGTCGTGTTATCATTAGCGTCTTCCACATTCTCCTGCAGCACTTTTAGATTATACAGTTCTGCACATACGGTTGAGCATATCGCTATACTTGTATGTGGCGAGTTGGCTGCTAGTTGAGCGGCGTGCGATGTTGATGAGACGGGTACTCGTGATGGTGGACTGGTGGTTGTTTTGCTGTGGGTGTTGCTGGGGAGGAAGCATTCGTCCAAGTACATTTTGACTTGGGATAGCGCTTCTGGATGTGAGTAGATGTTTGTGATTGTGCTCTTCCAATCTGATTTGTGTGCAAAAATGACGTTAGCGACAAAAGTAACATATCATCCAAATAACTCCGGAGAACTCTCGCAAACCTCCATCAGGATTCGGAACTCCTAGCACAGACTGGTGCACCACATGGTACAAATCGTTCACAATCTGTATCCTGCCTTCACTACTACCATTGCTTGCATCATCACCACTCCTTGCAACACCAACAAACTTTTTAAAAGCATCTAAAGCCTGAGTGACCGATCCAGAGCGAGAGTTCTCCCATGGCACAAGCGCATACTGTGTTTTGCCGGATACGAGGTTTTCAAATACAGAGGCTATCGTGTCTGCCTGGACTAGTTTGAATTCGGTTGATGTGGGTGACGTTTTAGGCAGTGACATGGCTGCAGCGTGGGAGTGAGAGCCTGGAGGTCCCAAGTAGGATAACGTAGAAGTGGATTCGATGTCATCGTCAGTGTTGTTCTTGTTGTTTGAGCGTCTAAGTTTGGAAGTTTTTAGGTGATGTTAGCTTCAAATAACCATACAAAATTAGAAGAAGAGGGTAGAGAACTTACTTGGCTTGCGGCGATGCATCAGTAGCGGCCTTGCGCTTGCTCGCTTTACCGCTCATCGTGGCTGTAAAGTTGGATTCCGTTGTCTGAGTTTGAAATTGGGAAGTTGACGAGAAGTATCTGATGGGACTTTGGACGCGACAAGCATTAGAAAGACAGAGGTAGCAGTAACTAGTATTTGGATTATAGTTCAAAAAGGCTTTGTTTCGACGCGATCGCTCATTGTTGGCCAAAGATGCTTGGAACACAAAACAATGTAGCTTGCTGAGAAGAGTTTCACGTGAAAATTATTTGGTACCAATTTATCTTTATTTTACCACCATGCACTAGAAAATTACATGTCAAAACCTATGCGTTCAATCCAAAAAAGTAAATAAATCACGTACGATCTTAGTACGTAAATAAATCACGTACTAGGAAACCTTCAGGCCGTACTAGTAAACTATACCATTTGGTTCAATGACTTCAAAACAATGAGGGAGTGGTTGTTTTATAATTGTTCTTTGATAATGAGGGGTGGTGTGTATGGCGTCATAGCTGCTGCTCTCTTTAATATAATGGTTGTGGTGTTTGCGTTTTTATTCTTCCTTCTCTATCATAGATTCCTCATCAACATTCAATATGGATGATACACGAATCAATCTTCACAATGGGCGAGATACCTGTTCTATATGCTGGGCTCGGAGTAAACATGGGTGATGGTGCGGCATTGATGTGAGTTATACAAGGGTGTCGAGTGCCGGTGGGAGGAGTTGGTGTTTGACAACGGGGTTGGGGAGTAGTGTCTTGACCAGCTACACCACTTCCGTCTGTATTCATGGGTGCTGGTTCACCGTCAGTCAAGTCGTGATTACTGTCACTGCTACTGACTGGCACTATGGCAAACTGCATACGAGGTTGTAGAGTTTGTTGTTTCTCTTCTTCAGCGGCCGTACCAGGACCTACAGAAGAAGCCTTGCCACCAGCTCCTTTCCTTTTGTTGCCTCCTTTCTGGTTTTCAGCTTGCTCTTTGGCTTGTTGAGCCTTTGCTTTTTTACGACCACGAGTCCAACAGGTATTACATAATGTAGATCTCCCCCATGGGCCTGAACGCCTTTGAGAAGTGGTTGTTGTTGCACACTGATCACAATCCCAGACTGATGGTTTTGGCTTCTTCCGATGAATTAAAGCACGACTAGGAGGCGCAGGTCGTTTCCCTGTCTTCAACGGATTTACGGTATCGGTACCGAACAGTGGCGACAAACCGGCCTGAGATAAGAAAAAGGTTAGAATCCGTACAAAATGCACATTACATCCACTTGAATGCGAGTCTGAGCAGCTTACCATTTCGTGCCATTCCATCATATTTTCCGCAAATTTACGGCAGCGACGGCGGTTGATGCGGTTTTCTTCTTCGTAGTCGTCATCGTCTTCATCAGCATACCAGTGATTGTTTTGAGATTGTGGTATATTACTCGGATCAAAACATGAAATCAATAGCATGTCTTGACCTCGGCGAATAGACGGTGTGGGTCTAACTACTACACCACAAAGAGACGGCCTAAGCATATGTGAAATGTCAAAATTAAAATTTTGATTCGAAATGTAAGAAAGCACCGTGCGCCGGCGGAAACACAGATCAAATTTGCGAAGAAAGGTGGTTTCTAATATGAAGCTCTGTCCTTCGTACTATAAAGCACTTACCATGATCCATTGAAGCCCCTAGCAGCCGAGTGACATTGCTGAGGAGGGGATGAGATACCATTCGTTTTGAGGTCTGGCAATACGAGTGCAGCTTCAAGCGAATCATGTCCTTGCTGCTGGGATCCTTGCTGGCCGTGATGCTGTTGACTTGTAACGTCCATATCCATTCTACTATTCAAGTTACTGCTACTGGGTTGTCCTGTAGGAGTAGTCAACGTGGGAGTTGTTGTGGGAGCTGATTGCAATTCTTCTCCTAATAGGGTGGCCAAGTCTTCACGGTTGCGTCGTGCTTGACGGTCTCTCTTAGCTCTTATTTGAGCCTTTGTGAATCGAGTAGGAGGCGGGACATCCGCGGTTCCGATAGTACTATTGTTTATTGTGGAAGGAATGTATAAAAGAAGGCAGATTAGTAAATAACCTCTTGGATTAAAAGTACTGAGTAAGACAATCAACCCGTTGTGCAATTCCAACACAATTTTCGAAAACACATCCACAAAATAGGTTGTGACTTTTGACACTCTGCAGACTTCACTTATAATTCTCAGAGGAGACGACTAGCATCACACTTCAAAAATTTACAAAAACTTTCAAGACTTACGCATTGCCATATCCAGTTCTAGTACCAACTTCTTCGTCTGTACCAGCGACTCCAGTCATGCCAGGCATAGACCTCAACCACTCGGACCTCTTTATATCATCTTCATCCGGGGTTCGTGACCGTTTGCATGATCCAGCTCCAATGAGCACTGATGCTGCATTGTAGTATGGACGAGGCGGTGGCATGGCAAAAGGTGGAGTATTGGGTGTTGGGTGTGGTGACGAAGGAGCAGCAGTATATAGTGTTGTCCTAAGTATCAGTAAAACGAGAATGGTTGTTAGTCATGATTCAAACTGCCCGGACGCGATGCGTTGGGAAAAAGTAAACTCAAAGGTTGTCAAGGAGGCAGATTTCAACTCAAAACTCATTCAATCCATTGAATTCTACGTCTTCCATCACACTTTAGCGTGTGCTGCTTTCCACTGAAAGCACTTCTCCTCGAATTTTGTACAGGTTGACAAGAGAAACAATCAAAGAGATACAAACAGTGTCAGAACAGGCTACAAACACAGACTAGTCGATACTATGAGAACTTACCAAGACCCATTGATTGATTCACCTTGTTGAGGAGGGGGTAATATCCCATTCTCTCTCATAAGTTGCAAAACGAGCCGAGCTTCCATAGCATCATATGTTTCCGTCTGGTCTTCTTGCTGGCTCTGAGGCTGATTATTTGACAATTCCGTATCACGATTACTATTGATGCTAATACAAATTGTTTGTGCTGTAGCTGTACAGGTCGTGGGGGTTGTTGTCAGGGTTGATGATGATGCTTCTTCTACTACAGGGCTAGATTCATCGATCATATTATACTTTAACGATTCCATGTTACTATTGCTATTGATGCTACTACTAGTGGGTTGTGCTGTCGAACTGCTGGATGTGGGAGTAGTTGCAGGGATTGACGTTGATGCTTCTTCCGTTTTAGTGCCTGATACATCGAGATTGGCTGACTGGTTACGGTCCAGTTCGGCACGGATTAGGTCCTTGATTGCAGCAGGTTGGCTCAACTCTGTGCTGATTGTCTCCTTCAAATGACTTTCAAAACCTGTAACAACAATCAGGTCATGATGTTTGCTGGTAGGGTGAGACGTGGCCGGTGCTGATGCAGGACGAGTGGTGGAAGTAGGAGTATAGAATGATGGCGAGGTCCATCTTCGAATATCACGGAGCAGGAGCATGTATCCTTGTCTTTCAGTCAGGGCATTATATAAGACACATGCAATTAGATTTAATCCACGTATAGTTTGTTTCAAAGTCATCTTGAGAGATTCTAGGAACAAGACGGTGATATGTTAATTGTTTGTCACTACCATGGTAAGTGTTTTTCACCAATTGGGACCCAACAAGCAGCTTGGCAAACTGCAGGGCACGGAAAAAGACATAGCATGATGCCAAGATATTCATGCATATTGTATAAATCGAATCCTTACCTTCTCTGATGTGTGCTTGTGGTTGTATGCTTCTGCAGAAGAAAAAAAGTGATTTATTGAGTTCAACGTCCAAATGTTGCCAGTGCAAACCAGCAAAAGCTGATAAAGAAAAGTGATTTTCGACGACTCTGTCAATTTTTGGCCGTGCAGAATGATGTGCTTACTTGAGATACTATAGCTTGTCAGCTGCAAAGATGCAAACGAGTATGTTAGAAAACGGCCAAACCGAAACATGCCAAAAACAAGCAGAAAGACAAACAAGAAGCCAACTTTTCGAGCAGCAGTCGATTATACTGATGCATTGGCATCGATTACTTACTGTTAAATCGTCCAAAATGTTGGGGGCCAATATTTCTTCTAGTATCATGTGTTTGTACTGGAGAAAGAGTATGGTGCGTACCCAACAACACAAGGAAGGAGCAAGTGTAATGAAATCCAATTAAATACAAGGATGTAACGATCATCCGCCTGTATTCGACGATATACGAACGAATGGCCAACCACTGCAGGCGTGTCAGATCGACACGAAAGTACATATACAACATGAACCCAAGTGACGATATTTGACACGGAATGCATTGAGATGCATCCAAACTGCATATCGAAGGGCTGATACTAGGCTTGAAGAATGTCTGGAACACGTCAACCAATTTCCACTTCAACCAAGATTTGCAGTATAAACAACTCCAGTTTTATTGTCTTTGAGATGAAACGTCTACGAAAACATGAATTGCTGTCGTCTAATATTAGACAACAACTTCCTGATCACAGCAGTGAGTTTGGTCAAATGTGGATGTCCCCATGGATAAAAATGTGACTGGATGAGCACCACACACCCATTCCGCAAGTGAAGTTGGGAGGGAGTATGGAATTTTCATATGATTTGAGCTCATTGGATGATTCAACAAGAGAACTAGCTGTGTATATGACACGGTCTAGTTGGCAAGACAACAAAATTGAAAAAATTCACTTGGAAACCAGCAAAGTTGTGGCGGTTGAAAAGCTAGAATATCTTGTGCTTTGGTTATATAATCCATTTGGTATCCTCGCCAGCGTGTCTCGTGAGCGATCGTTCAGGAAGAATCATACGTTGGATCTCAGCAATTTTGAAAAAAGTGCATTTCGCGAACAAAGAAACAGTCACCCGTGACTAATGCTAAAAATTCAGGACTTATAAATTGGTTATATGTATTGTGCAACTTGTAAATCTAGACGAATGTCACGTCATAATAAAATCTGTTGTTATTGTACAAACTAGACTTGATGAAAGCTCCCATCCTAAATATCCCTTCCAAAGGCCCCCAGTTTTAATCCCAGTTCTTGAAGGTATTACGTTCGGGTTGCCGTTCAACAGTCAAGGTGCGTTGCAATGTAGCTAAAGTTCTACTGAGAGTACTTGATCGACCCAAGATAGTTGGATTAGCAGCGCTGCTTGGAGCCATGGTATTGGACCTGCCCATTGCAGAATGAGCGGGCATGGAGCTACTTGGTTGTGGTCGTGGAGCTGACATGGACACCGTAACAGATCTATGAATGTTGCTAGCTTCATCGGATAGTTGCAACTTCTGATCTTCCACGAATGAAAAGTGTTTGACTGGTTGCATACTCTTAAATCTTCGGACGTCAGCGTTTGACATGTCACCGGTATTACCAGTATGGTGATGATTGAGTCCGGCAACCATGGACAAGTCCATCTCGGGTGATGGTAGATTCGATCCTGCAGACATCAACTGAGGAGATGTGACATTGGTCAACGTTGGAGTTACAATAAAGGCCGAGTCCAGGGACTCGTTGCTGCCATTGCGGACATTGTCTTGCAAGAAACCAGTCTTTTTGATAGGTGTACCGGCTTTTATAGTAGCTGAATGACGAGGATGCACTGAGTCTGCTGTAGGTGATTTCATGGCACTGACGCGAGTAGGTGATGCATAGTCCACCACATTCAAAACGTCGTTCTTCCATTTAGCTTCAAAGATGGTCAAGTCTTCTTTATCGGTGGTATGATCAGCTCCTTGACGAGTACCCCAATCAGTATTATGCAGAGAGAAGAGACAGTAGACCTTCATTATGGCAAAGGCATAATTGAAGATGAGCCATACTGGCAAATACAAGATGTCCTGGGGTCTCTTTACGAAATGGGGCATGTACTTTACGAGACGAGTCAACAATAACCATATTACGTATGAGAGGATGATAACCCATGGTGACAAGCGAGCGTTGACGTCTTTAGATTGGTCGATGCACATGTAGATAACCGTAGCGGGCCCGTAGAGTAGAGTCAATGGATTGAAGAATTTGTCAATCATTTGGTATGCGACAAAGGGATAACGGTTCCAGATCTTTCGTTCCATAAACAGGGATTTGATGTCACTCCTCCAAGTATTGCGAGTCCATCTCATGATTTGCTTCAAGAATCTCCAGTTGTTTTTAAAGGTTGATGCCAGTTCGGCTTGTTTGCAAGCTTGTATGTGAGTATTCCAGTCGTGAGAGACAATCCATCGAGTAAGGAATTTGTCGTCTCCAGAGTGTTGATGGCATGGAATCCATTTACCGAAATACCATCTGTACCAGTACTCGTGGGTGAATTGCCATTGGAAGTCGTGGTCTCTTAGAATACTGGTTCTGTAAGCAGCGGTACGTCCAGATAAACAGCAGACTCCACCATCAATATAAGTGCTTGAAGTGACTTCGATGTTTCTCATCTGGGTAATAGTTAGCGGAAAGACGTTAGATTCTGCCACGCTACGAATACGAGTACTATGATATGCGTAAACAGGCAAAAAAACTGTAGAAAAAGGTCCTAACGCAACATGTACTTACAGCAATACGGTATGCAGACAAGACTTCCCATACAGTCATATGTTTACCAACAGGGACGACACGTTGAGTAGTACCGACACCACCCATCTTTGGATCTTCAAAGGGAGCGAGCATATATTGGAGCATCGTTTCAGGCCACATCACATCGTCATCACAAAAGACAATAATGTCGGTCTTGGTGTGATTGATACCAGCCACCATTTGATTACGTTTGTTTGGCCTATTCAGAATGCATTGAGAAAGGTTAGCACCACTAAAGTCCGTCTACTGAAGAGTATTACAAGACACACAACGCACTTTTCAATGCAAACCACACGAATCCTTTCTCGTTTAGGATCGACTTCATTAGCCAAGTCTTCTAAACCTTGTTTGGCCTTGTTTGTAGTAATGAAAATGATCTGAATCGAGAATTGTTGGAAATGTTAAAATATTGAATCAAATGTTGGAGCGATGCAAACCAACAACAAAGCAGTGCGAAATAAGCATACTTGGAATGGATCATTCTTCAACCAACTACGAACAGCAAGCTTGATTTCTTCACCGGAATCGATCGTAGGCACCAATATCGTCACATCACGACTTGTATATTTCGGATTCGCAATTGGCTTCCATGGTTTGTAGAGAGACCATGCCAACAGCTTGATCATAAACCAAAACCATCTGTATATACCAATGAATCCGAAGGGTATAAACACCGAGACCGTGTTCGGCGTCAAATAAAACATGCTTGTTCGTGTTTCGTTAGTTTGGTGAAAGGCGCCAACAGCAGCAGAGAGGGATGCTGATGATGCTCAACACACGCTTGGATACGTGCTCCTGATAATCACAGCAAAACACACGAGCTCTATGTCTCCTGGTTGCTACTTTGTTGAAGGTTGTTTAACTTTGTTCAAAAGCTGCTGCGCAGTCTCGTCGAACCACTCAACCCTGCTTTTTGCTTGATTGATGACGAACGGGTGAATCGGGTGGCCGGTCGTTTACCGTGAGATCTGGTTTGTATTTACAAGGCGATGCTCTTCTGATATATGTAAATTATTATATTCTTTTACACATCATGTTCCTTCGATCCATCACTTCCAGTGGGAGAATAACTCAAGCGAGAGTACTGGGCAACCTCAATGTCATCTTCTTCATACACTCCAGACTTGATTGCGAAATACACCCAAGCGGCAGCGATGCCAGAAGCTACATGGAAGAAGGTACATAGAATCATCCAAATCTTGACCAACTCTGCATCTATTGTTCGTTGTTGAAGCATGAGCGGTATGCACTCGTTGGCAGTAAACGTGCAGTTGAGTTGGCTCATGATGAATCGTTGGTCTGCGGGAGGTAGACCAGTCCAGGCCGAAGTATCGTCTGATGATGCAATGGACGATGCATACAGTGCCATATAGACATGTGCGATTACATATGGAACAGTCCAGAGGATACAATTCAGCATTCCTTTAGCCGACATTACATAGTTAATTGCGCATCCTAGTGCACCTCGAATGAAATTTGCTCCGCCAAGAATCAAGAGTCCTAAAGAGCAACACGGTTACAATCAGCCCATGTATACTAATTTGCGGGCACTCATTTCTATTCTAGTACAGTGTAGAGCGACCGCATAGTCAAGAAACGTGCAAAACTTGCCCAGCAATAATGTCGATGGAAACACGGCAGTTTGGCCTCGAAACTCACTAGTACCAGTATACACCGAGCTGGATACTCCCTATATGACATAAATCGATTTAATATTCACGCCTTTGCCACACTGTTCAGAAAACCTGCCAACATTCTTATTTACCAAAATTGCCAGACCATTTACAATAATGCCAGCGGTGCATAGAAACGCTAGCGCTCTGGCACCTCTTGCAAGTAAGTCATGCCGAAACATCTCGGATTTTTAAGTTGGCAAATGCAAGCTTGTGCCGATGTTTGATCTATCGCTACCAGCAATGAGGGTTTGGGATGTTGAAAACACCCTATTGAAGGCGATTGTGTCAAACCTTGTACACTCAAACAACTTTAAATTTTGTTAACGCATCATTACAAAAGGATGGCACGTCTCTCTTCGGCCATCTTGCTGTTTCTCTACCTGGCATTCACCAACATCATCACCACCAACGCGTTTTCGATATATGCCAACTTTTCAACGTTCGAACCATCTTCAAATCCAGTGCCCGCTGATTTCCTCGCATTATCGGTCGAATGGCAGCAAGTCATCAAATCGTTCATGAAGTATTACAGAGGAACGGCCACCAACATACCCAATCCCATAATGATTCGCTTACTACGAAACCTAGCTGCTGAAGTCAACTATGCTAGTATGCCAACAATCCGAGTTGGTGGTAACAGTGCTACAATCCAATGGTGGAATGGCTCCTCTCTTGTAAGGCCAAACGCAGCTAGCTATCCAGTATCGTTTAGACACTTTGGAGCTATGGAAACCGTTGCTCATAACGCAGGAATCAAACTCGTAAGTAAAATGGCATGAACGAATGCGTGAGCTGTACTGACAAATTTCTGATGTAGGTCGCTAATATCGGAATGCTGAACGGCACTGATCCATCAGCTGCAACTGATTTTATCGCTTCAGGAATATTGGCCAACATCAACTACAAGAACTTGCTGGCTATTGAATTGGGCAATGAACCTGAACTGTATGTTCGTAATGGACGTCGTGATCCAACTTGGGATTATTTTACTCAAACACCTATTGAATTCCAAACCTACTTGGCCAGTATCGCTGCCGCGATTCCATCCATGCCCACTACAAACTATTTCTGGGTAAGCATAATGTTAGCGTAATAGGTCACTTCAAAGTATTATCGTTCTTCCTGGGTGTGCTTTTTTTGCGATACTAAACACACGTCCACCCTGATATCATTAGGGCCCAGCAATGACACCCACCGGCAACAACCAAAACTTCCTCGCCGCATCCCTCCCCGCAGTAAACGGAATCAGCCTCCACCGCTACGGCATCGACGGCTGCAACTCCTCTGAGTCACCCTCCATGAACCTCCTCCTCGCCGACCCAACCGTAAACACATACAAATTCATCCGCAACGACATCATAAACGCTACAGCTCTCGGCCACCCACTCGGCACACGCCAAGTAATCGCCACCGAAATCAATTCCGCATCATGCGGCGGTGTCGCCAACATCTCAAACACGTTCGGAGCTGCCTTATGGGGCGTCGATACGTTCTTGACACTTGCAACGAATAACTTCACAAAAGCTTTTGTGCATGGCTTGCAAGGTGTCTACCCGAAATCAACACCCAATTCGTATGCACCGTGGGTGCAAAACCTACACAACAATTCCGTGATTGTCATGCCGATCTACTATGCTATGGTACAAACCAACCGTATCCTGGGCGGCGCAAACGCCGTCGTGCGCGCAGTCCACTTTTCCATCGTTGATACTACAGGAATGTCGGATCCCACCATCACAACGCCAAACATTAAAGTCTACATGGTGACCCGTGGCACATCAACCAACATTGTCGTAATCCATAAAGATCTGGGAATGCCGAATGTTACGGTCGCTATTGATGTTGCTAATATTCCTAACGATACGGGATCGGCTGTATTGGAGAGGATGAAGGCGCCCAGTGTTTATACGAGTAGGGATATTCGGTTGGCTGGGTACACGTTGGACTGGACTTCGGATGGAGGGTTTAGAGGAAGTCGGGTTAGTGCTGTTGTTACTCCTACTAGTGGAAGTTACTACATTGGTGTCTATCAAGGATCCGTTGCTGTGCTGTATGCCGGTACCCAAAGCATTTTATCTACTGTCGGAGCATTGAATTAATGTAAAAAAAGGAAGAACTGTTAACTTTGTATCATTAGCAATAGCAGTATTCATATATCCAACACGTACAAATGTTTGTTTCGCGCACCAGAAAAATCACAAACGCAGCAGAGAAATATGAATATTTGAAAAGCGACTCCGACACACGAGATGAGCGTTCTACGTTGAAAACGATGTATTCTATATGTCTTGAAGATTTCTTACATGTGATGCAAAAAAACAGATCAACAATCCACAATCCTCAAACTACAGTAAGAGGCTTCACCATCGCACCCTTCTTACACTCTGTCGAATGACCACGAGTCCAATGAGCAATCTGACAATTCGTTCCACAATACCGTGCTTCACGACAACCACCACACGTTTTGGTCTTTGTAACAAGACATCCACATGCCACACATTGTTTGGCAACACTTTGTGGTTCTTCTCCTTCAACTGCTCGTAATATACGTGATGGAACTCGCGACCATGGATGTTTACGGACTTGACCTCCTCCTGAGCAGATTGTGTATCTGACTTCTAGCGTCAGGCGAGTCTTCAAGTCTGTATTTATGACTATGAGATGAAGTTGTGTGAGTTGATGAGCGAAAAAACCCCGACATACAACATCCCAGGATAGCACATACTGGTAGGCATAAACTCCAATCGCACAGCTTCAGCCTCAAGAGCATAGCGGAAGTGTTCTACCATCTTTTTCGGATTGTCAAGTAAGAAATACAGACCAGACAGCGTATATTGAGCATCGGCAGTCCTCTGTTGGAGCAGAAAGTTGAATAGGTTAGCAAACAAAAAAGGTCCGATGGAAGAGCTTGAGCGTCGATTGCCAACCAAATTTCTCATACTTCACTTACTCTTCCATCAACACCAGCAGCAGTAACATACGAAGCCAAATCAACAATAGCCATCTTCTGGTACTCCTTCTCCTCCATATTACTATAACACACTCCACGATGATACAAGACCTCAACAGGATTCTCCACAAACGAATTCTCCAGCTTCTCAGCAGCATCATAATCCTGTATAGCGTCTTTATATAGTCCACATCGTGCCTTGACATCCCCTCGAAACATCAACAGCGTAGGATCATTTGGTTTGAGTGCTAAACACTTGTCCACAATCACCCACGATAATTCCACTGGTCGGGTATTCATGTTTAGGAACATGTCGGATACAAGTGCATCAACATTATTAGGGTTTTTAGACACGACGATTTGTATGGCTACTTCGAATAAGAGACGGAGGGTATATATAGAGGTATCTAGTAGTCCGCCCCAGGTTCTAAATCCATTGGCGAGGAATTCAACACACTTTTCGTATTCTTCATCTCGTAATAGCTCTTCGGCTACCACGAAATGACGCTTCACTTTGAGGAGTCTCAATACACTGGATGGATGAGTTTCAGTGTATCGATTCAATACATTTAGATTCGGTATATGAGTTGATCGTTCCTGTATAGAGTCTTCATCACTGACTCCCAATGTTCGTAATAGTGATGGCATGTCTTTGAATGCAACAGGATCAATGTCAATATCGAAGACGGACGTCATCGGCCTGGATGATGTACGTACATTACTGGTGGTATTGGTGGTATTCGGATTATTAATATTACTAGGATTATACGTAATCGTTGTGGGAACTCGTGGCGGCATTCCTGTTTCAACTTGATTCAGCAGACCATTGTTAAAGGTATTACTAGCCTTTTCAAAGCCCTTGAATTGTATAGTCGAGGTTGGAGCAACGGAGGCGGGTATCATTACATTGAATGGTCGGTCAGCTTCAAGAGCATTCCATTGCGGGCCTTTATCGGAATCAAGGGAGTACGACAAGAGTCCCGCAAAGTCCACCACGTCAGCCCGTGTACGTCCACATGAGAATCTGTTTGCAGCTTTATGCCACTTGTCTGCCAGTACAACATTCGGTTCGCCACCTGGCACTCCATTGCCTGAGCGATACATTCCAGAAACAGACCATTGAGCTGGCTGATATCCTTGTAGAGCTGCTTTATGATACCAAAAGAATGCTTTTGTCGGGTCTACGATACTACCGCCTAGTCCATCTTGATATATCTTGCCCATCATCCATTGAGATCTGGCATGACCGACTCTAGCAGCTAACTGCAACCATTTACGCATCTTTGATACATCCTGTGGCCCACCATGCCGCGTTGTAGAGTATGCTACAGCGACATCATGCATAGAGCGTGGAGTTTTCGACTTGTCTGCGGCTTCTAACAAGACGTCCATCGTTTCATAACCTGGATCCAAAGACATGATGGCTAGCCTGACAGCCGAAGCGAAATGACTTTGAGCAGCAGCTCTTCGATACCATAGTTTAGCTAGATAGAAATCTACTCTACAACCTATTCCTCGTTCCAATCCAAACGCCAGTTTGAATTGTGAAGGTGCCGAGTTTGATAGGGCAGCTTTAAGATATAGTCTGTGAGCGGCTCTGTCGTCTCGAATGATACCATCTCCCCGTTCATACATTCCAGCAAGTGCCACGTGGGCTTCTACACTTCCTGAAATGGCAGCTTTAGCAAAAAGCCCAAAAGCCATTGACAAGTTTGCCGGAGCACCTATACCGCGTCTATAAAAGTCTCCCAAGAGATAAAACACACATGCTGCCTGTGAGAGTGTTATAGAAGTACTCGTCGGTGATGATGCGTTGGTATTGGAAGTTAGTGCTGGGTTTTTTGCAGACACGTTTGCGACAGCACTATTTAGATTCTGGCCAATATTGCCATACGAGATATCATCTTCCTTGATTGTAGATAATGGCGGTAGTAGCGGCGATGAAGCAGCAGCAATCAACAAGTTCAGAGCAGCTTCATCGTCCTGCGATTGATTTAATGTTGGTAAATGCAGGGACAATCCCATGCATGCTTCAGCTACAGGACCATATCCAGCTTGTACATCTAGCACCATATGCTGCCATATATCCTGACTGGTCTTGACATCTGTCCCTATTGCTTGTCTCGTTGATTCTGTTGACGATGAGGATGTTTTGGGTAGTTTATACTGGATGCGGTTGACAAAATCTATCCATATCTGTAGATTATCGACGGATACAACGCCTTTACTACTTGATCTGGTCTTTACTGGACCTGCTACACTCTGCATCTAGGGCCCTTGTTTTGCAGCTGTTGCAGAACACGACGCTGCACGAGTTTCGAATACAGTTTTGTAGTTGTGATCCAGTTCTGCAGTTTGCAGCATTTGAAGCTGTATACTCATTCACTCGAGCCGCGGCTAACATCGATTCAGATCAGGAGGGTGCTTGCTGTGATCAGCTACAAGATGCCCGATGTTAGCTGGATGTTTGGACACGTTCTGCTAGTGCATCGCAGACTGTGCAATCGTGAACTTAAATGGATTCAAGCACATTTTCCCCAACATTTACGCGACATCACGAAATACTGGTTCGCAAAGGTTGAAACTTGCCGGATCGAAAACACAAACGGTGTATTCCTTTATTTTGTTACAAAATCTCTCAGAAATAGCTATCTAACGCCATTTTAAACTATTTTTACATCAAAGACTTGTCGAGTTTTCTTTTTGGGCTCTAAGGCCGCAGGTATTCTTTCCAATTACTGCCCACGCCGCCTCTAACACGTCGCTGGTTATCATTATTCACGAGAACGCATGCTATTGGTACTCGTAATGTTTGTTTGGCCTTCAATACAACTCCGGTATCTTTAAACTCTGTTGATGCAGCTTAGTCTGACGTGTCCTTCATAAAACATGATGAGACGTTTCAGGGACACCGGGACGAGCTTTAACTGACTTCAGTGGTTGCATATCCATGTCTCGGCTAGTATGCTGCATCATAGTAGCTGCAATCACCAGTTTGTATCTGGCTTCCATTTCGGCGCGTTGATGACTTGAAAGACTGCTTCTGTAACAGACTTGTATTCCCACTGCCAAACTATATAGTACATCTTAGAGCTCAAGTGGCGTCTTTTAGTGGTGTGCCCATAGCAAAACGATCTTCACAAACTTTCTTTAGTGCATGTAGTTTAACATCATTTCAACTTGTGGCATCAAGTATCCCAAGCACACAACATCCACATACTTTGCGAATTGGCAATCAGTTGTTTTGAGGACGGTTGTCTCTAGTGTTCGTCACTAGTTAAAGTTGGTCTTGGAAGAAGCCATTCAATGCCATGATATAGTTGTTCTTTGTTCTTGAAGGTCTTGAAACCTGAACAAACGTACTAGTCTGAAAAGAGTCTCGTAAAATGTTGTAAATGTATTTTCTATACAGCAAAAGCAATCTGAACTCAACCAAACCCTCTTTACAAAGAACAATACGTGCTTTATGGTTCAAGTGGAGGAGGTTTATCACCCAGAGGCTTGGCACGATACAAACAAATGTATGCTAGAAAGGTTTCAAAAAATGGCGTCAGCAACCACTGTGCAAAAAACAACGAGTTTCATACATCCCGAAGTAAAATACACACCTGTATGCCAATCACCACCACCCTCCAATTTCGTAATCTCATCAGCAGAAACAGGCGACACCTTATCATCATCAAACTTCCACCATCCCAAACCATCGTCAGGTTCAGATGATGTTCCATCTTGATTCGATTCTCGACGAGTCCAAGCAATATAATGTCCAGAATCAGCTGCTCGTCCAACATGTGTCAAGACAGCTACTAGATCATACCATCCTGATACATTACATCCAACATCATTTATCAGGGATGCATCAACTCCCAATTCGGTGAGGACTTCTTTTTGTGATCTTGTTGTTTTTGTTGATGCTGCTGCTGCTGATGATGCGGTAGCTGGAGTATCAATGTCCATGGCGGTAGTAGCTGTTCCTGCTGCTAAAGCCGCTTGAGCATCAGACACCTTTTTGGTCTTGAGTTTCTAAAGTTGCATAGAGATTGTGAGTTTCCAACGGCAAAAAACTGTGGTAGCAACGAGAGTGAATACCTTGACAGCAGACTTGTAATCATCCATTTCCTTGAGCCTATCTCTGGCTGGAGCCAACTTGGCCAACAAGTCTGGTGTGACGAATTGAGCCATATCAAGTTCGAATGGAAACTTGACTTTCTACTCATTTCAAACAAAGGATAGGGGATGTCAGCACCTCGACTTCTCAAAAGCAAAAAGCAGCATGTATGAGTGCCGAACACCAACCTTTAATATCTTGGCACGAGTACCCGATCCACCAGGTTCAGTTGCAGGCTTCCACTGGAACCTTACAAAGTTGATTGTCAAATATGCAGGCAGCCTTGATATTTTGGATGTCTTTGTGTATTTTGCCAAAGTGTTCAGAGTTGGCGAGTTTTTTTCAATCTTTTGAGTCAGACCGGATGAGATGTCTGAAGATAAGTATGTGGAGACTAGGAAATGGAGGGGGACTTCATATGTGAGATAATGATTTGTCTTCAATTAGGCTTGAACAAGCCAACAAAACAGGGAACAAGATGAGCATGAAGATGGGATGTAGTACCTCCAGAACCAATGTTGACTTGTAGACGAGTAAAGCCTTCTGTAGATACTGTGGCTTCTTCCTGAGGTGCGTCATCACACTTCAACCTGTGGAGAATGGAGTGCATTGAGTATCTCATCTATGCGAAAAAAAGCAGCAAAGATGAATGATCCTACGTGGATGCAAACTGTCCATTCATAAACTGATCTACAAAGTGAATTCCAGGGTTGACTTCACCAGTAGCAGTCAATCCAGGCACAGATTCTTTCAATGAAGACACGATTTGACCCCAACATTCTTCAGCATCTTGTTGAGAGAATCCTCTAGCAGTTTGTTCAGCAAATTGCGGGAAGGCACCACGCAGCATTTGCAGAAAGACAAGAGGTGGAATTGCTTCACCCGATGAAGACAATTCTCGGTAGAGTGTTTTGAGGGAGACGGGGAGACTAGCTCTAAAGTCTGGAGAGATGGAGCCCGTCATCCTATAAATGCAACAATTTGTGCTTTTAGAGTTTGTCGCTATACATATGTCATATGTACTTGTTTTGGAGCATACTGAGCAATCCTCCAATTGCTTTACCTTGACATGGCAGTTTGTAACTCTGGGATGGTTCGTAGACACTGCAAAGTAGCATTCATATAGCAGGTGTTTCCCAAGTTGACTAGACCAGCAGGTAGTTTCATCTAGATGTGTGATGGTCTCATATACTGTGATCTTTTTCTGGCCCTATACTTTTGCAGCGCAAATGCAACTTACAGCTTGAGCAATTTGAGCATCAGTCATGTCTTCTACGAACTGTATTGGCTTTTCAGGTGCTTTTGGCAATTCGCCTGCAGTGCCCATCATCTGTGTATGTTAGGGGAATCAGTCAAGTACGTGTCCGTATGAGCGCCATGATCTGATTGAAATGGATAAATATACCATGAATGAGTGTCCCTATAACAAAGAGAAAAGTCAGAATGATGGGAGCAAAAAAAAAGAGGGTGTAGTGTGGTCTCACTTCTTTAAGATCGAGTTTTGACAAGTCCGTATCATCCTAAATGACGAGTTGGAATCAACAAACAAATACGAGCGAGGATGAAGCGTCATGTGCAATTCTCCGTTCGATCCTCTTGATGATCGATCATCAACCAATACCCTAATGCTCATTTATGACTACGCTATAACGTACCTTGAGCATGCCCCCTTTGATCATAATCTTTTGTCTATCCGGTTCTACGCCCGTCAACGAGAATAGCTGTGTCTTGAATACGATGCCAGGTTGACTTGTGTCTACCTCTACATTGTCAAACTTTTTGCCACTCCATTTGACGGAAACTAGCGAATCAATGGGTTTCAGACATATTGAACAAATAAGGATAAATGCAATTAAAATGAGGGCACTGTGTTGATACCTTTCACGACAGGCATTGTTTCTAGTCCTTGTGGGTGATTCTGTGCGTTTTGAGAAATGTCCCAAACTGTGTTGATGACGCGTCAGTTGCTGACCAAGTCTTGATGAAGAGTATAGGTCAATAGATCACGTGCAGATACCTACGATGGAATATTCAATGGTCGAATCAAGCTACCAGAGTTCTTTCATTCGCATTCAGCAACAAGCTGACAAAATAATAAAGATCGTCCAAACTTTTATTGAAAGCACCAAACTTAAACACGATGGGATGTCAAGTATTTCTGATATACACTAAATTACAGCTTTACTTACGTGTCATTGTCTTGGCAAAGCGTTCGCTGTCTTCGCTTTTTAAAAACACAAAAAGCTTCACAAGCGAAGACGAGAGGTTGAATCCCCTATAGACCATAGAACGGGCATACGTACAATCAGAGTACATATCATCTAAATCAGTTTATTGCTGAACGGGCTAGCTCAAGATGACGAGTGTGGTTGAGCAAAAGAGGAAGGTCTCCTATCACTACCATGGCAAGCACTTGCATTCTGTTATTGCATGTCTTATTTATAGTCAATTACTGATTCTATATCCTCATATCATACAGCTGATGTCGGAAACTACCACTATGGCCCACAGCATCCAATGAAGGTACGCAACATCAACCTGCTCGTTTTGACTGTTAAAGGAATGTCAAACTTCAAATCCAACACCCTCATTAACTTTAGCCACATCGTATTCGTATGGCTCACAACCTCATTGTAAACTATGGTTTGTACAAAAAGCTGGAGATTTGTGTATGTGTCCTCTCTCTCTCCTCATTTAGGCTCTTTGGCCGAATGAATCAAAACTAACGCTCAGTTACTCGATTAATAGAGATTCACTCCAGCTACATTCCGAGAAATGACGAGATTCCATTCTGATGACTATATCGACTTTTTATATCGAGTTACTCCCGACAATGTTGAAGAGGTCGCAAAGTATCAACAGAAATGTAAGCGTGTTATATATGATACCTCGACATTTGTTAATATTTAATATTTTATTTATCAAGTACTTACACTCCTTCCGAATAGTCAATGTCGGAGAAGATTGCCCAGTTTTCGACGGACTCTTTGAATTCTGTGCTCTCTCGGCCGGTGGATCCATCTGTAAGTTTGAAAGTGAAAGTACAACGCTGTATCAATCACCCTCTCATCCAACCCTCTGTTTAAAGCTGCCGCTGGAAAGCTCAATCGAGGGGAAACCGACATTGCAATCAACTGGGGCGGTGGATTGCATCACGCTAAAAAGACGGAGGCTTCAGGTTTCTGTTATGTCAATGATATCGTATTAGCTATTCTAGAACTGTTACGGTATGTTGATGTGATGGGTGTGGGATGAACCATCCAAACTGGTATTCGGGCAGTGTGCTGTCGATTTCTTTGCTGACAAATAAGTGTTTTACTTTTTAGATTCCACGCCCGAGTCTTGTATATTGATATTGACATTCATCACGGTGATGGTGTTGAAGAAGCCTTTTATACTACAGACAGAGTCATGACGGCCTCATTCCATAAATATGGTGAATACTTTCCGGGAACTGGTGATATTCAAGTAAGACAGTTCATACTGGCGGCTTCGGATCTGTTTTTTTTTTGTTTCTCATTGCTTTCAACTCTTTTGATTCTCATGCCTCATTCATCGTCATCGTTAGGATATTGGTCACGGTCGAGGAAAATACTATGCAGTCAACTTCCCACTGAAGGATGGTATTGATGATGAATCATACCGAAGTGTCTTCAGACCCGTAATTCAACATGTCATGGACTGGTATCGTCCTGGTGCTGTAGTACTTCAATGTGGTGCCGATTCTTTGGCTGGTGACCGTTTGGGTTGCTTCAACTTGTCAATGAGAGGTATTTTTCTCATTCAGTTTTTTTGTTGCAACCTTCTAATATCAATCATTCTGGTAGGTCACGCTCAAGCTGTAGAGTTCTTGAAGACATTCAATGTACCGTTGATGTTGTTGGGTGGTGGTGGTTACACTATTCGAAATGTAGCTCGTGCATGGTGTCATGAAACCGCTGTCGCTGTTGGTGAAACTCTGCCTGAAGGTATGTTTTGGTCGGGCGTACTTTTTTCTCGTAATGCAAAGGATTGGGTTTCTGAATACCGTTATGAATCTAGAAATCCCATACAACGACTACTTCCAATACTATGGCCCTGATTACCGTCTTGACGTACCTGCAAACAATATGGAAAACCAAAACTCTCGTGAATATTTGGACAAGATAAAGTAAGTTTCGATAGCAGATAAACGGTGATGCACCGCATGTTAAACAAGTACTCATGACACTTGTCTCGCCCGCTAGAATCAAGATCATTGAAAACCTTCGACACATCCCTTCGGCTCCCAGCGTTCAGACTCAAGGTCAGCTGAGTGCTATTAGAAAATTCAACCACAATTTGCCAGTTTTTGCTCAATCGCTTTCTTGTATAAACTTAGAGGTTCCTGGTGATGGCTTCTCGTCGGATGATGAAGAGGATGATGAAGCTACCAAAGATACTCGTATAACACGTGAGTGTATGGTTCATGCATATTTTCCGCTTTTTTGCTTCGTCAGAAATCATCTAATTTTGTTTCCGTCCCCAGAACGAATGTCAGACCGCCATCGAGTCCCTGAAAACGAGCTCTCCGACTCTGAAGACGAAGGAGAAGGAGGTCGTCGTGACCGTCACTCTCACAAGAACTCCACCACCTCGCAACAACCTGGTCGCACATCTCGTACACGTCGGGAAGACGAACCACGAATGTCAATGATGCACAATAGTCATAACAGTGCCAATGCTCCTCAACGTAAAGACAAGGAACGTGCTGAACCAATCAATGACGATGTGTCATCTGTTACATCTATGCAAGTGGAGCCTCCTACTAGTGCTACGAGTGCTACTGTTCCTCCTAGTGCTGCTATTATTACTGGTGCTAGTGGAGCTAATGGTGGTGCTGGTGAAGAGGCCGTTCATATGGATGTTGATCAATAGAGGGTGTTGGTTTGACGTAGTTTTATGAGGCTTTTTGTAATTTGGTGTTGAAGCAAAAAGGTTGGCATTTTTTTTTGTACAGGCAGCAGCAAAATGAAAGGAATATCAAAAGAGCTTTTAAGGAGCAAGTATCGTGGAACAGCGCATTCAGGAATTTATTGTAAACTTCCACCCTCGAAGGACGCTTAAATCAATCACACTTGAGAAATCCGGATGTGCTGATGTACATCTGGATGATGTAGATTAATGTAGATGTGGCTGTTTTCGTTTTGTCAAACAAGCTGTTCGCCAACAAACCCAACCAAAATCTCATTCTTGGTGGAAGAGGAGGAGGAAGAGCACCGAAATAGGAAACATGACAAGTTCACAGAACGACAAAAATATTTGACTTCCAAGAGGTTAAAGCCGTTCTTCACTGTCTGCATTCCAAAGCAAAACTTGAATTGCTAATGTATTTAAGGGCTTCAGGTTAGCACCCAGAGTGTCTTGATGTTGTCACATCAAAATCTGTTCCGAGAGATCAATAAGGATGTAGTAACTGATATTGCACTGTTTCAATTGGTAAGGGGACATGATCTTGCAATGTTGGCTGAAGTGAGGTAACATATTCTGACCTTTTGTCTTGTATCTAGGTTTTCCATCTTACTGATCTAGACACTCTGGACCTATATGTGAACATAAACTCAGACCGTGGTCGTGTCGTCCTATCTGGCTCTACGTTTCTGGCTGCACGACATAACCGTCGCCGAACCTTGATGTACCAATTTGAAGGTAGTTTGGGAACACCCACTCCTTCGCTGGTCATCGCTGCAAGCACTAACTCTGAATTTATCTCATCCAATGATAGGCATAGCCTTCTTCTTGGCGAATGCCAACTACGATTCACAGCGCAAAGAGGAAGGTCTTTTGAACAGCTTGAGGCCGCCAAATTGTATCAATAAGCCGAATTGTAGTTTGCTTCTACTAGCATGTTCTCGGCAGCCAAGGGTTTCTCCATCGCCTATTGAAAGACTGAATTTAGGAGAACTGTTAGTGGTGATGAAAACGATATACGTATAGAACAATATAGTACTTTTGAGACTTTCGCCACCTCAGCATTGATTCTTCAAGCCTCATCTACCAGCGTGGAAGCGATCGTGAGCGAGCTGTCGCGTTGAACGTAGAACCTACCTTTCATGATCGGCGAGCTTTTTTGTCTTGACAGGCGACGTGTTTCTAATCAAAGTAATGCCTTTTGTTTCGAGAGCGTCACTGTGGTTCAGATTAATAGTTGACGTGCCTTGCGTAATTGAAACGCCTTCAGCACCATTAAATGGGTAACCACGGATGTCTGAACCTTTCGAACACCACTCACGAAAAACGTGTCAATCTGATTTACTCTGAAATAAAGTCAAGACAGGGTCAAGATCACGTGCTATTTGAGCATTTGACAACGTTTTATAGCAATTGAAACCTCTTTGGTAGGGCGCATCTTGACTCAAAAGTTTGTCCTTTCAGCATTTGCATTCCAACAAGGATGATGGCGACGAGAGCTGCTCAAGCACTGACAAGGAGACTGCCATGTAAGTGCATGGAATATCAAGAAAAGCACCGTGTCGATTTTCTTCCTATGTCTCAATCATTGGAAATGGAACAAAAACCATCCATCACGCTAACATTTGCAGCATCGACTAACCCATTTTCTCTATATCTCAACACCTAGATCGCCCTCCTAATGAGCTGAATCATGTTAACAGCGCACTACGCACGTCCAGGTTTATAGCTTACACGTCAACAACAATCACATTACGTCAAAAGCATACATTACGATCATGGCAACATACCACATCACGAACACTGGCAACCAATACCACTGAAAATACCGCCGCTACCTCCAAACCAGACTCGAAAGTACCGTCGGGTGCTACAATAACACCACCATCATCCGACACTACCAATGTGGCTAGCACGTCTCAAACCGCCTCAACAACACCACCATCATTACTTCGACCTGCAGCTGCGAAAGAGGAAACACCTGTCGAACGTGCCGTACGTGTAGCCAAAGAAGGCGAATTGGATGCCATGGACAAGGCATGGCGAGAATCCGAAGTCGTTGATGAAGATCCAGCTAATAAAGTAAAGAAACCCATCATGGAGCGAATCAAGAATGAATTGGTGCATTATTGGCATGGTACTAAACTACTTGGTGCTGAAATCGCTATATCAAGTCGGCTGCTCATGCTAGTGTTGAGAGGGCATAAGCTTACTCGTCGTGAACAGAGACAGGTATGAATATCATGGACCCCACCTTGTTTTTCTCCGCGCCGGGTGTCGCGTCAGTTTGTAACTCCATTCACTGTGAGATCTCAGACTGACTTTGTATTTACGCTCTATCATAGCTGAGGAGAACTACTGGTGACTTTCTAAGACTTGTGCCGTTCTTGATATTTGTCATTGTGCCCTTCTTGGAATTCGCACTCCCACTCTTTTTACGATTCTTCCCAAACATGTTGCCATCTACTTTTGAAAGTAAATTCGATGAGGTATGAACCGCGTGCTGTTTCACTGAGGATTACCTCATTTTTGTGCCTTATGCTGGTTTTTTTGGTTTCCTTTAGCAAGAAAAGAAGAAGAGGCTGTTGAAAGTACGTTTAGAGATGGCCAAATTCTTGCAAGATACTATTGAAGATGTATCTATTGCTGGTACTTCCAAAGCTGAGGCAGCTAAAGAGTTTAGTCAATTCTTCCTCAAGGTATGATTGCCCAGGACTACTCGCTTTTTTGCTACTCGTATCACAATCACCATTGGAACTCACTCTCGTCCTTAGTATCGAACATCGGGTGAACAAGCCCCCAACGAAGAAATCATTCGAATTGCTCGAAAATTCGAAGACAATTTGACATTGAATAACTTGTCGCGACCACAATTGGTCTCTATGTGCAAGTATATGAACATCAATGCGTTCGGTACAGACAACTTTTTGAGACATCAAATCCAACGGAAGATGAAGGAGTTAGAGTCTGACGACAAGGTATGCTACGGTTTCCAATGATCAATTTTTTGCTGTTGCTCATCTACTACGATCCGACAATAGACCATCGCAGAAGAAGGAATCGAGTCACTCAACGTCAAAGAATTACAGCAAGCTTGTGCTTCTCGCGGTATACGTACTATAGGAGTATCACCAGCCAGGTTACGATCCGAATTGGCTCAATGGTTGGACTTGCATCTCAAAAACCAAATCCCTTCAACCCTCCTCGTCTTATCACGAGCATTCACATTCGATCGACCTATTGATCGACCTAGTGATACTGCTGAAGCGCTACAAGCTGCTCTGCATTCGTTACCTCATCAGGTCGTGAATGAGACAGCTCTAGGTATTGCTGAAGCTGAGGGTAAAGCTACTTATAAACAAAAGTTGGAGGTTTTGAAGGAACAGGAAGAGCTTATTGAAGATGAGAGTGAACAGGAAGAGGTTTGTAAGGCTATATGAGCTATACGACTATTTTGTTTTTTGCTGATGTCTTTCTCCCTGAATGATAGGCCTTGATGAAGGTCAAGATGGCCAAAGAAGCCGAACAAAGGAAGAAGGCTGCTGCTGCCACTCCGACAATAGAAGCACCACCTGCTCCTATACAAATAGCTGCTCCTCAACCAACAGCAGCAGCCGCTCCCTCCAAACCAGCTGAACCAGCAGCCAAAGTATCAGAAGCTCCAACACCACCAGCTGCTGAACCTATACCTGCACCTGCCAAACCAGCTGCAGCTCCAGCAGTAGCAGAAGACGGAGACAACATCTCGGAAGCTCAACTTGTACAATTGGGTGCTGCACTTAAAATCTTAACTGCAGATTCAGTATTTCAAGATGTTCGACATGAAGTGGCTGAAATCAAATTGGAGCGTGCTGAATTCAAAGAGGTATGTAAAAGTGGTTCTCGGTGACGGATTGAGCAAAAAAAAGTACATCCGTAACGTCTTATCTATAAATAGGACATTGAAGAACTCAAATCGCTGGCTAAACAAGAGCCAGCCACTGTCACTTCTCGTCTTGGTGCCCGTGTAGACAAGATGATTGCCAAGATTGAAAAGGAGATCACCAGTTTGGAATCTGCACCTCCTAAAAGGCAGATAATGCAGACTCTCAAACCAGATCAGAGCGGGCGCATTACGCTGGAAGAGTTGGAGGATGCCTTGAAGGTATAATATAATTTTGGCTCCTTTTTTTGGGTGGAAATGATCCAATAAGGCATCCAATACTCTTGATAGATAATCCGTGATCACCCAGCCGATGAAAGGATTAGGCGTATCGTGCAGAGGTTAGATACTGATAACGATGGTAAAGTATCTCTAGAAGAAATCCTCGTCTTGGCTGATGAGGCTGAGAGTGAAGGTGTCGGTGTGCTTGTACCCGAACCTAAAAAAGAGACATCTAGCCCTGCTTCTGCAAGTGCTGATGCTTCATCAGCAGGAACAAGCAGCACAGCTCAGATACCCGCAATCGCTGTCTCGAGTGAGACGGCAGCAACTTCAACTGTAAAAGTCGGATCACCGCTTCCTGTATCAGATAAAACAGGTGCTATACCCATCGCACCACCAGAACTGTTGATACAGAAGCAGTCTACAACTACATCGCAACATGATAACAAAATATAATCGTGTTTTTAAGCATATACTTTTGTATTTGAGCATATTTTTGTGCTTGTAGCAAAATAAGACACTTACAAAAATAATAGTATGAATATGGTGGTTGCATTTATTGTTTGTCAATATTTGCTTTGGCCAGTAGACGCTATGTGGGTTAATGGTGTTAGTGTCGAGTGCCAAAAAGAAACGTCCAAACAAATTGACCGATGGATATCATACCTCAGCCCATTTCACCACCGGCATATCAATCATCTTGCCATCCAAACTGAATGCTCCAACACCCTTCTTCAAATGCTCATGGTAGCCTTCCACAATCTTGGTGGCCCGTGACACATCTGCGTTATCCCAGTCGGAAACAGAACAGGATTTAGATTCGATTCATGCCATGAAACCTTCACACGCACACAACAACAAACACATACCCTTCTCAGCCGGCATATACAACATCTGAATAACATCCACCTGTTTAGGATGTATAGCCTGCTTCCCTGTAAATCCAAACGCACGCCCCTCATCACACTCAGCCCGTAGCGTGTTCTCATCCTGGAATTCAACACACACGAGATCTATCGCTTGCAGGCCGTATGCTATGGCTGCTGTCACGACTGTTTGGCGCGCATATAGCATCTCGAGACGTGTGCCGGAGCGCAGGAGGCCCGTGTCTGCGCAATAGTCTTCTGCTGCGACTGTAGAGAGATGGAGTATGTGAGAAACGACAAGGTGCGGAAAAAAACACCACTGGTCAGGTCAATACTGTACTGTTGCGATGAACGTACATATCAGAGCATCCACACGAGGATCCGACTGTGCGATTTCTTTGATATTCATGATTCCAAGTGCGGATTCGATGGCTGCGAGGATTCGTATGTTTTCTCGGCTATTGATAAAAAAGGACTCGATCAGCTACTTCTCACACGATTGCAAGTCAATTTTGTTATATGCAACTCACTTTGATGCAGGAGCAATCGTATCAATCATCCGCGTCACAAACTGTACATCTCGAGCAGACTGCACTTTCGGAACCAGAATGGCTTGTAGGTTTGGTGATCGTAACTATTAGGCCAGAAAACTTCAGTGGACGAAAAGGACGTTTGCAACCAAGATGAATTCACACATACCACCACATTCAAATCATCAATCTCTAGTCCAGATCTATGTTATGTGGCGCATGAGAGTCGTATAAGTGTAGATGCAAGTGGGGAAAACATACCCAACAGCATTGATTCGAACTGCCTTTTCTGATCTGCCCACGTTGAAAGTCTAACGAAAAAAAGGAAGACAATGTCATTCATAACACCATCTAAAGCAAGATGGCAATCTGCACCCACCTCTAACGCATTAAACACCAATTGCCTAGCTTGACCCTAGCAGATCCAAACATCAACGTCACACTCAGACTGTCTTACCCCATTCACCTGCAGCAAAATACCTTTCTATTGAGCGCAACAGAATCCTCCAAATCATACGTTATGCAATCCGCTTTACTCTTTAACGAGCTATTCAGTTTACGCTCGTCACTTCCCGGAACTACACGAGCAGAAAAAATATGTTAAATGTTGGGTTATAATCACGTCCAAAACACGTCCATATGCCTCAAATCAGACCAAAAGCTCTAGCATATGTTTAGCATACCATAGAACAAAGCCCTTCGTGGTCGTTCCTTCCTGGTTGGGAGTGCTGAAGTGTTGTTTGCAGAAGCTCCAGATGATTCGGATGCGAGGGTGCGAGAGAGTTGGGATTGGAGGAGGGATAGACGGTTTAAGCTGCTTGTGGAAGATGTTATGAGAGGCAGACGGGAGCTGCACCGGAGGAGAGATACTCTTTTGGCCATCATCTTGAGTGTTGGTGTTTTGTAGCAGTTGAAAGCTGGTGTAGAGAGATATTGGACGAGTTCAAGAGAGGAGTAGTGATTTCCTAGTGCAGCTTGTAACGGATTGACAGTATCTCGCGTCTTTCCAGGCTTGAAAGAACGAAAAAGCGACGCGAAACTTGAAAACTATAACATTCAAGAATAAAGTTGCTACAGCTTGCCACTCTCGCATGGGCATCCTCTATTACGCATTACACGCATTACGCGTTATAAATGAGAATAAACAATTATTACTCCTCTTTGAACGTTGTTGTATTGCGTCGAACTCGTCTGCTTCTCTCCAGAACAAACCCACATATTGGCTGACGGCAACAAAAGGTTTTATGAGCTGCATAGGCAAGTAGCACGGAATTCAATGGATGCGAATTTATAAGAATCTAAAATGACGCGTGTCCGTCCACTCTTTTCAGGATGTCTGTATACATCAGAGGCACAATCGATGCAAGAAAACACATACAGCTGCTGACTCTACTAGTCAAACTTGTAGATGTGTGCAGAAGGATGCTTCAATAGCATGAACTATGCAAACGCTGTGTACCATTAGTTCAATCCATCATTTGTGACTCAGCATTAGGTTGAGGAAATTAATCACGTTTTTCATCAATGAGTATGTTTTCCATCTCAACACTATCGCAGAAGGCAAAGATTTGACGATCGAGACAACTGCTAATAGATCCCATTGATTGAGTCGAGTCTCTTCAACCACCAGCGCTGATGAATTAGGGGCAAGTTCAGATGAAAAGTTTGCTCTTTCTATATTTACGCAGCACTCTACAATACATGCGACTCATTTATATACATGACTTGGATTATCATCCATAGATCTCGGCCGCACGAAAATCCCTCCTTCACCACCCAACACTCTCACTTCATCAGCCTCCTTTACTGTACTAGTTTGCCCACTGCTTATAGCGCTCGTACCACCACTGAGACTCATTGCAGAAGGCGCAGGTATAATAGCCGTGTTGCCAGAATCACGTTCTTTACCTCCAACAGCCTTGATCACAATCTTTAATTTTGGCAGTTGCAATCTCCCACTGATGAGCGGAAGACAATTGAATGTGATTGTCTTTGATGAGCATGGTAGTAATCGACACGTCAAGGACTTGACACCAGCAAAGACCAACCCTTCTGCTGATTCAAGGGTGGATGAGATTTCGTATGAAACCGATGAGGTATTGTATAGGTTATAAGCCAGTGTAAAGAGATTGCCTACAGATGAGTCGGAAGGGGGTTCTATTGGAAGAAAAGTGTTTAAGCACTCAAATAAAGACGCTAAAAGAGCCTCGGATTAACACGAAGAAAGTGCTTACGCAAAGTAACGACCAACCCATCAGGTGCCAAATCCAATTTCGGTATCGTTACAACAGACCTCGTCCAAGGCATCAATATTCCATTAGACTGATGCGCTGGTCTACAAGAACACATGGCGAAAATAAGTGAGATAAATATTCTGATGAAATTGCGAAATTACAGCGAATTACAAATCTTACCTTCGCCATTTGATCTCCATTCTTCCAATATCTATTGTCCTTGAACTGGATACGAGACCAGCACATCGAGACATGTTCATGCGATATAAGAAGTGATGCGCTCTAGATGGTCGCCATGTTTCAGGTTTTGGTGACGGCGGTGATATAGATGACACAGATAGCTTTGGTGTAGGATATGGTTCTGTTCCTGGTTCTATAGGTGTGAGATCTGATACTTCCATATCCTAGAGAGTGAAGATAGAATAAGCAATCCAGTGCTTTTCCAATCGACGAGTGGACTCTTTTTTCGGCTTCAAACGAGAAGTTACCTGATCCTGATGCAATTCTCCAGACGCGACCTCCACATCCCATGGCCCTACACATTTCAGATTCCCTGTAACCATCCATGATTCATGCCACTCGCACTCCTGCATCCATTCCGTACTATTTACAAGCCGACCATCATATACTTTTACATCCCAATTTGAGTCAAAAGCTCGATCAAATTTGATTCGTAGTGCTTCAACTTTACGGAAGTGTAGATCTGGATTTAACATGTCTTGTACTCCTTCTGTAGCTGACGATGGAGAAGAAGACGAAGTTGGTCGGAAAAATACAGTGACAATGACGGCGCGTTCACCAGGTACACTGTGACTCTTGATATATACAGTGTGTCGTGCAGATGCTCCTGGAGCTAGTCTGCCTAAATCCAAGCCACGCAGCAATGTATGAGTGGAGCCGGTTGGATTGGAAGTCATGATTACAGGTGTCAGAGGTGTTGTTACGGGAGCATGAGGCGGTGATGAGGAAGTAGATATTCCACGAGCACGAGTAGTGGATTGGTATGGAGAGTTGGGTGATGTAGGGAGTTGAGATGGCATGTTTGCCAACGAGTCAGGGTCGGAGCTCAGATACGTATTTGGATCTACCATAAAATCAACTTGAACAAAAATCAATGCAAAACAGACATCAACAGAGCTCATACCTGAACCTTCAGCTCCACCACCACGAATCTCAAATTCACAGAATGCCTGAATGTCGACAGCTTCTTCATTGACAACTTCCACGGTTATAGGATAAATCTCATCTAGATACCCTGGTGGAAAATGTATACTACGAACCACCAAAGCAGGCTGCTTCCGAATCACCCTGATGTAGAGAAGAAATACAAAGGTTGGTTCAGCAGACCGCAAAAAAGAGTGCGTACATGGTGAAATTATACCTCAGACTGGACAGCTCTCCATAACCCTCCAATGGCGCCCATTTGCCTTTACTGCCAGCTTCATGAGATAGCAGCCACCGTCTTCGAGTCTGAGCTTCTTCATTCCTATCACCAATCTTCCATCTCAAAACCACAGAACCAGCTGCACCTTCCAAAATACCCTCGATTCGGACAACTCTCAATTCCATAGAGTCTGTAGGTGTTATAGCACCTTCAAAGACTTTTCTTTCACCAGGTCGAATGACTAGATCGGCTTCCTTGAGATATGGGAATTTGGTTTGTGGATCTATGGTGAATGGAGCGGAAGCTCTAGTGGCAGATTTTATATCGACCCAGACAGGATGCCGTTCTGTTGAGCCAGCTACAAGGGCGATTGGATTCGTTTCTTGGTTTGTCGAAGAATCATCTTCAGGTGATGTGACGAGCAGATTGAATCTCTCGTCAGAGAATATGACTCGTAATTGAGATAGTTTAATAGTAGCAGGAGGTGTATTCGGTGACGTAGCAGCCAACGTAATCTGATATTCCGCTGGACTACCTGCATATCCCGTCGATTTTTTGAATTGGATGTGGCAGTGCATAAAAGGTTCGATTATGTCCATTTCTACATTAGCTTTGATGACGGTTCCGGCAGTAGCCGAGTCACCACGTAAGGCAGACAATATGTCTTCCAATGTCGACAGTCTGTCATTAGAATTCAGATTCATTCGTTCTGTCAACAACTCTATACTACACTCGACAAAAGAGTCCCACATATTTAGTGCTTTCGCACATCGTGCTTGGCCGTTTAATACACTAGCTAGCACCGTAGGCCATCCCTCTTTACGGTATGTACGACCAATACGTTCATAAAACCGTAATGCCATTTCTAGCTTTCCACTAGTTTCATATAATCTCGCTATTTCAGAAGCTAGGAATAGAGTAGTTCTTCCTGAGCGTTGTCGTTTAAACTGCTCATACGATTTGGTCAACAGTTCTATCGATAATGAAGCATGGTCTACTTGACGTTCTGTAGCCAACGCGAGACCCAGAGCATGAGCGTGTGATGGTGACGATACCACTGGTGACAATGATAACCCTATAGTGACCAAAACATTGCATTGAGTCTATAGGCAAAAAAAATGAAAAGGCAAGCCAATCACCACACCATCCAGAGCCGGTCGACCATCAAAAGGTGAACTAACGCTGCTGCGTCCAGCTGCAGGTCTTGAAGCAGTTGGTGCAAATGCCAAAGGAAGAGGAGGAGCATTGACCATGTTCTAAATAAAAGATTAGTCCAGACAGCAAAAAAAGGACGACTGATGGATGTATACCTTTTCGGCTTCCTTAAACTTCTTCCATCTCTCCTCAGAAGCTCTAGCAGCCAGCAAATAATAGTATCCAGCATGTTGTACTATGGTCGACGGGTTCACTGTCGATGCAGGAATGGGAGTTGCACCAGAGTTTGGTGCGTTCGGATCAGGACTAGATACAGGCGGTATTATAGGTGCTCCAACAGGTAACTTCATCCCCATTTTTGTTGTCGCTAATTCAATCAATTCACCAAAAGCTCTGTATTGAGTTGATACCCAACTCCAATACTCGAATGAACCACCATTCAGTGGTTTATTTAGATGCGAAAGTCCTTGAGGAGGTAGCGACAGCGGCGTTTGCGACAATGTTGATGTTATGAATGACGATGAGGTAGTTGTGGGCACGAATTCAGGTAGGGCATAGAGATTATTGAGGTGCTTGTTGAGCTGACTTAGAGCCAGTATAGGCTGATCTGATTGTAACAATAGACGACATATCTAAAGAAGGAGAAACGCTGAGTGATAACTGCGAACTGCCAAAGCAACATATGAATTCTCCTGCATACCTTCAATGAAATACAGTCCAACAAGTGCCGTGCTTCGGACCATCTATTCGTATACGGCTGTATCCCATCAGACGCTGATCCACCACCACCACCTGGTGCCCATAATCCTCCAACAACAGTGGTCTGAATCATTTCTATCAATGTTTGATATGCTGATTCGTACGACCTAACGAGATTGCTATCAGTATGAGCACGGAGAACGTAAAAAGGCAGATGGTGCGCTACTTGACAGCTCCTTCAAAGTCCTGTCTAAACTCAGAGAATGCAGCTGTCTTGAAATCATATCGTATACTCCAACCATGTGATGACAACGGTTTGGTTGGTGAACCAGCTGGAGATCCCACTAATGATGTCTGCGACCCTGTTGCTGACAACGACGAAGCGGTAGGTGGTGGTGGAATTGATCTCACTGGTCCTGTGGTTGCATATTTCAGCTTCTTCTTCTTAACTCGTTTTCCGTGCTCCCGATAATAGTTTAGAGCACTGTCGTATAAGGCTCTTTGAAGACTATACGTCGAAAGAGGAATTAGAGATCTGAAAGACTGTGAATAGTGGATTTGCATATACTTGGCTGCAAAGTCTTGAGGATCGAATGAGGATCCACCTCCAAATGGTAATGCAAACAAGGAGTGCTTTGAATCCAAAGTGCAAGCCTTACGAAGATACGATAAACGTTCTTCAGTATGTGGATCCTCTGATTGTAAAAAGAAAGTTGAAGCGATGCTGGATAGCGTGAGTATAGGTTTTGCGACGACTAACCAAGCTTGGTACTCTTGCCCAAAAGAATCACTGCAGAAAACTTGATGCCACGTTCTTGTGCTCCGCGTCTAGTGCAAGAACAGAGTATAAGCGAGACGCATTTGATCTACAAGATATTATACTGTTTACCATACCTCTTATCATTGATCTCCTGCGCTAACAGCCCATCTCGTTCTCTCTCAAGAGTAGCAGCTTGTTGAGCACCCAATGGATCTCGATTACGATCAGGCGCCTGTTCCGCAGAAGGCCGCTCCCACAAATCATAGAATCCCACCATGACTGACGGTATCAACTCACGATGTCTCTTGAGCCACAAAGGAGTCATGAGCCCATCTGGATATAATGGCGATGATGACGTGAGAGGACTGAGAGGCGAATGAGGTATCGGCACGTTGCGCGCTGGCGGTGATTTTCGTGGTGGTAGGCTATACGTCTAGATGGGGTTGGTTTGTGAAGAAGCGTCAGGTTGTCAAAAACAGCATTGAGCTTCACACTTTGACACAACCTGCAAACATACCTTCTCGAACGAAACGACCAAAAATTGATTTGAGTTACGAGCTGACGTGACATCCCATACACCACCGACACTCTTTGAGACGAGCGCGTTCAACAGTTGCTTCTTGAATAATGTCGATGATGGTGATGTCGATGTAGCTCCTGTATTGAGTTTCTTGATGGACAGCGGCGATGGCGGTGCTGGAGTTGCAGATCCAGTCGTGTCAGAGGTGGCAGCTCCTGTCGTCGACGTGATTGTCGTTGGTATTGTCTCTTCGGCAGATAGTCCAAACACTCCCAATACGGGCAGTTGAACAGCGACATATTCCACTGGAAACGAGTCCATTTCTATAGCATATGGATTAGTATAAACCTATCTACCGTTTATATAAAATCATCAGAGCTTCTTGCAAACCGTATGGGCTGCTAAGTTTGAAGAAGATCATGATGTTGGCAGAGACAAGTTCCGACGCGACAAGTATTCAGAAGACAGAAAAAGCGTATAAGCGTGTAACCGTGTAAGATTTCGAGTTGAAAGAAGAAAAAATGCGTGTATTTTCTTAAAAGCGACCAAAAAGATACCAAAAATATTTGTTATAAACTACTGCTAATCATCTTCAGTCCACCCACAAACCAACTATTCTTCTAAAGCAAAGCACCCTCATATATCATGACTTGAGCATGGCCTAGTTCTCATCGTCGTCCGAGTCATCAAAGCTGCTGTAGCCTGATACAATACATTCCCATCCTTGACCTCTTCATTCAACTGCTGTCTGGCTGCTACCAAGACTATATCTACAATCAGATGCTTATATTGAGATACTTTTCTACGGATCAACAAGCCAGAGTTTGTGATATCGGTGCTGTTGTTGAGAGTATTAATTGGAGGATCCGACTCAAGGACGTGAGGATACCTAAGTATGAGTTTGGGTGGGCCGCCTAACATCCATGTTATTGGCATGTTTAATGTCCCTATTCGAGTGGAAATCCCAAGACAATTGTGAGACAACTGAAACAAGACCGTAGATAGAAAGACGAGAGAGCATACCTGTGACATATGTTCTGACTATGTAAGAGAAGCTTTCGATCCCAATAAATTGAATTTTGGGAGCTTTGAATTCCTTGTGCTTCTTCATGACATCTTCCAAGCTGACGCCTTGGACAAACTGCATCTCAAGATAGAGCCTGTGCGCATCCTGGAAACATGAGGATGCTGAGACGAGAAATGGAGATACTTTTGCCAATTTTATAGAGCAATTTCGGATTTAAGTCTACAGGAAACAGGGAGCAGTGTGAACACGCGAGGATAAGAGATGACCTACCCTTCTATCATTTCTTTGACAGCCTTTGACGGCTTCTTTATTCTTTTGATGGCTACTCGTCGACTCGTGGTTTGGGAAACTTGCCTGACTGCCTTGTGAGCGATCTTACGGTTTCTTAAAAAATCTGACGTGGAAAGTGTCGAGAAAAACAGAGTAAACTTCAGATGGAAGAAAGAGCGAAAGAGAGGAAGCTCGCCTCGCACAAAAATTCATTTCCCAAACTTCAGCCCCGAACCAGCTGTCATCGCTGTAAAGGCACGTCACCTCAAAAAAAGTCGACCTTGGTATAAATTATAAACTGCTAATGCTCAGACCCACTACTACTACTAAATACACGTGATAGCAACTCATACGACGTCCCAACAGTACTTGCCAAACTGGTAGACAAAAACTTGCCAGCTTCATGCACCATATCCTCCATCTCTTCATCAGGCAGCTTCATCCTCGTAGGAGATTCATACCCTGATAAGGCTCTTTGCTGCCGCCTATCTAACCCTCCCCAACCTCCTTCCTCTCCTCCACCACTAACGTCATTTACAAGCATGCTGCCCATAGCTCCCCGATTCAGGACTATAGCAGCGAGCTCTTTGATGAATTCAGATAGTATCAAGTACGATGCTAAAAAGTTTGCTTCTTCTGCAGTTGGTTGATATGCTGGCTGATATATTGGTTCACTGTTGCTTGTTGACGAGTCGTCAGGTGGACGTGTATCGCTAACTGAATCTGTCGTTACGATGTCATCGTCTCCTATTGCTTTAGCAGGTATAGATCGTGGTGGCGATGAGCGTGGTGTGACTTTACTGGGATCCGACATACTAGTTCGTGATGGTGTTGATGGAGCTGACATCCTTCGTGATGGAGGATAGTGTGTCAAGCTTTCAATACCACGTTCTCGGATCATTCTCATTTTTATGACGGCCAGAGTCACTGTTGAGACTCGTTGTTGTGCTTGCTTTGACAGCTTTGGGTTGGACAAGACCTGTTAGTATCGCGAAAAAAGCAAACAATCAAATAAGCTCAATCACGTCATACCTGTGCCAATATATCCGCAACACACTCCTCTTCTCCTCCACTCTTAAACAAGAACTCGTCAATCCCACTACCACCAATAACCGCAATCCTTGCTATGCAACTCGTCAAAACAAGATTCAGATTAGGCGGCAATTCCAACATTTGCCGTAGCAATTGTATCAGCAAATGTCGGAATGCGAGACCAGATGATATATCAGTATCAATACTGGTCCCCGAATCAGTTGTATCCCTTATTGACGTTCGTCGCCAGCCTTGACGTTTCCTTATGTAGTTGAAGACACGTCGATGAGCAGCATCAAAGTGCTCATCATATCCAAGACTTGAGAATTCTTCAGTACTTGTTGGCGTTGCCGTTGACGGATTCATCAAGTCTGGCGGTTGAGCTGACAGGAGTCTACGAAAGGAACAAGTAAGGTGGTAAGCACACAAAAAAGGTATCTAGTAGGTGAGAATCTTGTGGTGGCGTGTTCTACTCACCGTTCTACATTTGAATGTAACGCTTGAATCTGCTCATCAGTAGTGCTTCCATCGTCATCAACATCCTTCACATTCAACAAAGTTTTGAGCACGTGAGGATGATAGGAGCTAATGACGACGTCCAAGAGCCTCAGAGTACTTATGGCAAGATCGATTCTCTACGTGTACAGGAGTTCCAGTTAGGATTCTCAGTTAGGATTCTCAAGCATCCATGCGAATCACCAGCTTACATCATATGCCTCAATACGAGACAATAGCAAATCCAACAGCCTCCTTCTTCCAGCACCGTCTTCCACTGCACATTCATATACGAGTATTCCAAGAGATAAAGGAGCCAGAAGTTGTGGCGTGATAGATCGAATAATGTCAGCAAGATGTAGGGTAGCTGACAATGATATTTCTAAATGACTTGCTATTGATTGAAACAAGACTGGCTTGAAGAAGATGGTGTCTATGCGATCTACCAAGCTCACAGTCAGTTTCTAAAGATCGAATCGAAGGAAGGGTTTTGCGTAAGCTGCCTGCCAAAAAAAGTGACCACGAATTTTGTTTTATGCTTGCCTGACAACCACACGTTATTATCTTGTTCGAGAAGGTCCACAACTCAAAGAACTCTTGTCGTGCATTCATATGCTCAGAGCCCACATCAGATTCTGGTATTAAACGCCCTCTTGGCGGTGACGACTTCTCATTTTGCGTATTAGTTGACTGAGAGCTCAGAGATGTCATCCTTGTGTACAAAATTGCTTGTCTTTCTGCCTACGAGTCGGTGGAAAGTCAGCTTTAACGAAAAAGGAGGGCTCTAAGATTGCTGAGTCATACCAGCGTCTCTGATATCTGAGATGCATCAACGACATACTCTACAACATCCACCATGATTGCCTTGTTCCTCTCGTCTTCCATCTCAATAGCCTGATCTCCAAGAATCGACAGAGCTGTTATTATAGCTTCACGAGCTACACGCCCAGTTGTGCTGGGATACCCAACGTAGTCCAACAATGTATCAAATATACTAAATTTCGATGTTTCAGATGTTTTGGATCGTTCAAAGAAGAGACCAAGAAGAGACGGTGTGGTTTGTATATGTCGAAATAATAGAGCAATCAAGTTCACTAGTTCGTGTTTCACGTCTCCTGCAGATCCTGTACCCGGTTCTGAAGATGATGATGTAATAGATACAGGGCTTCCTTCATCGACCAATTGGTGACAACCAGCGATCAAACGTGTCAGAGGTGTTCTAACCGATGTTTCAGGAAGCAGTTGTGGTCCTCCGAGATCAGATATGAGCAGCTGGAATATCTTAACGACATATGCTCGCATTCCAATTGGCGTCTATAACAAAAACCGAAGTTTGAGACACGTTGAAGTTCATCAAACGGCAAACTGTGTGATAGTTACGTCTGATTGTGCATATGCCACCAGCTCATCTAATATCTTCATCTCCAGCAGAAATTCAAGACACGGTCCAGCATGTACAGTTCCAGGCGTGTTGTTTCGAAGTTCACTTTGTTCCTCTTTCAAGTATCTGACCATGGCTTCAAGGTGATATGGGAGATTTGTCGATGCAATTGATACCACAGAAGGACCAAATCCTTGTAAAATAACAAAGCGATCGTGTAAGTGAACAAGAAACACACAGTTGACATTCAATCTTCCAAAAACAGAGTTATTTGGGAAGGAAGACACCTCTTGTTTCAAAGAACTTTTGGCAGTGCGTCCAATGATCTTTAAACTGGTCTTCTTTACTCTTGACATTTCCTCCCAAGATCTATTTTCCAAAAATGTTAAAAACCAGTGAAGAGCCCATACTTGCAAGCTGTTCTGGCATACCTCGCCTACAAAATCAGACAGTTTGAACTTGAACATTATTAGTAATTTTACACTCGATTTTTACAGTGTCATCTAGCCTCTTGTCAAATTTCCGAAAACATTGGCCTGAACAAAACTTGCCAATCAACTGAGAAAAAACGCAAAAGAGGAAGACGGCATAGATTCCGCACAGTTCTATTATTTGAATCAATAGAAGCCATGTCGACCACACAGACTCACACCGTGGCCGCTTCATTGGTGCCAAATCGGCCACACGATTATCTATATGGTAATGAATGATAGTTTACTTTGCATCAAGATGAGAGTCTGGCTACGTGGATATCAAGCTAATTTACGTGTTAATTCGTGATTCTAGACTCTACGTACACTGTGGCTAATCGTGCAGACCATGTGAAGCACATGGCTGCATCAACCAGAGCTGACGTGGTAAATTGTTGGAATGTCGATGTTAGCTTCAACAGGTTTTAACCACTTCTTCTTATAAAGGTCATCGTTCCCAACTTCAGCAACATGTTTTCAGCACTAGCGCATCACCCATCAGCAAGCATGACACTCAGGCCACACCTTCCACCACCAGGACTCGGCCAAGACCGTGTTTCACGTGGCGGCGATCCACAGGTATCTGGTGCAGGTCGATACAGATACTTTCGTCGTCCTCTCGTCCCATACCTGCCAAACATGAACGGCCCAATTGTATACGCCAAAAGTGCATCTGCTAATGGACGAACAGAAAACACTGCACCTGCTGCCGAAGACGTATCAGGACAGCCACGGACTCGTACCGTCTTTGTACAAACCATATTCCGTGAATCCGAAGCCCAGACAGATCCATACTCGCCTGATTACGTCGCTATACCGAACGCAGATGGACAGTTACCTGAAGTGCTGACTCTCATGTCGCTTAAATATGGTCAAGGACTACCTGCAGGTGTAGCTGAACTCGATTTGATTGAACGTGGAAGAGCTAAACGTGCGTGGGAAGCTTCGTTGCCTACTGGCAGTGATCCAGCAAGTTTGCAACGGCGATTCAAGGCTATGGAGGCCATGGAGCTTGCTGAATGGGCTGAGCGTGAAGAAGAGATTGCCAAGATCCAGGAAGCTAGACTCAAGATCATGGAAACTATATTGAGGAAGCGTGAAGATGATGAAGATAAAGACAATGCTGACCGCATTGAAAAGATGTGGGAGAGACGTATGCGTGCTCGTGAGATCTTGCTTGATAAGATTCAACGCAAACGTGTTAAAGGTACCATACAGTTATCCATAGGTCTGGAGGTGATCTTTTTGTTTTGCATTGACACGTTTCACCTACACATAGCAATGAGAAAACTAACCGAAAAGCTCAAAAATGTCGAAAACAAATTCGTCCGCCGTGACATCATTGCAGAATACGCCGACCACGGATCCAAAGTCTATGCTCCCAAAGCTCGTGAAGGCATGCCCGTTGATCAAGTTAAAGATGCTCTGAAACTGCATCTTGAAGAACTTTCACACTATGAGGGACTCGTCGCTCTTGAATCGTCCTTCCCACCACAAGTCCTCCAAGCTGACATGAGCGGCCCTGAATCCTTGATCATGTTGCGCAAACAACGACAAGATATGGCATTGCATGATGAATTGAATGCTATGGATAGGAGGATAAAGGAACGGATGGAAAAGGAGGCGGCGCTGGAACGACCGTTGAGATTCTGTAGCAGGATTGAGAAGCCTGTGCAGAGGCCTGCAACGCCGACTGTTGATATCCCGTGAGTGAATCTTCTTTTTTTTGTGTTCGTGGAGCTTTCCCAACGATTCTAACATTTAAATCACATTGCTGGTTCTAGTGAAGAGGAAGACGAAGAACGTACCCAGGCAGCTCTCCTCCTCCAACGCCTGATACGCGGCCGTGTCCAACAAGAAGAAATGCGCCGCGGACTGGAACGCCGCAAAGACCTAATTGCCGAAATGCGATCACGACACATGATCCGTCGTGCCGCCCTCCTTCCAAACCCATCCCACCTCGAACAAACACCCGGAGCAACAGACGTCGGCAAAGCACCAATCGAAGTCGAATGCGAAACTATCGAAAAGGACACCCTCTTCCAACCAACCACCACCGAATCCACCCGACTAGACGATTTGGTGACATCCACACTCCACTCTGAACACACATCACGAGCACTCTCCTTCCTGACCTCGGAACTGGTCCGCTTGCGAGAAGAGCGACGGATTGCTGCCATGCTGAAACTTGCTACCCGTACACGCGAGGAACGGGAGGCTGCCGAGTCTAGTCGCCGTATGGAAGAGCTGGCAAGACGTGAGCAAGCTGATTCTGTGTTTATGAATGTCATGAAGGTGCATCACCAAACTGTGGATATGTATTTGGAGGATATTGTGAGGGAGAGTATTGATTCGACTTCGGATGAGTTGGCTCGTGAGCAGGTTTATGAGCATGCTGTGCGGGTTGAGACTGAGGCTAAGAACACTACCTCGTGAGTCCATAAATCGTGCAGCTTTTGTTTTTTGGTCGACGTAAACCGCTTACATATTCCATGCCACCACCAGGGACGATATATCCATCGTTCGTGATCTGGTATCTCAGTTCCTTATACCAGAAGTTGAACGTGATTCTCTTCGACAGCAAAGTAAGTTTGCTCGTGTTTGATGATGACATGGTGATCATAGCAGGATTGACACATCATTTTTTTAGTTCGTGACGATCAACGCAAGTATCTGCTAGCAGCCCACACAGCCCTAGCTTCTCAACTGCCAACCATTGAGAGTAGTTTAAATAGTTCATTGTAGTAGCTGCCTCTGAAGAAAAACAATTGACCCAAAAAAAAGCATGGTCAGCCAACTATCATAAGAGGTTTCAAATGTCTCTATATTTCTCTAAAGCGGATATTCTAGGTTGTTTTCAGACTCCTGTTTCTTTCAAATTTGATAATGATACACTTCCATTCCCACAAGAAGAAAATTTTTAAACTATTTTTGTTCACAACACAAACGCGGTTTCCAAACAGATGATACGAAACCAGAGACAGATGGTTTACAGACGGTCACGAGACCTATTCCAAGAAACACGTAAGCCAAATAAAATAAGTGGAAGAGGTTTCATAAGGCCTTACCATGGCTTCAATGTACCACTTGGGTTGAAGAGCTTAGTAGTTTGATCAGGTTGGACGTGGATGTATGGGAATGGGTTCGACTATGTGCAGAGAGCCAATCGTTAGTTTATGTTTCAAGGTTTGCCGAACGAGCTTGAAATTTTGACAGCTGCAGTCAAAATTTTAGCTTCTTTCTATGGAAGTACTTGCCTTGCGGGCCCAAACGACATCAGACTTCTTGGCGAGATGTGTTGCGTAGAAGCCACAGCCTACGACTAGTGAAAAGAAGAGGGGAAGGAAAGTTGTTAGGATGGGTTTGGTGCAAAAAATATTTGTGCTGTGGTCTGGGTGAACATAAGATTGCGTTGAAGAGCGAGCTTCCACGTTTAATGGCTTCCTTTGATCGTCCGATTGCGAAAACAGCCTCAAGGTATTATAAAAAACCCAAAGCTTTCACATCCATGACGAAATAATTCAACGATAATTCAACATGTCAAGCCTTACCAGCAACTCCCATAATAGCAAAGAGGGGGTATACGCCCTAAGATATACATTTTCAAACATTTGTTAGGCTGGCAACAACAAGTTACATTGAGATAAAATCAAATTTATTTTCTTGCTAGCTTGCAAAAGGTGTGCCTTGCGTTTCATGCTGCACATACCACAGGAACCAGTCTTTGTAATCGTGAGGCGTTGGCAGCGACCATAGTGAATGACTCTTGTTGTATGTAAGGTGACTCTTGTTGTATGTGATGGTGGTTGGGTGAGAAGGAACAAACAATGGCAGAGAATTTTGCACGATTCACGGAAGAAATCGTGATGCGTTTGAGGATACCTCAGGATGGATGCCGCATCAAAATCGGACGCGTTTGTAGGTATGTGAAATCGTGGAAATCGTATCTAGGTCGTTATCGAGTCAATCGGAGTAGCGGTCGTCGCGAGGTGTTTTTTTCTGCCAGCCGAACAAGGAATTTTTCATCCATCACGACGGAGGAAGCTAGTGAGACGTAATCGGATGGATTTCTACGCTCCAAACGATGGATTTGGTCACAGTTTTGCTCTTTGCTGAGAAGTAGACTTGATCCTTTTGAACATTTTGAAGCCGACACGCAATCTACTAAAACTACAGATTCGTCGTAATAATGTTACGAATCTAGCTGTATCGTTGTATCCAATAAAAATGTTGTTGGATTCAAACTCTCCAAGGACTTACTTTTGAACCAAACACCGTTTGCAAAGTTTTTTTGGTGTTGGACGCTAATGATAATGGAGGGAATACAAGCTCCCGTAGTGATGAATGAAGTGCACCACTGGATGACACTATGCTGCAATTGCCAATCGGTATCTTCAAACTTTGTTATAAGAACTCTGATACTCGATATATCAACACATTAACATCCACTAAGACATCGCAAGTATACGAGTGCTGCTGTAGTGATCCTTGGACTACATTGACCGATGCCACATCATGTTTACTGCAATCTCTAGAGTCAAAGGCACTTGATACCTCCTAGTTCCCAATCAGAGGACTTAGTGATCATTTCACTTGTGCCCCAACCTTCCTCGTGTTTGAAAAACAAGTGCCAAAGTATCGCTCGGATGAGAGTCAGTGAGTCTTTGCATCCTTTGAGATCAATGTGGCTGACTTGTCGCAATAGAAGTCAAGTTGGATGTCCGTCGTATGCAAGTCTCGAATAGGCATGTCGTTGTTTGCGTCCAGCCAACTTTGAATGATGGGAGAGAGTGAAACGTAGATCATCTTGTGACGTGGCATCCTATACAGTGTTTCGCTGTATTTCACCACGTACGGCGGCCTAGACGATGATTTGAAGCAAACATGTTCAACTTTGGACAAGACGCAGACTGCCAGTTTAAGATGTCACAGTTCTTCAAGATACAGTTGCTAGACTGTTCAGCATATGATCACTTCCGAATTCGGATTCAGTCTGGATCAGACTGTTGTAGACCAGCAAAATTTTAGTTCAAAGTGTAAAGTCTGTGCTGTCTCTTCAGGTTACCGAACAAGACGAATCGTTGCCCCCAAAAGTAAAGCTATAACATCTCATGAAGTCGTAGGATTAGATAAATCACAAAATCACACTAAACACTCCGATTATCTTGCCAAAACATCTATTCTTTCTATTGCTTTTTCTTGTTCTTGTTTTTTACAAAGTGTTCCTACCCTTTTTAATTCCAAACCTCACCAAAACTGCTGCTATTGTTACATTTTGTCCACTATTGTTTACATTCTATGCTGGTGGGCGTTTCACTTTCCGGGCTTTCAGCGCGGCGGTAGTCTTTCTCCACACGCTACTCCATCCCTTCATAACCCCTCCTTTTTCATTCTGGTTTACCAAAACAGCTCTACTTGGTACAGCTGATGGTACTGTCGCTTTCATGAGAATGTCCCTATCGGTGACTTCCTCGACTTTGGGTGTAGCAAATACCATATGTGAAGTCTTCTCTCCATCATGACAAGACACTTTAGAGATATTAGATCCATTACGGTACTTCCAAAATGATGCTGGTATTTGGATTTCGTTGCCTTGGTTGGCCTGATGTTGCATCATCGTGTATTTGATAACGAGGTTGAATCGCCGGTCCATTTCATCATGCTGATGACTGACAAGACTACTTGACTGACTGATCGTTTCTGGAGTGTGTGCGGCACTATATGGATTTGTGACGCTTACGTCGGATTGATATACGGATAACAAGATGGAAGATATGGCTGCAAATGTTGCACCATTCATAATGGCCAAAACACGAGCATCAAGACTTTGGGGATCAATAGCAGTACGACTTTCAGATTGAGCCGCAGCTCCTTGTGCAAGGCGAATGACTGGGTTCACGACGGCGGAATCACCGTAGGTTTGTGAGTCGGCACTTGGTACGGGAGCGGGAGGTATATGTTCCATCAACCTCAAACTATTGTCACCTCCAGCACGACGTCCGTTGTCGAGATTCATATCGGTGGTGCTCGAATCAAGGGGGGTTTCTACCTTGGTCGAGACACGAATGCTGTTCACTGAACTTGGAATAGTCATGGGTGATGTTGTGGCACTGTTGTAATTTATACGGGCTGGAGGTGTTCCAGCGGGTGATGTTAGTGTCTGTGCACGTGGTTCTGTAGTTGCTTCTTGACCTGTGACTCCTGGATTGGCATTTATACCGGCAGTTTGACAGTCAGGGATATCCTTCCTGTTGCAACTAATAGCTGGTACTACAGTGACCTGAATATCTGGGCTTACGGATCCTTGGGCAGGGGCCTCGTCGTTTGAGCTAGAAGGTGTCTTTGCAGATACTTTATCAGATACGTGGTCTTCTGACATAGCTGTTGTGTTATATACCTGTAAAGCTAGTGCTCTGGGGCACTCGTGACAAGCCGTACCACTAGTATCCGTAAGCGTCAATGTAGCATCACCTTCGGTCAAATCCTTGTTACTTTCATTGCCGCTTACAGGGGATTGAGCGATCTGGATACGACTATGTACTATTTCTTCATCGAATGGTGCTACCACTGTAGTTGCTGGTGGTTCAACCACCGTGGTAGTGATCCCAACGGGGTTGAGACCACCGTTTCCCAAATGATCACCACTATCAGGTGCTCTTCCTGGAGTAGTTGCTGGTGACTCAGCCACCGTAGCAGTGATCCCAGCGGGGCTGAGATCACCCTTCTCTAAACGTGTACCTGTCTTGTCGCCTATACTGCTACTCGTGGTACCAGCGGGTACCGATACGGCGGGTGAAGTTGATGCGGAAGCGCTAGCATCAAACAGCAAGTCTGCATATAGCTTTTGGTGAGGCGTGGGTATCACATGCGGAATACAGTCCATCACTGGCATCTTCTTGGGGCCTTTTTCGTTCTAAAAGGAGCAAAAACAACGTCAGAAGTCCAAACTTTGTAATAAAAACCATAAAAGGGAAATAAACTCACCATTGCAGGAATATAAGGAGGAGGAAAAAGCAATGATTTATAATCCTCCCATTTGACACCATTAAAGTATTTATGCTTCTTGATTTCTTTAATACCGTGAGTACCCAATCGGAGGGACTTTTCACGAATAAAGAAGCTAAGGACAAAGTTTCGAAAGTCTTCTCCTCCATCGCAGTCCAAGTCATAACTGTCCAATGGAGACCTTTCAATATCTTTCAAGAATTCTTCAGCAGTTCGACCATAGAGTGGCAAGACACCGTTTGCCATTTTATATAAGACAACGGCATACGCCCACCAGTCGACATCCCGAGTATACGGTTTTTGCATCAACATTTCTCGAGACATGTAAGGCACCGTGCCAGTATTTTTGTGACTGATTGTGTAAGTTTCCTTCATGCCGGTTAAGGCTACCCCATAATCAAGTAATTTCAGATGTCCGTCGAGAGCTATCATTATATTTTCAGGTTTAATGTCCCTATTGCAACGTTTTGAAAGTTGAGAGTCATGTTGAAGCGAGTCACAGACAATAGTACAAACAGAATAAAATGTGATAACATACCTGTGACAAACGTTTTTGGTGTGGAGCTCCTCGATAGCAAGAACACCCTCAATAGCATAAAACTTGATCTGCTCATCGGTGAATACCCTTGGTTGTTTGACAACCTTGGGATTCGGTTTGGGTAGTATCCTGTCTAAACCAACACCTTGCACGTAATCCATCTCTAGGTACAAATAATGGCGGTCTTGAAAGCAAGCGGAAGCAGCAACAAGGAATGTCGATCCTTGTGCCAGCATTAGCACATCAATCTCACGCTTTAAGCTAAAAAGTGAAAACAGCGTGTGAGTGAATACCTATCGTTGTACAAACAGGAAATAACCGATTACGTACGCAGAAGCGGTACCACAAGCATCTCCTTTAAATAACGGCTTCTTGATTTGCTTGATGGCACGTCGTTGACCAGTGCTATTCTTTGTAACTAGCAAGACACGCCCTTGTGCACCACGGCCCAAGAGACCCAATGTAGTATAATCTTGCATAGATGTCGTTTTTACGACTACGGCCGCCGATTCGGGGATGGATGATGATGGTAGTGTTGGTTCGGATGCTGGTGATGGTTTTGTATCTTGTTTGGGTCTGCTTCCAGCGAGTCCTCTCCAGAGGCCCTTGAAAGAGAGACAGGTTGTGGTGGGATGTCTTGCAGATGCTGGATGCGGTATCGTAGTAGGGATATCCGTATTACTTTGCTTGTTTTCTATAGAAGAAAGGGATGAAACACTCGTCAGTCACGGTAGTAACGTGATTAAATTTGATGCACCAAATGTTGAACAGTAAACGATATAATCAACCAATTTCAAGGAACGGAATCGTATGCATGATACTATTAAGTGCATAAACGCCCATGGATGCAGCTGTTTTACTAGTAGCGTCACTGTCATATATGTGTTTGCTTACCTGGTGGTTTCTTATGACCAAACACTCTCAGAACAGTGCATGGAAGGACCATTCTTGAAAAAGATATGATTGTAGTTTGGGGTTTTGTGCTGATAGCTACTTTCTCCTCCTGCATATAACTCTTCTTTGTCTCAATGCTCATAATACTTGCTTTTTTGAAAAAAACGAGGAATTCGATGCTGGCATTCAATCATATACAGGAGTACCGGATTAAAGGTTAAGTCAAGAGCGTGTATTGTTGTTCAGTTTCCTTGTATATTGGACACTATGATTTTTCAGAAGTGTTCACTACGTGAAATGTCTGTAATTAACTATTAACCAACACTTGACACCATTTTCTGGTAGATTCGTGGACTGTACAGACTATTGCCTACGTTTTACTGGATTTCGCATGACATCGCTATGCCATTGCTACATATATGTACATTATCGGTGGGATCTGCCACCACCAAAGATCGACAAATCTTTTAAGACTTAGCCCGGCCTGTTGCACATTACGGAACTCTAAGGCGCTTTCGTGGCTAGAGAGAGCTCATCAACTGAGTCGCCATTATTCAAGCACTCAAAGACTCTGGTCCCTCCCATTCATTGGACGACATTCTTCGTGGACAGATACATGGAGACACGCGAGACCTGGATGATTTCAACTCTACGACGGAGTTAGTTTTCTTTATGAAAGCAGGTTCGGATTGCTGCCACAGCATTTGCAACATTCCGGGGATAGCGCCTGCAGTAATTTAGAGCACTTCAAACTTGGAGGCCTTAAACCAGCATATCGGTAATATTCGTTGAAAGAGTAAAAGAGCTCGGAAAGATTTAAATATGTGGTCTCTGTTGCCTGATACGGCTACATTAGGTGGTGTTGTTGTATGTGAGAAATCGAGAAATCAAGGGATGTCTGAACGTAGGCTTTGTGGTTTCAATGGATTGGTGGACGTGAACGCAAGAGGTATGATTCAAACCGGCGTTTAGAGGATGCTTTTGATGCTATCTAGCTAGTTCGGTTTTGTGCGATCGGTACAAAAGTTCACTGGCTCATTCTGTCTCTGGGTCTGTTCCACAAACTACAGCTTTGCAAACCTCCAAACCATCGGTCAATTTCGGTACGAGTCATTTCAATACGAGGCGCCCAATTATGAGCCCTCTGATAACCACCAGCATCGTCCTCCGCCTCATAGTCCTCGTCGCCTCAGCAATCATAATCCTCGCCGGCCTGAACCTCGCAATCACATCCTCCAACAACTTACTTCAAGGTGCCTGTCTCGCTCTTGGGTATCAGGATCTGCTGTGCAAGCCGCTGATGACGTTTGCAGGTGGGATATCGATGGTCACGTCTGGTTTCGTGCTGTTGGTGGGCACGGCATTGTATGGTGCCTTTGCGATTCCGGCTGGGAAAGCAGGTAGATATGTTACTGGTTTGGAGTTTAAGGGTTGGTTTGAAAGAGTATTAATGATTTTAACCGTGCAATAGAGTAAAGACTCGCTGTATCGCCATGGAGCGGCATTTTTACTATGTAGACACTTTAAATATAAGTAAACGATCATGTAGTTTAATACTTAGTAGACCCAAACTTATATCTCGATACGATTCGCTTTGCTTCAGAACGCTTTGTATCGTTTCTCACCAACTTCTGTTTCCTTGTTCAGTACCCAAGACTCAGTATCATTATATTCTAGTCCAGATAAAATTGTTCTTTTTACACTTCCTTATCAGTCATCTTTCCCGTCCCATTGCTTGAGGCACCATTGCCATTCGTATGATGGCCATTCGATGCTTGTTTGAGGCCATTACTATGCTTACTATTACTATTACTGGTATCTTTGCTGGTATCCTTCCCATCACCACCACCACGTTTCTTCACACCAGGCTCCACCGCACCAAACACGCGACTCAAACGATGCGTATACCTCCCCCAGCCCAGATAATTGAATCCCAGCATGACTAGCAGCATACTTATATGCGGGATAAAGTAGAAGCTCTTCCAGGCTTTGAAGGATGTGTCGAGAGCAAACATTACGATGGGGATTGTCGAGTAGTTTGTGAGGGTTATTGTTATTGCCCAGCCGAGAAAGTCGTAGATGGGTTTGAAAGGGGCGAGGGATGATGGTGGGAGAAAGAGGTGGCGGAAGTGTCGACGAGCGATACGGCCAGAGTTGGTGATGAAGGAGCCTGAGGCGAAACCAAAGTAGTAGCCTCCGTGATAGCCATGCCTAGAGAAGAATAGAATATCAGTTAAGATGATAACGGCAGAAACCCAACTGTTGAGACGAAAAAAAAGGCACGTTATCATACCAGCATGCACTCGTTATGAAGGTAGCAAGCGTCGCCCATCCCTTAATCTTATCTCCCCTATACAACATACGTTCATATACACAATGACGGAGCCAATACGCTGTCTTTTTATTCCATGACTCGAATATAGCTTTAGCATTCTCAGCCGTCTCTAACTCTACCGGATTGACATTCTGCGCACGAGTCCAGTCGTGCGTTCCGTCCTTGTTCATACCACCATATCCGAAACCTGTTAGCGTGGAAGCTCCATCGGATAGACCCCATGCTACATAATACTTGCATCGTTCCATAAAGCCTGCAACAGTCAGATACCCGAATTTACCAAGAAAAGAGTATGTGCTTGCAAACTCTACAGTTGCCATGACTCGATAAGGGAATTTAGGACCAATGTACAGGAAGAGTCCCATAAAGAAAAAGGAAGATACTAGTTTCTTTAGTGCTGGTATTATCGTACTTGGGATATTGTTGAATGGTGGTAGACCGTGTGTGAAGTTGTGGTAGTCGTGGAAATCTACAGCTGGTCCAACCTTGGTTGAAGGAGTGTCAAAGATAGTTTCAAACGGTGGTTTCAATGACAGCACCTCACCATAAATGATGGAAACCATGTAACAAAGCCTCCAAATTCTATAATGCCGGGTATGTCCTTTATCATAGCCGTCTTTTGCTGTGCCGACAAGGTCTAAACGATGCATTGGGTGTGAGTAATTTCATATCAGTGACAGCTGTCAGATTAAAGCTGCGAGATAATGACTCCAGTGTCGAACCAAAAAAAACACGAGACTGTGTCGCTACTGCCAATATAACAACTCATATACCTCTATTGGCATCTGCCCATCATGCACACTCCAAGCAAACGAAGTCAACTTGATTGTCAAAACCATGAGTGGGATTGTCTGATCAAACTGCGCCGACGAGGCAGCCAAAATTTGCCAATATATCAGACTATGGAGTATTAGTTAGTACTTTTCAGTTGCCTCAGTTCAAAAGGACGACGGATGATCTCCCTCAAAACATCCGGTCGGGCGTCACAAAGGAGCTACATACTTGCAAGCCAAGTATCCCATATTGAAGAGAAACAGCAGTATGGGCATGTACGGAGTTTTGAGTATATGGACAGTGAGATACGTGGTCGCACTCATAGCGACCATATGCAAAACAGTCGACATGCTGAAGGTCGAACTTGTCAAAATTGATGCCACGACGATTGAGTAGATGTGACGGTAGATAGGAGGTGTTGAGCGTGGTAAAAGTAAATATAACGCCTAAACGTTCGTGATTTAGTCAGTTTTGAGAGGTAATGATGTTGACTGGGCCGCGTCAAGCCCCACAAAAAAAATCATCAGAGACTTACAGCAAACGGATACGCGCCAAAGAGGTTGACTCCACCCTCCAAAACATCTGGCTTAACTCCAGTTGACCTACTTATGGCCTGTATTATGGCGTCCATGATTGATTGATCCACGAGCCAAAACTGTCAACTAAAAAGTTCTGGAGTTTGGATTTTGCCTAGACTTGAAGCGCATAACGAGATGTAGGAGACCATCAGGATTGGTAGATGGCCGTGATTTACGCGAGAGATACTAGCTTCCAAGTTCAAAACACGTGGCGACAATCGTCAAGACGAGCGACTAAACAAGAAACCCCAAAAACATGAACTTTCGAGCTTAGAAGCTTCCTGTCGAGGATACAGACATGGAAACAGACGGAATCCCACTCGCGCTCGCAGACAACCTGCTCTCCCAGATATCAGGGGCCCTGGAAGATACACTATTGCACTCACTCGCAGCACCATCACCGACCAGAGGTCCAATTGATGGCCTGGCCGACAACATCAAGGAGTTCGTCCCAATGTATTTCGCTTCCATCCTAGTCCCCCCCGAAAACATATCCTCCGATATCGTATGGAAGGAAGTGGTCAGCCAGGCATTGGATGTCGAGTCCAGAATAAAGCTGCACGAGTTAATTGTAAGTCGTGCTGACTATCGGAGAGGATGGAGCGTGTATTTATTATGGATTTATAGGGATGAATTCAATCCGTTGCTCTTCTCTTACACCCGTCTCTCAAACTCCTCCCAAACAGGTCCTCATCCAAGACCAACCAGAAGCTGTCGAACGAGCACGTATCTTTGAACGTGTATACGGACTCCTAGACATCATCCTCGAATGCCAAGAGCAAGGTCTCGCAAAAGATTCCGCGGCTCTACAAGCTGTCGAAGATCTCGTCGATGCATTGCCAATCCACTTGATTGACTATGTATTCGATTATCTGGATTCCCGTTATGCTCGGATTGTTACCGTAAGATGTAACATTATTGTTGAAATTGTACTCATCGGGTGATAACCTACACTCTCTAACAGAACATTAACCCAAAGACTGGTCGTGGCTTGACGCTTCTCAGACTGTGCAATGAGGCGTTAAGGAGATTGGAAAAGACTACTCATGCTTCCACTTGTGGGAGAATATTGATGTTTGTTGCGGCCGTGTTTTCAGTCACCGACAAATCAGGTATATTGATCATTAGAATGTCAGTTTTTTGCCTCCTACAGCCAGTCCGACTCACAGCTGTCAATTCCGATATGTAGGAAACAATAGTCAAGGAAAATTCAATACTGATAATGTAACGTACGTTGAAGATCAACCCTATACTATGGAAGTCGATGGAGTCCGTGATGGTAAGGAAGTCGAAACATGGAGACATTCGAGTGTTCGAATACTAAAAAATCCTTTTTTTGGTGTTTTGTAGATTGGGACTTTTATCGCCAATTCTGGAATATTCAGAAATTCTTCTCAAATCCACCAATGATAATGGAAGGGGACACGTTTACTACTTTCAAAAATGTAAGATGTGTCTCAATGACAAAACAAAGTCCATGCGTGGCAAGCTCGACATGAACGTATGTTTTCTTCAACAGGATGTGGATGCGATATTGAAAGAGTTTGAAAACTTGGAGAGAAAAGATGCTCCCGCTACTCCAGACAGGAACAGAGACAGCGATTCGCGAAAACGAAAGCGTGATCGTGAACATCATGAATCGTCAGAACCTCCTGCTTCTACTTCGACATCGACTAGTAGCCGATCATTCACTACAGACTTTTTCTCACCGAAGTACTTGACAAGTCATACATTGTTTGATCTTGAGGTGAGTTATTAAGCTCCAAGGGTTGGAACATAGAATGTGTCCGTTAAATATTGACTTTTTTGTTCTATCATATAGTTACGAGATCCAAACTTTCGACGTCAAATCCTACTACAACATCATATCGTTCTTAATTTCTTAGCATCGTATGGAGCCAAAGCCAAAGAGATCGAGTTCAAGTACTTGGCGGAAACCCCTCTGCAAGCCAATGCAAGGATTACGGCTTTATATACTCCTACCTTGAATGCTGATCAAGTAAGTGTCCTGCACTCGCCAAAAATGAAGCTGTCAAGATGTCTTATGAATTCTGCTTTGTTTGTTTCACAGGAACAATGGATTAGTGATGCCATCAAGAGAGTCAACAAAATGCTAGACAGGATGAAGGAAAAGAAGACAACTATTACAGCCAAAGCTATTATGATGCATGAAAAGAGCTGGGTATGTGTATTTGGGCGTTGTACTGAATCGCTTGCGTCATGATTTTCGTTCGCACTCATTTGCTTTTTTGCACACTTGCCTGTAACTACTGTAGACACGATGGAAACTTGTAAGTTGCCCACCATACGATGAGAATTTGAAGCCCGATCCGTTGCCGGTCATAAGGCCAACGTTATATGTATGTGGTGTTTGGTCAATTGACTGTCCTGAACTCGAATTGGATTTTTGTGCCAACATGTTCGTGCACTCCACAGAAAAAATCATTTGATCCAGTTCCACCAGTGCAAAAGGGTAACAAGAAAGGCATTGAAGCTCGTGGAAAGACGTAAGTTGTATGAGTTACCACTCCTTGTCGATTTTCGCTCTTCTAACAATCCTTCAACTAGCACGGAAATCGTACTAGTGGAAAATCACTTGGCAAAACTGAATGATGCCATTGATCCGCTGGGAGAAGTCAAGGCTGGCAAACGGTCTGAAGCATCGAATGAGATGTTTATATGGCGTACATTACGATTGGCTCGTCGACAAGTCTTGGCCCACATCCATGGATTGAAGGAGGGTAAAGATGCTGGGTCTCCTGTTGCAATGTTGATGCATTTGAGAAAGATGACTCCTACTTGTAAGTACCTGTGGGGTTGTGTGGTTTGTTGATGAGTTGGCAGCTAAAGAAACGAACGAGTTGACCAGCGCATGAATCTCGTCCTTTTTAATGCATAATAACGACTCGTTTTTTAGTGTATGGCTTGCCACCAAACCCAACACTACCACCAGAAGGCAATGCCGCAACACAAGATGCCAATGCTGATGCAGAGCCAGAACCGAATGACGGAGGTGCCGACACCGAATCTGGGCTAGATGAAGCAGAAGGAGGATATAGTAGTAAGGTTGTCACCGATGATATGGTTGTTGATAATGATGTGAAACCTGAAGAAGGTGGTGAAGGTGTTGCTGCTGATGGTGATGATGAGGTAAGATGAGTGAGAAATCCTAAATCGAGAGTATGACTGAATGCTTTTTATGCTTTTGTAGAATGGAGAAAGAAGTGCTAAAATGTTGAAGGTTGAGTAAATGGAGTGTTTTGCATTGTATAGATTATCAGGATGTTTCCTGCACAAATATAGCTACAGATAGCAAGAATTTGGATGTATTTCGCCAATCTAGTTTAGGTTTGGGTATGCCAAATGGTGGTTTGCGAATGATGGTAGACTAGGCGTTCTTCTACTTGGAATAAGGGTGCTTGTCGTTGTGGTGTTTCCAGTCACCGAGAAATCAGGTATCAATTTGTCAATTTTTTTTTTCTTGTTTTGCATCAACCTCACTTCTCGCTGATATAGGAAACGACCGTCAAACAAATTCAATACCAAGAACGTCACAAACCTAGAATATGTCTGCCATGGAAGCTGATGGAGTTTGTGAAGTTGAGAAACTCTAGAGGCGAAAACAAGTATTGTACACTATTCTGGCTGTCTATTTTTGGTGTTCTATCGCCAATTCTGCAACATTCAAACCTTCTTCTCGAATTTACTCAATGACACTGGAAGCAGGCATGTCTACTATTTAAAAAGGTAGGTCGTTTGTGTTGCTTGTATTCGTCGCAAAAAACCATCTATGGTCATGAACTCACGTATTTATTTCAACATGAATTGAATGCAACGTTGGGACAACTTTACTGGGATACACAATACTGTTGTCGCTACTCCAGAGAAGAGCAGCGAGTCACGAAAGAAGGGTACGTGATCGTGAGCATTGTTGACAGCTTCTAACGCCTTCTGCTTCGACGGCTACATCGACTAGCCGTTCGAAAATTCTTCACAGATTTCGCCTTGCACTTGACAAGTAATGTATTGTCTGACATCAAGGTGGGTTTGCCGTGCACCTTGATTTCAGTAAAAGTATCATAGAAAACAAGCCAGTACGGAGAGCCTCAAGATATCTTCAAGATCAGCATCAGTATAGACAGGGTTTGATGTTCGTGATTGCATGGAACTCGAGAAGTGAAGACATTCGAGTATTCGCGTTGTGGATTGATCTTTTTGTTGTCTCGTCCACATTGGGACGTTTATCGAAAACTGGAATATCGGATTTTCTTCTCAAATCCACGAATGATCATGGAAGCAGAAATTTAAGTTGTGCTTGTTACTAGAAGACACAAAAATTCGAGATGTGATTCGAGTAACATGGTTTCTGAACTTTTCAAGAATGTAGATTCGACATTAAAGAATTTGAAATCTCGATAGGAGAGGTGCTCCCATTGCTCCAGATAGCAGCACTAGCGATTCACAAAAGAGACAAACCTGATTGTGAACACATATCATTACCCTTACAGGATTCCGACATCTACTAGTACTCGAACAGTCACTCTAGCCTTCGTCTCACCAGAGTACTTGATGAGCTAGGCATTGTATCATCTTTGAATTGGGTGTGGTGCGCTGAAGTTTGGTAGTAACACCAGTCATCGTGTCGCGTACTATTATACTCTTTTTGTCCCCACTCTCGATGGAACCATTTACGTATTCCCTCAACAAGTGCATTTTATTTGAGTCAGAACTGAATCAGCAAACACGGGTAGCAAACAGGACGAATGCCCCATTAAGAGATTAAGAAAGTTGGCGTGGATTTTTCTTCCTTCTACCTTTATCCTCACTTGTTAGCACCGAAACTCGTACTTGTTGAAAAGCACATTGCAAAGCTGATGGCGCCACGGACGAGACGGGAGACGCCAAGTCTTGCAAACAATCAAAGCATCGATTGAGATGTGATACGTGGCACATTACCATTGGGCTCGCCAACTAGTCGTGTCGCACATTGCTTCGTGGAAGGAAGCTAGCGATACTGGTTTTCCAGTCGGATTTGATGAGGTGAAGAGATCACACTCCTAGCAACCAATGCTTGTCGTTTGATTGTGTTGCTGAGTTTTGCACTAAAAAATTCACATCCCGTTACAATTATTGACTTGTTCGATTCCTACTATTCTTCTTTGGCCTTCGTGCATGTCTTGCTACTGAACCCATCACGAAGGCAATGACGCAAAACCAGACGACAATGTCAATGTTGATACAGAGCCGGAACTGAATGATGGTGGTGGTGAAAATCAGACCAGGCTAGATGAATGAGCAAAACGATAGATAGGAATCCAACATTTGGTGAGTGAGGATATGCTGACTTGATGATGTGGAATCTGAAGGCCATGGGATGAAGGTGGTGAATGCGAGGTAACAACGAGCTAGAGAATCGATCCTTCAAATCTATTCCTTCTTTTTTGCCTAACATAGAACGATGCAGGGCTGGAGTACGATGTGTCAACGTATGTGGATCGTAACGATTATAACAATTTGCAAAATATAGCTCTAGAAGGCATAGATTCACAATTTTTTTGTTTTCACGCGACAAAAAAGCACAGCAAATACTGCCGTTCAATCCTCATCGTAACTTCACTTTACTCTAGCTCAATCCGCAATGGCGATCACGTTCAATACGAATGTCTTCGGGCTATCTCTACATCCATCAAAAGAAATACTAGCTGCTGGACTGTTAGATGGGAGCATCTCTCTGTAAGCTTCTATTCAATACCCCTTTCTAATGTTTTTTTTTTTGCAGACTAACGCAAACCTCGTTCAAACTTAGATACAACTATGAAGCTGATCCAAAACCAATATTCACTCTAAAGCCACATAAAAGTGCAGTCAGATCCGTTGATTTCCATCCCAGTGGTGAATGTGAGCTGTGACATTGAACCCAAAAAAAATATCGAGATGATTGACCCTGACACAACGTTGTTGTTTTCTACTAGGGCTATGTAGTGTATCAGCTGATCATTCTATACAGCATGTTAATGTCGAGACGAAGAAGATTGTTGTCAAGATACCTAGTGCTCATGAGTAACGTCTTCATCACTATCCGGTTTTTTTTGTTGGACGCATTAGTCACAATCTAATTACATAGGTCGGCAATAAACGCTCTCACATTCATATCGCCTACCTTGTATACTACCGGCGACGAAGACGGGCGTATAAAACTCTGGGACACACGAACGCCAACTATACCAACACACACATACAACATCCACACAGACTACATATCCCAGTTATATTACGACAACCACAAGAAGATGCTGCTTGCTACAGGTGGTGACGGCATGCTATCCGTCTACGACCCACGAAACACAAAAAAAGAATATATTACCGATTCACAAGACGACGAATTCTTGTGTCTGTGCATACACAAAAACCACAGCAAAGTCCTCGTCGGCACATCCAGCGGTATCGTAAACGTATTTGATGTGGGCAAATGGGACGAGCCCGTCGAACGAATCCCGGGCCATCCAAGCTCTGTTACTGGGATACTTGAGATTGATGATTCTACAGTCCTGACGAGTGGAAGTGATGGCCTTGTGAGGGTGATGCAGACGTATCCGCATAAAGTGCTGGGGATTGTGGAGCTGCCTGAGGGACAGCAGGATAGTGCGGAGTGTATGAGACTGTCAGTGGACAATCGGTGGTTGGTTGTTGCGCAGGAGGAGAGAGTTTGTGTTGTTGATGTTGCGTATTTGTTTGAGGAGGGGGACGACGATGAGGAGGAGGGGGTTCAAGAAGAGGTTGATGGTGGTAGTGTTGTGAAAGGTGGGAGTGCGCAGGAAGGAGAAGATGATGAAGATACAGGAACAGATGGATCTGATTCTGATTCTGAAAGTAGCAACGAAGATGAAGAAGTGGTGGATGATGAAGCTCACGAGACTACGAACACAAACAACAAAAGGACTGCTGAATCTAGCGATTCGTCCGACGCGTCAGAAGCTGAGGAGAAGGCAGACGCTAAACCTGGTAAACCGACACGTAGACAAAAGAGGAGGGCACTTATGGGAGATAAGAGACCCAAGAATGAATTTTTTGCTGGGATTGATTAGTATCGATTTGTAATGTATATGCTTAGAAAACACGTAACTTATATCAAAGTACATAAGATAACGCTTATCCATTTGTGCTGACGCGTCGCAATATGTTGGGGCGTGCGGTTGTTGTTCCCCTTGCTTCCTTCTTCGAACTTCCCTCATTTCGCTTTTGGCCAAGGACGTTGATCTTCAGGGAGATGGACTCGGATGTGGTCTTGGAGTCATTTCTTGAGAGTAAGTGCATCGTTGCTTGTTGATCTTGACTAGTTTCAACGGCTGGAATGTTGGCCGCCTAAAGAGGATGGTGTTTTGTGGGTTTGCGGAATGTTGGCGAACGATGATTAAACACAAGTAAAAGTGATGAAAGAAGAACGGACAACTTATTGTACATGATGAGATCTATCAAGCTCTACCCTCTTCCCTGCTGTCCTTTATATGCACAACGCCTAAATCCAACATTAATCAACCAACGTATTTTTTTGAAATGTATTTTTGTTAGCAATCGACGACATTCCGCGTGAGCTCAAATCAAATCTCGCAAGGCTCAAGGATTTAGATCAGAGATATCAAGGTATTATCTTATCATCACATGCATTTTCATCCGCTGTAAAAGCTGACGCCTTGTTTTCGCAAAATAGCTCAACTCCAACAATTACGATTCCAGAGGCAACAGTTTTATGAAAAGACGGCGCAGCCAACTGTATCTGATGAGGTCGAGATGGAGCATCTGAAGGAGTACAATGATCGGTATTCAAAGGCTTTCAAGACTGTTAATGATAAGGTTGCTGAGAGTAGGAGTATACTGGAACATGTAAGTTCTGCTGGGTTTGAGCGAGTGGAAGGAGGATAAAAAGCGATGTTTGATTATGTCAGAAGGTGTTTTCGCTGTTTGGACGGTGTTTTGTCCGTTGGTCATACCGTTCTTCGATCGCCAGAAAAATCACATACCAACTGATTACATCTCCACATAGTTCCAAACCCATATCGCACGCCTCGAACGTGACTCTCTCCGTGTAAAATGCAGCGATAAACTAGTGGGCTTCCTAACCGAATCCCAAACCAATTTCACCCTACCATCTCTATACCAGCCTCAAATACCGCCACCTCAGCTGCAACTCCAATACCAACCATCACAACACCAAACACGTCGTATATCATCATACCAAACACCCACCACACGAGCAGATTCCGAAGAATCGACTGATTACATGTGGCCGGAAAACAATCCAGTGTATAGAACAGTCGGTAGTAATGTACCGCAACCGAGTCAGAGAGTTGCTGCTCAGGTTGCTAATAGTCAGATTCAGGTGCTGAGTAACAAGGAACAGCAGCCGGTTGTGAGTAGGAATAACGGTAGTGGGATGTTGCCACCACCGTCGACTCCTGTGGCGAATACGTCGAGTATGGTGGGTGTTGGGGCGTTTCCGACTCCGGCTGCTACTGTTGTGAGGAGTACGCGTGGGGCTTCTGATCGTGGTAAGAACGTTATCTTGTATGGGAGCTCTTGTATATATTTTTTTCGTTTTGCTGACATTTAATTTTTTTGTAGACTCTGTTGTAAGCCTGAAAAGAAAAGCAACAGATGCAGACGACGATTTATCGTACACCGGTACGAGACCTGTTGTTCCAGCTGCTGCTCCCAACAAGAAGTACGCCAAGCAACGTCATGATTATCGAACTTGTTTTACGTGCTGACTTTTTTTCTTCTTTTCCATAGGCAGACAATGGCACCACCAGGTCCACAGCAACGCCAACGCACACACTCAACGTCAAGTACAACCGCCAAATCAGCAGCAGAAGAAGACAACACGCTATACTGTACTTGCCAGCAAATCTCGTTTGGGAATATGGTTGCTTGTGATAATGATAATGTAAGGGATCGTCTTCTTTCATGTTGTAACAAACATGTCTTGACATATTGTTCGTTTATTTACGCAGTGCGACATCGAATGGTTCCACTGGGGATGTGTCGGTCTAACAAGCACACCCAAAGGATCCTGGTACTGCCCTACATGCACTGCTCGTGGTTTTGGAAGAAGTGGTGCTAACGGTGCTGCATCCGTATCTGGTGGTGGCACGCGGCCAGGGTCTGCTAGTACGTCGGGAACAAGTGTTGGTGGTGGGAATGGATTGGGTGGTGACAAGGGTCGTCGTGTAAGACGTCGATAGATAGGGAGGTCTGGTTTAGAACGGCAGCATGTTTGGATTGCTTTGCACTGATTTTGCATGTGGGAATGGACGGGAAGCATATTGAAAAAGGAAGGAAAAATACCCCATATAGTGTTTTTGTTTTTGTATAGCTTAGAAGCAGGGCATGACAATACTTAATATATGATATGCCGAGGTGAAAGGTTGCAGCATATTTGCATTCCGTAGTAAGACTTTTTTTTTTGCCTGTTGCTCGGTTCACCATTCTCAGGAGGGAACGACAGTACACATGATTGCTTGGAAACACCTATTTGTCTGTCTTCTCTTATTTTCTGACCAAATTGTTCTTCTCTAAGCTATTTTATTCCAAACGTCGTCAAAACATCGTCTCTATTGCTACCTTCCGCTCCCAGGCTCCAGTGGTCTTTTTCCAGATACTTTTCTGTCCATTCATAACACCCCTGTTTTTATTGCTTTCAATGGTACTAGATCCTCCTTGCATGGCTGATGGTACCTTGGTCTTCATGAGAAAGTCCATATCGGTGACCTTTAGTGGCTTCTTTTCAGCTCTTCAGTACTGTAAGACACTTTACGGACATTCTTTTACGGATATTTGACGTGCCTTATAAAATGGTGGTATATGCATTTCGTTGCCTTGGTTGGCGGGGTAAAGCAAGAGCATGTATTGTTGTCTAATTCCCGTGTCCCGTGTACATCGATATTCTATGATATTTCAGAAGTGTTCAATACCTGGAATGTCTGTAATTAACAAACACTTGACACCGTTTTCTGCTAGTTTCGTGGTCTGTATAGAATACTACCCACGTTTTACGTGAATGTCGCATGAAAACGCTACGTCATTGCTACATATGCGTCCATCTCTGGTGGGATCTTGGTAAGATGGACAAATCTTTAAAGACTTAACACGGCCTGTCGCACATTACCGAACTCTGATGTGCTTTCGTGGCTAAGGAGAGCTCTTGGACCGAGTCACTAGCACTCAAGCACTCAATGATTCTGGTGCATCCCATTCATTGGACGACATTCTTCGTGGACAGAGTCACCGACGCACATGCCACCTGGATGATTTCAACCCTACGAAGAGGTTAGTCCTCTCGATTTAAACAAGTTTGGACTGCTGCCATAGCATTTGTAACGCTCCGGGAATAGCGCCTGCAGCCAATCAGAGTATTTTCAAACCTCGGAGGACCTAGAGCAGCAGATTGGTAATATCAGCCGAAAGAGTATCAGAGCTCGAAAAGAGTGAGATAATAATCTCTGTTGCCTGATACGGTTACCAAAAAGCAGGCTCCTTCTGCAGTTGGTTGATAAAAGGGTGGATAGACATTGGATGACAGTTCTTTGTTGATGAATCGTCAGTTGGCCGTATACACCAAGCTGAATCTTTCGTTACGATTTCGGCTTCTCCAATTGCTTTAGCAGATATAGTTCGTCATGGGGATGATGGTGACGACCTCCAAAAGCCTCAGAGGGCTTATGGCAAGATGCTTTCTCTGCGTATACACAAGTTTTGGTTTAGCAGCTAGTTGCGACCTGGAGGTGATTTCCGTGGTGGTCGGTAGGCAGGCTATACGTCTAGACGGGGCAGGTCTGTAAAGAAGCTTCAGATTGTCAGAAGGAGCATTGAGCTTCAACATGCAACCTGCAAACATACCTTCTCAAACGAGACGATCAAAACTTGATTTGAATTACGGGCTGATGTGACATCCCATACACGACTGATATTTTTGGAGACGAGGGCGTTCAGCAGTTGCTTCTTGAATAGTGTCGATGATGTTGATCTCAATGTAGCTCCCGTATTGAGTTTCTTGATGAACAGCGGCGATGGCGGTGTTAGCGTTGCAGATCCAGTGGTCCAGAGAGCTTCTGTCGTCGACGTTGCTGTTGTCGCTTTGGTAGATAGTCCAAACGCTCCTATTACAGACAGCTGAAGGCACATATTCCACTGGATACGAGTCAATTTCTATACCATACGGATCAATATAAATCCTTTCAACCTTTCGGTTAAAACTATAAGAGCAGTTTTATTATATCTTTGATATTTACGACCACACATGGTGCAACTATGTCACCATAACCAGAATGATTTAGTACCCCTTTCCAAATCCTTTTTCGAACGATATTTCTCTGCGTGTAATTCGGTAAATCAGAAGGAAATTCTTCTGATATTAGTAACTGCTCGGGAAGTAGAATACACAATCCGTAATTGTTTTAAACCGCCTATTATTTGTATTTGATTTGTTTCCTTCGTACAAAATTGTTTTAACCTAATGGAGCCCACCCCGCCAAAAACTCTCCTCTTACTACAACCCTCTATTGCGGTGAGTTTTTTACTTTTCGTGATCTGAACGCCCCGGTAACCTTCTTCCAAATACTCTTCAATCCAACTACAGCAGGTCGCGTTTTATGGGTTTTTACGGGGACGGTGCCTACATGGACAGAAGATGGTATCGTGGCCCTTATAACTGGCAATGGTGATAACTTGAGAGGTTGCATCTGCTTGTCCTGGTTGGCTTTATGTTGCATAATCGTATACTGGATCACAAGCTTATATCTGTCTTCTATTTCGGCACGGTGACAACTGATATGAGCATTCAATCGCCTGGTGATTTCGGTAGTGGATCGTTCGGTACGGTCGACAATAGCTTTATCCGGACGATCATAGGGAGAAGCCAAGTCGGAAGAGACGACTGCTGGTGCTGCAGCGTTCGTGATACGCAAAACAGTAGGAGCGAGGTCTGTTGTATCGGCGGTGGTGGGAGTACTTTCAGTTCGAGCATCGGACACTGATTTATTATCCATGACTGAATCCGAGACCGCTAAATCAGCATGGTTTCGGGATGGAGTACGTGACATGGTGGAAGGGATACCGTCCATTCCATTTGACTTATTGTCAGGTGCTCCTTCTTTTGCGACAGTAACAGGTGATTCAGCCACTGTCGCGGATGTCCCGGCAGGGCAAAGAGCACCGAGTTTATCACTAGGATGACTTGGTACTGTAGCCAGTGCTCCATTGATGGGTTGCAGGGGTGCTGATATTTGAAGACTACGAACAGCGGGACGGGGTGCAACCGGTTTGTTTCGTTGATGATAGATGGGTACCGCCAATACAGGAACTCCATTTCGAAAAGTTGATGCTCGGACGGCTGTCGAGATAGATGATTGCTTTATACCGATTGATTTGGCCGTAGCTGCGGGTGAGTCGACCACTGTGGTTACGAATCCAACAGTATGAAGAGCACCGTTTCTAGTGTCGGTACCGGGAGAACCATTGCCAGTCTGACTCGTGATAGCAATTGATGCTGCGACGTCGACGTTGACCACAGTAGCTCCGTCGTCAAAGACGAGGTCGTTCAAGAGTTGCTGGTGATCGTATGTGCCGAATCTGATAGGTGGTATTCTGTCCAAAAGCGTTAATCTTTTGGCCAGACGAGTCTTCTGAAATAAAGAACAGCAGTGTAAGAAACCAACGACTGTGAGAAACAAAGTAAGCCTTAAACTCACCATAGTAGGGACAAAGGGAGGAGGAATACGGAGTGCACGGTATTCTTCAAACTTGACACCCTGCAAATAATCGTGATTTTTTATCTCTTCAATTCCACCAGCACCTAATCGACTCGTTCGGCATCTTGTGATAAGCCCCAATACGAACAATGAGAAGACCTTCTCTCCATTACACGGAAGCTGGGGGAGCTTTATATGATGCTTATCAATATCCTGCAAGAGATCGATTGCAGTCCATCCAATATATGGTCTGATGCCGTTTGCCATTTCGTACAAAACGACACCGACCGCCCAAAAGTCGATGTTACGGGTGTACTTCGGGGAATGGATCAACATTTCTCTAGCCATGTATGGCAACGTTCCGATCCCATCATGCTCACAAATCGTGTCCTGCTTCATGTTGCCCAGTGCGATACCATAGTCTAACAGCTTGACATGCCCGTCAAATGCGATCATGATATTGGCAGGTTTAATGTCCCTATTGAAGTAGAGGTGCCAAAGAATGGTGAGACAGATGAAACAAGACTGCAGATACAAAGATGAGAGAACATACCTGTGACAAATGTTCTGACTGTGCAGGTACTCAACACCCAAGAAGGTCTCGATAGCAATGAACTGAATTTCGGGAGCTTTAAATTCCTTGTGCGTTTTCATAATCTCCTCCAAGGGGACGCCTGCGACAAACTCCATCTCGAGATAGAGCCTATGAGTGTCTTGGAAACATGATGATGCCGAAACGAGGAATGGGGATCCTTTTGCCAATCTTGATACAGCAATCTCAGTCTTGAATCTACAAAGAGCAACAGGTAATGGGTTAGAATGATGATGGTCTCGCACGCAAGAATAAGAGATGACTTACCCTTCAACGATTTCCTTGACCGCCTTTGACGGTTTCTTTATTCTTTTGATGGCTGCTCGTCGACCCGTGGCTTTATCAGTTGCCAACAAGGCGAGCCCCTGACCACCTCTCCCAAGCACACCTTCAATCTTGAAGTCAGACACGGTCTTTTCGTTTTTGACTACAATCGACGGAACGGTGGTTGTTGTAGACGAGATTGATTCGGATGAGGCGGGTGCTGAGAGGGTTTTACTATTATAACTATTGGAAGATGCTATTATGGTGACGGCTGGGGACTCGACCGCTGTGGGATTTATCCCACTAGTGCCGAGACCACCCTCTTCCGAGCGACGACCTAGAGAATCACCTACACTAGCACAGGATATAGGCATAGGTCCGGATATGACCGGGGGAATAGATTTAGGTCGGTACATTCCACTCCTAGATAGACGGTGAATGAGATAGTGTGTTAGTGACAATTCAGCTCCGAATAGAGTTAGCATGTGGTTTGTTTGCAAAAACAGAAGCGTGGCAAATTGATATAGCGGTAAACTCAATTCATTCCAAGCATTAACCACTCCTTCCTTATTGAGTATTTTTCACCTCCCTTGTCTTCGCATGGCTATAACAGGATACACCAGATACCACTGAAAGTACAAATTACTTACCAAGCTCCAACAATTCCATATCGAGTAGACTTGACACGGCGACTGTGACTTGATAGTTTCTTCATATCTCCGAGCTTGAGAGTATGTTCGAGAAAATCGTTTGCTTGTTGATGAGCCAGGTTTAGACCAAGCGATTGAAGATGTAGATCACTCATGGTTGAGTTATTGTTGTTACTACTATGCGAGAGCCGTGTGTGTGGAAAGCGTTAGTCGATAAAAAGTGATTTGATTTGGTTGACCAAATGTCGACAGAGCAAAGCAATGAAAACAGATAGAGCGAGGTGATTTTCGCAAACGATGAGCACTTTCTACACTATGAAATGAGATTTCTACCTATTTCGTCTTTGCTTCCTATGACGAAGAGTGAAACGACCATGTGAGTATTCAACGACACAAAAAAGTCAGAAGGCGACGAGAAGGAGAAACAAGAAGGGGAATTTTTCAAGCAGCAGTCGAATAAACTGATGCCTTAGAGCAGGTTGCTCACCTTTAGCGTCTTTAGAGAGTGCGGTTTTACCAACAGGCACTGCTCAACGTGAATTTGGAATGGAGAAAGAGTATCGAGCATGTCCAAAAAAATAGAGAAGGAATTAAGAATAATTGAACCCCATAGAAATATAGCCCTCTTTGGATCATCCGCTTGTATTTGACGATATACGAACGTATTGCCAACCAACGTGGACACGTTTAATCGACACGAACGTACAAATAGAACACGGAGCCATGTGACGAAGTGGAATATGGAATTCATCGGAATGCATTCAAATTGTATTGGATATTGCTTTAGAAAGACTAGAGCACCATCAGGAACACGTAAACCAAACTTCTGATCCAAGCACTAAGAGCATCGACGATCCTTTATTCCTTCGTGCTAAATTGGTTATCAAATGTGGATTGTGATCACTTTGCACCACTCATTCCTTATTCGTTATCGAGTTCATGTGATGGATGTTGGCCTCCGAAGGTGAATGTCAAATGAGGAAGAAAGAGGACCACAAGCCCGTTCCGGCAGTAAAGCAAAGAGTCAAATATTCAATTTTCATATATTTCAGACACATTCGAGGTCTGAAAATTGGCAACTAGCCGTGTTCATGGTCGTCTTTTGACACATCCGTCATAACAATAAAAATCTGATTTCCAGAGAAAGCAGCAAAGGTTGTATCGAGAAAATAGTGCTCAAACCTTTTGCTGTAGTTTGGAAAATGCATTTGGGAACGTTGCCAGACTGCCTTGTGAGCGATCGGTCGGTTCCATCACAAAGTCTGACGTAGAGGATGTTGAGAAACACATCTACAGAAAACCGCATGTGGCAGAATGAGACCAAACTCGCCTCAAATATTTGATTGTTTTCCGAATTACTGTCGCGAACTAGCCGCGAGTCCATATCTAAATCTTATCTTCCATGCACATAAAATCATCAGATTTTCTAGAACTTCCATGAGAGGCCTTGCTCTAGATCAATATTTCCCTCGTAGTAGTAGCGTTCGTGAAGACCAAAAAAAGTCATTCAACAGGTCGTGAAAATTCTCAGGCCCTTTCATTGTTCGTAATGTATATACTTTTTATTGGTATCGTTCTTGATTAAAAAAACCGTCTAAACCCTCATACATTGCTTTTTAATGATTGTTCTAGCTCCCTCTACCCATCTATTTGGCAAGTAAAGACTGACCAGTCATTTCTTCAGGGATTGGCAAACCCATCACTTCAAGTATAGTAGGTGCGACATCACACAATGCACCTTGTACACCAGGTGCGAATTTGTGTGTTGAGGAAGTCATGATGAATGGAACTAAACAAACAAATCAATGTCTCGAGTCAGCATGAGACCCTAAACAAAGGCCCTGGTCAATTGTGTAATTACCTCTGGCAGTAGTATGAGCAGTATGCGGCGTAACACCATCATCAGCCAGCATCTTTTCCGCATTCCCATGATCAGCAGTAACAAACAACGTATACCCAGCCTTCTTGCACGCATCAGCAACAATCCCAATCGCCTTGTCTGTAGCCTCAACACCCTTAATCGCAGCCTCGTATACACCTGTATGGCCCACCATATCCGGTGGTGCAAAGTTACACATTACGAATGGATACTTGCCACTACTGATGGCTTCAGCGACTTTTTCACCGACTTCGACAGCAGACATTTCGGGTTTTAGGTCATATGTTGCTACTTTAGGGGACTGGACGAGGACACGGTCTTCGAGTTGGAATTGAGCTTCGGAACCACCGTTGAAGAAGAAGGTTACGTGGGCGTATTTTTCGGTTTCTGCAATGTGGCATTGGGGCGTGGATTGCTTGGCGAGCCAATCTGCGAGACAGTTGTGCATGGATTGAGGAGGGAAGAGGGTCAGGAAGGGGAAGTCGGATTTGTATTGGGTCATTGTTGTGATAGACTATTGTGCGAGGGTGTGGGAAGTGAGAAAGTCAATGGCGAGATATTCCATGACCCTTTTTTGCAATTTGACGTGACTCCAAAAACACTTACCAGATCCTTGGGAACCACACTAGTCTCAAAAGGCAGAGGCTCAACTCCTAAAGCTTGTGCAATCTCTCTCATACGATCACTGCGATAATTAAAGCACAGCAACGTATCACCATCCTTCAAAATCCCTTCCTTGTCACACACAATAGGCTTCAAAAACTCGTCCGTCTCATTCGCCTCATATTTAGCTTCCACAGTCTTGACTATATCACTGCTAGCCTCTCCAACACCCTGCGTCAGCATCTCATACGCAATTTTGATACGCTCCCATCTCTTGTCTCGGTCCATGGCATAGTATCGTCCAACAACAGTGGCAATGACTCCATACTGGATTTTATCAATGTGGGATATAAGCTGGTTTAGATATATGACGGAGGACCGTGGAGCAGTGTCTCGCCCATCACCGAAAACATGGATGTATGTGTGTGGAATGCCTGCTGCTTTGGCTTCGTCGAGTAGGGCAAGGAGATGCTCTATGTGCGAGTGGACGCCACCGTCTGAGACCAGACCGAGGAGATGGAGACGACCTGTTTTGGATTTGGCGTTTGCGAAACAGGTTTTGAGGGATGGGAGGGTTGAGAGTTTCTTGTCACGGACTGCGAGGTCGATTCTGACGATGTCCTGTATAGAAGTGTACAGACAGGGCGTAAGCTTGAGTTGTAGGGCTTTGTTGCTTGACAGAACACGTCAAAAGTTGAAAAAGTAAAAGTGTTGCCAAGACATGCTTTTATTGAACTTTCGACTCTTTCTTTTTGCATGCATACATACCTGGTATACAACACGTCCAGCACCAACATTCAAATGTCCAACCTCCGAGTTGCCCATCAGGCCATCAGGTAGACCAACAGCAAGTCCATGAGCATCCAATGAAGTGAATGGAACATCCTTTTCCAAACCACTCATAACTGGAGTGTGTGCGTTACGAATAGCATCACCCTTTGAGTCTTCTTTTGGTGAGATTCCCCATCTGGATATGAGAGGTTGAGGTAAGATAAAGGTGCGAAACGGTATGGTAAGGTTGATGTCAAAACACCATTAAATGTTGAGGACATTTTACCCATCAATGACGATGAGAGCCACGTTTTGCTAGAAAGCAGAGAAATATACGATTGATTAGTTGAGATTCGTGTCTTTCAACCGCAAGAATGCATTAGATTAATACATCATCTATTTGCACCACACGACAACTTCAAAACTTACTTTGACGCCACTAGTCATTTCTCTCTGTCCCTTCGAGTAAAAAAGCGTCTAGTTATGTGATTAAATAGCCGGGAAGTGCTCTACTAGTGGTGCTAAAGTGGTATGGATCCGGTGGACAAAGTTGATGGTTTTCGGTTTCGTGTGGAATTTTTTCCAGTTGGATTTTAAATTTGATGGCAAGCACTGACGGACGACGCGTTATTTCGACACTCGTGAGGCAAGAAATACAATCGCGTCATTCTCTGCTTTTCTTGCTGCTGTTTAACAGAACAGCGTCGAGATTTATTGACTTAAATTTAAACCAGACACATATTCTGAAATCCAGACACGTGAATTTCCTTATTTAGATTATCAACTCGTTAGAGTCTGATAGCTGATAGTCTAGCCAAGTGAACAGATCTGGGATAGTTTCCCTCGGACTAAGGGAGAGCGAGAAGAATAGGAACTCCGACATTGGCTGTGCATCTGGGATGTCCGTAGTAGTTTATGCGCTTTAGCTTCAGATGTTACGTCGTTTTTTCTGTCGCCAAAAGTCTCCCACCGTGACTCCAGACTCCCTTTCAAAGCACCAAAAAAACTCACCTTCCTTTGCACCAAGAAAGCTCAAGGCAAGGCCGAATTCAAGTAAGTTAGATTATATCGATTGTCAAAGTCCGTGCCTCTATGGGTGTTTACACCCTCTCCAGCTTCGTCATTCCACGTTGCTTATTCTTTTTGGTTACGACGCAAAGCATCTCAATGTCAGTTTTCAGAGCCAGCACTCACGTTTTCTTCTATAAATATATTTTTTAGTACATTTGGAACGATTCTGACTGGTCCATCTTACCACTTTTGGCCATCTACTACCTTCTTCCGTGGGACCATTCAAGTTACATTTTGTCTCCAACTCCAACAATGAAGTTGGTAATTCTCGCTGTATCTCTGTCTGCCTTATTGGTAACAAGTGTTGCTGATGACTGTAAGAGTCGCTACACTTTGAAACAGAACGACAATTGCATGGGCCTCGCGGTTGCCCATAACATTCAGGGGCCAGGTAAGATTTTCATAGTTGTTTTCTTTAATATCGGAGCTGGTTTCTGTTGCCTTGAACTTCATACTTTGATTCTCAAATGCCCTTCTACAACAACTCGTGTTATATAGATTTCGAAGGAAGCTTGGTCAAATTGAACCAAGTCATTCTCGGAAAGAATATCGATTGCAAGAATTTGCATTCGGGTGACGAAATCTGTAAGTGTATTACATTTACTACTCTCGATGTCCTCTTCATTTACTATTCTAAATGGGTTGCACCATTTTCTGTCTCCCAACAACATTTCGAGATTGTAACTAATTCGCAGTCCCTTTCAAACTACTCAGGTGTCGACTGCGACATGGACGACCATGATGACAGACGCTTCTGCCCATACCATCCTGTAGACAACTGTCAGCAATATCACACTTTCCAAGCCGGTGACTCATTGGATGGCGTTGCAAAAGCCAACAATTTGGGATCCAAGGTGGATCTGGCAAAGCTCAACGTTGGACTCTCTATTGATACTGATTGCTCTCCTGGCCAACGGTGAGTGGAAATGTTCGTCTCTCTACTTTGTGGTGCACTGCTCGAGGCAGATGATAAAGTTGGTCCTTTGCTTATTTAGGGTATGCGTACAGCCTGGACCACAACAAGGTCCTCCTCAAGGTCCCTATGGAACGCCACCACCACCTCCATATAACCAACCTCCTTACGGGCAGCAACCACCTCCAACACCATATGGACAACCTCCTTACGGACAACAACCACCACCATATGGCCAGCCTGGAATCCCTCAATATCCACCAAGCCCAAACGGTTATCCCAATCCCAATGGAAATCAACCTTACCCGAACAATCAGCCTTACCCTCAACAACAACAAGGATGTCTTCGAACTCACGTTATAGTAAATGGTGATACATGTTTCAATCTTAGTGTTATCAACAATGAGCAAGGAGTAAGTATTATTTAAATGAAAGTGTGTACTTTATCAAAGTGTCAAGCGTCATTCACATGCACATTCTAACATGATTTATCGGCTGCTAGCCGGATCCTGCAGCCAAGCTAGTATCAATAAACCAGCGATTGACGGTAAGTTACCCTTTTAGCCAAACGTGTCTTTGTATGCAAATCTGATTCTTTCGACTTTGTTAGGGCATGACTCTCAATTGCAACAACCTACAACCTGGCATGAATATTTGCGTCGGTATGTATCTAATCGCCTGATTGTCAGCTGTGTAGCAAAAATCCGGAAGATTGATCCCTTTTGTCAAATCTGTAGATTGTAACAACGCAAACGACTGTCCATACCACTTTTCGATGGGCTGCAGTCGAATTCACATCATCGTCAATGGAGAGACTCTGGACTCTATTGCATTTGCGAATGGGCTCACTTCTGCTAGTGCTCTTCGTAAGCCTGCTTAATTGTGTAATTAGCACAAGGACAGGAATCTAGTTCTAACACATTTCCACACACACAGTGCCCATCAATCCTGGATTACAATTGCAATCCACGATCTATCCAGGAGGCTCAGTATGTGTTGGTGTTGTACCCGGTTACAATGGATACTAGGTAAAAAAAACCATCTTTTGTCTCTTTCAATGTTTCTTTGAGACTGATTTGTATCTTCCACGTAGATTTTTCATTCACTGTCCCTTTCTTCGTGGTTTCTTTTCTATTATAACGATGCTGGTCATTGGACTTCACTTGCTTTTCATTCGTGTCGTTTTTTCTATGTGGCTTGCTTTTTAAACCTTAATAAGTTGGTAGTGATTGTTTTCATTATTGGAGTGCTGGGTGCTCTTAATATAATACTATTAGTACCAAACCATTGACTTCGGTGTGGCTCATCAAGTGTTTTCATATTCCGTGAGCAGCAATGTGAGTTTTGTAGGCATGATGGAACACACATAGTATCATACGGTAGCACGAGATATGTTGAAGCGCTGCGATTCTCTTTGGTCGTCCGTAAGGGGTGTGTAAAGTGTGAATTAATATTTGCGGCAATGACGAGTACTTCAAAGGCCTTTTGTGACTCCAAATCAATGAACATTCATCGGGTGTCGACTGGGACCGTGATGACAATCACAAATTCTGCCCTTATCACCCAGTCGACGGATGTCAACAGTATCATACGTTCCAAGCTGATGAAACATTGGACTCTGCAGCAAAAACAAACAACTTGGGCAGCAAAGCTGCTCTTGGAGGTCTCAATGTAGGCCTTGATCTAGATGCTCTATGTGCTCCAGGTCAACGGTAAGTCCCGTTTCAGTTCTTTCGTCTTTAACTCTTTGTTGTTTACTGCTCTGGTGAAGTTGGTCTAATGATTTCATTCAATCTAGTGCATGTGTACAGCTTGGGCCACAACAAGGCCCTCCTCCTCCCCAAGGTCCATATGGCCACCCACCATATGGTTACCGTGCAGAGTCTGGACCGCTTGCAAGCCAAGCACATCAGGATTATGCATGCAAGCCAGCACCTAATAATTACATCTCATCACAAAATCCCAAATCATCCTAAACTGTAGGCATTGACTGCGATCGTGACGTCAACCGTCAAGATCAAACTTTGTCTTCTATCCAGTAGATGACTGTGACGAGTACTACACGGTTCAATCTGGTGAATCATTGGACGATGTTGCCAGTCGATACAACTTTGAAAGCAGGTCGCGCTTGGTGAGTTCCAATTCCTCCCATTTCGTTTCGTATTGTTTTCGTCAATCAAAGTATATTAGTTTTAAACAAATTGTTTTGTTAGCTAATCCCAATGTTGGTCTCGATGTTGATGGTGATTGTTCTGACCAGCGGTAAGCACAAAAAACTGTAGATTTTGTCATTAATGTGAACACGACTTTAATCGCTTCACTCGCTCAGCTCAGTGTATGTGTCCAACAAGGCCCTCCAGGATATCCCAGCTATCCACCACCTGGTCAACCAGGTCAGTACACACCAAACTAATATCCACCACACCATCACCACCACAACAACCTCCATACGGAAACAAGCCTCAACAAACTCCTCGCTTCCCTCAATACCCACCACCGCAACCATATCCGTCCTGCCCTCAGTATCCTACTCAACCAGTCCCTGGTATTCCTCAGCCCAACAGTTATCCAAGCCCTCAACCAAACAACTTGCCTCCACAACCAAACAACTATCCAAATCCTGGAGTTCCTCGACCTTACCCAAGGTTTGTATTTTGGGTTGTCTGTCGGATTTTCTTTCGACTTATGATGAGCTGACAGTCCTCTTTCATTCGTGGAAACGTCTACACATCGCCATATCCCTCTCTCTATCCCGGACAACCTTCGTATCCTTCTCAGAATCCTGACCAGCCTTCGATTCCTTCCCAATATCCAACTGGCACAAGCTCTTGCACTCGCGCATACACTACCTATGCCAGGTGATACATGTCACAACATTGCAGCTGGTGCAAACGAGCAGGGTGTAAGTGGTTGTTGCGATTATTGTTAGTTATAGTCGGGCTGTGATTCTCACTTTCTTTTGCTATGTGCTAAGCCTCATCCAGTGGTAAACTTGGTCTCTCTCAACCAACGTGTTATTGTATGTTACTTGCGTTGGGTTGAAAACCACAGAGACCCAGAGAATCTGACATAACAACCCCTGATAGGTAATGAATCTCAACTGCAATACTATCCAGGCTGGCACCAGTATCTGCATTGGTAAGCAGAAACAGCTTCCGCCAAGAGTCCATTTCATCATTTTACCAAAACCCATCTCAAATCACATAGGCGGCACCGGCTCTGCCGACTGCCCATACACTCTCAGTGCAAGCTGCACCAACGACCATACTGTAATGAATGGTGAAACTCTGACGTCTATTGTAGCTGCAAATGGTCTTAGCTCTGTCAATGTCCTTCGTAAGTGTGATTGTTTTTCATTGTTTTTGATGAGAACATGTATTGTCAACACCTTCATTGACCTTCTGAATCTTTAGAAACGTTGAATCCTGGATTGCAGGTTAATCTCCCTGTTATTGCTTCTTCGATGATTTGTGTAGCTCCTAGGGCATAAGGTGTTTGTATTATGCAAGTAAGTGTCAACCTTAGCAGGAATCCATTTGGAAAATCCGGGCATAAACGATTCTTGTCCTTGTATAGAACTGAATATTGGTCTTTCTGTGTGTTTACTCCTTCTGTGTCGGAAATAACTGTCTTTTTTGAATTTTGTGGTCTGTGTGTGAGACTTTGGGGGGTCATTGGCATTGCATTGTCTTTCATTTCTTCATAAATCACTGTAAAGTCAATTGGTTTATTGGGGTGCTGGCACTCGTCAATAAACCAAACTCTTGCAAACAAACTTGTATATGTTTTGCTTCTCGATTTCACTTGGTGCATGCGTACAGAAGTAGTTTGAAAGTGGCGAGGCACTTTTCTTTCAGAGAAATCCAATTCAAGCGTTCATAGTTTGTCGTTGCGGGTTGGCAAAGACTATCCAGTTCTGGTGTCAATTAGTAATGAGCTCTGAAGATCTAAAGAACCGTTAGCCGTATTAACCAGTCTTCAATATGATCCATTACTGAGACCGTGCTCATAACTAAGCTCTCGTTTGGTTAAGAGGGAGATGCGTCGGTTGCGTTTTACACGTTAAAAGAAATCCAGCTTTGACATCTAACAGGGGAAAAAGACGGTAAATACGTGTATCATGCAGAAGAGTAGCAGCTGAGTGGGTTTGATATGTGCGTTGGAATGAAACAGCACGTGGGATAGCTGAAAAAACTGAAACACCTAGACCATCGATTCATCGCACCCGTGTTTCAGTTCAAAACCTGTTTCATCTGCACATTTAAATACAGAGGACACTTGGATCTTGACTTTCTCTATTCGGACTCGCTCTTCTGCCCACCCCATATCTTGCCCTCACAAACCGCGAACTGCCAAACTTTCGCACCAACTAAAAAACAAGCCCTTGAATGACAGTATCAAGCACCGGTGGCCCTGCATGGACAGTCACAGGACTATCGAGCCTACTGCTCCCATTCTCGCAACTAGCCAGCCATATCATATCCACCTTCATCATGACAATTTTAATAGCGTTTGCTCTCAGTTGGACTGCCCACGATCCCATCGAACGTGCCCAGAAAAAAGATAATAAGGAGAAGGCTCGTAGAAGGATCTCATCACCAGGCTCATTGCTGTCGCTGCTTGCCGAAGAGTCGAATGTCGATGCATCTAAAGCATTAAATGATATTGATAATTGTAAGACGACGCCTAGGAATCCACCAAGGCCGTTAGTGGATACTCTGGGAATCAAAATGTTGTTGGGGAATCGTCGGAATCATGAACGGCCTGCGTTGATGGATCCAAGTATGTCAAACTTGGGAAAAATATTCGTGACTTTAGCTTTTACGGTAGATATCGTGCATCTTTCGGCGATCTAATATATTCCTCGTGCTTCTAGACGTAGCAAAGATGCGCAAGATATCCACCTCTGTCGAATACTATGCAACCTTCCATGGCTATGAGTGTGATACACATCGTGCGACCACACTTGATGGCTTTTCGCTATTGCTACATCGAATACGTGCCAAGAGCAGCACTAGTGCTTCGTCGCCACGTAAAGAAACGATATTGCTGGTTCATGGACTGTTTCAGTCCAGTGGTGTGTTTGTTACGAATGGACGGGGGTCTTTAGCGTTCTATCTTGCTGATTTGGGGTATGATGTGTGGTTGGGTAATAACAGGTATGAGTGGGTTTGAAGCTGGTTGTGAGGAATTGGATTCTCCAGTGTTCGTGACGCACTCTTCGCATTCGACATCGAACGTTTTTCCCCCGCCTCACCTCATTTCCCTTCCAGATGCGTAGAACGATTACACTGTGAATTCAAATCGTCAGATATTCGATTTTGGGACTGGTCGTTAGACGAACTCGCTAAATACGACCTCCCCGCAATGGTAGACTACGTTCGCAGAGCCAGCCAGGTTGAAAAGATCATCTATATTGGTCATAGTCAAGGAAACGCTCAAGTATTCTTGGGACTGAAACTGGATCCTGCATTGTCAAACAAGATTTCTTGTTTTGTTGCGGTAAAGTCTTCAGGTATTCAGGTATATTGAAGCTGAGCTTACTCGTTAAAATTTAATACGCTAGCTGGCGCCCACTGCATACATTGGACCTCTTCTCAAGTAAGCGAGATACAGATTCTTGTTTGGATTGATTTTTTGTCTAACCTCTATCTCTTTGACTTCCAGCACCGCCCCTCTGAAGTATATGGTGGCAATGAGCTCGCCTGTATACCGTGCCATCTTCGGCATCAAGGAGTACGCTCATTGCGTTCGCTGTGAGACTTTTTCGCTTCTAAACGCTCTCACTCCATTTCAGGTTTCTTCCTATAATGAATGTCGTGCAAGCATACTTTCCCACTTCGCTTTTCATGTGTGAGTTACACGTTATCTTATCACACTTCCATTACCTTCAGTATCCTGATCTTTTTCCATCCTTAGCACTAGCATACTCAATGTTCGCCTACCTCTTCTCATGGCATGACGAGAACTGGGACGAATCTCATAAACCTCATTACTTTCAATTCACGCCACGTCCAACGTCTGCAAAGGCCATTCTTCATTGGGCTAGATGTGCTAAACTGAGAACTCTGGTACCGTGGAGTAGTACGACGGATGATAACACCACTCCAGCGCCATATTCGACTAGTTATGACTTTAGTTGTTTGGGTGATATCAAGCTAGCTCTCTTCTATGGTAGCCGTGATCGTATTATAGATGGTGATCGTGTTATGAGGTATGCTAGGCTGAGAAGTGTCTGGTTGTTGCAACATATTGCATGACTGTTTTGGTTTCCATTTTTTTTTCGCTCCGTTGAGCGTTAATCCACTGACCTTCTCATCATCTAATTTAGAGAAGCACGTGGCAAATGCAATCTCGTATACGGTGAGCATCTAGACGGCTACGAGCATCTGGATGTAGTCTGGGCAGTTGACGCCAAGAGCCGAGTCTTTGATCCTATTGCTCTTATATTCGACAGGCTACGCGAATCCAAAAAGATCAAGGAAAACGTAAGTTAGAAGCCTGATCGCATGGGGGACTATTAAGATTTTGAATGTACATACCATAACACATTGTACATGGTGCATCGGACGGGACTTTTTTTGAGTGAACATAAAACATACCTCCAATAGACGATAGACGTAATCTTAAGTCTGAACGACAGCATCAATGATTTCTAGTGTAGATAACGCGATTTACCACGTCACAATTCCAAAAACCCCATACATCGTGTATGATGATACTTTAAGCTTCCAACACATTTCGCAAACCTACCAGACAGCACCAAGATGGAAGACGGAATCCAAGACCACGACAGGACTTCGCCATCCGATGCACCTGACTCGAGCATCGCCATTGAGAACGGACCAGTAGAAAAGTCAGCCAAAGATGAAATACCCGACGAATTAAGAATACCGAAAGCTCAACGAGCTGCCGTTGTATTTGAGGTAATGTACATGTATGCCTGTTTACGTATTTACAGATCGTTTGTCCGTGCTGCTTTTACTATCGTCTTAATCGCGTATCGTGGTTTAAATGTAAATGTCATCAATACAGGAAGCTGACTCAACTGGGTTTAATTAGTTGGGCAAGCCAGTCGTGTTTGAGGACAACTGGCCTGTATCGACGCCAGGAACTGGAGAAGTGCTTGTTCATGTTATAAGGACGGGTGTATGTCACAGGTAACAACGGAGTTTTGTTTGATTTGTTCGACATTGTTTGGGGCTAATCATGGATCAAAGCAAGCTCATTGCGAACCGAATGCTTGGCTTTTGGTTACGCTTTACTCAACTCTTTCTTGTCCTTTAGTGATTTGCATACAATGGAAGGAGCAACTCCTGGTACTCCATTGCCTCATATTGGAGGACATGAGGGAGCTGGGTTTGTCGTAGCTGGTTCGTATTCGCATTTGTTTTCACCAAGTAGCACTGACAGAGCTGACCACATTCAATGTTTACATAGTGGGAGCAGAAGTACACGATGTCAAAGTCGGTGATCGTGTCGGTATCAAGTTCATATCGTATACATGCGGTAAACCCTATCAAATCATTATAATGTATGTAGTTGCACCTCTAGACGCTTTTTTCGGACACAGGAACATGCGAATACTGCCTCGCAGGCCACGAAACAGTCTGTGAACGACAACAGACAACTGGATTGGCTATACCGGGTACATTTCAACAATACGTGATTGCAAAAGCGCAGGGGCTCGCCCGTATCCCTGCTGAAGTGTCGTTTGATCAGGCTGCACCTATATTGTAAGCTATTAAGATTCCCATATTTGTTTTTTGGCTGAATCTTGCATCACGTAGATGTGCTGGTATATCAGTGTACAAGGGACTCAAGGAGCTGGATATAAAGGCTGGACAGTGGGTTTGTGTTCCTGGTGCTGGTGGTGGTACGTTTAAACTATCTGTCAGGCACCTCAGCAGCCAAGATGACTCATTGCATTTGCATTACGAATAGGTCTTGGTCACTTGGCAGTTCAATGTAACCTTCCAATTTCAACCCATCTACTCAACACCTTCTGACCAACAGATCACCCTTGTAGATGCCAAGGCAATGGGATTCAGGTGTCTAGCAATAGACGGGGGAGAATCCAAACGAGAATTATGTTTACAGCTTGGTGCAGATTCGTATTTGGATTTTTTGTCTACCAAGGACGTTATATCTGAAGTCATCAAGATTACTAAAGGAGGTGCTCATGGTAAGTTGCAGTTTGTGCAATAGGCAATTATGCGTTCCACGGTACCGAACTTTTTTGTTTCACCAGGTGCTCTGATTGTCGCTACGAGCCAAGTAGCTTACTCGCAGGCTCCATTATGTAAGCATCTCATGACTGCTTCGATTGAGAGCCTTGTTCATCTAACCGTCAACCTTGGTCAAATTTAGATATGAGACCATGGGGCACAATAGTATGTATCTCACTCCCCGCAAACGCCAAACTAGACTCTGTCATCGCCGATGTAGTCATGCGAAGACTGACTATACGAGGAAGTGTGATGGGGGATCGATTGGATACCGCCGAAGCCCTCGACTTTGTGGCAAGAGGGCTCGTCAAATGTATTGTTGAAGAGTATCCATTGTCGGCGCTGAATGATGTGTATAGTCGTATGCGGAAAGGTACGAGTTACCATTGACTGCAAATTGATGTGTGTTTTTTTGTTGGTGTTGAGTACTGACAACGATTATCAATGGTTTAGGTGATATTGCTGGACGTATATTGCTGAATACCGCTGAATGAGCGTCAGCGGTGGGGTTGGTTTTCTTTTGTAACAGCATTTCAAGATAAAATCGCATTGTTGGAAGGTAAAGATCTCAAAATAGTCTCATCTGGAAGTTATGTGGGAGGTACTGACGCGATTATACCCGATTACGAGTGATATGCGGCGATCTGTGTGTTGCTAGTTTGTTTCCAAAATGCAAATTGATAACCAACGTCAGTGAGTCTGGAAGGAGATTCAGACCACAGGGTTACGTCCAATGCATGAAGGTTGCTGCATTTGTGTAGTCAAACCAACCAGGTTATGTGACAACCACTGCAACATTGTGTCGAAGAAATTGAATTAATTGACCTTTAGTTCGAAATTGTTCAAAGAAGAATTGCTAATTAAAATTCTCCCAGTATTAGATATTGCATAACAATCCACTTCAAATGCAAAAATAAACATTCTACTCGCTACCACCAGACAAGATCATTGCTTGAAGCGAAACGAATTTGAACGACGTGCTTTCGAATCTCCCACCCTCAACTGAACGTTTACTCGCTCCACATCTGAATCCGCGATTGTTCGAATGGTGAGCAAACTCTCTTCTCAATCAACTGCAAACTTTGGGGTGGTCTTGACATGACACTGCCACCTCGCTGTATATAAAGTCAATTCAAACTTCGAACTTCAAGGCAGGATGAGAGCGGGCTCCTGCCGTACAGACAACAAAACCGAGTGCATCCCGCTTCCCGTTCAGACCCTAAATGACTAATGCTTTTGGATCGGCGTGGTATCTCTCAGACGCAAGAGTAGCGAAATGATTGAGAATTTTTCAATAAACAGATCGACACTCTTTATTTCGATTCGACTTTTTGTGATAAAGGTCCGAAATGACTTTCCATCGAAATACGAGTCTGTCCATGTTATTATTGAGCGCATCAAGTCTGTGCCAGCGCACTATAGAGTGTGTATTCAAAGTGCTGCTCACTGTGAAGAGATAGTGTCGGGCATCTACTCCCAGTTTGGATTTGAAGGTGACAGGTTGGCCTTGCGAGTGATTTCACAACTTATGATTTGTATGCCTAAACAAACTTCTTTTTTCACCTTTTCTGACCTAGACATACATGCCACATCCAAGCTTCTACCATGCCATCGTCGGGCACACCGATTTCTATTGGCCGGACAACGCAAACTGTCTCACCAACGATGCGACCGCCAGAATACATTATTGCCAAGAGTGCTCAGATTGTATTCGTCGCCGCGTCCGAAAAGACGAAATCCTCACAATCACAGCAAATGCAATGAGGTGGTGTAGTACCTGGGCTCATAGGAAGGACGGGTTTTGGCGTGGAGAGAAATACGTTGTTGTCAATTGCACCAATGCAGTAAGATTTTTGAAAATTCAAACTTTTCTTTGTAAGTTACATGGCACTCACAATATTCTTTTACGTCTCTTGAAACAGCATGTGTTGTTTGGCGGCCGTCACTCGCACTGGAATGAAATTCGAGCCCTTGTACGCCGACTGCAACCAACCCGAATCGTTCCATGCACAATTGACATGGATGTATCCAACTATGGCACGATCGTCCGAAAATGTATTGGGTATACCATTGAGCATGCCGATACTACCATTACTGAAAGCGTCCGTTCAACCACGATTAATGAGCACCATCAAAAAGCCAACAGCAACTGTGATTGACCTGACTGAAATTGACGATGACAAGGATAACGATGCTGAATATAGTGGTGTGACAGTCTCATCCGAATCCATAATGCCCAAATCCACTGGGAAACGAAAATTATCGTCTGAGCTGCTGTATCAGCCACGATCGGTAGTAGTAAACGAAAGAAGATGTATGTATCAGCAAAATCGGACGGCACTGTAATCGTTATCGACTAGAGAGAGTGGGTTTAGGTGGTGGGTGGCGAGAATTTTGTTGCAATTTGTAGTCTAGCGTCGAATTCAAGAAGAGATCTAAACTGGCACGACATGTAAACGATTTCAACCGTTTGGATTTTTGTCGTCTTGGAGCTTGATCGTTATTCTGGTCAGTTTACTTGCGCTGCCTCTTGTTTACACCATTTTGCGACCTTACGTAAACGTGTCCTCGTTGGGACGAACAGTTTCAGAACTATTTTCGTATGGTTTCGAGCGTGTACTTTGATAGCTTATCAGCCTAGAATTGCAGAAAAACGCCAAGGACTCTCCCACGCACCTCATAGATTGCTTGCTGGTTACACAACAATCAGCGTCAAAAAAAAATTCCAACACCGCCAACCGACTTTGCACCTTAGCGAAGCAAGCAAGGACTTTCGCCATGAGGATCCCATACCATGCATTATTATGCTGGATTATCCTACCGCTCGCACACGCTGGTGGAAGTACAAGTGTCTTGCCCAGCCCTCAAGGTATCGTAGTGAAGCGATATCGCCATAACAAACCACCAACACCTTCTATACCAATTTCAGCCAGCATCAAGGCCAGTATCAAGCCTTCCGTGGCACCCAGCATCAAGGCCTCCGTGCTAGCTAGTATCCTGCCATCACCACCACCTGTTGCAACATCACCAACTATCAAAACAAGCTCACCAGTGGTGCTCGCTACTGCAAGTCCCGCGATTCCCTCGACAAAAGTAGTGATTCCATCTTCTACAGTGAAAGCCTCACCGCAAGTCACATTTTTCTGATATTGTTTCGCAGTTGTTTCATCGCTTAATGTCGTTTGCGTCAAAGTGTCCGAAATGTTTTGACACCTTTTTTTTTCCTTTTTCGCAGAACGACTGCGCAGCCCAGTCCAACTAGTCAATGCGCTGATACGTGTAGTTGTAGCAGGACTATACCTGTCGGAACTGATTGGATTTATCGCAAGCCTGGTGTGGATGCCAATCTGTACAAGAATGGCAAAGTGTTTCGATTCATGTCAATCAATTTCCCGGATTTGATTGAATCTGTTGGTAAGTCTTATTTGAATTAACAATAGGGGGATACGTCAAATGATGTATCCTGCTCTTCCATCTACCCAATCGTGTCATTATGCCACTAACTTCACATCATTTGTTCAACATAGACAACGCGGTTTGGTACCCATCAGCAGCTTGCAACGGTGACTCGTACGGTGCGGGTCTCGCATACCTGGATCCATGGGAACAACTAGACGGCCTAACCACAATATCCAAATTCGGTGGCCGAGTTACTCGTACTTATACAATCAGTATATGGGATGCTTCTGGATGTATGGGTGGTCAAAATTCATACTTTGGGTATCTCGGTCCGGGACAATATGGAGAGACTTTCTTTGTTAATATGGACCGAGCTATTGCGTATGCTCAGCAGGTTGGGGTTCAGATTATCTTTCCGTTTATCGGTACGGGGATGTTTGACTGTTTGAGGATTGGGAGTATTGACTAAATGTGAACGGGTATTTTAGATTACAATTGGTGGAGAGGTGGCATCAAGTCCTTTGCTAGTACGTTGTCGGTCCAAGCTTGCAGTGTTCACACAACGCAAGCCAAGGTCATCAAGTAACCTCTTTTCGTTGATACGGTCTAGGTCATCGAGTAACAGGACCAGGTTATACAGACTTTTATAACAACCCATTGGTCGTTCAAGATTTCAAGAATTTGATTTCGTATGTATTGAACAGAGTCAACACTATCACTGGAGTCGCTTACAAGAATGACCCAACTATCATGGGTATGCTTTGTTATCTTTGCTTCTTCCTGCAATAAACAAACTGACCTCGTCCTTTTGCCTTGTGTAGCTTGGCAACTTGGTATGTAGATGTAGACAAAAGAACTATGGCAACAAAACCAGCACTACATTAATTACACATGGTTTGTTTCAAGGCAACGAGCTAGGAGGATGGTATGATACGTATAACTATACGTGGGCATTGGATGTTGCCAAGTATATCAAGACTATTGACCCCAATCATCTTGGTATGCTCATTGGAACAAAAGAACAAAAAAGCGGATTCTGAGTAATGCAGAAGAGTTTGCTGACAAAGTATGCCACCGCAACCTAGTGATGGATAGTATCATTCAATCTAACTCTTACGGAGGCTTGAAATGGGATTCGATGAACACTAATGGTATCCTGAGCTCAAACTGCATTGATGTAAGTGTGATCGCGCAATGCAAAGATGGACTTTGTTTCCGTTTTTTGGCTCACGGTTTGGTTGTACTTTAGGTTGAGTAAGCAAAGGAGGAAAACGCAAAAGCGGTAAAAGCCTTGGATGTTGTTTTCTCACCATGTCTTCCCAACACATTATAGGAGCAACCACTACTACATTCTCTCTGGCTCCGCCGACTTCCCAAACCAGCTTGCGTCAGATTTGTCATATACAGTAGCGGCAAAGAAGCCACTTATTATTGATGAATTTGCATTATGGAACCATGGGACTACGTCGTCTTGGGTTTCCACCTTCTTTGATGCAGTACAGAACTCGGCTGGTGTGTCGGGAGCGCTACAATGGGCATTGGGTAAGGCACACAGACCGGTTGTCGTTGCCATTTTTGTGTGTGTATTTGGCTTCGCCAGATAATAACCCTTCATTTCTGTAATATAGTCCCTCATCATGTCGATGGAGGCTTTTACGTGCATACCGAGTATGACATCTATGCAGACTGTAAGTGTTGTAACAAAAACAGAACGGACAAGGCATTGGGATGATACTCACACTCGCATACATCTTCCACGCTCAATAACACCACCACCTCCACTTTCTTAGATCACTTCCCTGGTTGGACCACAACCATAAGTGCAATCGCACCATTCGATGAATCATTCGTCACATCCAACATAATGAAGTATGCCAGCACCATCCAAGGACTAGCCTCAAACACCCCGCTACCAATCCCATCACCTCCTGGACTTATTGCTGGTGTCACCGTCAAAGCTCTGAGATGGCAAGGAAGTCCTCTTGCTGTGAGTGATTCATCACTGGAAACCTTAGGTTTTGTTTTGCTTGCTTTCAAACCAACACAATTTTTCATCATAGAGCTACTACGTACTCCAAGTATCATCAAACAACTCCTCATACAGCACACTATCATCCAAAGTATACGACACAGTCGCGTCAGGCAGCACTATCTTCTCTGATCCAGTTACATGCACTGGAAGCACTCAACGATACTACAAGATATTTGCATGCAATGCTTCTGGATGCTCTGCTTCTGCTCCTGTCTTGCACTTGACGTGCTGAGACTATTTAGAAATGGGGACTTATTGGACTTAAGGACAATTCGGACCGCTTGTTACTTCTATCTGTATTTCCCTTCTGCTATTTGATTCTGTTGACTCCTCCCGCAAAACAAAAAGAATGCACTTTTATTATTCTCACTTTTTTTATTCTGATACGGACGTATAAGTTACACACTCATTAATTTCAACACCACTCAATAAATGTTATTCTTACTCTTCCGCATTGTGTATTGTCGTCTGGACAAGGGTTGTGAAGAACGAATTGCTCGTGCCTGGTGCTCTTTTTGGTGCAGAGGGCTTTGTCACTCCATCAGCAATTGTATTGATGGGCCATCTTTTGATCTGGGACAATTTGAGGTAGAACAACACCGCAAGCTATGATGGAATTGCTAACGAAAAGGTCGAAATGATACGTTTGTTTCCTCAACATTGCCTTTTCTGGTCGCCATTTATTTCAACACTAAATACTTCCCATTATCAAACTCACTGACACAATTCATCCTTCAGAATGGACAGGCAAACACTGGATCAAGGCAATTTGAAAATCTACTGCAGCTGTCACAATTGCTACCTTAACACGAGAAAAAGGATGTTGAATGTGGTGCTTCTGGTCGACGTTTGCTATAACGATCAGCACGTAGTCTCATGTTTGAAGTATCTACATTCAGGGCAATCTGATTTCTCATTACCAGTGTACCCACGTGTGGGTTGACTGTATCTCCACAGCTGAAATGCCCACTGATATAGCTTTTTGCTCTCAAATAAAGGCTGTCAGGTTCTGTTTGAACGTGAACTATGGGTGCTGTTACATCTTGAACGTCCGTTGAGACTATTGCTGAGCTGGTAACATCCTGTTGACTTTTCATCAAGATAATCACAGACGCGCTCGTAAACTTTTTGCTATCTCTCTCGATGGAATGTCGCATCTGCGAGACCTGCATCTTTTCAATCGTGGACGAGCGGACAAATCCAAGACCTCTGCGTTTCTTTGGTATATTGGAAGTTTGTTCTGTTTATTGCACCAGCAAAAGAGATGCTAAAACCATACAATACTTGACCGTCAGGAATCAATGCAGATCCTCACTCTTTATCGCTGCAAGAGAGGATGTTCAGTTTTTCAATCGGAAGACGACGCAAGGATGAAACAGGAAGTTGATGAGCACGTGGTGAAAAGGGCAATGTCGCAAATTCAAAACACTGATACGCCTTCATCGGTATTAATGTACTGGCTCGAGGTTTGTAAACTGAAAGCGCTGCGGTAAAACGGCGCCATAAACGCAAACTCAGATGATTGTGGAATTACAAACAGTTTAAGGATTGATATGCTGGGAAGTTACAGGATTCTATTTTGCAGAACAGCCATTCAGTTACGCCCATACCGTAAGCAGATTGTCTTCATTGAGAGTAAAGGGCTGACTTATGGAATTGATTTAGCAGACGTACGCGTACAGAGAGTATTTGTGCGTCTGTAAAAGGTGGAGAATGAGAGCTACAAAAATTCCTGTCTATTGCTATTCCTGCCTTAACAAGGTCCGGCCGCGTTTACTAGTAAATTCGCTGTTTGCCGTGCCTGCCGTTCCAAAAAAAAAACAACGGAACCCTTCCTTGGCCATCCATTTTACAAGGACGGTGGTAGAATTCATTATAAACCACTCCCGGCAATCATATAGCTGCAATCCAACATCCACAACTGCTCCCGGGTGGGCTTGAACGCCGTCACCAACAAACCAATCCAAACATAAACTTCCATCTGCTTGACTCACGAGACCAACCAATATGACAACAACTCCTGCCGTCAGACTCGGATTCGGTATAGCGATACTCTGCATTGGTGTAGTTCTCCTGCTGCTATGGACTCTCTGGTGGATGTATCGCTCAAGCAAAGAATCCATCGAGCATGGCCGAGGCCAATTGCCATGGGAAGGATACATAGGAGATGCTATGGGTGGACGCGTCCCTGCTATTAGAACCATACGAGTCGTGCAGACTATTCTGTCGGTAGTTATAATGGTGGTGGGAGTCGTGCTGATAGTGCTCGATGTAAACAAGTGATTGATATAAGTCTGGTAGTAAACCAATTTTACACGTATTACCACTTCAGGGAGCCGTTTGTAGGCAAATTATTATCTTAGTGAATATAGCATCTTAGCCGTACGCATCGTCCGGTTTGTGGTTGGCAAGATGATTCATCCTGAGTCAGAGTTGGAGACTGGTGGATCTTGTTGTAGAGAGCTTGCAACGCCATGGGATGCTCGTGCTGACCACTTGATGTTTCGTCGCTGACTATATCTTTGCAACTGTCATCACTGATGCAAGATTGAATTGAATCAAGAATTCACTACTAGTACTCTCAGGCCCCTTTCAACTCATGTCCAATTGTTTCCCAAATGGAATCCTTCTGTGATTGCTTTGCCGTTTATTCTCTCGGCATTCTGTAAGGACATCGGATGTGGTGGCAGTGGAAGTTTACTACTGCGAGCAGGAGGTAGCATCGTATTGGAGTATCTCAATTCTAGAGGATTTGATTCCGCAATGTCGGTATATACACCAGAGTGTGGGCTGACTGTTTCTACTCAGGTTAGCTATCAAATACTGATGTTTTTTGCTTCCATTGAAAGTGATTTGAAATTTGTGTGTACCTAGGTTCTAACTGAGCGTGAAATATGGGAATTGCTACATCTCGAACGTCCTGTTGGCACCATGGCTAAGCTGGTAATGTTGGTTGACACTCAAACTCAAAATTTTGGACACTCTTATATACTCTACTCAATTCATTTCGCATCATATGTATAATAGAAACGAACCATCGCAGACCACGACGACTCAACACCCCTCCTTGTTCGAATTCTCGACGGTCTGGCCCGTCTAGGAGACCTGCTGCTTTCCAATCGTGAAGTGCAGACAGATCCCAGTCTTGTCGAGTTCTTTGATATGTGGACACATTCCCATTCTTCTTTCGGAGCAGGTTTTTTATGCTGATATTCGTTAAATTAGACCTGACGGCCGGAAACGCAGATGGTGAATACGCTCAGCGAATCGACGCAACACATCCTCATGCTCTGGTGCTTTAATAGAGGATGTTGAGGTATCAGCGACTAGGATTATTTTTTGGGAAGACCGAAAAAGCGGGGACCCTCATCCACACATATAACGTCCCACAAAATTATTTCTGACAATCTGATAGTGGCGGATCCGTAGCAGGGTGAACTGTAACCTGTGAGGGGTCCAAAATTATCAGGCATCAAAAAATCGAAAGATTTCTGGTTGTCGACCAGTTTTTGTTTCGACTCCACACGATCACTTCTCGACTAGGTCGGTTTTTTTTGGTCACTTTTTTTTCAACAGAGACACCACACGTTCTCAATGACGAAACTGTCGCCTCCCGGACCCATTACGATACTTCTACTCGCCATCCCCTAAACCCAACACCAACGCAACTCACCACAACTATACGAGCCACTCACACTGCGTGAAATGGGATGAAATCTAGATTTACAGGACTTGCCACACCACAAGTATACGAGAGAGTGGCAGTAGAGGCATCGCGACCATCAAGCACGATACTCTTCGAGTCGGTTATTGACAAGCCGATGATTCTGCTGTGGTGAGAGCTAGCTTACATCAGGCATCGTCAGTAGAGTCGCTCGAGTCGTATGTGGCACTTGAGAAGATAGTCGTAAAAGACGTTTCTGAAAGTCTGCATTCCACATTATCTCTTTTCATCTCAGCCATATTCAATGACAAGTGGTTTTGAAGAAGAGAGTGCTGGTGGAGGTGTCGCGTTCGCTGCTGGTGCAACTAATGATTCCGAAATAAGGGATGCGGATTTGCTGAGAGAGTTGTGTTGAGTTTTCAGAACACTGTGATGCAATTGGTCTTGCATTTTAGAGCTAACGCTCATTCCAAGCGTCATCAAACAGCTCCACACGCAGTACATCATTTTCCTCATATTTTCCAAAGGATAAAGGATTCGACACAGATCACTTGAGGAAACCCATCTTTGTTGGCCCTTTCAAGAGAATTGGGAGAAGGAGAAGATACATCAATAGGAACACTTTTGTATCCTCTCCTGCTTTTGAATGGTTTTGAATGTGGATTACCTTGGCTCATACAGTGTGCACTTCAAAATGGCATGTTGTTCCACCATTTTGTATCATAGCACTTGGCTTTTTTCTTCTTGGATTTACGACGGTCAGTAAGGACTTCAAAGACACAATAATTTCGACTACCTTGTTCATGTAATAAATATATAAATGTCAGATCTGATGACGCGCTTCAACACGTATACAAAGTAGTGGTTACATCGTAGAGATCAAAGACTTTGTAAAACAGAAATGCTATGCTTCTTGCTCACCTTGATCGCTGTTTTGGCTGTTGATGCTTTGCACAGATTTTGCACCTCATTTTTCGCCCTTTCACAACATACACTGTTTCTTTGTTCTAGGACGCAATCAGACAGATCCACGCCGTAAAACATAGTTCCTCAGTCATAAAAATCCATACAATTGTCCTTCTCCTTCTTCTAACGGCTCCTATAACCTCGTTATGATGCTTCTACCAAAACAACAACTTCCCATATCAATGAATGCAGACGACGGTTCAAGTGCTCCGGAACTACGGCAGAGATTGTTTGAGGCACTGCATAGTACAGGGATTGCCGATAAAATAAAGGTACGCGATGTACATAATATATGTACATTGCATCTACCACTACTCTTCTTTTTTTGCTACAATGAGCACCTGTCAAACTCACTAAAATCAACTTAAATTCTATTTGTCAGGCTAATATTCGATCAAATCTCATCGAACAATTACGGCAACGTTCACAATTACCACCTCAACACGACAAGAAGGACAATGAGAGTGGTGGCAGTGGGAGTTTACTATTGCGAGCAGCAGATAGTATTGTATTGGAGTATCTGAATTCACGAGGATTTGACTTCACAATGTCGGTGTTTATACCAGAGTGTGGGTTGGCTGTTTCTACTCAGGTTAGAATGATGGAATTGCATTTCTTCTCTGTTAACAACTAAGTCGACATTTGTATCTCCTTAGGTCCTAACCGAGCGTGAAATATGGAAACTACTACATCTTGAACGTCCTGTTGGAACCATGGCTGAACTGGTACTGGATTGTCAACCTGAACTCAAAACTGGGACACTCTACGCAATCTCAATCTCTGACCCTATCACATCTCCAATAGAAACGAACAATCGCAGACGACAACGACGCAACACCCCTCCTCGTCCGAATTCTCGACGGCATGGCACATCTAGGAGACCTGCTGATTTCGAATCGTGAAGTGCAGACTGATCCTAGTCCTGTCGAATTCTTTGGTATGCGGACACATTCCCGTTAACATTTTCTCCAGACGGATTTTTTTGCTGATATTCGTTTAATAGACTTGACGGCAAGAAACGCAGACCGTGAATACGCCAAACGAATAAATGCAACACATCCGCATGCTCTGGTGCTTGAAGAGAGGATGCTTAGATATCAGCAGGAGGTTGATGTGAGGATGAAGGGGGAGCTTGATGAGCAGGTGCAAAAACCCCTTCCTATCTGTCGATGCAACCAGTTGATGCATCCACCCCACTCACACTCCGCTACCATTCTAGTTACGACGATTCAAAGAGACGGAAATAGTGCATGTCCGCGTCGAGGAACGAAGAAGATACCAAGAAGATTTAAACCAACACCGCTCTGAATTCGAAAAGATTGATATGGAAAGACGTGCCAAGACATTGGAGTGGGAGCAGCAGGAGCGTGCGAGGCTTGAAGAGCGTGAAAAGGTGTGGTATCTTCGAGCAAAGAAACTGCAGCCGCTTACAATCCTGATGCTTGGCCTTCCAACCCCACCTTTTCCTAGGAATTCGAACGTCAAAACATGGACCTCCGCCAACGCCTACTCGCAGAATCCAACCGTGTAGTACTAGCTGAAGCAGCCCATCGCAACGAAGCACAATTGCTAGCTCGAGAACTGCAGACTGAGAAGGACGCACTACAAAGACGACATGAAGAAGCACTTACTCAAATTGTGGAGTTGCAAAAGTTTAAAGATCGTTATGCGGAGAAGATGCAGGACGCTATTGCGCAGTACGGTTGTTTCGCAATCCTTTATTGGTCTGGTTTGCTTTTTTTTTGCGTATGTGAATGACTGACCCCGTTCTCCTTCCTTTTATGTTTCCAAAAGGCATAAGATTGACTTGAACCGAGAGCACGCTACCATACTCTCGAATGTTGAAGTTGAGAAGACCAAACTTGAAGGTACTCTACTCCCCCGTCTGAAGAGCAGACATCCATGCTTACTCTCATTCCAATTTTTTAGCTGAACGAGCCCTCCTCTCTGAGCGAGCCCGACAAGTCGAGCAAGCAGCACAACAAGTTTCAAACGTACAATCTGAAGTTGAGGAACTTCAGGCTTCGTTACGAGCTGCTAGGACTAGATTGGCTGAAGAGAGGAAGGAGAGGGAGAATGCTGGTGTGTTGCTGAGAGAGTTACAGATGCAGGTAATGCTGTCATCCGAAAGCAAGCCCATTTTCAGTGGTTGTAACTGTTGGTTGGCTCTGGTTGAAAACGATTGATTTGACTGACGACTTTTTTGGAACATAGGTTCAAAACCAAAAGAGTTCAACTGCTTTAGAGTATGAGATACAGAGTCTTAAGAGGTATCCTCGATTCGAAATCGCTCTTCACACCTTTTTTTGTGGCATTGAACGATGGTCATTCCTCTTGCTATTAGACAACTACTTGAATCTGAAAAGACGGCAGAGAAGAGACAAGAAGGTACTTTGCGTGGATCTGATTATCATTCAACCTTCCTTCCGACCTGGTTTTTTGTCTTTGAACAGAATATCAAAGCCTCCTCAAATCACTCATGGCACCTAAACATGAACTGGAAACTGAATTAGCTCGTGCGCGCAAAGCTGAAGGACGATGGCAGCGTGAATGTCAGCAGCTGGTGGGGAAGTTGGATTTGGAGGTAAAACAGCTTTTGGCAAAAAAGGAGATGACTTGCTAGTATCTCATGCTTTCACTCTCCTAGCTGACCCGTAATGAAGAAATCCACCGTAAATATGAAGACGAGGTGCTGCGTGTCAAGGAACTTCAGAGGGAGGTTGCTGATTTAAGGTTGTTGTTGCATCAAGCCCAGTCAGGTATGTTTTGCCTACAGTCTTCTTTTTTTGGCTATATCATATGATCTGACGCATCCGACAATACTTAGCTTTAACGAATGAAGTTGGTCTACGTGGACGTGGAGATCAAGATCTATTGATGGGTGCTGAAGAGTACCACATGTGAGTTGTTTGAAATCGATCAAAGATCATTGATCACTCATTCGTATCCTATCTTTTTCTAACATTTTTATAACAGAGACATACCACGGCAAGACACTACACGTCCCCAATCCCGAAACTTTCGCCTCCCAGATCCACTCCGATACCTCTACTCGCCATCCCCCAAACCCAATACTAGCACAAACTCACCACAACTATACCAGCCACTCACACTCCCTGAAATGGGACGAAATCTTGATTTCCAGGACTTGTTGTTTAAACCCACACCACAAGTATACGAGAATACGGCAGTTGAGGCATCGAGACCATCAAGCACGATACCATTCCAGGATGTGATTGATAAGCCAATGATTGCTGCTGTGGTGAGAGCCAGTTTGCATCAGGCTTCGTCGGTGGTGAAGTCAGAGTCGGCCGAGTCGTATGTGCAAGTTCAGAATGTGGTGGATGATGTTGGGGAAAGGGTCGTGAAGGAGACTGAGATGCCGAAAAAGCATGACAATACAGATGAAGTTTCTGATCCGCTCATGAGGAAGTATATAGCTATTGTCAAGGAGAGGAGGGAGAGAGAAAGGGTGGAAGGCTCCGAGGGTGTAAGTGGAGATGTTGATGCTGTACAACCTCTTGTTTGTTGTTGTATGGTCCTTTACTCATTTTCTTACAGAAGAAGGACGTACCGCCATCACAACTACAACAACCACTAGTGGCAAGCATGAAGCCGTCCAGTATTGGTATACCGAGAGTAAACAGTTATCGATCTGAGAATGTAAGATCATTCTACTCTTTCACCGATTCGTTTTTTGCGTCTGCCTGATAGATAATCTTGTCTCATCTTAGCCGTCTTCAATGACGAGTGATTCTGAAGAGGAGAGTGCTGGTGGAGGTGTTGCTTTCGCGGCTGGTGCAACTAACGACTCTGAAATCAGGTATGCGAGTTTGTTGAGAGGCTTGGGTTTAGTCTGGAGAAGATTGTGTTGAAAGTGTCTGTGTCTGAATCTTTTCCGCTCGTAGTGGACCGTCATACGATTCAACTGAGAGCCGTGATAATGCCTGGTAAAACCATCAAATGCCTTCGGTTTGTAAATTTCAAAATGTAAATAATCAAACCAGATGTGTTGCAATTTGTATACTGTATAACTGTTATTTAAAAGAAACTACTTTATAATACTAAATCAGCGACCTGCCTATATACGCCAAACTACACATCCTGCTGCTGTTGCTGCCTCTCAGCAAACTCCAGATACTGCGCCCTCTCACACAAATAATCAATATCCGATACCTTCCAGCCACCCCCATTCCTAAACGCCTCCTTCACAGCGTCCGCATCCAGCTCTTCCTCATCTCCCTCAATATGTGGGCTCTCAAACTGCACATTCAGCACCCTGCGTCCATGACTCGACGCAATCACACTTCCAGCAGCAACCGACTCTGTCTCATCTACGCTCTTAACCCGATGCACAAAATCTATATCGGCATCTAGCGCGACATTGATTTTTAGCTGGAGCCCTTCCTCGATTGCGTCTGTTGCAGAGTGGTATAGTGGGCGTGTATCGTTTTTCGGGATGGCAAATGATACGTTAAAGAGCCTGTATATGCTATATGATGGGTTGGGCGACGTGTACATCCTCAGTGCGTCGTTTTTCGATGCCGCGACCAGTTTCGTTTGTGTGTGCTTGCTGTAAAACGATGGTCCAAACAGCATATCGACAGAGTCAATCCGTGCTGCATGCACGTCGCGGATGCGGATGTTGACGGCCTCGTTGCTGGCGTGTATGGTTTTGAGTGCTGCCTGTAAGTGCTGGTTTAGTGTGGGTGTGGTCATGCGGGGCAGTTTAGAGGGCGAGTGGGATATCGAGTTCATTATGGATTTGGCGGCGTGTGTGGCTCCGTTTAAGAAGGATGGCTCGAAGGTGCTGCCTAGCAGATGTCTATCATTGAACTGTGAGTCAGCTGAAATGTTTGGCACAAGCATGTCAAATATATATGAACGTACCTGGCACCACCTCTCGTCCACAGCGACACGACAGGTCGCAGAATCATGGCCAGTACGCTCTTGTAGGGTGTCTGTATAGTAGAGTGTTGAGGGAGAGCGAGGACGGGTTTGACTGCAGTTCGGGAAGAAAAGAGAGGGAATTCATGGGAGATACTGGGATTGACACTTGAGCTGTGTAGTGTTCGTTGAATTCCCCTCATCTCTTCTCCTTGGCACCCGTCCTGGTCTCTGTAGTCTCCTCTTGCGTTTGTGCACGAGATGTGTGAGTATGTTTGGAATTCACCCGGAAATAGAATGGGGTTTGGGGTGCGAGGTTGTGTGACCTGTGACGAATCGGAGGCCAAGGAAAGGCATAGAATCTATTCGTGGACTTGTTTTGAACGTCCAATTTCTCACTAGATGTCAGCCCGAGTCTTTGGGTGACATAGTTTGAATGGACAATGGACGTCTAACTGACGCGACGTGGCCGTCTAACTGACGCGACGTGGCCGTCTAACTGACGCGACGTGGCCGTCTAACTGACGCGACGTGGCCGTCCTATATTTCTATCCGCTCTAAACGAGTCAAACCGGCCCAAGTACGGTGCAGGAGGTTTTCGCCTGCTGCAAATCTGCAAATCTCACCCTAGCTGTTCAATGCCCCGTCAACCTGTAATCACGCGTCACAATATCTATCAAATTCGATACTAGCTCTGTATGGAAAGGCAATCAATAAGCCACAATTCTATTATTTACGATGGTACACAGCAGGAGTCTCTTAAACCGTCCGTTGTTTCATCTGTTTCATGTCCTTGACGTTGCTGTTCATCTACCACAAGCAGAAAAAGCACATTAATCACTCTTCCATCAGAGAATCTTTTCTCAAATACTCTCAAACATACCTTCATCAACCTATCCATAAGCTGGGATCCAGAATCCTGCAACACACGAGCACCACCACCACCATTAACATTATTCTTGAAACTACCCACATCCTTCAACACAGCGATAGCATTCTCCAGCCTCGCAATCTTTTTCTGTGACCGTTCCAACCCATCCAGTAATCGGTTATGTGCGTCAACAACACATGTAACTGATGCCGACAATGGTGCTTCACTGGTGTCGGTACCGGCAGCAAGACGGTCTAAGGTAACAGAAGACCCCGAGCCCACAATCGTTACCCTGACAGCTCGGGTAGCAAGCAGATCTCGACATCGTGAAACATCGTCAAGCAGAGTATCATATTTGCGTAAATCGTCTTCGTGTTGTTTGAGTAGGGAATTTCGTTCAGTTACGAGTCGAGTGATTTCAGCACTCTGGGATTGGATTTGTGTTGATATGGATATCTGGATGGTGTTTTGCTTATCTGTCAATGTATACAGTTCGGAAAGACGCGACTCGACTTGGTACAAGTCTCGTTTGGATGCTTGGAGGGATACGTGTGCGAGTCGTTCAGAGTCTTCGAGTCTTTCTCGTTCGAGTTTGAGTGCGTCGCGTTCAGTTTTCAGGGATGTGACTTCGTCTTGCTTTGTGGTGAGGATGCGTTTGTGGTCTTCGAGGTCTTGTGTTGTGGTAGCGGTTTGGATGGTTAAGAGTTCGGTTTGTTTGAGGATAGCATCGTATGATTCTTGCAGTTTCAGTTCCTGAGCTTGCAGAGTCTCCTTTTCTGAGGTTGTTGATGCGAGCAGTTGACGGCATTCGTCCAGTTGGGATTGTAAAGACGCAGCTGTTTCCTTCAGAGCCGATGATTCTCGTGCCAGTGCAGCATGGGATGTCACAGTATTACTCAAATCAGATTTCAAAACTTGATTCGAATTCATTAGTGCCTGTATCTCGTTCTCTGCCGTAACTTCAGACCTCTTCAGCTCTCGTATCTGGTCCTTGAGTCTCTCACATTCTTCAGCAACACCTTCTAGCACCAACTGTTCCTGTTTCAACGACTTGACTTTGGTCGACGACTGTTCATATCCTCGTTTAGCAGACTCTAATTCCCCAACAGTATTCTCAAGCCCAATCTTAACACTTCGTAACTCGGTAGTAAGACCCTCAATCTCTCGACGGTTGGCATCATTCTCAGTCTTGTAATTACTAGCAAGTATTCTCTGATCATCCAAGCTACGTTGCGTTTCAAGGATAGTACCCCTGGCGAAACTCAGCTCGGCAGATAGTTTTTGTACTTGATCGGCCTTTTGGGATTCCAAGACACGGAGCTGGCGCACATCATCACGTAGTTTGTCAACTTGTTCCGTCAATGGTTCCAGCGCCTCGTTTTCAGCAGAGAGGGCGCGGATACGTGACGTGCATGTCTCGATATGGGATTGTAGCTGATCACGTTCTTGTCTCGATTGATTCAACTCCTGTTTCAGCGTATCTCGTTCGGCACACTGTTTCTTGACTTCATCCTTGTACTTGCTAAGCGATTTCCCATCCTTCTCAGCCTTAGCTTTTAACTCTTCCAAATCCGATCCAAGACCTCGGTTCTCGTCCTTGGCAGCCTTCAACTTGCGCACCAAATCATCATTCTCAGCCTGCAAGCGCTGACTATCTTCGCTGGCAGAAGCAATCTTTCGATCTAGTCTTGCAACATATGCCGATGCAGCTTCAGCTCGTTCATGAGCTTCCACAACATCTTTACCTAATGCTCCACACTTGTCCTTTAGCACCTTATTCTCACTCTCGAGCATCGAAATCCGTCCCATAGCCTGACTCAGCTCTTGCTTCAACCGATTCATCTCTTCGCGATTATCATTGCCAATACTCTGTTGCGCAACATTGTAAATCCCAGCTAGGAACCCCATATTCAGATGCTTGTTTCCAGTAGCGATACTGGCATCGGTTGCAAACTGGCGGCATTTTATACGATCGGCTAGTTCGAGCATTCGTTGTGCACGTCTCGTTAGATCGGCTTCGGAGAGCGTGTTCTTGATGTCGATGTGCGTTATTTCTTTGGGGGAGACTTGGTTTAGGAGGTGCAGGAGACATTCGCAGTCTGCGAGGTCGGTCGTAAAGTTCGTTACGCGTCGTGTGATGGTACTTTGGGAGAGGCGGTCGTTCATCCATGCTAAGAGGGCAGCTTCTTGGGTTACAGCGCCTTTGGAGCGGTCGAGCTTTACGTTTGAGAGTAATGCGGCCTACAAATTTGGAGAATGACGTCAATTCCAGTAGCAACAAAAAGGGCACGATATTGACGGTGGAGTGTTTGTTGGCGAAACAACACATGCCTTGATTAGCTGCCAAAGCAATCCACTACACAGATGCGGTGATCCTCTAATAATATCATCAGCTCCAATATTCGATATCTGGCATCCAATCTTCTTCGACCCCTCCAAAGCCTTTGTCAGATTCTCATGATACGACAACATGGCTCTCACGGGACTCTGTACAGCCCATATAAGACCCAGCTCATCAATCGTTCCTGGTTTGACGAGATTAACCAGTTTACACAGAATCAATCCAGATGCAAGTGCTTTAAAAAGCGACGTTGGTTCGATTGGGAATAAGTGTGCAAGACGTGAATCGTTCCCGAATTCAGCGTTAATCCATGCAGTGTAGGCTTCGATTTCCATATCTGAGAGGTGGTGTTTGATTGTGTTTGAGTGGTCGAGGGATGCAAAGTTGAATGTTGCTACAGTTGTTGTCATGTTAGCACCCAACCAAAAAAAATAACAAAATCTCAGCGTTGACACATACATTCACTAGCCACCAAACTCTTATCCAGCTCAGCCTGCCTCAACAACCCCTCCGCCATCGCACTCGATGATACCAAATCCTTTGGACTAGAAACCGTAGAGCTCCTTCCCCTTTTGTCAAACTGTACAGCAGCACTCACTCTCGGATGTGGCGACGATGTACGTCTTGATATAAGCGATGAAACACCATCAGCCCCTTCTTGCTGCTCCTTTTCGAATGACGATGAGGTTATTGATGTCCGGTTTTCAAGAGCGGATGCAGGTGTTGCGTATTGGGAAGATGATGTATCGTCCATTATTGTGGACGTGTTTACGGTTAGTTGGGCCTCCATCAGTACGTTCTTGTGAAAAGAGTGCACAATTTGGTGCGTTTTAGGGTTGTTTGGAATTTTTGAGGGTCGTGATGCTGGCGTTATAAAGTCGCACGCGGTGCGAGCGGTCGGGGGCGATCCCATATACTAGCAATGTACAGCAATACACAACAGTGGTCCTGATGCAATTGTTAGTTCAAGTCGCAAAAAAAACACATAGAACGCAGAACGATGCGACATCGCTAAAAAAGTCAGAGAGGAGGCAAAACAGAGCAAGAACCGCTACACCAATGTAGCCGGCGCGTAATCAGACGCGTTTCGAGTCCCAGAAACCCGGAGTTTTCGTATGAGACGAGAATGATCATTTTATTTAAAAACGCTTGTTCGTGTTATTTACTTTGATTGTTTTCGTATTATTTACTTTGATCTAGCACTTACGGCGGTTACGAACTACACACTCTGCTGTGTTCACAGCAAATCTGCGTAATACTGTGTGAAAACCCGAACTTGGAAGTTTTGTGACCAGATTGGTGATTGACAAAAATCCTTGAATCCAACCAAGTTTGTCACCAATCTCACATGATTGGCAAGAGCCAATAAAAACTGGGCAGGTATTGGGCTAAAAACCTGTCTCTCTAGAAGGGGGGGTTGATCTCCCCCAATCGTTCGAGTAGCGGTGGGAGTGGACACTACGGATGTGACGATGACCTGAAGTTGAATGATAAATAGTTACATAACGATCAGCGATCGACTAGATAATTTCTCTCAGAAACTCAACTGAAGCTTTCAAGCAAAAGCACAATAAATGGAAAGTTGGCGTAGCCTGTCCGTAACGAGGTCCGACATGCAGTGATAGCACGATTTATGGAGTAGGTTTCAATTGTATCGCTCATCTTGAAGATTGATGGAACACGTTGCTATGCTTGACTTGAAACTGTCTAAAATTTTCAAGAGTTTTTTGGCGAGTCCTGGACGTGTCAGGAAAGCGTATTTTGGCGTTTCAGCAAATGAGAACGTTGAAAACAATCTGTAGGCCGATTTGAGCCACTTAAGTCCTAGATTTTGAACTAGTCCCTGTTTGCAGTGCCCTTGATTGTCTGGTTTAGCAAAAACGGTGGACCGATATTAGCTCAAGTGCCACCAGTAAAGGCTGTTCATCAAGGAAGGAGAACTCAGGTATGTCGTATAATACCTTTAGCACTCGGTCTGCTACCGATGCGATCAAGCATCTATCTTTTCTTTTTCCGTTTTTGCAAATCGATGTTGTGTTTGCCAAGCGTTCAAACTTTACTGTCGAATGCATCAGTGCCGGAACCTCGATGGATGAATTTGAAGTTGAAATCGTATCTGCATCGTATTGTATTACGCTTCGTCGCTTGTGTGTATCGGTCAAGCTCACCAATCCTCCAAAACACATTTCATCTAGCTTCGCGACGACTTTTTGGGAAATCTACCTCGTCGACGACGAACAAACCACTACATCACACGAAACGGCCGATACAGTCCTCAAAACACACTTTACATTCTGACAATCCACCAACCTCACAAGCAATGAGCACCACAAACCCAGAAATGCTCGCCTTTGCCCAACGACGAGACACCTCACTTTACCACGACCCATCCAAACTACCCGAATCCCTGTCCAGTCTCTCCCCCGATGAGCTACAAGCCTTTGAAGCACGCACAGTGCGTAAAATCGACTGGGTTATACTCCCGATAGTTTGCTGTCTATACTACTCTGGGTATATGGACCGAACTCAGCTGAGTTACGCTACCATATCGAATACGGATGTCAAACATAACTTGTTTCAGACTACGGGGATATCACTCAGTCAGTATAATTGGATTTCGAGTATTTTCTTTATTGGGTATACGGTTTTTGATGTTACGAATGTGCTGATAAAGTACTTTACGCCATCGAGGTAAATATTTGGTTAAATTGTGGGGTTTCCATGATTCCCTTTATACTGATTTGTGTGTGTTTGGAATAGGTGGATTGCGAGAATATGTTTCTCATGGGCGATTGTTGCTTTGGCAATGACTGCTGCAACCAACTACCCGGGCCTTTTAATATGCAGGTTCTTGTTGGGAGGTACGAATATCGTCAGACATAAACCCTGCAGAATTCCATATCTAAACTCATCGTTTCAACAGTCATGGAAGCAGGCCTCGGCCCCTCCGTAATCTACTACCTCACCTTCTGGTACAAACGCTCCGAGCGCGGCCTCCGCATCGGCCTCTTCTACGTCTCGGGCTCCATCGCAACATGCACAGCAGGTCTCCTATCCGCTGCCATAACCCAACTAGACGGCCGCGGCGGGCTCTACGGCTGGCAGTACCTGATCCTCGTCGAGGGGATCCCGTCCCTCATAATGGCATTCGTGGTCTTCTTCTTCATGCCTGATTACCCCAAAACGACGAAATGGCTGTCGGAAGAGGAGAAGGCGATACTCGAGTATCGGTTGCAGGGGGAGGCCGGTGCGAATGCTTATGGGAATACGTGGGTGTGGGCTGAAGTTTGGGAGTGGGTGAGGAATCCGCTGTCGTGGTGCTTTGTGCTGAGTACGTTTTCGCAGAGTTTAGCTATTTATGGGTATGTGGAAGATTGTTATTTTGTTCTGCAGCCAAGTGTTGATTGTTGATGTAATCTTTGCACAAACAGTCCAGCAGCATATGGACCAATCCTGATACAAAGCATTTTCTTGCCAATGGGAATGACTAGTAATCAGCTCCAGGTACGCGTTTCTTGAATTCGTGGTGTCTTGCAGACCAATCAAACAACGATTGAATATAGGCAATTTCAACTCCACCGACAATATTCGGACTACTATGTGTAGTCATATTCGTCTTGCTTTCAGACAGACTCAAGAATCGAGTCATCTTCTTGAATGTAAAGCTTCTTGAATCATGCCTTGTCGTTTCCACCTGATTCGTGAACTGATATCCTGATCTCTTTCCAGATTGCACAATTCATGGCCCTAGCCGGAATGATAATCTTTGCTGTAGCACCTAAATTTACCGGAACATGGGGCTGGATATTATACGGCAACTGGTTCCTGACTGCAGGCGGTACCGCTGTTACGACTGCCATGTCGGTGACATGGAGAGCTGATTTATCGTAAGCTACGAGTTCTTCGACCCTCGATCCCCCTTTTTTGGCGTTTTTGCTGGGCTTTAACTCAGCTTGCATACCGTATAGATATGGAACCACATTTATGGGATTATCCACTGCATTTACTCTTTGTGCTGCTAACGTCGCTGGTATGGATGGTTTGTATATGCATCTACAGACACCTCTCACTCGATTGTATTTTGTAGGCGCCGTTGCACCACAAATTTTCGTTTCGACTGATTCGCCACTGTATCATAACGCATTTACAGTCCTTGCTGGGTTTATGGCTGTTGCCATGTACGTGTCGCGTATTAGTTGTAAACAATGACTCTCATAACCATCTCTGATATGTTTGTTTCTCGTAGAGTCACCACCTGGATCCAACTAGTAATCGAATATAAATACCCACAGTATTGTGGTCCTTCGGGTCCCTTCCATTTCTCGAGAAAGAGCAGCAACAATATGGAACAAACCAGTGAATTGTTAGAGAAGAGTGATATGGAGAAATAGAGACATTTGTAGTAAAGATGGCACGTTTTAAAGATATATTTCTTTTCATATCTTGTAATTCCTGATGATCGATGTAAAGTATTTCTTTGAGATCTTGTAAGCTGCCAAAACAAATGTTGGGAACTCAAGCTCTGAACAAGTGTATGTTTCAAGACTTGCGTCTTACCAAACTTGGAAACAAAGAAGATCAAACTGTAGCGATAGCTCTCGGTAATCGACAGCGACATTGGCGGAAGTTTGCCATGGCCGTGTGAAGGCAGCGCATCGACTTTGCGTCAACAATGACATAAAAGTGCAACTGACTCACAAAACACCACAGATCAGCTTAGGAGGTTGCCGAAACATCCTCATAAAGACTCTACAACACTAAAAGTACCGTATTCACAAAAGAATTCACATGTGTTTCATCCTGTACGTGATCTCGTGGACACCTCACATGTGGCCAGCTTTTCACAACCCACTCTTCCCAGCCAGCAGTCCGACCCGCAATCGTGGAAATTAGGCAGATCTCTTTGCCATATCACGGTCACACGTTTAAACCTATGGATGGTGATTTTAAGACTGTGGACGATGTGGATGGAGAAATAACCACGGAAACCACTTTTGTAAACAAGCAAACATCGAAGGGCGATCAAATTTGAATTCCTCCCGATGCATAGCGATGCCCATTAGATGGCCCCACGATTTTTGTTATTATAGTGCCCTGGTTGCGCAACTTGGTGTACCTGCACGATCACACCTTTTGTCAAAGCCGGTTGGGAAAATCTCAGGGTTAAGTACACTCAGCAGAACACTAATGAACTTTTGAGAGTAAGTGAGCGGACGATATTTCAATTGGTGAGTTTAGTATTGGAACTATGGTGGTTTGAACGCGGTATCGTTGGTTGCCGTCGATCAACTTCCGGAGTGCTTCCAGATCGTTTTTTAGTATGCCGTTAGTAAAAACACTCCTGTTGTTGCTATTAGAAATTCCAAGATCCAATAATATATTAAGGCTACAGTCAACTCAAACGTACGTTGCTTATGGAGTCAGAATGTTTGGTGACATTCATCAATATTGATTCTCGATGTCTTGTTTATCTTTGTGGGGATGCTTTTCCACGATACTAATCCATGCTTGTTTATTTTTCTAGCATTATTCTAAATGACTGAAAAGAGCAAACTGACGGCGACTAGTGTGATATTTGGTGCTGATGGGGCAGCTGTTCAAGGTAAAATGCAAACCACAAGCAATGCTGATTTGTTTGCATGTTGTATGCCTAATCGATCCACGTCGTTATGTAGCAAGCTACCCCACGGACGAAGAAGGCCGAGTCCTGATCCCGGATTCGTTAGCTGACTTGTCTCCAGAGTGAGTATCTCAAGTTAATGCTCCTGTTTTTGTTAGCCAACGTTGAATTGTATCTAACCATGTCTCCTTATATAAGACAAAAAGAAGAATACCAAAACAGACTGCTTCGAAAACTGGATATACGCATTCTCCCCATTCTGTTTTGGCTCTTCTTTTCAAATTACCTCGACAGACAAAACATTGCTAACGCCGCCGCTGCTAATACCGATGTCAAGCATACGCTACTTATTACTACGGGAATCAACCAGTCGCAGTATAATTTCGTGAACTCGATCTTCTTTATTGGATATTGTATCTTTGAGATGCCGAGTAATATCGTTTTAAGTATGTGCATGGGGTTTCACGTGTTAGGATACAATTTTGTACAGGACTTTACTAATTTTGATATGTATATAGAATGGGCTACACCATCGAAATGGATTGCTAGAATCTGTTTGTCATGGTAGGCAGCGCCTTGTATATATTCACACGAGACCTTTCTCACTCACAGTTCTCGACCTGCAGGGGCGTCGTCTCAATGGGACTAGCTGGTGCCAACAGCTACGCCGGCCTGCTGATATGCAGACTCTTGCTCGGAGTGATGGAAGCTGGTTTAGCACGTACGTAGTCTACCTCATATCTGATTCAACCATGTCTTTTTTCCCTCATCATCAACCACCATTCTCACAGCTGGTGTCGTCTACTACCTCACCTTCTGGTACCCACGCTCCAAACGCGCATTCCGTATCGGCATGTTTTACGTATCCGGAGCATTCTCGTCTGCACTGGGAGGTCTCCTGGCTGCTGGTCTGACGTCACTGGATACGCAACGTGGACTGTATGGATGGCAGTGGTTGTTTCTCATTGAAGGAATACCGTCTGTGATTATGGCTGTGGTGTGTTTTTTTTTGCTACCGGATTATCCAAGGACGTCGAAATGGTTGACTGAAGAGGAAAAGCAGTTCTTGGAACATACGTTGACGGGGGAGGCTGGATCCAACTCGCGTGGTCATGCATGTGAGTTTGTTGGAAGCGCTGGGAAGACTAGTTTTGGTATCAAAGAGACTGAAATACACAAATGTAACTGACGTCGCCTTTCTGCTCAACCGATAGGGGTTCCTGAAGAAGCCATTGCCTTTTTCAAAAATCCTTTAACATACTCGTTTGGATTCGGAGCCTTTTTCGTAAGCGATTCGGTTTCTTTTGAAGAAAGAGTTCATGCTAACTCATTTCAAACCCTCATTTTCTCTTTGAAACCTTTAGCACGGATGTATCATATACGGAGTAAGTTTCTCATACCACCACTTTGTTCGTTTTCTTGTGTTTTCTCATACGTCAAAATATAACTAACACCACGTTTACATTTTGGATTGTTTCCAGCCAGCATTCTATACACCAACCATCCTTCAAACGATTTTTATTCCCCTCGGATACACCTCCGTCCAAATCCAAGCGTTATCATCACCACCCAACTGGCTGTCATTTTTCTGCGTTTTCGCATGGGTCATCATAGCGGATCGGTTCAAGAATCGATTCATTGCAATGCAGGCACGTACATCCTTTCATCACACGCCAAACAAAGAACCACATCTAACTAGTGTCATATTAGTTGATCTTACTATTCCCTCTGGCATGTTTCATAATCTTTGCCGTATCGCCCTCAAATGCCGGAAACTATGGCTGGACGAAGTACGGGGCGCTGTTTATTGCTGGTGTTGGCACATCTGCTATAACGCCCGTTGGAATGGCGTGGAGGACTGACAGCTGTTACGGAACGACGTATACGGCACTTGCTGCGGCCTTTACACTGACTATGGGGAATGTTGGTGGTATGTCACACCGTTGGGATTGTGGAACAGGAGGTTTTCTGTTTTTGCTAAGACGTGTTACTTGTATTTTTTAGGTGCCGTGGCTCCACAGCTCTTCCAAGCTACCGATGCCCCATTATACCACAACGCATTCACTATCTTGGCATGTTTCGCTGCTGCAGCGATGGCTTTGGGATGGGTGCGTTTGTGTTCTCTTGTGTTGTGTGATGGCGTAAAAGGCGCCTATTCGGGGTTTCAACGAATGATCCCACACACACTGACGCCTTCTCGTTTTCTCTCTACCAGATACAACTGGCCATTGAATACTTTTATCCAAAAGCATGTGGACCATCCGGATCGATTCATTTCAAGAGCCGGAATGCTAGGGTGATGTTGTCTGCTTGAGATCTTCTTGGATGGGAGGGTTTAAGCCAAATCAAAAACTCGGAACTTGGTCATTTTTATTAATTATGGGATACTTCTTTAATATTCAATATTGAGTGTATTGGGTTGGTCTCGATAATACAACAGAGTATAAAAGTTTGTCTGTCTTTGAAGGGCTTGTTGTCGTCTTGAAAAGTTTCTTGAATATTAATATGTGTAGCTGAAGGTGTCTGAACGAGTCTCCAGACGAACCGCGACAATGCGGTGTTGAATTAGCCTCTACCACGAGATCTAACAATATTGATTTTGGTTTACACCATCTCTCAGTGTTGGCAAGCTCAAGAATAGCCAGAGCAATATAGGTTCCGTGAGGAGACCCACTTCATGGACGTAAACGTCAGCGTGGAGGGTAGCAGGAAATGTTGACTCGATGTCAATCTAGCTAGAATGGAAGAGCTTGTGAAGCGATCACCCTTGCTTGCTAAGAAAGACGCGAGGAGACAATAGTCTCGAAATGGTAGAAATCTCTTTTTCAACTATTCAAGCGAAGTAACCTCGAAACTAGCTGGCTCTTGTAATAAAGCTAGAAGGTAGGCGCATTGGGGTCTGTCCCAATATCTTCCCACGAGGGAACAATTCCAGTGAATAGAGTAGAGCATCGTCATTGAATGATGGTGCTGATTCCACCTGAATCGACAACTCCAGTGGAGAGGTATCTTTCGAAGGGCAACTGACTACGTTGATTTCCTCAAAGATTATGCTTCGTTAGTGGTGTGTGTAGACTTCATCAAGCTGGTAAGCATATCAGCAAGCAGCGATAGTTTCATATAATGATGGCAAGAGCTTCCAAGCGTGCATAGGCCAGAAGCGAATCTAGTAGGAAACGCTGGTTATCTTACAGCTTACAGACATTTCACGAAGCATGCGATTCAAGTTAAGCATCAAATATCAATAAACAAGTAAAAATTCACCATTTTCGTCTTACCTCATGTTCGAATATTTTGCATTGCCTTCCAATGCCACCTTCCACTTCCTTTTTTTTCTTCTCAAAACAAGGAATTAAGAAAGAGTTATAAGCCCATTGAGCAAGAATCCACTAAGAAAACGTCTCAATTGATGACGATATCTTCTTCAAAAATGGCATTGCCATCAAGTCTTCCAAGAGTATTCGGTCGTAAAAGACCTCCAGGTAAGCAAACACATATACGACAGTGCCTCTACTAGTAAAACAGCTGCATCCATGGGCGGTAATGCACTTTCTAGTATCTCTGATATGATTCCGCTACTCGAAGATGCTCTATTACGTCGTTTCTTTTTCAACATTTGCTGCATCAAATTTAATCACGTTATTTTGTTGACCAACTATGTATTTCATCCCACTCTACTATAGAAGGTCATCAAATTAGTACGGATGTCCCGACTAATAGAGCGCATCCAGCATCTGGAGTACATACCACCACCGCCCAACTCTCCCTCAAGGGCTTCTGGAGAGGTCAAAAACCGAAGCAACATCCAAACATACAACCATCACCACCTGCCGCCACTACCACTACAACATTATCACCCGTATCAACAGCTCCAGCTGTCAAAGAAAAGTCTCTAAAGGATTATACTATAATTGGATTATTGGGCGAAGGAGGACAGGGACGTGTCTTATTAGCTGAAAACATTGCAACAGGCCAAAAAGTAGCCCTCAAGCAAATCATGAAGGAGTTTAATGGTGCCAAGCCATTGACAGGAAGGTAAAAATACATTGATTGTTGTGTATGAACGAACACCACTCATTTAACCAAATTCTCTTGCTTCTTAGCTTGAAACATGAGCTCAAGGTGCTCAAGATGGCTCGAGGATGCCCATTCCTGATTTCGGCTTCTGCTTGCTTTCAAGACAAGAACTATATATACGTAGAAATGGAATATGTCGAGGGTGTTGGGTTGGGGAAACTTATTGATAAGAAGGTGCTAAAAGAAGATCATATCAAGTTTATTGCTATTGGGATACTGCTTGCCCTTGCATTCATGCACTCAAAGGATATCTGTCACAGGTGAGTTGTCACCTTGTTCTCTATTTATCTTTCGTCAAATCACTTAGCCTCTCAACACCCAACCATTTGAACATGGGGACATTAAAGCTGACAACATCATGATAACTCGTAATGGCCAAGTAAAAGTATTGGATTACGGCCTGTCTCGACTCAACATGACCGATATCGCTGTTTGTGAACCATCACAAGCAGGTACTTTGTTTTATATGTCTCCGGAAATGCTGGGCAATGAGTCATATGGTCGCTACGTTGATTTCTGGGCTTTGGGAGTCCTGCTCTATGAGATGGCTAATAACCAAGTGCCGTTTTTGGGATATGACGAAGCTGGGCTTTTGAAAGACATTCAAACGTACCCGCTAAACCGTATCCCAAACCTCGAATGCAACGGATCGACGGTGTTCCGCGCTTTTACTTTGAGTCTGGTCATCCGTAACAAGAAACATCGCTTGGGTATGGACGGTGTTGGAGAGGTGATGAAACACGAATACTTTGTTGGCATGAATTTGGAGGACTTCGGCTCACTCCGAGTACCTCCACCTCTTATTTCACAAATGGTACGTCTGGATTGCGTTGCGATTATGTCTTTATCATATCTACTTGAATTCTAACACGCTGTTGGTGTTTATTTAGAAGAAACGGCCAGCCAAAAGGATGCCCCTGTTGGACTGCATTCCACCTTGGAAGAGAGTACCAAAACTCTTCCAAGACTTGATGTTTGATACAGATCCTGCTGTGTCAACCATGGACACCGTTTGTGTACGTGCTGTCGAGCATGTTGGTGATTCTTTAGGTCGTCGTATGGAAAAGGGTGGTCTTCGCCCTAGCGGGATAAATACCGCAGTGGCTGACGCACCAACGGTCGCAGTAGCAAAATCCGATAAACGTTACGGTAAACCCGTATCTGAACTCCCCACAACCAAACCAAAGTCATCAACCACTACCACCGCAGCATTGGGTACCGTCAAAACGAACAAGGTCACGTCCGTCTTTAAGATAAAAGGTTTCCTCGCTCGTAGAGCTGTTGAAAAGGTCAAGAAGCCGTCCGTAACTTCTGGCACTACGAGTCATCACATCATCTGCTCTCCTCGTGCCAGCCCTGAAATCGGTGCTCTTCACCCTGTTGTATTCGAGACCACAGTGGCTGAATCACCTGCTATAGTCAAACCAGTCCATTCAAGTGAAGCCAGAAACTCCTCTCGAAATGAGGCTGCTGTCTCAGCTGTGTCCATTGATCGTCAAGGCCCCGAAACCATAGTACCGGGTCCTGCTGATTATAGCAGTCAAGTATCAGCAGCACTACCACAAGCCGTGAAAGCTACACCAGCTGTAGCAATCACCGACAACAAACGTACGGGTCGTAAACTCGGTGCTCTTCGCCCTGTCGGGACATCCCCGACAGTGGTCGAATCACCCGCTGCTGTCGCTACGGAGGAAGGACCTAACAATAGCTGGAATGTCTTGGACACCATCCCTTCAGTCTTGTCATATCGAAATCATGCTGCCTCCACTGTAGTCATGTCTGAAAAATCAGAAGATGTCGCTCAATCAGAAAGGGCTACCACGTCTGTTGATAAAGAAAGTCCAGAATCCAGTATTATGGCTGTCGCCTATACCGCAGAAAGTGAAGTCGCTGACGTCGGACCTCCCATCGTGTCATCCGTAGATCGAGACGAAACACCTATCTCGAAGACTCATGACAACCAGGATTCTGCTACCATATCAACCGTTTTGGATCGTGATACCAACTTGGCCAATCCGGCACCATTACACCCAAACTCGAATGAATATAACACCTTTTGCATCGTCATTGGACTCATGAGCTTCGCTAGCCTCATTACTAGCATTGTCGCTACCATCGGTATGTAATATATAAGCATCATTGTTAAGGACAACTAGAAGGAACCTGCCGAAGCGCTGGGAGCTTTAAACTAAAATAAGGTCGTGTTTGGGGGGGAGTTTGAAATGTGTCGACTTTTTTGACCTTTGCAATGTTTAAGAGAATACAAATAAAAGAATTAGATTTTTGGTAAAGAATCTGCTGCTATTGGTGTGGTGTCTTGTTCTTCCCTCCTCTAAAATTTATGTTGTTATTGCGTTTACCAACATTTGCTCAACAGACCCAGAGCAGGAAACAGTGCAACTCAACAAATCGACCAGTTGCAAGGCATGGATGGATCGGCCCGAAGAACTGTATCGACCTGTGCGATGTTTTGCGTCCAAATACACAAAATCAAACGGCTTTCCAAGCTCTTGATAGGTTAAGCGCTACCATATTCAAATGTCTGCGTAGAACCGTAGGACGCATTCTTTTACTCCTCCAACTCAAGTCTTGAAAGCTGATTCTTTCTCAACTCTCACCAGCAACCAATATAACAACACATAACCAAAATGACATCTCCACCCACCAAATACCTCATATCCGGCCTCCAAAACTCCATCCTCCCGGGCACACGCCACAATGTCGGATCTATGGCAATCGACTACCTAATCCAAAAGAACAAATCCAGCATACAGCACCTACCACCGTACGACATTCTCCATGTATTCGGAATGCACTGCTATCTGTACAAGCCGAATGGAGTTATGAACCTTATTGGGAAGCCGATTGCAGCTGTTGGTAAATGCTGTCAACGTTTTGGACATTAAGACGTGTTTTGATATGTTTTTGTTGGTAGTGAGGAAGGAAGGAATAGATATGAGGAATGTGATTATATTGCATGATGATTTGGATTTGGAGCTGGGTGTTGTCAAGTTGAAGGCTAAGGGGGGGTCTGCTGGGTAATGAAGTGCAACTTTTCCAAGCTGATTTGAGATTGAGCGTGTATTCATACGATTTCGTGTTTAGAGGGCATAATGGAGTTAAATCCGTGACGGCGCATTTACGGACTGATGTAAGTGCTTGCTATATGAACGTTGACTGGCCCAACAAACAACAACAAAAAAAACCATTGTACCATTATTGGATAATGTAGGAATACCCACGCTTCAGAATCGGCATATCACACCCACTACACGAAGACAAAGTCGTAAAACACGTCCTCTCGGGCTTCCACAACACTGAAATCGAAGTTTTACAACAGCAGGCCTTCCCACTCTTTCAAAAGATGCTGCTAGAGTACCTCGAAAAGCACAAACAGTGACAACCTCAACCTTTTAGTATACCCCTTGTATAGAATTTTAAATGCCAAATTACTTTTTCCCTGTATTTTAACTCTTTTTTTCTTTCTATTTACACGATAACTCTCTCTCATTTTCTAAAGATCTTTACATGAGAAAATGCAATTTGCTGTTGCGCTCTTTTGGAGGATTATATCCGTTAGCTATATAATGTGGTTTTGTTTGTCTAGGATGCGGATTTGGATACGTTGAGTGATCCAGATCCAACACAAGATAATAGGACTGTTCGTGTTTCTTGGTCGGGTGTGATTTTAAATGTCACGCCCAAGAATTTTTGAATGTCTCGTAAGTATGATTGTCTATGTGGAGAGAAATGGTGGTTAGAATAATGATGATGGGACAAATCTCGTCCGATGCATTCTTCGTGTTTTTCCCTTTGTATGACGATGCGACGATAACAACATCTCAATTTATAACTTTCCCATTTACGAATCCAGCACGACCTGCTAAGCACCACTTACGTGAATGTAGACAAAGCACCCAACCGAACCTTCCCAACATCTTCCGGCCCCATAGCCATAAACAACAACACCATCCACTGCGAAATAGTATCAACACATCCACCCTTCTTAATCTCTTGCAACAACAACCGAGCAGTCCGGATCCCCAAATCTTCAGGTGTCGGGAACGCATAATCGTTTTGTAGAGAGTCTGCAACTACTTCTGTTATTATTTTGGGTTGGGCTGGTGATCCTGGTGGTGATGGATATTGTGGGTCATTGTTGTGTTGATATTGGTGGTGATTGTTGTGCGGTTTGTCAGATGTTAGTGCAGGAATCATCATGTCGGATTTGGGTGCTGGACGAGGACGGAAGGCACATTCGGCGGATAGGAGGACGTCTGTGGTTGATTCTGCTACCAGAGTCAGAGCGTAACCGGGAGAGCTAAGAGAGAGAGAGAGAGTGGGTAAGAACGCTGGTGTGAAACAAAAACAAAACCGAACAAGACAATTCTACAGCACAGCTCAAACTCCACTGAAGATCCATCCTCAGCTCTACACACTTACTTTCCACTATCAGGTCCCTTGTACACATCCGTATAAATATATACATCCGGAATATAACGAGTCAAGAGACTTCGAGCAGATTCAACAACTCGGTTTGCCATTTGTGGAGACAACCGTGTGGCATACGCAATACCACGAATACGTTTTATGGTTCCCTCCTCAGTCAATTGTAGTGTTTTGAGTTGTCTGACGGTTGGGCATCGGAAAAAGACTTGGCCACCACCGTTAGGAGATGCGCCTCGTTTTGAGATCTAGTATGACCAGGTATTCTTTGGGTGAGTTTTTGACTCTTGCTTATTGATTTCGATGCTTGCTACCTTGAGTTCAAGGCCATCTTCAATGCCAAAGCGTTTCAATTGTGGGAGAGTTACAGTCCGTAGAGTGTCGACCTATTCAGTGTGTATCTTCAGTTTCTTTTTTTCAACCGTATTTGCACCCACCGAAATAAGCACACTCACAGATACATCCAAATTATCATTCGTAACTCCATTCAACGTGACAGCGAGGGGCGTCTTTGCAAAAGGAGCCAATGCAATCAGTGGTTCCAAAAAGTATCCAATGCCACGAGAGTTTGGGCAATCTATAATGTTTTCTCGAGTATAAGCTATCTGGTACTAGTAGAAAGCATACCGCAAACAGCACTGAATGGTACCGTGTGTGAATTTGCCCCCAGTGATGACACCAGGCCGATAAACGACAGTTGTTCCTGAGTAACTGATTTCAATGACACAGCCATTAGTGACTTTCTCCAATAGTCTCAAATAGCTGATTTCGTAATCTAGTCGTGAGATAGATTGCAAAGTTAGCTTACAGAGCTTGGAAAAACAAGAAAAATCCCACACTGTAGCAAAACAAAAAAAAAGTTGAAGAGCTCCACACAGCTTTCCACGTACCTCGTAGACCAGGAGTATCTTCATCTTCTCTGATACTGCCAATACGTACTGCTTTACCACTGAGAGTGGATAGCAACAACCGTTGTCTAAAAGACTTTGACGTTTCGACTTGCACCATAGCGAATCCAACCATGTCCAGGTTAAGATATTATTAAGTTATAGATTAGATTGTAGCTTGCGGATGTGTGAGGCGGGATGTGATTTGCCCTGTTGTTGGATGGGGTCTATATCATTGTTGTTGTTTGTTGACTGAACTTGGGCAACGAGAAAAAAGTGATTCAGAAACAAATCAGTGCTAACCACTTCGCATCGGGGCTATACTAATCTAGTCACGTGTCGAATGCGTTGTGAGACTCATTCGCACTGGTTTTGGGGCTCAATTTACGTGTTTTCACGACAGTTGGAGGTTGTCTCACTAAATCTCACACGTCAGGAAATGGGCGGTGAGAGTAAGCCATATACGCTATGTAAAATGATACTTAATCGTGACAGGAGGCGTAACCTTTGCTACGGACAACTTTAGACATATGTCGAGTAGTCGTGCTGAAACATGCAACTCGACTCTTTTGAGCTTCTCAGCAGCACCGCAAGTCTTCTTGCAAGAGAGATTACAACCGAAAACATAACAATTAGGCAACTTACACAGAATCTCCTTCGTGTCAGACCTCTGAACCTTTGAGGTTTTCACAAATTGAAACAAATTGACGCATCCTTCCTACAAGTGCACAACCAAGAACACAGAGTTAAGCAGTGAATATTGCTCGGAACCACTCAGAACTACTGTTACAATATTGAATCTATGAAACCATTCACTTCAGCAGAAAAGCCTTGTTTTGTTGGAAACTGGCTCAAATAATAATTACTCACCAGTCCCTTGACTATATTTCGCAGCAGCCAAACCCATACAATTATCCTTCTGCTTCAATGTATATGTTCTTCTGCATCCATTGTCAGCAGTTGCACTAGATGCCAAGAAGGCAAGCAGCGTGAAGGCCAAAATGATGGGATTCATAGTACGAGTCACATAAAGAGTGTATTGAGGGCTGAGATGTAGCGGTGTCTTTGGTTGTTGACCAAACGAAGGTGGCTCATAATTACGGGCTGACGGGCTGACTAGCTGTCTAACAGACAAAGGAACAACACAAAGCTAAAGTTGCTTGAAGGGAAATGCACTCTGAAACGAGGTGGCAAGTTGATTGCGTCCAACATGTAACACTTGAGGAAACCGCAGCAAGTTAAGGAATGAGCGATGCAAGGGTCCATCGGATGTGGTTCCAATACTTTCTTCAAGTGTTACTTACCTCAATTTTTCCTTATCTTTACGGCTTCTGTTGAAGTTGGAAAGTCGAGTTGAAACTACTAGACTGAACTGAAGTACTTCGCTTCAACGATGGAGACGAAGAAAGCGTTTTTGCCAAGACCATTGAAATACGTCACCCGCCGACGATGGACTTGGGCATGTGGCACTCAAAAGGAGATTCATAGCTGGATGTAATTCCGATATCAACGAGACACGTCGTGCCCTTTTTTCCTTTGCGTTGGCCTTTCATGTCATTCTTCCTTGTTGTAGAAACAAGGTCTCCATATCGCGTACGGTCAGAGCGCGTCTAGGAGCTTCATAAGGCGTTGCGATGTTCCGGACACTCCTTCTAGTCCTTTCCGTCTTCACCTTCTCAAAATATTTTCACCGATTCTCGAATTCACGTTTCAGCATTTAATGCAAGCGAGTCAGGTTTTGCTTCATCAACGTATCACTTATTATTGATTTTCGCTGATATTAAAAGAAAAATACGAACAAGAAATGCAGCTTCCGTTTCCTCCTTTGCTCTGAATTTGTCACTTAATATCGCAATTGCCAATTGCCGCAACTGTTGATTCACACAAGAGGAAGTGTCGCATGCTATCCGGACCCATCTTTCGCATCTTCAAATATACAAGCGAGTAGATTTCATTTACACGGTTGCCAACAAGTCCAGTTCAACCTCTCGAGATTTCATTCTCAAAAGTCAAAGTTTTTCGAAGCTGGTTCAACAGCGTAAAGACATTAACAAATTCACGGCGCTGCTCCATTCAACACGCACAATTCCAAACTCACCAAGTCTTAACGTTCTTGAATCCAATCCTGATCCTACTGAAAAACCCCTCCATCGCGATTCGTGATTTTACACGCTCGCAACAACCAGCACTTTGAACAAGCACCATTACACGTACGAAAAACACGTAAATACATCCGTATACCGTATACACCACGTCATGACCATTGCCAACTTGTCAGCAAAACAACAAGATGCTTCCAACAATGCTCTCGGAGCATTCCAAAACTGCATTGCAGAAGCAGACCGTAATGCGAGGATGTCGCTGTTTCATCAGGCTGTGGACTTGTACACGAAGGCATTGACTATCAGGCCAAAGGAGAAGACATGCCTTGTCAATCGGTGAGTTGGAAGAAAATTGTACATCACGTTGAAATCATGAATTTGCTCACCATATCGTGCGTTGATAGTTCTCGATGCTACAACCTGTTGGGAGAGAGTGAAAAGGCACTTGATGATGCTGAAAGTACGTTATTCGGCTATATTCACTCGTTTTATTCTCGTAAATCACGCTCACTAATTTTTTCATGACATTTTAGCTGCGCTCTCAGAAGACCCAAACTTTATTCGAGCACTGTATTGCAAAGCAGAAGCCCTCTACGAAATGGGAGAATTCGAACTAGCTCTTGTACAATACTACCGTGGATCTGCGCTCAAGCCCGAATTACATGAATTCCAAGAAGGAATACACAAGGCCACCACATCCATATCCCAAGCCGTATCCCAAATCACCAAAGTCAGACAAAACATGCCTCACGCAAACCACGCTCAGAACAATGCATCAGGAGCACAACCAGTCCGATTCACTACACCATCTGGCAACCACATTGCGCCATACAGTGAACCCAAGCAGGCTGCACGTATATTAGGAGCTTCAGGACGTGAAAAGAAGACTCTAACACCCGAATCGGAAAAAGTTTTGCTGGAAGAGTTGTACGAGGACAAGTTATTCTTGCAGGAATTGGCTGCTGATTCATCGTTCGCTCAAGAGGGTACCGATATACAAAATCTCGTGCTGGAGGGACTGCATTTCTTGGACACGCGAGTCGATTTCTGGAGGCAAAAGTCACCTGCTATTGGATCGAATCAGTCGTTGGCACCTAAACCTATTCGAAGGCGTGGGTCGAAAGAGGCTGCAATGCCTGAACGTAAAAGTAGTCTGCCGCAGATTCATGCTTAAGGGATAAGTCGGCTCCATGTAAAAAGGCTATCTCTTTCAACCACTTCAAGACTGTAAATTCAGGACATACCACAAACACGTACATAAATATTTCTCTGCATTTGATACACCACGCCATGTATATTTCGTGGGCTGCTTTTGATACGACTATACCTACTCTCTCCCTACGTACCCGTGTGCTTCTTGCCCATTTGCGACGGGACACTTTTCATTTGATGGTTTTTTTATTGTTTTGCACTTCTTGACGTTCAGGGATTGTCATGTCGGGGATGCAGCAGCTGTAGGAATCCGAACGGCAGAACATGGACATACGCCAGCGCCTCATCGCGAATCAAACTGGGTAGTCCTGACAGAAGCAGCAACAAACCACAAAATAGGCTCCCTGCTGACCATACGTTGTCGTTGCGTCAAGCTCAATCGGGTAGTGTGCCAATATTGATAATGGTCGTTTCGTTCTACGCCAACTTGACACAGCCAACATTAAATTTAGGTGTGCTTCGAGTCGACTAACATTGCCGAGAAGCTCAAGGTTGATGGTGGTGTCTGCATAATGCACCCTGTGAGTTGTTCAAAACTGGTTGCCAGTCATTCACCTTTGCACTTGTTATTTTTTGGCTCTCGACAAGACTCAACACATGCACAATCACGAACCTCCAGAGTGCCCAGCTCCCAGAGGAGCTTGACCATATGACCTCATAACAACACAATACTTCAACAACACCGCTTTTTTGTGGTTGCATTCAAGTCAAACGTCATATAAACACGCCACATTTAGCTCAAACGACGTACACAACTTGTTCGCATCTGATATAATTTAATGCTACTGCCAATGCATATTTTGTTGGGCTTTTTATACAACTTTATCTACAATCCTACATTTCTTTCCCTTTATGTGCAAAGATGTGGTTCCTATATAATTGATTCTATTTATGTTGCTTTTCTGTGCATCCTCACTTCCTTTCATACCACTACCACCAGACACACCATAATAACTTTAATCATCAACGTACCCACGGACCATCATCTACTTGTTGATGGTGAGCACCATTTCCAGCAGCATGACGTTCGAATTTAGACCAGAATGATGCATTGCTGGAAAGCTTGTTCCAACTCGCTTCAGCATCTTTAGCGCTAAGACCATGTGATCTTAAGCTGGCAAATACAGCTCCTTGTACGTCTGTTTCATCGTATCGAAGACTGATGGTGACTGTTGTACCTACGTTTTTACCCTTATGGGTTTTGACTTTGACATTAAAAGCTTCATGTCCTCCAGCAACACTTGGAGTAATGGATGATGGTGGTGTTTCTAATGATGATGCTGTTGAAGCGTTTGCTGCAAGACCATTGAGTTGAGCAGATGATGGTGGGTTACCTACTACGCTACTACTAGGTGTACTTCCTAATACAGGAGTTCCATAGATGTTTATACCTCGGCTCGTGACATATTCCGTGACTTCTGGTGGTAGTGGGAAGCCATCTGGCAGTACCGAGTCTCGATTATTGCTAATCCATTCGATAACACGAGCAGGGTACAGAGATTCAGAGCCTTCCATTTGAAGTGGTAGCACACTGTGAGTGGCTATAGTCGACTCTGGTTGTTTATTGTGTTGTTCTTCTTTTTCTGCTTCTGCTTGATGATCATTGACTACAGTATCATCATCTGATGGCAGTTGCTCAATCACCCAATCGTCATTGGCAAATATCAAATCTACTTCTCGCGTACCTGTTCTACTGCTATTACTGCTTCTACCACCACCAGTACTATCCATATCAGGAATTGGAGTTTCTGACGATGGCAATGGAGTTTCTGAAGTTGGTATTGGAGTATCCGAGGTAAATGACGTATATGAGGTATCGACA